GGAAAGATTAACGAAGTAAACGAGACAAATGTTCGGTGATGTCGAAAGAAATCTTCTTTGTTTAGTTGGAAGAACAATTATCCAAAGTAACAAAACGTCAACGAAAAGATCTGGATACTGTATGGAAAAAAGAACGTACTGACTTGCAGAAACAACTGCAACAATCTCAACAGCTGGCCAAAGATTTACAGAAGCAAATAAGCAATCGAGAAGCACCAAGTCATCTCACCGAAAAGATCAATGTTCTCATGACAGAAAATGAATTATTGTTGAATAAAATCAAGGAACTAGAAGCCGTCGTTGATGATGTTCAATTGCTCAAAAATGAAATGCAACGTTTACGCGATAAAAACTCATCCGATTGGAATTATTGGAGAAAGCAACAAAGTGATCTGTATGCTCAATTGAGGCAACAATATAATGCCAAAGAATCAGTCTTAGTCAAATTTGATCGATTGTTAAGACAAGTAAAGAACCTGAAGCATTTTTTTTTCTGTTCACATATGACACTATTTGTCCGTAGATCAAATCTGGTAGTGATAATACTAGTCATCTTGTTCGTGATATCAGCATTGGTCCATTATCGATGAATAGTTTTCAACATGATGCTACAACCAAGACAAGCTTGTCAAGTTTCAGTCGAGAAACATTAGCAGATGACACTGATCTTCCACATGGAACTATCGATGGACGAGCAGCTAGTGCTAATGAAATTGTTGGTACAATGGACGATTCAGTACCTTTGCCAGTGGCAATAACCGATCGAGATAAGCAACGTATGTTCGACAAAACATATTCGGCGCAAGAAAATACGGCAGCTAGTATTGAAGAAGTATGTTTTGCTATTCATTCTGAATAGTTTTCACGCGTAATAACTTGTTTGTTAACTATAGATTGCAAGCAAAATTGATCGTGTTGAAGATCACCTATTTTCATATCGTCGTTTTATGGATTTTATTCGAGCGTAAGTATGATAGAAATGACAGTCTGTTTCCTTTCCAATATTGTATGAGTCGAACGAAATAGAAGAATGAAAAACAAAGTTAGTCGATCTCATAACATTCCTTTTGGAGAAAAGCGTGAGTGACAGGATCGTCTCTATTGATTGAATGATATGTGACACGATCGATGGTAATTCTTCTTCGTTCTTGTTCCCCTCTTGAGGCTTGTATTCTTAGTACTAAATATTTTTCTTCTTATTGTCGACATCTTGCATACAGACATTGCGTAGCATTTTCGAAGAAGATGAAGAAGAAAAAAGAGGAAGATGAAGAAGAAAACAAATGGTAATAATGATCTTTCTGTTTGATCTCACCGTACATATCTGCAGAAACAAAGACAGCATCCTATATTCTTCGCTCCTTGAGATATCATATCTTCAGTTTCCCGCAAGTAGCACAAAAATATATACTTGATAAACGTGAATCAAACCTCTAAGTTCAATAAAACTCTTTTGCTACATTTTTCTTATTTTCACCTTTAGAAAATCCGAAAAGAGCGCATCAATTGTTCGTGATGATAGTTTTACTAATATAGTTAATTATTCTGATGCATTAGCAGCCAAAAAACGATTAGCTTCAGCTCCACCGGAAAATAATCCAATCGGAACTTCAACTGCAACTCAACGACGATCCCGTTTTGACAATAATACGAATAGTAGTCATGAACATTTGCCATCTTCGATATCATCACCAGATGAGAGTGTTGTATCTGATATAATGTCCAGTTCAGTGACGGCAGCCACCACTGGTAATTCAATGGGCACATCGAAAAATCGATTCTTTTCATTGAGTCGTCGTTTTCGCTTTCGTGTACAATCGCCAGATAAAGGAGCAGCAGCTGCACAAGCAACAGCGGCTACTGTTCATTTCCTCGATGAAGATATTGATTTGGAAACTAAAGAACGAACGGCGAGAAAATCAGATCATTCTGGCAATCGTCCATCAAAGGGTATATTGAAGACCCTGAGACATCGTTCACCGTTTCGTTTTCGCTCAAAAGACGCTGTTATACCTGAACAAGAACCATCTCCTCCTCCCCCTCCACCTCCTTCTTCATCATCGGCACCAAAAGCCCAGCCAGAACCTACTTCTTCGTCTTCTTCACCTTCTTCTTCACAACCAAATTCCGTGACACTACCGCCGGCAGTGCTACCAACAGCATCAACATCTTCGTCATCCTCAGCAAGCGCGGCGAAGGATACGAAAGATGCAAAGAAAAAACTCCCGCCACCAGCTCCTACGACTACTGTTCAGTCAAAACAACGAGGCCGTCTGGTTGAACTGAAAAAAGCGACAGCGAAACCAACCACAGCACCGAATGGAACATCTCGCAAAGAAACGAATCCATCCGCGAGTACTGAATCGACAGGCCCAACATTAGTCAGACGAACATCCGGATTGAAAGATCTCATTCATAAGTTTGATGTTTCCAATGACAAGACATCAAAAAGCAAACGGAATACCTCGGACAACGTCGCTACTCCCTCGAACTCAACAAATGCGCCGTCAAAACCAGATGAACAAGTCAAACTCAATACTAGTAACGTTGAAAGTTCGTCTTCTGACGACCAGCAAAATTCAACACATACATCTACTGATAAATCCAAAACCATTGACATTCCGGATCTTCTACGAAATGTTGACAAAGATCCGGCAATAACGGCAACAAAAGCAATATTCAGACATTCAAATTCAAGTCGACAAACAATGTCATTTGACTCAACTACAAGTATGGTTAGTGCAAGTGATTCGATTATCACGACGAACAGTAGTAGTATGAGAAAACCAACATCAACTGCTAGACCATTAATGATTTCTCTTGTAAGTCATTTCTATGACCTAATGAAATTGATTTTCATTTCATTTTCTGTTTCAGAGCAAAGATGAATCATAACACATACTTCTTTTTATATCTGTTCAAATTGTACTTATTGCATTCACATATCTTTTCTTTGTTTTTCATATAAATGATAAAATTTATTACAAAAAAAAAGACTTCATTGATTGATATAGAATAAATGCAGTTTTATATACCGAATGTGAAATATATGATTTTCAAAATGAATGTTAAAATAAAAGTTCTGTCCTTGATCAACTGTTCTATATTACACGAAAACTTATCACCAACCTGTCGCTATCTTTCATCTCTCTATAAATCAATCGGAACGCACTATTAGATCAATATTCATGCGATACGAAAATCGTTATTTATAATTATTGTTTACAAACTGAACTAACATAAGCCAGGATGATCACAGATTATTCAAAATGTTTAGTTTGGCTGAAAAATCCAGCCTGTATTTCCTTTTGGGTTTAATAAAAGTATTACAAAGTCAGACAGAACATCGAAATCATGCATGCGTTCTCACCAAAGGCCACACAAGCATATAATTTCTTTTCGAAAAACAACATTTTCAAAAATAGCAACGTACTATTCACTTTAAAAGGTTTAATTAAAGTAGAGAAATTATGAACTATCTTTCTCCGAAGAAAAAGATTGCTCAACATGCGAAAACGTCCTCAAAACAGTTCATGTTACACAATCATACTTCTATTTCATTATGTGTTATTCACTATAAGATGACTAAAACGTAGAGCATGTCAAAATGTGCCGCGAACATTTTATCTGTCACTGTTGCTGAGAACATTTATACTTATGATTACGATATTCCAAGCTGCTCTTAAATAATTTACCGCTCCCTGAGACCATCGAGACAGTGAACCCGGTGCCTATCTGTATTAAATGCTCATTTGTGTGTTATATATATTTCGTAGGATTATGCTTTTCGTATTATTTATTATAAATCATAGGATTTTAATCTCGTGATGACGTCATTCCATACGCCTAGTAGAGCAGCAATGACTAAAAGAAAACATAGAGTAGAAATGTGAAAGAGGAGAACAAGTTGCGACTTCTTTTTACTCGACTGTGTTTTTCACCCTTCTCTTCTTTTCGTCGCATTTTTTTCTTCGCGTTGTGTGCAAAGCTGACTATACTCTTCCACGGATGGCGGCCGTAAGAATACGTTTTTATTTAATAAAATTATTTTTCTGATTCAATGTGAAGTTCTCTTCGAGTATTTCAACATAGTCATCTGTTTAGAAGTTCGATTTGATGAACAATCAAATGGATAAGACGTCGCGTGCGTCACATCTAGGTCATTCTGATTCAATCTTATACTTACCTCAACAAGAACATCAGCAACAAACACAAACAAGTCAACTAGCGACAACTACGAGTCAGAATCAAGTTAAAAAGCCTATTTCATTTCCCTTTGGAAAATGGTACGTAGGATTTTTCTCGTAGACTGTATCGAGCGATTGTTGTTTTAGTCGAATATGTCGAGACAAAGCAACTGGAGTTCATTATGGCGTGATCACATGCGAAGGATGTAAAGTACGAATTTTGCCTTCCTTCGTTCTTCTCTTTCTCTTCGTATAATCGATATTCTTATTCGCAACAGGGCTTCTTCAAACGCAGCATCACCCAAGGAGTACCGTATCGATGTTTTTTCGGTGATACTTGTGTGATTAATATGAAAACACGGAATCGATGCAAAGCATGTCGACTAAAACTTTGTTTCGAACGTGGTATGGCAATGGAAAGCGTTAAAATGGGTCGAATACCAAAGAAGGTTAAAGAGAAAGCACTGAAAAATTATGAAAAATATCAGGAAAAATTGCGTCAAAACCGACAAACAGCACTGCAGGAAGTTCCTGACGAACGATCGTCTGGTCTTGGCGAATCGGAAGACTCAGGAATAGAAAATGGCAGTTTATCAAGCAGAAACCGTGAATCCGTTTCATCGATTTCATCGTACTCTTCATCAAACATGTCCAATATAGGTAGTCAACAGTGTTCGTACTATAACCAAGAAAGTGTTAATATACCTCCAAGTAAATCATTAATTATACATTAAATTTCTTTAATTTCCGTTCGCATTTCTCGTTTTCAGATCTATTCAATGAATCCGAAGAGCCATTTTGTACAGTAGATCTTATTGAATTAACGCTTTCCACCTCAAGTCTTCATATAAACAATGTCGATCATAATCTTTCCACATTACGACTTCCCTCGGTATTTTCCGAATCTAACACATTACCCAAAACATATCCAGATATTTTGAAACCTGCTGAACCATCTTCATCAATGAATATGAAGCAAATGGATCAAATAGCAATGAAATCCACTGTGAAAAATTATATGACGGTTGCCACATACATTTCCGAAGTCAATGAAAATAGTCTTATTGATTACATGTTCAATTATGAAATACGCTTTTCAAAAAACGTTCTGCAGATAATGAGATATCTTTCACAAAAACTTTCTCAGCCATTTCTTATTTATGAACTTGACTTCGAAGTCACGTCTTTCTTTCGCTATTTACGCTGGAAAATGCTCAATTCATATCTGAAACATACAAAGCGACTACGAGCACTCATCGAACGCATGTTCGGCATCATCAATCTCGGTGTACGTACGCGCACACATGTTTAATCAAACTTATCATTGCTTTTCTTCTTGAAGATAACCAACTATCCTGGTAGTCATGCAACAATAACACAAATATGGGAAGATATACAAAAGAGCATATCAGTCGATGTCACTCATCTCATGGTTTTCGCCAGAGACGTAAGGCTACTTTCATTTATATATAAAACCTTCCACTAATGGCATCGATTCATTCCTTTTAGATGCCCGGTTTGAATGAATTGAATACGAATGATTTTACTCGAATCTTGAATAATCGTGTATTCGATTTTTACATAGTAAGATTCTATCTTAAGATTGTCCCTGCGTTGAATTTTCTTTTAGATTTATAATTATCCATTATTTTACAAGAATGAATCGTACACAATGACAATCAATGGTTTCCAATACAGTCGTCATTTTATGAATCAAATCATAGGAAAGAAAACAACTGATGCTTTACACGAATTTTCCGCAAAACTCCACGCGTTGAATATCACTCAAGTGGAACATAGCCTTATCATTCCGATTATTCTTAGTTTAGCCGATGAAAAAATAGTCGATAGTGGAAGTGTATATTTCATTAAGTATTGTTTTATGTATGCACTTTATATTCAATTATGTACGACTCGAACTGAAGATGAAGCGAAATTTGTATTCGATCAAATCTTACAAGTAAATTTATTCTGAAATATTCAATTCACAAATGTTGTTTTCGTGTTATTTAGCTTGTTGATTCAATTGAGATTATCAACAAATTGTGCAAAGAAAATATTGGCGCATTGGTTCTGGACAAAACACCATCTCAGAAGTAAAATCCAACTCTCTTCCCCTCTCTTCACTCTTATTAGTACAAAAAATGTGTATATTGTTGTTAATAGAATGAGATAAATTTATTTTTAAGCTTAATTATACATTCACTCAATAACCTGAGTACAGCGCATGACATTCTATTGAAGTTTCATCCAAGAGCAACATGAAACGCTGTCTAATAACAAATTCTCTCATATTCATTGATGTTAATAGACTAGTACCCAAGAAACATTGTCATTTGTTAAAATTCAATCTGCTAATCCGGTAATTGAAATCTTCTGTGTATTAGTTGCATGTTTCTCAATAATACAAGGAAGCTCAGTTGGTTATCATAGAGGCATGGAATAGATTATCTAATGCTGAGAGTAAACATTAATTATTTCTCTTCAGGGATGCTATTAATTACATATGAAAGCTGGAATCATTTGAAACGCTTATTCAAAAGAATAATAACCGTTGTTAGAGTTTATTCGTATTGTTGTAAATCCTTTTGTCATAGTTGAAGGATTATATTGTTGGAAAAAGTAGAACATGGCTGACATGTGTGCGAATCGGTTAACTAACATGATGTCGTAGAAAGAAATAATATGATAATTTAAGCCGGAAAATAGAAAAGACACAAATAGGAAAGTTGTCTCATTATAAGCATACTGCGGAAAACCTTCTGTTTTTCATTAAAATATTTATTGCGAATCTAAGAAAGGTTGATTATTAGATTTTATGAGAATTCAGTGAGAATGTTGAAATGTTTGATACATGTATACCGTGCGTGAGACCATGTTCAACAATCGTGTGAATAAAAAAAATACAGTAAATAGAAAGTTGATCGCAAGTCTCAAAAGTCATCCAGTTCAAATCCATAGAATGAAAAACATGTTTGAATTTATCAACACTATTGTATATGAAATATAACTACGAAAACAAGAATGATTGCTTTGCTTTAATGATGGAATAGTACCTGTAACATAAAAAACAAAACCAATTATTATTACATAGATACAATTATATGCTTTCCATTGATGATAATTTATATCTTTTCAATTGATATCAACGTGTTTGTATGAGACGGACGACTGCTTCTAATCAATCTATTTATTGAATCTCTCAAAGTGATTGTAAAAAGCATTCGATTGATTTGTTACTCGGAAAAAATCTCGTCTTGCAATATAACAAAACTAGTGTGATGTACCACTGGTTACTTGAACGACATATGTAATTCTTTTTTTCATCGTAAAACAATCTCATATATTTTCCGAATTCTATTTATAGAGTTCGGTCGATTCCAACAGTAGTTGGAGCGTACAGTAGTCTCTGTGCACTTTGTGCTACACTTGCCTGCTGTGCTATTGTACTGGTTGTTTCTCTCATTCCACTGTATTTAAATAACAGTACAGACCAAGGACTGGGGGAATGTAAGAAAGAATTGATTTGATCTGATAAATATCTAGAAGTATTTACCGTTTCAGTTTACTGCCTTAATAATTATAGTTTACAAGTGGGATTTCAAATTCCTGAATACAATACAACATTTACTGATACGGTGACTAGAGCAGCATATACTTTCTCGACTAACACCGTCTCGTTACCGAATGTTGGATCATGTTCTAATACAGCCTGCCAAGCTCGAACATCAGAGTCCATCACTGTTAGTGATCTGTGTACATTTCAAGTGAAATCATTGATTTCTCCAGCTGTTCCAAATGCAAAAGTCTTCAATAGCTATGCTCTTAGTGAAGCCGTAAGTCCAGAAAATTGTCGTCCGTTAATTTTTTGAAATGCTATACTCGTAGTGTTATCGAACCTTACAAAGTTGCCATTATGATTCACTGCTAACATCGTGTCTTTTATCAAATTGTGTAGTAGTTGGCCTTTCTAGTGCATCCTCGAGCGTTTCGTCACCTTTAACTTATTATTCTCTACGCTGTACAACAAATATTTATTATCAAACTCGTTGTATGGATGCTGGACCCAATGATCGATTGTACTATTCTAGTTCTCAGCAAAACAGCGGTTGTCGTCAACAACGCTTAGACCAAATCAACAATTGTTTAAACTCTACAACCGCGTTGTTAAATGTTCCGTCTGCCATAAGTGTTTCTAGTGGTTTAGTCACCGCTACAACTGGCAGTTGCACTCAAACCGTTGCTTCTAGTAGTAGTCAACTGAATGTAAATGACAATTCAGCCACACCGCTTACTGGATCCGCGTCATTCAGCTGGACACCTACTTCAACGTCGGTTACATCAAGTGCCACTTTTCAAAGTGCAGCATTTTCAGCTTCAGATCAAAGCGATGGTCATGCATATAGAATTACATCTGTTAATAGTGCAGTATACAGTACAACTCGTAAGTAAATCATCAATCGTAGATTCATTTCCTATCGTCATTCCTTTTGTAGAAGTTGGTGCTCGATACTGCGGCGCTATAACTCGTGCACAAATCGCTTCCGCTATTAACGATGTGATTAGCTCTCAAAGTTCTTGAGAGTCTCCAAAATTTTGCCTCCAACTTTGATTTTTTTAGTTTTAGTATACTCATAATCTAGCTAAATAGAACGTCGATTGCCTACTAACTTAATCCAATATGATTTTTCTGACTTTTATCATTATTGTTATGTTATGATTATGTCATTAGAAAATAGGAAGCTATCTTTGTACGTATTATTTATGTAAAAATATTCGTAGCAAACTTGTCAATTGTTCAAGAGTGGAATCAAGTCCGGTTAAATGATGAAAAAAGACTTCTTTCTGTACTTGCGCAACGACATTGTGAATTTGAACTTCTTTTAAAATCGATTGTACCTAAACAACACCCTATGAGATCAAGTTTTTAGAATAACTAATAAAGATTTTCTTTTGCTGTGACATACCGTTCATTGCCCACATTGAATATTAGAATATGAATTGTTCCAACAATTGTCGATGAATAAAGACTCCAAAAGGGTTCATCCAAATAAAATGGAATGAGGGTGTGAATGTGATTGATGACGTTGATCGATCATAGATGAAGATTGCCTCTTCACACAAGTATCATGATGCACATGAGCGTGATTTACTGAGAAAATATCGACTATATTTACAACTAATCTAGCAACGGAAACAACTAACAGCCGATTTGTGTTGATTTTTAGAGAATCAATAAAACGTTCAATGATTTCATGGAGAACGGAAACTGCAACTACAATCAGAAGTAAACCATTCACAAAACCAGATCAAACTTCTATTTAACTATATCCATACAAAAATACTCGCGTCGGCTTCCATCTCGACATGACAGATGCGTACAGGCCGACAGTTAATGCTGTGCAATCAAATAGTATATGAAAACCATCACTGATCAATCGAAGAGAATTTGTCCAAGTACCACACAAAAGTTCAACACATGTGAAAGTTTATTTCAATTTTTGAAAATATTTACCGACCGAAAGAAAATGGAATATTTACAATATTGGTACAGAGAAAGTAGAAGATCTTTCTTGAATCTATTTCAGCGAGAATGTCTTTGAAACTTGAACGTAAAATAAACAACAATGATTGCGAATTTTGTTGCGGTACGTTAAATACCGGTAGATCATCTTGCCTATAAGCGATGAATGCATCTGATTGCTGCTCACTCGGTTTTGATAATAGTATAGTTGCGAAAATGAACATCACAAAATCAAAAACCACGCCACCGGCCAGTGCGTGTTCACCTAATTCAATCTGTCAAACACTATCATGAAACTGCGCTGAACTTTCACTTATAGCTGTTAACGGTTGTGTCCAAAGAAACTTCATAATAAGTGCACTGGTCATCATAGTAAATGTATTATATTGTAATGTTCACAACTAATCAAGTTTAGCTGTAGCTATTTATTCGACATAAAAATCGAAGGCAAAAGTTTTAAAAACCTTGTATATATAACAGAAGCCATCAATGAAAGAACATTGATAAATAATGGCGATGTTCATGATGGTAAAGTCGATTGATTCAGACTAGGATCAATAAATAATTTCAATTCGACAAGAAAACTAGTAAGTGCATTGAACGTCTTCGGTCCACCAGCATCAAATACTAATTTTCCGTTCGAAGAATTTAGACCAGACCGTGCGGATAAAGCAAGAAGCGGGATAATAACACCACTCTTATAGTCAGTAACACTCATGAAAGATGTGAATGGATGACAAGTATGGTCTTCCGAGCAATCTAAAGTCTACACCAAGAAAATCGATAGCAATTCAGAAGTTATAATATCATCATTATCGAACGTAAATACGACTAAAACAGCTAAAATATACATAATGTATTTAAATAAACGTAACAAAACTGTTCTTTCCGACGGAAATGATGAGCATGGCTTTTGAATGAAGAATAAACAGATCGATGCAACGAACGTCGTGAGACTAAGGAGTCAAATCAAGCTATAGAATTCCAGTAAGTAATAGGCAAAGCCAACGTTTCCAACGATTTACTAATGAGAAGTAGAAGAAGGATATGAGGAACATCACCCAATGTTTGGGACTTCGATGTTTTTGGAAAGTCGGTGAATATCAAGTCAAGTACTTTGTTCTTTCATATGTACGATTAATAAAATAGCATTGGCATTAGAAAGAATATATAGCAGATGTAAGGCAAAATAAAAATATTTGATCGGGCAGTTTAATGTCAACAAAAGAGTATGATAATTTTTTATTGATATGTAGTTGTCATTCGATACCGAAATGTTACTGAAAAAGATCCTTATTTTATTAATAAGTATGTTACACGGCACATGCCTGTTGAAAAATTCATGTTAATGACCTCTGTTAGTTGCATCTCAAAGGTTTTATCATGCCTGAAGTTCATTATAATTCAATTTTTCTTCAATGTTTATTGAATTAACTGAATAAAACAATACAAAACAAAAATATCGTTATAACATATTTACCGACAGATCATACTTATTACAGTTTAATATATACAAAAGCCATACAACTGTTTATCGCTCGATATAAATAGAAACAATCTAACCAAGTCACAGACAATTTTTAAAGAAATCCAGGTCGAATGTCAAAATTACGTACATTTTGTTCAGGTTGTCGAACCAGTTAGTACCGTTGTATCTTCTGTAGGCAATTTTCCTCCTTCATCCGTGGAGTATTCTGATGTGACAGAACTTTCGTAAATAGGAGAAGAGTCCACTATGGATAACGAATTGGTCAGTGATTCTGATGTATCTTGACTGGAAACTGAAGCGATGTTGTTTGTTGATGATTGGATTATAGTAGATTGTGGCGTTATGGCATTGTCTGAAACTGTCAGTGTAGTATCGATTTCCGTAGTAGGTGTAGGGCCATCGGTAGCTGTTGATTCTGTGTCAATTGTACTATCCGAAACAAATGCATTTGATGTGGAAGAAGAATATTCTGTTGTGGATGTGGGCGTATCCGAATTGGAGCTGACGAAATTATCCGCACTCGTCAATGTGTTCTCAGCATTAGTGGATTGTAAATCAGTTATTGAGTTCACTAGCGTTGAAGTGTTCAAGGAAGTGATCGTGACATCTGACGTACTATTCATCTGTGATGTAACGTCAGATACCGTCGTACTAGCTGATTGAACTGAAGTAGTGCTTACAGATACACTCGTTACCGCTACCGATGTAACTGATGTCGTAGTAGTTGCAGAAGTGGCTTGTGTGGTCAACCCCGCTGTCGTTGCTGTTGTGGTGGTCGATGTACTCGTTTTTGTCGCTAATAAGAGAAGTCAAAATATAAATACTATCCATCAAAAGATGGCTGAATATTTAAAACTTTCTGATAATTGATTACTCTGGCTCCGAGTCGCGTATTTACTAACACTAACTTTCATTCAATCGGTACTAACTTGTTGTTGTAGGCGCGGATGTTGTCGTAGTAGTTCCTAAATTAGATCATATTAAAGTATGACATTAGAATTTGAAAAAAGACATAGTCTACTTGTTGTTGATTCAGTGGTCGTCGTTTGCACCGTAGATGTGGACATTATTGTCGCTTCTGTCGCTATAAGAAGGTCATCGGTATTTTCTCACTGAAATGAAACAAAATAGACTTCCAGACTTACTCGATTGGCGCTCACTGAGTTCCTTGTTTTGTTTAACTAGAAAAGTATTGTTCTATACTCTAGGACCAGCGAAGAAAAAAATCGATACAAACGAGTTAGACTGAGTGCTGTTGCTAAAATTCCGATGACAAATACAGCAACGATAAGCATGGTAAGAAAATAACAACTATGTTTTCTAATTTGAAACATTTTAACCGGTCTAAAATATCTTCAATTGAGTGCAATGTAATCATTAGGGAAAGATTCGCCTACTCCGGATGTATTCCACTTGTAGCTTCGTAGGATTTCGAATCAAGACCGTGCTAAAAATTCAGTTGAAACTTATATTTCCTCGACGATCAACTTAAACGTGTACTTACTATAGTGTTATCAGGTCCGACACGTTTTTGGCCGGGAAACGAAATAAAGTAGTCGCTGTATCTAGTTTTCGGTTGAATATCTTCCATCTCAAAATGCAAATATGAATATATTACTGAAAAACAATACTCTCAATATACTTCAATGGGTGGTTTCATATTCGGTCGTGTCACAGATGTACGCCTCTTTGTTGATACGAAATGCACATTAATATCAGGTTGACTTTTACGCGCTACAGTGACCATTGTCGGTTTGGATTCTTGACATGAAAGAGTGTTTGAACGATGGCGAGCACTTTTGATCGATTTTACTGTCTTGAAATTGCATAATAGAAGTGAAGAAGAGATTTATACTATCCATCAACAAACACTTACGGGTAGATTTCTTTCGGAAATCCTGATCACCGTGGGTTTTCTAACGATTGTTGCCATTGTCTGAGAAGTCTATGTGTTATGTCTCAATCGAACAAGATTAATAGTAGAATGATTAATTCTGCGAATAAAAAATGAGGACAAAAGGAAATCTTGTAAGACTGGAAAAGGAAAGCAACGATGACGACAATCAATATAAAATTTAAATTTTTCTATCAAGGCACTTCAATTGTATATACACAAGCATTGCAAATGCTTCATGTTCGATATACTATGAAAGTTCATATCTATAGTTCGTCTTTTTAAACTGAATAAATTCAGTATCAGTTAATAATTCAAGATAAACAGAAGGTAGTCTGTGATTGTCAACTATGCGAGTATCGATAGCATTCGTATTCTGTAGATTTGTTTTTGCGTATTGAATTCGAGTGTACCCAAAACTTTCTCCGTATATAATGAAAAGATAAATAAATATTCGAGATGTTCTTTTACCTTCTTGGATATTTTTCTCGAGAAAGATGTACTTTTGCAGATTCTTTTTCAACTAAGCTATATTTTCAATTATTTCTTTATTGAATTTCAATGTATTGACTCATTTACATAAATAGAAATGATGGTGTGAGATTGACAGTGCTAAAGTTTACTTGAAAACAGAACTAAATCAATAGGGTCGATAATTACAGATCGATTCTTCCAAATATATTTATAGTTTCGTATTTGTCTTAGGAAAATGAATTATACTCTAGCCCACATATGTGATGACAATTTAACACTCCTCCATGATCATTCGTTTCATTGAGTTTTTTCGTCCTCGTCGTTGCGGTAGAAAAAATATGTTTGTCACTGTCATTCGGTATCGATTAAATGTTACCTTGAAGTCGAATCACAAGAAAGAAACAAGAAGTTAAAACATGCGTCCGATAATTATTATTCTCTTCATCTTTCTAGTCAATTTTGAACTGACGATAGGCAATGTGGACTGTAATTGTCAATGTTGCACAACACAAAATTGCAATCCAGTATTCGTTGGTTCCCGTAGCTTATGGTTTTGTTCTGAACCAACAACTTGTACAAAAAACGATTGCAACACTTGGTATCCGAGTCTTTGTCCAAAAGAAGGTGTCACTGGTCAAACTCGAGCTGTTTGCAATTCAAATGCACAGCAGACAGTATCAACTGCATCAATGATATTCAGCATGCTAGCAATCGCTCTTTTATTAATCAATCATTAACTCTAACAGATTAGCTCTTGAACTTCTACTTTTTGTCTTATGCAATAAAATTTCAATCTTTCTTCAGTAAGCATCTCTCGATATGTTACGAAGATATTTGAACACGTGACACCTTGACATATTCATCAGAGGAATGTGTTTATCTGTCTTTACCTTGATGTACGTTTTGGTGAGAGAATTCCTTTCTTTCCTATTCATTTGACTATTCTCAACACAATGAACATTTGGCGTATAATCATCTTTATTTTGTATGCAGTAGTGGCCTGCTTCTACAAAGTATTCTATCCCAATCATTTGCGTCGATCGATAGAGAAAACTGATGATTTACTTTGGAACACCACAACAATCGTTTTACCATATCGACCACCAACAACAATGCCACAAATTAGTTTAGTTTGGTTGGAAAAATTTGGTCTAATCAAGCGAACATCCACATCAACAGTGAGAACACATGTGTATAAACAACGTTTTTAACTTCACGTATTCATAATTGATAGAACAAAATAACCTTATTCTTGTTTCTATTTTCTTACCGATACTCTAATATAAGACTGATGTAACGCAAGATTCGAACAAATCTTTCTTTCTCATTTTTCACGTAATCCAAACATGAGTAGTCGATCGACATAAAAGGTAAATTTCATGCCGGAGATTCTGTACATTTAAAAGTTTCTGCTGATTTAGTATCAAAACCTTTTGATTGCCTAGTGCATATCTTTACCAATAAAAAGATTAGTTTTTTATGTTTCTGATTGAAAATGTATGAACTCTTTTTCTTTCATCATTTGAATTGCTGGGTCTTGAGGTTGGTGTGGTCTACATATTCTTTTTACTTTTCTTGCAAAATAGGCACCCGATGGGTTCCGAACCGTACGCGTTCAACCTGCATATGTAACTTCGCACTTCATCGTGACCTTGCCAGTAGACCAGTGTGCTTCCGATTCAAGGATCAATTATGCACTCTCAATTGGATATCATTTATTTTGACAACGAAAAACGAGAAAAAAAACTACAATGGATTGCTCGAAAGAAGTTTCGAAGAATTATAGTGTACAGATGATTAATTTAACAAGTATACATTGCAATATGATTACACTAGATCACTATACAACACTAATTTTGTTATTTGAAAACATGTGCTTCTTTCAGACGAATAATTTCTTCTTTCAGTGCTGCATTTTCTGCTTTCATGTCATTTAATTCAACTATTAAAACTTGATTACTGCTTGATAAAGTGGATAACATGTTTTCTAACCGTTGATCAAATGATAATTCTAATTGATGCATTCCTAGTTATAATTCTATCATTTCATGTTGTAACGTAACAATTTGCTGCATCAACGCTGTGACATCAATATCATCACGACGTGAAAAATTCTAAAAGAGAAGTAGTAATACAATGGTCCCATATTTTTAGTGTATCGCCAGCATTCGATTCGCATATGATGTAACCAGGACTGCCCATCGTTTACTTTCTCTGTGATATGATTGAGAAGAACTAAAGCAAAAACGCAATTATTCTTAACGCCTCTATTATTCGTAAAAGTCAAGTGTTTTCTATGCATAAATATTCATTTGAAGAAGAACATAAAAATAAGCTACTAAATCCTTTGAAAAAACACATAATGAGCCACTGAGATAAGTTCTGAGAGACAACTATTTTAACTGAAAATCTCCGCTTTGAAAAAATTCACATCACAAAACACTAAAGTTCAAATGCACATTTGTCTCTATTGAGCACAAAGTCGTTCAGTTATGCTCATGCCATCTCTGATACCATCTAGAATACGAAAGTGGATTTCTGAAAACTAAGACTCGCAGCCATTATTCTACAATCGTGAACATCCTCTACATTCATGTTGATAGCGTCTCTGCATGATTAAAACTCATTATATTATATTTGAAGGCCGTCTATGTGGTGTATTGGGCTCACGTGGTGGCTCAGCCATCGACGTTTTGTTTTAAATTCTCTAAAGTTTTTATTACAGATAAGACCATAGTGGTATTAGCGATTCATAGAAAAAAAGCATACCCAAGCTCGTAATGGATGATAATGAATTAAAAATTCGTTTCAAGCTGTTTATATACATAATATAGTACAATGGTCAACCCAGGTCGATCATTCCGGCGGTGGGATCCGTTGAAATCTCAGTCGGTTCTGGTACAGCTTTTGTCGATTCCGGCATTGTTTTCGCCGATTCCAGTAGGCTCCGGCAAAATCCTTGTCGCCGGAATTGATTCGATCAGTTCCTGACTGTTTCCGGCTCGAAGTTTGCAGAAAAGGGTTAGGAAATTACTGGAACCTATGTTTGAAATTCTGACTGGAATCCGGCGCCAAAGAAATCGTTGGAAAACGAACTTAACCTGTCGGAATCGACCAAGCCATGATAGCTTGGGAACGTACAGTTTCAAAGAAACCAATAAAACTGCGAACATGAAGAGGATTTTTCCATAAAACAAATATAATACCATCCAAGATCTAGCAGTTTGCAGTAAAATAATGATAATACCGGCAATTGATGTTCGTCAAGCTCTCCAATTCATTTTGACGCGACTTTTATTTGCGGAAAGCTATAGATGTCGGTAGTATATTTTCTTTGTATAAACAGTTGCTCAAATTGATTGAAATGTGTTAAAACACTATTTTATGATAATAATCTTGAACAAAAGTTAATAAAAATCAAAATAAATGTGCGAAGAGAGCTATTTACATAGACTAGTTTTATCCGCCCGTCCTTGCTCTGTCTTGTTATGACAGACGTGAACGATATGTGGTATAGAATATTCTGCATCTTTTATATCATTTTCGATCATTTTAATACATCAGGTTCCAAAACAGTAATCATTTCGAACCTATTAATTCCCAATCACTCTTACTGCTATGGTATAAAAGCAGATATTCACAAGCATGACTTTTTATTTTTTTTCCTCCGATCGACTAAACCATGAATAAAAAAATTGATCAGTTCAAAGAGCAACAGAGAAGTATATGAGCGTAGATATGGAGCGACGTTTCTTCTCTTATCACATTCATCCCTCAGATCCTATAGACAGTACGTTAAAAAACAAATTCCGATTATGACATTCCTATTGCGAAGATATGCCGGGAGCCAATATAAGATAAAGTTAAGATCAGATTTCGATAACGATTCATATTTCAAGAATAATGTGTGATCAACAAAATAATTTTTATTAAAAAGAATTATAGTTTTCAACAATAAACAAAAGTGACATAAACTGTTTGGCTTTCGTATGTTCAGCTCCAAAGGTTGCTTGAACAATTCGTTGTGCTTCGGTATAATACTTCTTTGCTTCATCCAGTTTCACTTGTTTATCGATAGCTTTGCCTGTTTTACCATTAGACTCCGCGACAAGTTTCATACAGACATCACCGAGATTCGCATACACATCACAAACTTCAATGTGTCCACTTCCCAGTGCAGATAATAAGATTTGTAAAGCGTCTTTCATATGTTCATAAGCTGTCTGGTATTCCTCTAGCATTGCATAAGCTAAACCGAGAGAATTAAGAAACATTCCGTATTTGTAATGTTTTGTACTAAATTCTTTCTTTATGATAACTAAAGCACGATTGATATAATCGATGGCTTCTTTGTAATTCTCTAAATGAAAATCAACGATCGAAAAAGAGAAAGATATTTTCATTCAAACAAACCAAGCTGATGTTGAACTTGACCAATGTTATGTAAGATCTCTGCGGCTTCGGAATGTTCTGAGCCGAGTGTTTTTTCAATCGCTGTCAAAGCACGTTGATACAATTTTAACGCTTCTTGAAATCGATTTCGTTTTCGATCTAAATCAGCCAGGTTGTTGTAATAAATTCCTAGTTTATAATGTTCTTGATCGTGGCCAAATGTATCGTATACTATTTGAATAGCACGTTTATAACATATCTCTGCACCCGAATAATCAGCGCGTTTTTTCAAAACTAAACCCATCGAATTGAGAACTTCAGCAATCTCGATATGATTCGGTCCAAAAGATTTTTCCAGTGAACTCAAAGCTTCTTTATAAGTCGCTTCAGCAGTAGTAAAATCACTTTGCTGCTAAGAAAGAAAACAAATAAGATATATTTCTTTCAATAAAAAGAATGCATACTTTTCGATAGATATCTCCGATGTTTGTTAGATAAATTCCTATCGATGAATGTTCCGGTCCGTAATAGTGTTTAGCAATTTTAATCGCTTGCTNTTATTCGAGAAGAGAAGGAGATCAGCTGTTTTCTTCTAGCAGTAGACGGCCGTCTAATAAACAATAATCGCGCGTCTGTATCACTAGTTTTTTTTTTCTTCATTTCATTTTCATCGTCGTCTCTTTCGTTGTTGTTTGTTTTTCATATCATGTTTTCTTTTCTTGATTCGTTAATGATTCCTAATAGGTAGAGGCAACATCTCGACTAATTTCTTGTTTTTGTTGATTTTTTTCCGACTAGAATGTCACATGAGAATGATAATCGAATGCAAACATTACATGATATGAATATGAATCACTCGAAAGGAGAAAATCTCGATCCGGAATTATATCAATTGAAAATTCAATTAGCAGCTATTCAAGAACAACAACGTTTACAAACATTAATGATCAAACAATTCCAACAGCAATTGAAAGTTTATCAACAAAAACATAATCAAATTGAGAATGAAGGTAAATTTTGTTTGCTTCGTAGAATTCGAATATTTCAACTTCTTCTTTTAGAAAACGTTGCAACACAGCAATATTCATGTAACATTTGCTCGCAAAGCTTCACTTCACGTTCAAATTTAAAAGTACATCATCAACAACATCAAGACAAATTATCCAAACTAGCATCGACTATTTCCGATGAGCACGACAATAACAATAATAACGATGCTGTTGAAACTAATAACGGCCATGATGGTGAAGATGACGATGACGACGACGACGACGACGACGATGAAGAAGATCAGGGTGGATTGATTATTCAAACTGAAGACGATCAACAGTCTGTCACGTCACCATTGGATTTATCTACAAGTGATCATCTCTCATCCAATTCAGTAAAGTCGGATGAAGAACATCAAATTTCATCGTCGATTCAATTTCAAATGGAAGAACACGAAGGTGAACCGGAAGATCCAAATATGGCTAAATTGAAAGATATGATTGACCAACTCGAACGTACAACCAATAAAAGCGATTCGAATGAATGTGTCGTTTGTAAACGTATTCTTTCGTGTCAAAGTGCATTAAAAATGCACTATCGTACTCATACTGGTGAACGACCATTTCGATGTCGCATATGTGCTCGAGCGTTTTCAACGAAAGGAAATCTCAAAACACATATGAATGTTCATCGACTCTCGGATGAAGGCGGTTCAATCAAATTTAATCGATGTTCGATATGTCAAAAACAATTGAATAATATTGAACAATTGCGTTTACATCTAAGAGATCATTTAGGTAAATATCAAACGGGTTGATCTTTAGTTTGAGTTAATAAAAAAAATACTTCGATATTTAGTTGATCCAAATAATGCATCATTAGTCGAAGAAGCTTTACGCACTATTGATTCTGAAAGATCATTGTCAAGTATAGATGATGAATCACAAACCGATATTCAAGTATGTACAAATTTTCGTTTTCGAATGTAAATTTTGATTATTGTTGTGCTTTATCGAAATAGCGTGACAATTCATCGGTGAAAAATGATGAACTCGAAGAAGATGATGATACAAAATCATCAGCGATATCGAACTCTTTGGCTGCTGCTATCGCAGCTGCAGCGTCAACATATTCAAATGGAAATTTAACAAATCATTTATCACCATTCACTTTATTTAATCCTCAATTTTTTCCGAATTTAGCAGCTAGTACATTTCCATTCCTAGCTGCTGCTGCTGCATTAAATAATTCCAATACAACTGTCAATGATGAACATAAGGACAATGGCGGAAATGATAATGGAGAAGATTTATCAATGTCATCAAAAATGTTAATAGATGAACCATTAGGAACGAATGAAAAGAATCATTTGAGACGATCATCATCGATATTACAGCATGTTTGTAGTGTTTGTTCAAAGAATTTCTCATCAGCATCAGCTCTACAAATACACAATCGAACGCATACGGGCGAAAAACCATACAAATGCGACGTAAGCTTTTAGATTTTGTAAATCTCAACAAAATCCTTTTTTTTTCTCTCTTTGCCAATTTTAAGGTTTGTGGCAGAGCATTTACAACAAAAGGTAACTTAAAAGTTCATACGGGTACACATATGTATCATACACAAACAAGTCCGACTATGGTTAACAGTGGAGGTGCAACACGTCAACGAAGACGTTATGATTTCCATCCATATTCAATGAATGTAGCCGATGTTGGAAAAACAATCACATCATCAACATCGTCGACAATAATTAAAAGTGAATCGTGAGAGATTGAACAAATAAATTTTACTCCACTATGGTCTTTCATATCTTGAAAACTAACTAATGCGATGATGAGAATGCATTCCTTTCGTTTGGTTTTTCTCTCTTTTTTCTCTCTTTTTTCTCTCTTTTTTTCTTGGTGCTCTTGTGTTTTGTTTGTTTTTAACTCAGGTTTCTGTTTTGTCCCTTTCATTTTCCTTGTCGTCATTATTACTGTTGTTGTTGTCATTTGTGTCTGTACAGCAGCTAGCTTCTTTTTTTCGTTTTTGTGAACCGTGAAAAGAAATGGCATGATTGTTACTGTTGAAACTTCAAGTTTAGGTATATTTGATACACATTGGAAATCTAAAAGAGTACCAATCTACTTTTTTTTATCTCGAGACAAGATTGACTAAAGTTTCAAGCATATTCTTTCAACATCAACTATTTGACTGAAGTGTTTCTATTGTTGAGAAAATGATACAAAGTAGAAGGATATCAAACTAATGATAAACAGCATCAAATTATGTGAATCTAAGAGATTAAAGACAAAAGAATTCATGTGATTATTTGAATCTGAAAACAATCTGCTTTTTGTAGGAAGCAAAAGAGTTGAGAAATATGAATCACAAAGCGACGACGCATGTCTCTTCTTCTTGCTTGTCTCTCGTTTTTCCTTTCCTTTTGTTCTGTTCTCTGCAATAATTTCGCAATAGCGTTTCTTCGTATATAAGGTGAAATTTCATAAGTATTTCACCTTGTGAAAGTCTGAAATTTCGGTATTTCATTCCACGTGATACATAGAAGTGCTATATTTTCTCCACAACTATAAAAGCATGGTGAACACCAGTGCTCTAACCAGCGTATCATTCAAACGATACAGAACAAATCTATCCAATCACTCTCAATGGCCGCCATGATGCCTAACAATGAAAATTTTATTGAACAATGGAAACTTCGTCGAACTATTCAGTATTTATCAACACTACGTGGTCGCGGTACATCCTTAGTTACCATAATTATTCCTGCTCAATCGCAGTTGTCCCGAACGATGAAACTTCTTACTGACGAATACAGTCTTTCATCATGTATCAAATCATCTCAAACACGGCATAACGTTCAACAAGCTCTGTCGACTGCTCAAGGTAAACTGCGTCTATATACACAAAATACCTTGCCAGCCAATGGTCTCGTTTTGTATGCCGGCATGGTCTATGATGAAGTTGATCATCGCGAATCGAAAGTATCCATGTGCATAGAACCATTACAATCTTTACAACACGGTCTATATCGGTGTGAAACACATTTTATTACTGATTTTCTTCAAAAGCAATTGATGGATAATGCCAACGATTTTAATGCACGTCGATATGGCATCATCGTTATTGATGGTAACGGTTCGTTATTTGCTCGAATAGATCCTCAACAAGGTACGACAGTTCTAAAACGCTTTCAAGTTAGTCTACCGAAAAAACATGGTCGTGGCGGACAATCGGCTATGCGTTTCGATCGGTTACGTCGAGAAGCTATACATAACTATTTGATGAAAGTAGCCGATAGTGCGAAATCACTATTTTTAAACGCTCAACAACATGGACTTGTCAATGTCGATGGATTTATTTTGAGTGGTTCAGCGAATTTAAAACATGATCTGATCAAAAGCGATCTGCTTGGTTTACAAATTCAAAATAAGATTCTTCGTACGATCGATATCAGCTATGGTGGTGATAATGGTTTACATGAAACACTTCGTTTATGTAATGATATTTTCGCTGATATGAAACTAACACAAGAAAGACAACTGCTTGAAGAAGCCTTTTCCCAAATCAATTTGTCATCAACGACAAACGAGAACAATACTGTTTCGTATACGATTGGTGTTGCTGAAACATCATTGGTTCTTAATGAAGGCAGTGGCCTAATTGATCGAATCATCGTTTGGGAAGATCTGAAAACTAAACGTTACGTCTATCAAAAACGTAATAAAGAAATTGTTGTTATTATTGCTGATAATGAACAAGAAGCACAAAAGAAATTGAAAATCGACGAAAATGAACAGATCGAATGCATTGACGAAACGAACTTTATTGATTATCTAACTGATCATTATAAAGAATTGAACATTCGGGTGCATATTGTCACAGATCGATCACCTGAAGGACAGCAATTTCAACTTGGTTTCGGTGGATGTATCGCTATACTTCGATATCCAGTATCGACTGCTCTCTTTGATTCTCTTAATGAAAACAATGACGACGGCTATGATTACTAAACTTCTTAGTAGTTTAATGCACTTTTTCTTTTGTAAATGTCATGAAAGAATTTACTATCCTATAAATAAAGACAAGAACAAATATAACTAATGTGAAATGATTGAGGATAAAAATAAGAAAGGAAAATGCATGTTCTATTGAAAAAAAAATCAGTAGTAGAAGGAAAAAGTCCGATCGGTTTTTGTCATTTAACGAAGAAGAATCATAGTAATTATTAAAGTAGTAATTGAGGATAGAATTGTCATAAATCTTTGCTGTACGTTATATGTAACAGCAGTATTACAAAGTTCTTCATCACACGAGCAGACACTTGCCTATGAAAGGTAAAAGAAACAAATAGTAGCGTGATAAAACCGACCTTTCATACCGTATGTGTTCCAGCCGTTTTGTAACAAAGTTTCGTTCCAACTTTGGAACCACATGTTCGCACGATACTTGTCTCTTGATCAACTATAGAGAAGACATCAATTTTGGAAGGTAGCTATCAATGTTCACATACCTCTTTGAACGATTTTTCGACAGTATGGGTCTTCTCTCTGAGGACATTGCTTTACAAATTTACCTAAATTATCACTATCAGCACAGGTTGGGTCTTCGTTTGAATTGCAAACATAACATTTTAAACTAGAGACATATGGAACTAAATTTTGAACGGTAAATTTACTTATTATTAAAATTATTTTTTCTCATTCTGCACTTACTTAATAGAATTAAAATAACAAACGAGAGCATCCAGTAATGCATGATTTGTCTATACGACCGATTTTTCTGATTGATAAATTTTATGGTTACATAGAAGTAAAGGTAAATGAGAGATGGGTAGTGACAAAATGAAAATAAGAAAAAGGCACTGAGCCATGAAGAGGAAAGCGTAAAAAATATTTGGTATGATCGGATGTTCGGTTTTTTTCTATGTACACATGACGAATAACCGAGTACAAGAGTAGTACTTGTACTGCACGATCAAATGAAAAGAATATTTTGAAGTAAGATTTGATGATCGTGCAGAGTTTTTTGTAATCGATGAAGATTTCCATTAATCATTTGTTTACTGAATAACATGAAAGAAAAGGTTTCATAGATCAGTCGAATATATTTCACCATAAAGAAACTGATTTGTGCGATGTGTGGTTACTAACGACATCTATCAAAAAGATTAATTAACAAATAATTGCTTCGAATAAAGACATGCTTCTTTTATGAAAAATATATTATGAAAATCGAATTGATTCGTTCGAATTAGATTTTGATGAAATTTGAGAGGATAGCTTTTTTTCGCAATCCAACGTTTATCGATGAATCATAGTCTTCCTCTCTTACCATTCAGTTGATATCAAATTCTATATTTGTTTATATTTACATCTAGAAAATCAAAGAAATCATGGCCTGTTTTGGGCATAGTGATAATTTATAGAATGCTCAGCGATGGGTGCCATCATCAGTTGTTGTTGCTCTTGTTGTGATAAAACATCGAATAAATACAAGTAAAATCTAAATAAATAACATGACCGTTTCGCATGATTCCTTTCCCTTTCGTAGTGACACTTATCAATCGACACGTGCGCTTGATACACCTCCAACAGCTTTCGATAATAAAATTCATGTTTCCGAAATCTATGGCAAAAGTATGTATACCGAGACATTGACATTTCAAGTCAAACTGATTGATCGATGATTTCTTCAGATGCTGATGATGAACTTGCTCCATCGGATAATCCAACTACAGCGACAATTTTTCGATCTATCCTACGTAAGTTACTCATTTTCATCGAGAATTGATTTTCGACATGAGTAATTTTAAAAATAGATCCGCCTAAGGACACAACACAACCAGAAAGCCCGCCACCTCCTCCTTTGGTAAGATATACATGACATTAATCGTAGTATTTTGATAATCTCTTCTGCTTTTTTTAGACAAATCCTGACGAGATCGTCGTAAAATCGCCAAATGGAAAACCTCTACGAACTCTGGATCCAAATCCATCGACCAGTTCCAAACCTCATCGAGCACCTCTAGGTCCATCTTCATCAGTTTCCCCAAGTCGCTTACGAACTCAAACCGAACAAACTCGCTTCACGAATCCGAATAAACTACTTAAACATTCAAATTCCTGCTCAACGATTTATGTTGACGATTCAACAGTTTCGCAACCGAATTTAAGAGCTATGATCAAATGTGTTAGCATTGCTATTCATTCACATATTCTACATCGAAAATCGAATAAATCTATGAATATATTCGATGAAAAACTTCATCCACTAAGTGTATGTACTCGAATAAACGAAACATATTGTCGAATATTCGCCGATTTTCCTTTTCTAGAAAGAGCCTGTGCCAGATGATTATGATAAACAAACACCAGATCAGAAAAATATTTATCGTTTTATGCGCAATTTATTCACAGCTGCACAATTAACAGCTGAATGTGCTATTGTTACATTGGTAAGAATTTTCTTTTCGTTCGAATCAAACCTCACACTCTATTCTCTGCTATTTAGGTATATCTCGAACGTGTTCTTAGTTATGGAGAACTTGACTTATGTCCAGCAAATTGGAAACGTCTCGTACTTGGTTAGTACTGTGTCATTTAGCGATTTCACTCATATTGGTTTTTTCTATTTAGGTGCGATCATGTTAGCATCGAAAGTATGGGACGATCAAGCAGTGTGGAATGTTGATTTTTGCCAAATTTTGAAAGAAATCGCCGTTAATGAAATGTAAGGATCTGTGAAGTTAATGAGGAAAACCAAGTGTGAATATGTTATTTGTGCTCTAGGAATGAATTAGAACGTGAATATATTCAAGTTCTTCAATTCAATGTTGACGTTGCTTCGTCAATCTACGCCAAGTATTATTTTGATTTACGACAAATTGCCAAAGAAAATCAAATTTCGTTTCCTGATGAGTTACTGACAAAAGAGAAAGCAATTAAACTCGAAGTAAATCAACTTTCTTTCTTTTTCTCTCACCTGAATAACGTTCTCTATTCTAGGCTTTATCACTTGTTAATAATCGTCTCCAGCAACAATTAACTGATTCAGCAGTCAGTTCAAATCCCTCTCAGGTTTCCAATCATCTGCATTACAAATCTTCTCAACAGAAACCTTTAGCACCACTGCTCTCATTACGACGTTCAGCAAGTGTGGAATTCACCCAATCGGCACGCAAATCTCTTCTAATTCTGTCTTAACCATCTGCATCTATTTGCTCAATTGTCTATCTTTCTAATAATCCATCACATTCCTTTTTTTTAACGAATCTCCAATTTAGTTAACACATGTCTTTTTCTCCCATTACATTTCTTCGCTTATTTATTTCGATCATTGTAGTTGTGTCAGATCTTTAAGATCTCTTTCTTACTAATATATACATATACGTGTGTTTATGCGAGTGCGTTGTTTTTTTTTCATCTTCGTTTGTTGCAATAATTTTTTATTTACATTTACACGATGTGTATCGCTACGAAAACAGTTTTCATCATTTTCTTCTTCTATCTTTTCATCTGTACTACTACCAGATCATACGGATGATACGTATGTTTAGTTACTTATTCAACTCGTTACTGCTTGGTTTGTGGTTTCTTTTGGTGTATTCTATGATGAAGTTGTGCGTTTTTTCCTTTCTACGAATTCATTTTGTTTGATCATTACTCTTCTCTAGCTCTTCTCTTTTTCGTGTGCGTGAAAGATAACAATAACAAACAAACGAAAATAATATTCTTATTACATTTCAGATACACTAGTATCGAACATACATGGCACAATCTACCGAACGACAACTTCGATTTATAGGTAAGAACCTTTTTGCCCTTCATCCTCATTCCGTAGAATATCTCGTGTGAAAACTTGTCTGTTAAAAGTAATACGTTCTCATGTCGTTAGATTATTTGCAGAAATGAGACCTATTCTTGAAGGTTAGTTGTTAGATGAAACTTTATCTGTTTGACAACGAGAAGAATTTATCATGCGTTTTGACGAGCACAATACATATTTCTTACATCGAAGGTTTTCCCACTAGTCAGTTTGTAATTGAAAAAATAAGCATGAATGAATGTTGTTTCAAAATAAAAATCCCATCAACGGTTTCATTCCTGTCTAGCTACATCTAATGAAGATATGTAACTGGCGCGTTGAGAATTTTGACATACGGAGGATCAGATGCGCTGCCTTGCTTGGGTATAACATGTAAACATGGTTCATTACATGCATATAAATTATGATGTTGTGTTGAGTCGATCTTTCTCAATGAATGTGTCTTGGTTGTAGTTGGAACATTCGAACAGGATCCGTGATCGTAATGTGCACTTTGTCGCTTATCATAGTATGATGCTGATGATCCATTGTATTGGTACGTTGTTGTGCCACCACGCAATGCTTGATAAACTTCACGATCGGGATCTTTGCCTGTCGTTTGAATATAGTGCTTACGTGCTTCGCTTTCCGACTTCGGATGATAGACGTAGTTCTTCTTGTTGAAATAGGATTTTGCATGTTGCGTATTTTGATGACTACGTTCGTGTGCGGTTTCTTTCCACGTGCGAGTTTCATCAACGGGAGTTTGAGAACGAGCCAATGTTGCTTCACGATAACCCGGTAAATGAGAATCACGCCATGCATAATCATTCTGATTTGTCGATCGCCATGGCTCACGCGATGCTGATGCGCTACGTGGTCGAGAATTTGAACGCGGCCGATGATGAATATGATGTTCGACGACGGGTGATGTTCGGCCATTTTGTTGAATATTACTTTCGCGTAATTCACGTCGGATACGTTCGATTTTCTCATCGATTGTTTCTTGTTTTGATGAATCAGGTCGGTTCAATTCATCACGTTCATATTCATCTCGTCGGGAATGCCGTTGATGACGTCGATTATCGTCGGCATTCGATGAAGATGTATGCTGCTGTTTTGTCCACGGGCAACATAATTCACAATAGCCAGGACAGGTTGTTGTCGAGCACGGTTGAACATAGTGATGAACAACATGTTGAACGGGTTGTGCAACTAATTAACAAATAACACGAATATAACGAGTTATTCAGATAGAGATTCATTTACTTTGAAACGTTTGAATTGGCTGTGATTTCTCAATATCATCCTTCATAACAGATGTTTCGACTGGTTTAGGTACAAAGCCATATCTCGGATAGACATAAGTGGTATTCATGACTGGGACTGCGGGAACAATCGGAGAAGATTGCAACATGAAATAACGTGTTGTAGCGTGTAATGGCGGTTGCTCTGTTTCTTGAACAACAACCGGTGCGGCCGTTGTTGTTGTTGTCGTCGTCGTTGGCATATACAACATTTTGATCTGTAGTATACTAAACTGAAAACTTCTTTTCGAACGCGATTCTTCTATGTTAAAACAGCCACTAATACAACGTTTAGCAAATGTATGTGTGTATATGTTGTTAAAAAAAGTCGTTGATGTGTTTGTTCTGTTGCCAAGCCACCTCTATTCGTCACATACGCGTAAATACACAACCGTTCTGCGTTAGAAAGAGAAGAAAAAGAGGAGTAAAAGAAAAAAAATTCTCCGTTTTCTTCTTCTTCTTCTTCTCCTTTTTCCTGATAAGAAAATAAAGTGAAACAGAACTCGTTTAATGTTAAATAGAAACATAAAACACGCGAAAGGGAGAATTAGTCGAGAAAGGATTACTCCAATGAATTCTAAGGATGTAACTAATTCACCAAAACGTATCGAATAAAACAAGGTTCTTCTCAATTTCAACAGTGACTAACCAAAATAAGAGCGAATAACCTTTTTCCATATTCTTTCTTAGACATTGGTGCTAATCTAACTGGTATGAATAACAGTTCGATCGAATTCACTAGATTAAAGCTCATTCCTTGCAGATGGCATGTACCAAGGCATTTATGGTAACTCAAAGAAACATGAGTGTAAGAATATACCGAAACTGTCGGATGAGGTCAAACCCATCTGTGATCGTCTTTAGCTGATCTCGATCAAGTCATTATTCGAGCATTACAAGCTGGACTCGACAAAGTAGAATGATCCATTCGTGCCATTGATTTCTCATTCTTTTGATTTTTTCAGATCATCATCACTGCTGGAACGCATCAGGAAACAATTCAAGCTTTAGAATTATGTGCAAAACATGGTTAGTTCTATGTGAAACTTTTGTCGCTCAGTATGGATCGAATTTGTATAGACAACTTGTTTACAACATGTGGTTATCACCCTACTCGATGTAATGAGTTCAATGATTCGAATGAAAACGAAATTCTGAATCAAATGATGGCGTTGTTTCAGAAACATCCGAAGAAAATTGTTGCCATCGGTGAATTTGGTTTGGATTATGAACGAACGCAATTTTGTGATATTGACCAACAGAAACGGTATGTATTTCTCAATAAACCTTCTTTTAATCTTTTGTTTAATTAGTTATTTTGAATTTCAGCTTAAACATTTGATCACGTTGAACAAACCACTATTTCTTCACAATCGAGCAGCATCGAAAGATCTCTACGATATCCTCCATAAATATCGTGATCAAATTACAGCTGGCGGAGTAGTACGTTATATCATCGTAATGAAAATTGGTATATATTGATTTCGATTAGGTTCATTCATTCGATGGTACGCTTGAGGAGGCATTAAAATTTATTGAATTAGGTTATTTTATTGGTATAAATGGATGTTCCATGAAAACACAGACTAACTTGGATGTGATCAAACAATTACCATTAGAAAAGATTCTTGTCGAAACAGGTTTGCCGACAGTTTAGTACTTTAGTATATGAGATGAATTCTGTAGATGCACCATGGTGTGGTATAAAACAGTCACATGCTTCGTATTCACATGTTAAGACACAGTTCACATCGGACATGGTAAAAAAAGAAAAATGGATCGCAGGAAAAATGATCAAAGATCGAAACGAACCGTGTACGATTATGTAAGTTGCACTGTGGGAATTGCAATTTTTCATCAGTCTCTTTTTCCATTTATATAGTCAAATTTGTGAAGTTATTCATTCGATTCGTGGTAAACAAGAATCATTCGATGACTTATGTGAAACGATCTATTTAAATACACAACGATTGTTTTTTTCTGCTGAATGAACTTTGAGTCGCTCATGGGTCGTTTTATTTTCAGATAAATATCTAAAGAAAAAGATCAAATATGGCAGAACGTGGCGGAACTCGAGGTGGCTTCGGCACACGAGGCGGTAAGTGAGAAGGCGATCGGTTCAAAAACATATTTTCAACATTGGTTTTGGACTTTCAGGACGTACCGGTGAAGGTGGTCGTGGCCGTGCTGAAGGAGGTATGTTTCAGAGAAGAAGGTATTAGTTTTCTAGAACAAACTTTTGTTTCACGTTTATAGGTCGCGGCGAAGGTTTCCGTGGCGAAGGCGAAGGACGAGGCCGTGGTCGTGGTGAAGGTATAGAAATATGTTTGCTTTTGGAAAGAATTGCTATGCAAAATTGATCTTTTCAGGTCGTGGTCGCGGTCGTGGCCGTGGACGTGGTCAACGCCCAAAAGAAGAAACTAAAGGATGGGTCCCTGTTACCAAATTAGGTCGATTGGTCAACGATGGTAAAATTCGTTCGTTGGAAGAAATTTATCTATTCTCATTACCCATCAAAGTTTGTAGCACATACTTATTGCTTTTTGTTCGAAGAAAAGAGGATGCATCTTTAGGAAGCCGATATTATTGATCGTCTTTTACCTGGCCTTAAAGATGAAGTTCTTAAAATCATGCCCGTACAGAAACAAACCCGTGCCGGTCAACGTACTCGCTTCAAGGCTATTGTCGTAGTCGGTGACAGCAACGGCCATATTGGTCTTGGTGTTAAATGCTCAAAAGAAGTAGCAACAGCCATTCGTGGTGCTATCATTCTTGCCAAACTATCTGTTATTCCCGTAAGACGTGGCTATTGGGGTAATAAGATCGGTGCACCACACACGGTACCATGCAAAGTACGTTTCATTCCATATTGAAAAACGATCTTCTAATCTCGCTTATGATCATTTAGGTCACTGGTGAATGCGGTAGTGTACTTGTACGTCTTATTCCAGCTCCTCGTGGTACAAGTCTTGTCTGCGCTCCAGTACCAAAGAAACTCTTACAAATGGCTGGCATTCAAGATTGTTGGACAGCTGCTAAAGGATGTACCGCTACACTTGGCAATTTCGGTTCGTTGTTTTCTTTCTTTTCACTGTATCTAGCGCTCTGGTTTTTTAGCTAAAGCAACATACGCAGCTATGGCCATGACTTATTCATATTTAACACCTGATCTTTGGAAAGAAACAGTGTACACAAAAACACCATTTCAAGAATATAGTGATCATCTTGCTAATACAACTAAGAAACTTACAGTTGGTGTTGGTAACAAAAACTACTAATAGAAAAGAAGAACCATCAAATCAAACCAAGCTCGTTTGTTTTTTTCTTTTTGTTTTCGAATGAGCGTTGACTTACAAACAAAATGTAAGAACAGCATGTGTGCCTTCTTTCTTATTTGTGCACAAAACACCTACAAGTTGTATTTGATCCGATAATAAAATAAATTTAAAAAAGAACAGCAAACGAAAACATAAACCTATTTCTGTCATATCTTCAGTCAGCAATAAACCAGCATCATAAGTATCTATAGTTAACGTTAACCTACTTTTAAAAGAAAAGATTTTGTCGCATTCATAATATTCAAAATTGATTATTATACAATTCGTTGCCCAATCTTATTCCTCTCTTTAATATTCTATCTATGTGGAACAACATTTGATGCTCAACATGTTTTTAGTCAATATACAAATTTCTTTACTCATTTTACTTCATTACTAGTGTCATCATTTACATTGAATAATACAACTAATGCAGTAATTTCAGCGATGATGAAATTAGAATGTGATTGATTTCTTGAAAATTTAGTCCAATATCGAACTGGTATTGTTCTTCGTTGTAGATATTGAAAGTGATGATTGTGCTGCATCAGAATTGCCGATTACAGCTAATAAGATTTTAGCAAAAAAAGATTGAAACCAATAAAATATATCAGGGCGATATTAGGTGACGAAAATCCCAAATTACATGTCTTTTAATTCACTGGCCCCGTGGTGAATTATGATGTTAAAGTAAATATTGAATAAATATCAAAGCCAACGATGAGTTACAAGTATAAATAGGTATTTGGAAGAAAACGAAGTACAAAAAACAGTTTATAGGACGTAACCGAGTTAAGAAGAAAAGTCACAATGTAATGTTCGTGTGCACTCCCGATCATGTTCGTATATTCTACGGCATTCAAAATGATGATTACCTTCTCCCTTGATCTAGACACATTTATGAACTAAATTGTGCATCGTTGTAGTCTACATAGATGCTCATATGTATTCGCAAACGATATATATACAGTGACTAAGGAAGAAACTTGATAATTCTATGTGAGAGATATATAAAGAGACAAATGAGCCAGGCTAACAAATATTATCTCGGTAATGCCCCTTCATGGAAGATATATCCATGTGGGACGCAATGAAGAAATAAAGAAACAATAGAGTAGACACTTCTTCAGAACGAGCAGAGCAAAGAAAAAGATGCAGAGACATGAAACACTACTAATTGAATGGATCAAATTTATAACGAACTGAGAATGAATGGAGCTCTGCTCCCACCTTTCGTGCCTGGCATAGAAAACATGGTACAACAAGATAAGGAACATACGCGAGACATCACAGACGCTGACCTTGGAGCATGCGCACCCACCACTTGTATCTCGTACAATTTTTCCCTATCCCTCCCCGCATATGCAAGCATCTTCGAGTTTGACAATAAATGGTAAAACAAAAAAAAATAGTGGAGCTATTCATAATGAAGCTCAATCAAAGCCACTGTTAAAAAGTTATTCATATATGAACTTAATCAGTTCCATGCGTTTATGTTCTAGCCATATTGTCTTTTGTTCGCTTACACACATTTTGTTTTTTGGATAGTTTCCTATCGATCGTACATGTTCGATCGCCATGTTTCGCAGATTCTTCTCTTACTTTCTCCATAGACTTTTGCTTATTCCATTCTTCTACTGCAACCACTTCACGATATTTCATAAACAGATGATCCATCTCTAACATACAACTTGTCACTTTTTGAAATCCACGAAAATGTTTGTTATTAATACAATCCTATTCACACATAGCGAGCAAAAATTAACTAATTGGATCTGCGTACGAAATCACATAATAGTAGGCATCTGTAATTGATGCAATCAGCATAACCATGCAACTTTTTGAAATATCATAATTAGTCACATAGTCAGGACCTGGCATGTCCGGGTGCCGCCATACCACCGAGATTCTTGGAGGCCTCCCTGTAGGGCTGTGAGCTTGTTTTGCTCACCGCTAGACTACAGGTACCACGAAATGGACGACGAATGAATCCGCGAGTAACGTACGAATTTCTTCCCTTTTATTGAACGCATCATTTTACATTACAATAAACAGCTTTATAATGATCATATATTCATGTTTTGAAAATGAAAAACGCTTGTTTTTAAAGTATCAGTATAGCATATACGAAAGAACTCAATGATATTGATTAATTTCTCAGAATAAGAATTTAACTAGGTTGCTAAGCTTCTATTTTAATTCTTTGTTTATTTGATACTTTATTTATACATTGATGAAGCGCCGAACTCACGAATCAGCTACACCACACAATCCAGAGATATCTACCCCGTATCGTGTTTTAATATATAGTACAAAAGAATATGATAAATTATCCTTCGACACAAAAGTGAAGGATTTGAAACAACCTGAAAAATATGAAATTCACTATACTCACGAACGTCTGTCAAAAGATTCCGCTAAAAAGGCGAATGGGTACGAATGTATATGCATATTTGTAAATGATGATGGTTCACGTGAGGTTCTCGAAAAATTGAAACAGATTGGCGTTAAACTTATTGTGTTACGCTGCGCTGGTTATAATAATATTGATTTGAAAGCAGCCGAAGAATTTGCTATTGAAATTGGATACGTGCCTAGTTATTCTCCCAATGCAATTGCTGAGCATGCGGTTGCATTGGTTATGGCTCTGAATCGTCGATTACATCGTGCGTATGATCGAGTTCGAAATGGAGATTTTCGACTTGATGGTCTAGTTGGATTTGATATGAATGGCAAGACTGTCGGTGTACTCGGTAAAGACAGCTCTCGTTACAAATGAATAAACGGGATAAGAAAATGTAATTCAATGCTGTAGGTACAGGTCGTATTGGTCAATTCGCCATTCGAATATTCCGTGGTTTTGGTTGTCGAGTATTGGCCTACGATTTATACAAAATACAAGATGATGATCGACATGCCTTGGGTTTTGAATATGCAGAATTAGATGATATTTATGCTCAAGCTGATATCCTTTCAATTCATTTACCGTTAGATCACAAAACAAAACATATGATCAATGCACGAACGATAGACAAAATGAAGAAAGGTATTATTCTTGTCAATACAGCTCGTGGTGGTTTGATTGATTCCAAAGCACTTCTTGACGCTTTGAAATCTGGACAAGTCGCTGGTGCTGGTCTCGATGTCTATGAACATGAACATAAATACTTTTTCAATGACTTTTCTTCAACAATTATTGGAGATGATATACTTTCACAACTATTATCCTATCCAAACGTTATTCTCACTGCTCATCAAGCTTTTCTCACACAAGAAGCATTGTGTTCCATAGCGAAAACAACATTAGAAAATATCTATTCGTTTATGACTAGCGGAAAGGTACTGAACGTACCAAAAACATAAGAAAATCGAGTTCGATCTCATTCTTTGTTATTTATTTGTGAATTGATTATCGCAACAATGAAATATTCTGAAATAACTAATAAATCCGAACAAATATCATCCAAATAATTACGTATTTCTTTGCCAGCTTTTTTCCATTTCCAAACACCAATAGGAATCGAAACAAGAAGACCTAAACCTAAAAGTCCGGCGCCAACCCCATAACTCAACGATCCAACAGCAACAGTAGCAGCTGCCACTTTTTGTCCTACAACTCCACAAACTACTGCACCGGACGGTGCAGCTGAAGCTAATGTTGTGCGTATTGATGTGCTTCGTTCTGCTTCTTGTCCAAACTGTATTGTTGTTCGATGATCAGCTTGATCCGATATCGCACTATTGACCAATGATATTGATTTTGGTGCTTTCAAATAATCAAATTGATCAGATTTCAGTTGATTCGAAGAAATACCTAACTGATATTTGAGAAGTAAACTTTCCAAAGTGTCAACTTTTTTCAAAACGCGGCTAACTAACGATGATCGATCTTGCACTCCCATCGCTGTACGAATACCAAAACGTGTATGAACAAGTGCGATTTGATCACCCCAAGGAAATAATGCTGCACCAATACCTGCACGAAGTTGATGGCTGATAAATGAGATAAAACATCGTTGGCGAAAACAAGTTCCAATGATACGACTACATGTCATTGCAGCCATTCGTTTGATACGTTCTTCTATGTCAATTTTTTCAGCAAAGCTAATTAGTTGTTCGCTTAGAATATCTAAATCAAATGAGTAGTTGCTCTTCTGAGACTGCTTATCGTTGTTTTCTTTGCCATTCGAACAGATAGAGTTGACCAGGAAGATTCGAGAAGGCAATGTTTGACATATTTCATTAGTTTCCTCTCGAATCATTTCAATTAATTGTTCAGTAAGTTCATTTTCTTCGTTTTCATCAAAGCTCATATCTGGATAATCAAGTTTTCGTCGCGTGAGCTGTTCTTGAAAATGTTCTTCAAACACTTTGTCAATTTTTGACCGAACAAACCAACATGGCCGATTTAAACGTTCATTGATTTGTTTTTCTAAGTTACGTTCGAAACTGTTTTGTTGACCAGTAAATAAAATCAGATATAAATCACAATCAGCTTTCTGTATCTGCTGGAAATATGACGCGGCTTGCACTTGTGTATTACAATCAGAATAGCCTTCGATATCCACATAACGAATGGTAACCACATGGTTGGTCGTAGGACATCGATGTTGTTCATTAAACTCTAGAGAACCTGTAGTCGATTGACCGATAGCTGTAGGCGATAGTGTTTGATTTAAACATGAGAAAGCTAAATTTCGACTTCGCAGTTGATTGACTAGAGAACTTTTCCCTACGCTGATGTTGCCAATAAATCCAACTCGAAATGGAATCAGATTTCTTAACTTTTCAGGTGGATTATATAGATTGATCAGATCCTGTTCGAGTGCCACAAATAAATCGTAGATCTTAGGATCAATCTCTGGTTTCTGTTCCCATTGATGAGCCAGCTTGGCCAATTGTGGGAAGATAATTTTCATATTAGCACGTTCGGTTTCCGAACGTAGTAGTTCAGAAAGAAGTATCAAACGTGAACATTCGAATGTTACCATTTGTTCGCTTGACGATGCAGTTAAATGTTGATCTATTGTATTTGTCGTTAGTTCATCTCGATATTGACGCATGATAACTGTAATTTCATTGTAAATATCACGAAATCGGTTAAATTTCTCCTGAAAATCTTTCAGAGATGTCGTCATCATTATTCCATTTTGATGCTGTTCGGAGAAAAATGTACGAAATGGATGATTTGCCGAATTAAGATACAAGTGAGAGATATACTGTAGTTTGTCATCGAGAATATTTTGTCGATAAGTTATGTCTTGCAAGATATCATTTACAAATACCAAAGATTCTTTCACAACAAAGGTTTTTAATCGATCTGCCTGATATAGAGTGATCAGATTAGGTTTATTGATGATGGTTTCTTCGTCTTCTGTCATGACTTGTTCGATTGCTTCATGATCTAAAGCTGAAAGTTTTTCACATAGAAGAATAAATGACGCTGCCTCTTGTTTGGAAAGCTTTTTGCAAAAACCATCCCGCAAGTACGTACGATACCTATTTGTCAGTCCTCGAAGAGTTACCGATTCGCCTTTTAAATTTCTCTCACATAACCTTAATTGTTTGACGAATGAAGTCAATTTCTCATTCAATTGCTCAGCCTCCATCAAATAAGTCTTAGCATTGGATGATAGTTCATTGTCTTCAAGATTTTTCATACTTTGTTCCAAAGTATTCTGTAATGCTTGAATGTGAGTTCGCCGTGATTCAATTCGACGGATGGCATCCGATAAATTTGGTCCATTGAAAATTGTTTCTAAACGTTCGGTGCTCTGCGCACCATATCTCATTGTATAGGGTTTCCAAAGGAAAATATTCTCAAGTAGAATATTTCGTTGTGGCCGATCGTTCGTTTTCATACAAAACATACAAGTGAATTTCTTATTCTTATGCAATTCACAAATAATATCTACACATGCAGTACAATATTGTATATTACAAGATTTTTCACTGCACTCAAGTGGAAGACGACTGGGGATGATATCGAACGGGCCAAAACAAATGCAACAGCATGTCCAAATCTGTTATAAACACAGGAAGATGAAAACTGATCTTCATTAGTTGAGCTTACTCGTTTAAGATAAACATCAAAAACAGTTTTTCTGTCAGTCGGTAGAATATCTAAGCTATCGAGTATTCGATCGCATTTATCCTCTTCGTTGTAATAAGCAATCAATGCACATTCATCGTTCAAGTTCAATGCTTGAAATTGCTCGAATACGTCTCGTCTTAAATCAACGATGTTCAGATATTCTTTGGTCCATTCTCGTTCGTGAGCTAAGCAATGTGCGCGGATTGAAAAGTAAACCATAGTTGAAAAAAGTCTAATGCAATGTATCTTCTTTATCAGCGCACGACAAAATATATACGAACAACGATAAGATAAAAGCAACGTTAATGATATGTTGGGAAAATTCTTCTTTCATAGAAATTTCAGTCTTTTATTGTACGCCACAATGCACGAACGAAATCTTGTATGATTGTAAAAGCAAATACACCGATACATATCATAATTATTTGTATATTTCTATCTCCCTCGACATAAATTCGAGTAAAACTCTTTGCTGAACCATTGAGAATTCCAAGATAAAGACGTTCGTCTTCGAGATGATTTTTTTCATTAATTGACATTGATGTGACATAGACTAAATCTACTGGCGCTTTTTATTGCTAGTGTACAAAAAGATTATTAGAAAAAAAAACAAAAAGAAAATCTGACAAAACTCAATTCGGAATGTGATAAGATACACAATTATCTAAAAATTCGGATAAATATACATGTTCAGATCTGACACTGAGAATTCGTATTATGACACACAGTTTAAGCATAGAATGTGGCTGGATCAAGTTGCTGACGAAGATTATCCGGTGGTGATCGACATCCGATCAGATATCCAACAAGACCTATGCCAGCTACCAAGAGGAAGACAACTAAACGTGGGAATCGTGATGATGTTGAATTGATAGAAAGCTTTATGTGAGACTTACATGAAAAGATAAGAAGAATACAACCCCAAAACGGAAAGAATCCATTGAGAGTAGAGTCTGGATCAAAGCGACTGTACCCATCTCTAACACTCGTCATGAAATCACCTCGATCTATAAAAATCCATCAAGAATATACATAATGAATGACAAATTTTTTTTTACTTACAAGCATATGTTTCAAAAACAAGAAAGGAAATCAAAGTTAATACAGAGATGGACATACTCATCGTTAAACAAAAATCTAAAACAAAACAAATCCACTCTAGATAACGTCTTTTAATATTTCTCGTAAACTAAGATTGTCTTCCATCCAATCTGATTGAATCAAAGACGGATACCGTTCTTTGAGTTCCATTAGAATATTCTCTCAAGGATAATTCGTGTCATTCATCTCATATTTATCTACTAAATCTTTATTGTTCATCTCATCGTAATTAGGAAGATCAGGAAGAAGGTCTAACTGCGCTTTCGAATCGGCTACAAGCACGACTATTGCTTTATTTAACCATGCCCAGTATCCAGGTATGTCGTTCATCATCAATGCAATTGCAACTGTATGAAATTCTTTGCAATTCGGATGATTCTCTCGTTCGAGTTCCGTGGCGATTTGATAAACATCCTTTTTCCAATTGTCCCAACTACCACTCGATCTTGCTGATTGATAAGTTCGGCATAGATCGGAAATCGACATATTTAATCTAAAAGAGAAGAAAAGAAATGTTATCTCGATTCAATTAAAAATATCGCATCTTATCTTTGTTTAAAATGTCATATGACAGCAAAATTCTTGACGAAATGATTCTAACGTGAACTTTGCCTTCTAGGTTCTTTGGATAAAAGAAACAAGAGTCAAGTTTTCTAATATGTTTATTGATCTAAATATTTTCACATGTTTTGTGTTCTTCTTATTCAGAAAATGGTCTCTCTGTTGGTGGTTTTTCTCACTCGTACGACAAGAATACAGGTAAATAAACTTTTCATATAACAACGAACAACAAAGGCGCAAAAGAAGAAGAAGAAAGAAGATTTCCACAAGAGAAAGAAAAACAGCGGACACTTAAAGTGATCATTAGATAAATAGAGCTTGTTTTACATGTACTAGAACACCTTGAAATAAGAATGAAATAAATAGAAAGTAAGACATCGTGTATGTATGTATATAACCATTCCATAGTTAAATTTTGCTTTTCAAAAGAATGTTGATGAGAACACGGAGAGACATGATAGTTTTCTTGTTGGAATACATGTATTTGCAAAAGACAGAGAGAGAAAGAGAAAAAGAAACGAAAGAATAAAAAGAAATGTATTGAAGAGAAAACTTGTCATCAATGTTCATTTCGCGTTTTTAAGTTGATTTGAAAGCCAATCAAGACCTTCGTAAAGACCATCACCACTGGTGGCACATGTTGCTTGAATGTACCAATTACGGTTTCGTAATGAATGAAGACCTAATCTATCGGTTATCTCCGCGGCATTCATTGCATTGGGTAAATCCTATAGATAGAAGAAATCAAATGAATGAAACATGAGAATGGATAGACAACTAACCTGTTTGTTAGCGAATATCAAAAGAACAGCTTCCCGTAGTTCATCCTCAGCTAACATACGTTGGAGTTCATCACGAGCTTCGCCAACACGTTCTCGATCATTACTATCGACAACAAAAATTAAGCCTACACAAAAAAAAATAGTCCAATCAAATAAGAACTTTCAAAATTACTCGATTCATTTTCATACCTTGAGTATTTTGAAAATAATGTCTCCACAATGGTCGAATTTTATCCTAGAACAAATTGCGTAGATCTCATTGGCAGTTTTCTTATCTGATCACATACTTGACCGCCGACATCCCATACTGTAAAACTGATATTTTTATATTCAACAGTTTCGACATTGAAGCCTGCAAGAGAATGAAAATATCAAGCTTCAAAAAGCGAGAAACTCTCGCATACCAATGGTTGGGATTGTTGTGACAATTTCGCCTAGTTTCAATTTGTACAAGATTGTTGTTTTACCTATCCAGCAAAAAAAAGCATGTCGATCGATTATAATCAGAAAAACAAATGTCTTTTTGCATACCAGCTGCGTCCAGGCCAACCATCAAAATACGCATTTCTTTTTTGCCGAATAGATTTTTAAAGAGGTTTGCAAAGACATTTCCCATGGTAGATGATTCGTTTAGTTGAAGTAAAATGCGAAAAGAAAACTAAATTTGTTCAAATCTAAAGAATTCAAAAGATAAAAACGAGTCTTTTTAAATATATTCGTCATGATTAACGCGAACTCGTGGCACACCTGGCCACGTAGACGTTTTCTTGAGCAATAACCACGAGAGAGAGAGAAAATGGAGAAAAGGATAAGAACAAACATTCAAACAGAAAAAAAAATAGACGCCATTAGTTAAGTCTCGTGTCTCACTTGTTTCGTAAGTTCAACGACAGAATGATCACGAAAATGAAAAAAATATTTTTTTCCAAAATAAAACCAAATATAATGCTGTTTCAAAGGTTCTTTTGTTAATTGAAATATGTTATTTGTTGCGCGCCATCTATCGAACGTGTTGACAATGCTTAAAACTAAGAATTAATATTTTCGATACAATAAGGAAGGATTTTTATTTGAAAATTATTGCAAAAGATACTTTTTTAGATTTTAAGATGTTCAACACGATCGAGTTCTTGATGAATAAACAATGGTGATGATTTGTTCTGTAGCGCTGTCCTCGCCCTTTTTCTTTCCCATCGCACCATTGTCTCTCTTTTTTCTCTCTGCTGCCCCCTGCTGTCGCTCATTCTTTTCTTTGCGTTCTGATCCATCCATTCCTTCAACAGCCGAACGAGACAAGAGGAAAAAAGAAAAAAAAAACTTTCCAATTTTTTTCTGTCCGTTTGGTTTAAAGAAATATTTTTCCGGAGAATTGAAATCTTCATCTTTGTTAACATCAGGTATATTCCTTATTTCGTTTAATCGATTGAATTGAATAATTTTTTTTCTTCTACATATATACGCATATATTTTTACGTAACCTGTCAAATTGTGATTGTATCACTGTCTACTTGTATCGTTCTAGTTACGGCCAAGATCTTAAACAAAAATGAGCGGCTTTGATTGTTCGCTGCTTGAAGAGCAGCACTTTCAAACGTCGGACTCACTCAAAGATGGCGCTATTTCTTGTTCCGATTGGTCTCGTTTTGCAATTGCATCCTCGACCGGCTTTACATTATTAACATTTAGTGGTCACTCTTCACGTAAAGTTCAATTATTTACCGTTTCATGGTTTCAACTTGATCAACATCTTGAACAAGATGATCTACGTTACTTCACTTATACGCCACTTGCACTTTTTTGTCCAGATTCTTTACGACCCGATGGAGCACGTTTATTAGCTGTCGCTTCGTCGACAGGTCAACTTGTCATATGCGATGCAAATCAAGAGTCACCTGTTGTTCTATTTAATGTATCGAAACGTTGGCGATCTCAGCTAGACGAACGAAACAGTGGGAATCCAACAAGTTCACGAAAACCATCAACAACAAATGGAACAACGGCAGCCAGCGGAGGCTTGTCACGTGACGAAGAAGCGTTACTTGGTATGAATAAAAGAAAGAAAAAGAATCAATGTCCTTTCTCTTCTCTTTGCTCCTTGCAAAAGAGATAAATTTGGTTCTTCTTTCTTCTTCTTCTTCTCTGCGGAGATGAAGAAAAAAGAATTTCGAAATAATCATCAGCTGTTCTTATTTTTTTCTCCGTCTCTTTTTATAATCCAGTGAAGAGAAAGGAAAGAAACGCATGATGAGCTATGTTTTGTTGTTGTATTGATCATTGAGAACGGAGCCTGAGGAAGAAACAATTCGCCGTAGTTCATACGTTTCTTTTGTTTTTCTTCTAGTTCCAACGTGTCTTGGTTGGTCTAATGTCCTTCGTCGTGATTCACCATCACGTTTCGTCCTATTGTTTTGCGGTCTCGAATCTGGTCATGTTGCTATTTGGCAATTATCTGAACAACAGCAAACCAACAATCTTACCTTGACCTACGCGGCTCTGCTAGAACCTAATGCTACGGAACCATCTTTTTCAACTGCGAATGGTACAAAGAAACCCGGCCATTCACCCACAATGTCCAATGGATTGCATAATTCGAAAACTGACGCACCGTATCGATCTCCACATAATTCGATATCAGCAATGGCATGGCTTTCCCTATCAGATACGGCCGGTATTCTTGCACTTGGTTCTTCGCACGGACATGTTTCGTTAATATCTATCTCATTAACTGGAAATGAATTAGCACCATTACTTGCCTACACAAAACAAGAATCACCACATCTTGTTTCTAATGGTGCACGCATTCACCATATCGCGTTGTATCAACAGCATAATGAACATCGATTATTCTTTGCTCAGATGGATTCGATTGTCATTGCGACACTAAATATAACGTCGACAGGTTACAATACATCCTGTTCACAATTTACAATTAAAACAGTTAATGAATACGCTTTGAATTCCAGTGTCTTAACTCATTTTTTATCTGATACACAAGATTTGTATTTAATATGTAGAGATGGTTTTATACATAAACAAGTTACACAACAATTCAATGATTCACATCATCACCATCATCAACAGCATGCAACGAGATTTGAACAATTTTGTCAATTATTACCAGCAGGTAAGAAATGCAACATCAGGAATAGAATTATCTTGTACTGTCCGTCTTTACTGCTATATTTAGGTAGTGATTGTCAAGCTGCGGGTATAACTCCGACTCATTGTACGGTTCTGACCATGAAACGTAGTGAAGCTATCTTGACATTATCCGTCTACTCTTTAAAAGATGTTTCGTCAACAATCACATTCTTTCTCTCCAATCCATTACCATCGTTTCGTTTAAATGATGTTCTAGCTGCATTACGTGTTCTACTCTACTCAGATAAATCGAATGCACTGACAGATTTAATCATGTCCGTTGCTGATTGTGCAGATCAAGCCAGCGTCAGTCTATTGAAAAAAGTTCATTCATTATGTCGTCTGCTATTATCTTATCATAATAGCGGTCTAGGTGGTGGTTTGAGACAAGCCCCTTACATGCTATTTCTAGCAGACGTCTTTGCTCAAATGATTTCAATTGATTTAATTAAGAAATTATATGATTATGTTCAAACACGACAACAAACTGAACCTCAATTACAAATAACACCGATCGAAAAATCGATTCTCTATTGGTGCGAACAATTGTTACAATTTTCGACTCAACAGTTACAAGCATCAGCAAATGCAACCAATCCAAATGGAAATACGAATGCTAGCTTAACAGGAAATAATCTAACTGCACAATTTGGTTCATTATTAGCAATGGCAAATCCCAATATGACATCAACGCCGATAACAATATCCAATGGGCCAACGCCACCAGCACAAATTAATAGTCAATATTTAGCGACATGTGATCAAAAATATCTTCACTGTCCTTTATGTGGACAAACGTTACACATTCGAACGTTTTTTGACGTTACCTGCCCGAGCGGTCATGATTTTCAGCGTTGTAATAAAACGTTTCTTCCTATCTTTGCTCAAGATCGTGCGAAACGTTGTTCACTATGTAATTTCTACATTAGTGACACCACCATCGATGAATCAACACAACTAACAACATTAATTAAAATACTTGGAGGATTTACGTGCACATTTTGCGGTTGATTATTTTCCTTTTTTGTCTTTTGTACCTGTGTGTGTGTGTGTATGTCTTTGTACAGTTGTTTTCTCTCTCTCTCTCTGATATATGTTGTATATATACATATTTCTACTCTACTCGTTGTTTTGTACTACTGCTACTATTGTTCGAACTAGAAACTTATGGCTCCAATCGATCTCCTTTCTTCTGCATATTTATTCTTTTTGTGTTCAACATCGATCATTCATAGTGATTCGTTTTTGTGAATGCAATTTTTCTTTGCATCGATAAAGAAAAGGCAAGATAATGAAGAATCTAACTGTACGTACGTATGTGTGTGTGTGCGCACGATGCAATAGTGTCTGTTATCTGTATTATATTTCATCCATACGTATAAAAGAAAACAGAAAACAAGAGTTTGAGTGAGAAAAAAAAGAGTTGTTTGTTTTTTCTGTTTCTTATTATTATACATGAAAATATCAGAGACAAAAAGAAAAAGAATTTTCCAATGTCTAAACAAACCACATGAAGATGAACTTCTTTGTTTTCTTTTTTCGAAAATGCGACTATTCGTTTTATTATTATTTTAGATTAAGAGATATTCATTAGAAAACGAATGGGTAATCAACAGCAAACAGGTCGTACACGTAGTGATACGTATACACGCTATGAACGCGATGGAGAAGATGGTCGTTATGTGACACTTGATCACAGCGATTCAGGAACAAACAGTCATTTAGCATCAGTCGATGAGCGAGTAAAAGTTTCCTCAAAAGAAGACATAAATCAACTATAGCTCGTTTTCGTTTCGTTTACATAGGTCTCACCAAGACATGATAGTAGCTTACCAATACGTATTCGTAATCAACGTCAGATGCAACAGCATCACACACAACAAGCAGTCCAAGCAGAAATGCAAAACGAAAAGAAAACGATTCCAGTTGTATTTAAATATCCTGCTTCACCTAAAGACAAAGAAGCTTTACTAGTTGGTTCATTCACCAATTGGAAAGAAACCATTGTCATGGTTAAAAGGTATGATGTTCTTTCCTTATGTAGCCTTAAATTTAATATTGATTTGATTTATACAGCGATAATGATTTTGTTGCCATTCTGGAACTGCCAGAAGGTAAACATGAATATAAATTTTATATTGATGGTCGATGGGAATACGATTTAAATGAGGTAGCTATATAAGTACTACGACGTTAATCTTTTATCTTTCCTCTCGGTTATTTTAGCCATCTATTGATGACGGTCATAATGGCCGTAATAACGTTGTCACTGTTAAAAAGAGTGATTTCGAAGTTATGGAGGCACTTACATCAGACTCAATTCTAACTAGTAATCAAAATGCAAGTGTGAATAAACAACAATGTGAGTATTAGAGAGATGTTCTCGAATAAAAACGAACGACTTTTTATTCTTAGCCGAAGATCCGGATATGGCTCGTTCACCTCCAGGTGCCTATGATCAAACTGGGCCACCGCTAAATCGTGACGACTTTTCACCATCCGATAAACCACCATTTTTGCCACCACATCTACTAAACATTATTCTCAATAAAGATACGGCTGCACATGTAAATCTTGATACCTTTGCTCCATGTGTTGCCAATACAATTTTCTTCGCCTTTTCAGTATGAACCGGCATTGTTACCGGAGCCCAACCATGTCATGTTGAAACATCTCTATGCATTATCCATTCGTGTATGTACTGAGAGTCATCTTGAAAACAACTTACACTCTCTGACCGTGTATTTTAGGATGGTGTAATGGTATTGAGTACAACAACACGTTACAAACAAAAATTTGTGACAACATGTTTCTATAAACCAACAGGAAAATAAGACACATAGTCTCAACTGTTGATCTCTGTATATAAAATTATCTTTTGTCTTGGTAGATTCTAACATTTTCCTCAACGATCGTTCTTTCACCGGTCTATATGCGTGTGTCATTTGGGTGTTTTTTTTTGTGATAATGCAATTTTTCTGGACTCTACATCTCAAATACATGCTGTTGTCCTCTTCTCTTTTTAGTACAAAAAACGTATTCTTAAATATATGTAGTCAAGTGCGGCAAGTGTTTTCTACAAATAGATTGATATTTGCAATCACTCAGTAAAAGTTCACTGATTACTTAGAAAAGAGTTGCTCTGGCAGACAGTGGATTTCTCCACAATCTGCATTATTTCGTCATCGCAACGTGGTTGTAAAGTCTCATGTTTATACCTCTTGGTAAATTGTAATAAGCAACTAGTTTCTGGATTTATGGTGCAGAGGAACGCTTTTGTCTTTACACGTTTCATTAAAAGAAAGGAAAAGAATTTCTCAACTTTATAGCTATGCGTTTTTTGTCTGTCTTGTTACACTCGATCGTAGTGAAATGATAGAATTACATATCAGAAAAGGAGATATTCATCTTCGTATACTTATTCTTCTTTATTATGTTTTTGTTCAAAAGATTCCCGTTCCCGAAGGAACGGGAGTGGACCGAACTCGACGGCACTGCAGTGTCGAGACGATCCGTGGCGCAGGTCCGAGTGAACTCGGGTGATCCTGGCCCATGTCCAAAAATCCGCTTGAAAGAGCCTGGCCCCAATGGGACCAGCGCCGGCTTTCAAACCGACGAGAACAGATACTACACTTTGATCTTAGCCGAAAAGGCCGAGAAGCGATAACTTTTACTTAAATTATGAAGTCTCGACATCGGTTTTGTCTTTACACATGCTGCATTTTGCAGAGGCCTGTCTGACAGAAAAACGAAAAGAAAAAGAGAAAAACATGAAGAACGAAAGAATAAAACAGAATTAGAATCACATAGCTATAGAAGAAGAGAAGAACGAAGATTCTAGATGGTTCGATTCAATACAAAGAATGAACATTTGATGATTTGTTTTGGTTACTCTTCGAGTAGAAACATGACAGATTATGAAAGTCAACGTTTAGAAAAACTAATACTATTTAGAACATCAAATGCAATAGAAAATCGTGTATGCAATCATGAATTTACCTGCCAAGCTAATCGAAAGAATAAAAGCGATGAAAAAATCATCCGATCTCCCCAAATGAGAAAAGCAAAACAGTAATCTACAAAAAAATATCAAGTTGATTCTTCTATTTCATCTTGTACGAAATGCGTATGACATTTATAGCAATTGGACACTTGAATAGCACTGACCATTCCCCAAATCAGGTATAACATTGCCATGACGATATCTTGAATAAAAAATGATGCAGCATGCTTGTGCACTTGAAAATTATTCATATAAGTCAGTAGGCTCGTATGAACTTGAAGAACAATGGTCATACAGCAAAGAATGTATAAACTTGTCGTTGAACAAGAATTCAGAGCAAATGAAAACTCAAGTAGTCGATAGATTCGTGTATCATCTGAATGAATCTCTTCTTTGCATATAGGGTAAAAGAAAAATTAGAAGAAAAGCTGTTCAACCAAGGGGAGCGCGCTGTCTGAAATATTTTTCTCGACAATTGATCTAGATGTTTCTTATTTCATTAGGAGTAATACGCGCCGGTAAGATCATCATCATTATTATTGATATGTTAATAGCATGTCATTGTTATTGTGTTGTTCGTTTGGATTACGCCGGGAGACGAAGAAACACGAAATGAAATATCGTCATAGACGATATCTATTCACAATTGTTCGTGAAAGTCAGATATTGTCAAGGTTTCGTAATTACTTGACTTTGTTATCGATTATCCAGTTCGTAATTTTCGTTGATATATCTTATTTATTCTACATGACATTTTCCGACTGCTAAAATCCAAAAGAAACCAGATGTGTCTATATAAAATGAATGGATTCTATCAAAGAAAATTTTTCGTCCTTCAGAACATGTTTTTCAATCTGTAAAAACTATTTCTCTACGTTCTATTTCACTTTGAAAGTACCTTAACTGTACAAATAGTGAATTGATCATGCAGAAGAATCAACTGATTGTATACTCTTGCCAAGGTTACTTCTGACAAGACTACTAAAAATCGAAGACAGCTGGTCGATAATCAATGACTTCGTATGTTGCCTGTTGTCTTCGAGCATATCGAGGTTTCTTCGTCTTTTTTCATATTATCGTCTTCTAATAATCAAACAAATTAAATCTACTAAAAATAAAGACAATATGACAAAGAATGATCTCTTCGAAGTGATCCGTGTCTTGATTGAATTAGCATACATTATAGATTGTTTGTTATATGTCTCAATGTATTTTGTGTCTGTATGTATTTCCTTCTAAATATACATATCCATATATCTATTCTCTTTTTTTTCTTCTATACATTTCTAACTATTTACCAGAACTAGGACTGAGTATCGACGAGCGAATTTCTCTATTCTTCTATTTCTTCTTCTTCTTCCATTCGTCTTGAATTACATCACTGAGTTTTGGATCCATACAATGATAAATAGAAGAGTGTACGCCTGACAAACGATACAAAAAGAAAAGAAGAAGAAGAAGCAGAAGACTGGTAAAGAATAAAACCAACTGTGTTGACGGACGACTGGCTATCCTTAATTTCCTATGCTGTTAATTGGTTTTATTCTCTCATCATCATCAAAATCTCTGACAAATAAGGAAAACTTTAGGAAAAGAGATACGGTAGAAGTAAAAGAGAATGACATCAGATATTAGCAACTAACCGTCAAGAACACAAACAAATCAATAGACATTCGTCGATGTATTTTGGATATAGATTGTCGATTTGAAATCTATCAATACCAATGAAGACTTATCTGAAACGGTCTTACGAAAAATCATTATCAAACGTTTACTATTCATCCTCGGATGCTTCTAATAACTTTCCATCTCGTGTTAGTATTCGAACACGTATCATCCAACCTTCCACCAAAGAACAACAGCGTCTTCTATTGGCAGCATCATCGAGTACACCACGCTTACAACATGTACATTCTGGTAAATACGGAATTAAACCGATATGGCCATCCGATGATTTAACATGTGAACTATGGCGACAGGGCAAGAGGTCCAGTAAGGTAATTTATGGTCTCTCTTGAAATATTCACAGTGTATAGAAGTTCTCTCGCTAATGCTAGCAGACACGTGCATAATGTGAGAAAAAGGAATGAAATGAAAAACAAAGAATTCAATAAAACATTGATAATTGGATAGAAGTGAGTAGTTTATTTGACTTCTATATGCTTCTAACTATAGTCATCAATTAATTTCTAATTTGTTCCATCGCTATCATTTTTTCTCCCTTCCGACATTTTCCATTAGTTACAGACACTGTGATTTATATGAATTCATAGTTTCACGGGTTAGACCAAGATCGTCCGAGACCAATCTATCGTGTTAAGAATTCGTGTGATTGATTAGGCAACGAATAGAACAATGATACATATTTCAATGTCGACATTGTGGAAAAAGAGAAAACGTCTTATGAAGAATGTAGACGAGGAAAACAACAAAATCTCATTTATATCTTTTCAATTATCTCTTCTTTTTCATAAATAACAAGAAGAGATGAACCACTTTGATATATCGTTTTTTTTTACATTAATTTTCTTGATCTCAATCGGAAATAATAGTAAAAACAAACAAACAATTCATTATACACAAATATAATGATGAAAGCGTAGGAAAACGAGCCATACTTTCGTTGTCATTGTCAATTCTTCATAGTACTCTTTTATTTCTCATGCAGAAAGATTGCTACATATCCTATTAGGTTGAAGAACAAAAAAAATAAGAAAACATGATGTCCAACCGAACATCTGTAAGAAGAATGGAACGCCTTCTACTAAAACAAGCGTTAACATATCATCATATGCTACTATGAATAGGCAAAAGAAATATTATCTTAGTGCGGAAAGAGGACAAAGTTTCTAGTTGATAGACACATCTCATTATTTATATTCGAAATCGTATGATATCGAAACATTTGTTGTCGGGTGGATGAAATCAAAGAAAACAGATTTGGAATGTCAAACGCTAAAAGAAACCAATTGAAAGTGCAATTTTATATATTCTCTCTAGTATCGATCATCTTCCATTGGCTCTCTATCATGGGCAAATCAACGAGATCGATGTTCACGTCATACGTCAGATTCATATGTTCGTAATCATTTTGTCAATTTTTTTCTCTGTATGTATATACATCTTGATTTGTTTCCATAGGCAGAATCAATTCTTTCCTTAGCAACATCATATATTTCATACCTGAATGAAGAATACGGATCACTATTGTTGTTGACTTCTGCTTCTTTGCTCCTTCTTCTTCTCATTTTTATTGTCTATCGGCTACGATCTTCTGCACAAAATTCAACTCAGCATCATGGACAACGACGCCGATTAAGTCGGGAAGATATTCGTCATCTTCGTGAATCAAGTGAATATCGTTTAGCATCTTCGCAGGTCTTACCAACGATTACCGAAGAAAGTCCTTCGACATTATCTCCATCAAATTCGGAAAGTAAATTTACTCCATTACTAAAATCAACGAGTACAACGCCATCGACAATTATCGCAGGTTAGAATCCGAAATAGTCAGAGTAGATTATTCAGGCATCGATCATTTCTTTACTTTAGACAATAATGACTTGCACCATCCATCATTGTCACCATCGTCATCTTCATCATCAACTGTACAAGAAAAGAAACCATCGACAAGCAATGCTCCCGCAACAGAAAACTTAGTTCGAATCTCATTATTACCTAAACAAGAACAATCAGTAACTATCAATCCACGTCGTCGGTCGCGATTTGAACAAACCGCTGAAAAGCCAACAGATGACGCATCTGCAAGAGAAGAAACTCTCGCTCCACCAGTGATCGTTCGTGAGTCGTCATCAAATTGAGTGTTAACATTATTTGCATCAACCTTTTGCAATTTAGGTAAAACGTCTCTAACACATGAGAATGTCATTAGAGATGATTACACATCATTAGAGGAAATTGATAATGCTGTCAAAGAAGTTGGTCTTGAACGTTCACAGTTGATATTCGGTATTGATTATACAATAAGCAATTTAGAAACAGGAAAAAACTCCTTCAATGGTCTATCATTACACAGTATACAAGAAGGCTTATTGAATCCATATCAAAGTGTAAGGTTGATTGACATGCGAAAAAGAAAAACGAACTTTGCCTTGTCTAGGTCATCACCATCATTGGGCGAACTCTTGAAAAATACGACTCCGACACATTGATACCAGCATTTGGTTTCGGTGACCGATCTACATTAGATCGAAAAATATTTCCATTACGTGTACGTGTCTCATCTTCTTTTCACAGCGATCGATCATTATTCATTATCTCTTTGTTTGTAGCCCGATGGATCATACTGCAAAGGTTTTCGTGGCGTTCTCGACGCTTATAATGAGATCACGCCAAAAGTACGCATGTCTGGCCCAACCAATTTCGCACCATTAATCAGAGAAGCTGTGCGAATAGTGAAGAAAACCAAACAAGTAAAGTATTTCCTTCTCCATGATAAGTCAATATCCTTCGAAACTTTATCGCGCGAGAAAAGCAACTATTTTCATGTCTATGAATGTCAATCATATTCGAGATGATATTTCTTCGACGGTCGAAATGACCCAACTATACGATTTCTAATGTCTTTATACTCTCCCATGTCAGAGTATTGATAATGTAACTATCCCATCCTAACGATATGATAAACCTTCCCTTTACTAATAACTACAATATATATACATCTGCTTATCTGTACCAGGCGAACGGTCGTTCTATCGAATCGATAAGTAAATTACACTCTCCATTAGCTGATTCTGTTCGATGCAGGAATGTAGATTAAAAATACTTGTTTAGATTATTGCTCGAAATCCTTTGAATTGAGTCACCGGAGATTGTTGTTTTGTTTTTACTTAGTATCATATTTTGGTTATTGTTGCTGATGGTCAAGTAACAAATGAAAAGCAAACAAAAGATGCAATTGTCGAAGCAAGTAATTATCCATTGTCAATTGTTATGATCGGTGTTGGCGATGGGCCATGGGATATGATGGAGGAATTCGATGATTCCTTACCAACACGGCAATTCGATAATTTTCAATTTGTCAATTATAATAGTGTGGTGGAAGCATCCACAAACACGGATTCAAGTTTTGCATTGCGAGCTCTAATGGAAATACCTTCGCAATATGCAGCAATTAAGAAACTAGGTCTTCTGAAAAATAATTGATCATGATTGTTAGTTTCTTCTTGTAATTTTCGTTGTTATATTGTCTTAACATCGAATAATTCCCATAGAAGAAACACAATCAGTGACAATAATCGAGTTGGTCTGGACATTTGGTTCTATTTTGGAATATGATCAATTCACTTTTTAAACTACGTTGATTTCGAATGACATATGTATACCTACGGCTAGAATCGTAATTCAGCTTAAATTTTTATTAGAATAGCAACATCTCGTAATTGAAAAAGTGAATCATTATGTTTCAAAAGTATGACTGTATATTCATATCAACTCGTTTATATGGTATACAAGCACAGACAAGACATTATGTTCTAAACAAACCAGTTGCGTTTTCGCATTGTTATTCGACAAATTTTGTAATTGGAGATGATGTGTATTTCATATTTTCTAGTTCTATTTTTTATAAATGTGAATTCGTTTTTCAATAAATAGATTAATTAACCCTCGACAAACAATCTCTTTGACACAACATGTTCCTAAAAGGAATGTATGAGACTGAAACATGAGTACATAGATAATGTAATTAGCAATTACACTTCGCAGTTAGTGTCGCTATGTGATACTTGAAGGATGATTGTAGATAAATAAACTTTTTTTCGGCAAAGCATGAGAGTCCGATAAGTGAAATTACACGAGCGTTTGTGCTTCACTGTAGTTGTTTTTATATAATCTAATCCACTATATTTATACACACAAGCGGACACTTTTTTTCTTAGAAATAAAAAAAGAAACGGTTAGATATTTATTGGAGTTCTTTACGGAGTCGAAAACCGGGTCCTTTGGGTGGTTCAGTTAATGATGTAAGTCCATGAACCGGCTCAGCTGCATAACGTTTTGATCGAGGACCAGCTTTGGGTTTGCCGCCTTGTTTAATTTCATCTAAAATCTCAACAATATCTTTTTCTGTTAGATCTTCATAATAATCGTCGTTAATCGATAGCATGGGTGCGTTGACACATGCTCCCAAACATTCAGCTTCAGATAATGTAAATAAACCGTCCGATGTTGTTTGACCAACATGAATACCTAATTTACCCTCGATGGCTTTCAAAATTCCATCGGAATTGCATAACCAACATGGCGTTGTTGTACATACTTGAATATGATATTTTCCGATTGGATTTCGATTGAACATCGTATAGAATGTCGCAACCTGAATGTATAAACTGTCAAATGCTTTCTCATATTGCCATGAAGATCTTTACCTCATAAACACGCATGCGAGCCATTTTAAGTACTTCAGCAACTTTATTCATAGCTGATAATGGCAACCAACCGTTATGTTGTCGTTGGGCGAGGTCGAGTAATGGTATAACCGCTGCAGATTTATGTCCTTCGGGGTACATAGCCATGATAGCTTCGACTCGTTTGTAGTTCTCCGGTGTAAAATCAAATTTTACATCGAGATTATTTTCTTTGGTGTCACGATGAACGAATTCTTTATCCGAAGCCAAACGATACGAACTTGTCGAAATACATCGATTAGCAAGTGAAGATGAAATGGCAAGCGATTGCCAGTTGAATAGCTTTCGAACGAGCATCTGAAATTGTATAACTAAAACTAGTAAACAAGATCAAACAGAACAAAATAAAATCAAAGAAGAGAAGATATTATGTTGTGGACACATCGCGTGAAAACGTACCAATGACGAGTAATGATAGATGGTGTTAGTCAGCAGGCGGAATATTTGCTTCGTTTTCATAGAATGATTTATTCAAAAAGACAAATTCTACTCTCTACAACTGATATTTTATAGCAATTTCAAATCATCATTGCAAAATCAGTTTTTAACCATCAGTAATACACCCATTCGATGCTGATTGTACGCATTGAACATATTTTCGTAGGTAACCTTTAGCAGGTATGGCTGATCTAGCTGGTAATTTCCATTTGGTACGTCGCTCCGCCAATTCTTCGTCAGATACGTGTAGATTGAGTGTACCACCACCGCTATTTGGCGTTAATTTTACTGAAATAACATCGCCATTTTCCACTAAGGCAATAGGTCCACCAACAGCTGCTTCTGGACAAACATGACCAACAATGAAACCATGAGATGCTCCACTAAATCTTCCATCAGTAATTAGTGCGCAATCTTTACCAAGTCCTGCGCCCATGATCATTCCTGTGGGCTTCAACATTTCTGGCATACCAGGTCCACCACGAGGACCTTCATACCGAACGACAACGACATATTTCTTACCAGAGTTCTTCTGAATGTCGCCACGAATGAATCCTTCGACCATTAATTCTTCACTATCGTAAACAAGCGCTTGTCCTTCAAACCAGAGACCTTCTTTGCCTGTGATCTTGGCAACAGCACCATCGGGAGCTAAATTACCACGAAGAATTTGCAAATGGCCACTGGCCTTCAGTGGACGATCAATTGGATGGATAAGATCTTGATTGCCAGGTCCAGATCCGGGTCGTACAGTCGACGGTCGACCTTCAATAAAGCCTAAATCACGGCATTCAGCTAGATTTTCAGCCAGTGTCTTGCCAGTCACTGTCATAATATCACCATGAATTCGCCCTATTGTGCAAATAAGAATAATGATAAGAAAAGCACGTATTTTATCAAAAACTGAAGGATACCCTGTGAAAGTAAATATTTAAGTACAGCCGGCGTTCCTCCAATGGAATGTAAATCCGCCATTAGGTATTTTCCTGATGGACGAAGATCGGCGATGTATGGAGTAGATTGGGAGATCGATTGAAAATCTTCGAGAGTTATTGGAACATCCGCAGCATGGCCCATTGCAATCAAGTGAAGTACTGAATTTGTTGAACCGCCAAGAGCATTCGTCTAATATAATTCATTTGATAGAAACAGATAATATACCTTCAATGCAGTGTCTTACCACAGTAATGGCATTTTCAAATGCTTTTCGAGTCATAATATCTTTAGGTTTAATATCTTTCTCAAGTAGTATTCGTATGGCTTCGACTGCGCGTTTACATTCTTCTAGTTTCAATGGATCAGCAGCTGGTGTCGAAGAACTGTATGGCAACGAAAGACCCATGGATTCAATAGCTATCGCCATTGTATTAGCAGTATAGAGACCACCACAAGCTCCCTAGAAAAAGGATAAACTGTTTACAGAAGAATACCCGATCACTTAATATACTTCTCCTGGACAGGCATGACGAACAACGTCTTGTCTCTGCTCGTCTGTGATTTCGTTTTTCACATATTGTGCAAATGCTACAAATGTTGATTCAATATCAATTGTTCGAGTGCATGGACCAAGAGTGGTGTGTCCAGCTCCGATGGTTCCACCATAAATCATCAATGATGGTCGATTAAGTCGAGCCATTGCAATGACACATCCAGGCATATTTTTATCACAACCAGGAACTGTTATCAAACCATCGTACCAATGTGCACCCATTACACTTTCAATCGAGTCAGCAATTAAATCTCGTGACGGTAACGAATATGACATACCATCGTTACCCATGGATATAGCATCACTAACACCAATCGTGTTAAAACGCATTCCAACAAGGCTATTCTCACCCGCTGTCTCTTGCATAGACGCTTTGACACAATCTGCCAAACGACGTAAATGCATATTGCACGGATTGCCTTCATACCACATGGAAACAATACCGACTTGAGGTCGAGTCATGTCTGGTTCCTTAAGACCAGTTGCGTAGAGCATAGCTTGAGCTGTTCCATATGATCTATCTTGAGTTAGTTTTGACGAATACTTATTCGAAGGCATGATGGAGAATATAATCGAAAAGAAGAACAATGAATATGCTTGTTGTGCTACACTTTTTGCAAGGTATTTATAATGTAACCAGATAACTGCTGTGCCTCCCTTCTTATCAAATAGAGAGCGAGAACGAAATAAAAAAAAAGGTAATTCGATTAAAAAGGTACTGTAAAACTTCAAATTTCAGATAAAAAGAACAATGTACCTCAAAGGTTATTTTTTTACTCAGGAACTAAAACATCATATCGTCATTCTTCTTTCGTATAAAAAAAAACGACGAAACCAAATTACACTTTATTTTGAAGAAATTTACTTTTTGAGATGCATGTCTCGATTGGATCAAAATACAAATATATGCCGGTTAATACCAAGCACTGGTGGTTCAGTGGTAGAATGCTCGCTTGCCACGCGGGCGACCCGGGTCCGATTCCCGGCCAGTGCACTCTTCTTTTTTTTCCTTTCTCTCCACGATATATTATTCATACAATCACCTGTGTATTCATATGCAAACTATGGTTGTCGACAACGAAGGAATAGCTTTTTTTATTTGCAGTATCTTAAAATATTTCATATAGTTTATTATATAATTACAGTTCATTTTATTTTTCTGATGGCTCACTGAAATATGTATATGTGTATATCTATATAGATATATGTACTTCGAAAAAAGAAAAAGCATTAAAACATTAGAAGATAAGCCAAAGAGAAAAAAAGAAGAGAAAAAGAAAACCAAAATCATCACGATGTAGCAACAGGTTGATGTAAAATATTAGTTGTCGACGTTGTCAGTGGATCCGTATTGATTCCAATTGTTTGTTTTGTTGGCGACACAATCGGTGACGAATGTCGATTCATTAAGCTAGCTATGGACGGTAATGGCGAGTTTTGCTGCGGATGATGATGTTGTTGTATATGTGAATTAGTACCTTTCGTAAATAGATCAACAATTTCGTATCGAATATCAGTTATGGGTGTTAATGCGGCTGTTGAAGAGAAATTATCCTTAATTGAAGTTAATAGATTACATGGCTGATCAAGACGAAGATGTCTTGCAATGTTATAATCGAGTAGGTTTTCCGAACGTGTGGGAATTGATGTTGATAATGTTTGCAAAAGATTTGTTGTTGGAATTGCGGACAGTTTTCTTTTGGATGGCCTTGGTCGTTGCCGTGTTGAAGACTTTCGATTATTTAGTAGAAGTTTGGTATCGATTGTATCTGAAGAGAAAAAGAATCAAACGGTTGGTTTATTTTTTATACTGTCAAACAAAAATTACTAAAGCAGCAAAAGCAGTTCGCTGTTTATTTGCAAACAAAACAAAGCAAAAGCAAAGCATAGTTTTAGCAAATAGTCAAAGCAAAACACTCACATGAATTGTTTAGATTTGTTCGAATGCCAGAGTGATTATTATTGCGATCGAGATCGTCATGTCCATTCAGTAATTTGCTGTCGAATGTTGAAGAATTCATATCATCATCATCATCGTTGTCATCGAATGTTCGGTACATTTCTGCTTCCGACGCCGTGCGGGTTGATACTGAATGGTCAAGATCTGTGCAAGATTCTAGCCATGTATCCACATTGTGACCTTCAGCGTTCAAATCACTTTTGAGCGAACGAAGTCGTTGCTGTAATTCTATATTTCGTGCAGTTAACAAAGCAACTTCATGTTCATATTCGCGTTCTTTACGCGTTAAGGTCTAGAATGAGATAATACGTAGAAAATCTTAGACGATCTTGATAAAGGATTTTACCTGAATATATTTAATAGCTAGATTTAATACTTGAAGATTTGTTATTTTCCGATCACGTTGACATGGCACTTCAGCTTTAAGATTATCAAAGCAACCTTTCAAATGAGCTCGTCTAAAGAGAGATAGAGAAGTGAGTAAAAAATTGTCCTTTATATCATCAAGCAGTTTGAATACCTTCGAATTTCATTCGGAGATACCATAATCGATGAAAAATAGGAAAAAGAATGATGATCTCTCAACAGTTAGCTGACGTTTTTTCACAATTCTAACTATTACTATTAGAACGGAGTTTTTCGTGCATAAGTTGTTTCAGATTTTTTTATAGAGGAGGTTTTGAAATGGTATTTAGCCGATGAAAGAGTGAGATTTAGTCAACCAAGAATAATAGATGTCGTTCCTTACCGATGTTTCTCTAGTCGATTGTGAATTTCTCGATCACGAAAACAAGTGGTTTGGATACTAAAATTATATGAAATTCAGATGTTAAGAATGATTCCATAGGAGCATATTACCGGTTTGATAATTCACTGTTCGCCTCGGTATTTTGGTAGTCATCATCGTCGTCGTCATCGTCAGCAATGTCATTTTGGTCGGATACCGAACGTAGCTTTCCAGATAGGCGTGATTGTTGTTGCGCAAGATGATGTACATTAAGGTTAAGATCACGTTGAGGATACTCAGCAAGTTGTTCGTTCTTAGTCAACGGTGAAGATGACTGTGTTTGTGATAGTGATGGAGATGATGTGGATATTATTATTGGATTGGTATTGATTGTAGTCGAGGAAAGAACACTTGTTGGAACAGGATCGGTAGGAGTTTGCCGATCGCCTGAAACATCTACTAACATCAAATAAAATGAGGAAAAACAAATGACATACTCCACCACATTATTGAAATAGACATGCACTCGTTAAGAAAAGAGATAAGAGTATATATATGTATATCGGTTGCGACGATTTGGTCTCTTCTTTTAAAATCGCTCACTATATATGCACGGCCGTCTGTCCGGCTTAATAAACGAACCGTTAGGCAGACAAAATGACGAAAGAGAAGAACAAGAAGGAAATGAATATAACACGCGCACGCGTGTATGCATTTTAAAGAACTATGTATAGAGGAGGATATCTTCCTGTGTTATGAAAGGGTTGGTCCTTTCCACACTTCGAAGTTTTTAACAAAAAGAACTGACCGAAAAGATTTGATTTACGAGTAACAACTCACTTTGAAACAACATTATTCCAGGTTGCATCTTTCAAGTTTTCCGTAGTTGATAATAATACGACCGGAAAGAAAACGCAGAATGTATCCTTCTACTATCGAAAAAGAGTAATCGACAGCAAGAAAAAAAAATGGATTGAATGCTCTCTTATCGATGCACGTCACACATGAGCGAATCTTTCCTGCTTTTTACTATTACCACTACTTTGCTAGGTCGATAACGACAACGACTATAGTCGTGTGTTCGATCGAGTGTGTCACTACGAAAACAAGCTAGAAGCGCATAGAGAAATATATGTTTGAGAGAAACACGATTTACCTGGCTCGATCAACCTTAACGTAATGCGAAAAACAAGGACAATTGTCATTTATTTAAGAGAAAATTAGATTAAATCTTTCAAGAGTCTATTCAGTAAAGAAAATACTTCTGTCGCACGTTCTTTTTTTTTAAGAGATATTCCTATTATTGTAGTATGTGTATATGATCCGATTGGCAACCACGTGGATAATTTATTTGATACACACGTGGGATTTTCTCTAATGCTTGGTCCTGTTATTACGGAAGGAAGGGAGAGAGAGAGAGAGAGAGAAGAAGCGACAAAGAGGGAAAAAACAGAGACCACATGAGTCATACTCACCTCTAGCTAGCCGTTTTTTCGGTGGGATCGATTGCTGGCTTTCCAAAATTTGGGCCGCTTGTAATAAGGTTTCAATATTCATCATCGTGATTGATTATTTTACAGGTATGTAATATTGTTTCGAAATGGTTCTCGTTTTCCTTTCAAAGATATCAAACGATAGTAGTAACGTGCGTTGGATGGATGGATAGATGAAGTTGGTTAACGAGAGAGGGCGAGGGAGAAAAATACACACACACACACACACACACAGAGTTATACAAAACAAGAAGTAATCCAACTATGTAATATCAAAGATTGAATGCAAAGTTATTGGTGTCGTTGTTATTTCTAGTTTTTGCTGCTGTTGCCACTGCTGCCATTCGATTCTTTCAACTACCCAAAGCGTGTAGTCGTCGAGTGTCGATCAGTCGGGCGGCGCTCATGATGTTGGCATTGTAGAATCAGAGAGAAAAGAGAAGAAAAAGAAGACGAAGAACGTGCGTACAGGCCACGCAAACACACGAAAGAGAGAAGGAGAAAGAAAGATGAAGAAGAAGAAGAAAAAACGCCAGGCGACGTCAACAAGCAATGAGGAGAAAGAAAGCGCAATGAGGGTATAAAAATACAAATGACGATTTTGCGTATGTGTTTGTGCGCTCGAGAACCCAGAGAAGAAAAAAAAAGACGTCGATACAAAGGCACACAAAAGCCACGAAACAGTGTGCGTGTCAAACAAAAAAAAAAGAAGATGTAAGCGAAGAGAAGAAAGTGAATGTATGCAGTTGTATTTGCAGCTAAAAAGGAAAGTTACACGTGTAGAATATATACACCAGTTTTTCTCTCTTCCTTTTTTTCTCTTTTCTTATTCAAGTCGCAGACGTTGAGAAGAGCGGAGTACAAGTTACTCGTGTTTTATATTTATATATAGATAGATATGCGCGCGTAGAAGGTAAAAAGAATTACACAAAATTGAGACAGAAAAGAAACAAAAACAAACATTTGGGGATGTAAAATCTAACGCGAAAGAGAAAAAAAATAAGAAGTTATTTTAAAAAGTTTCTTTTTTTCTTCATTCTTTTCTCGTTGAATGCAATGAACGATGAAACTTATGTCAGTTGTCACTGTTGATCAGCAATTTCTGCTTTGCTCAAGAATATGAAACATCAACAAGCAATTAATTGCTCATAAAAGGAAAAAATATGTTTTTTTCTCTGGTTCTCTACAAATGTATCATATTCTCATGTCTAAGAAGAAAAAGATAGACTTATTATTTTTCCCTTTTCTTTTTTTTATGATTCTGTTATTTGTTCTATTCACTAAGCAGCATAGTTACTCACTGCCAGAACAACAACAACAACAACAACAACAGCGGCAGCCACTAAAAAAACGTATTGTTGAGATCGTACGATAGATGATATTCAAAAACATATTTAAGAGAAATCTAGTGTTTTTTTCCTGATGAAGATTTTCATTTGAGCACTCGATTATTATGCTTGGAAGGATCTTATTAATAACGCTGTCACAATATGGAGCAAAAGTTCCATTTCTAAAAACAAAGATATTCACTGAACAAAAGATTGAAAAGTAGTCTATATCTTCAACATGTGTTAGACATGTTTGATATTCGCCAACTGTCGAGAAACAACTGATAACAAAAGTTATTATCATAATGTATACTTACTCACTGACGTTTAGTGTGTACCTCTCGGGTCGAAGAGGAATATTCGTACTGATTCTGTCTGAAATAGGTACTCGTATTCATATTCTTTATTGATAAATAGAGGATATATGTTGTAATGAACATCGATACTGATAAAGTCAATATTTACAAACTATCGATTGCCTTGCATGAACGAGTGTACTCCTCGCATGAAGAAAGCCAATACGGATGTACTCAATGTTCTACAACAAACATGCTATGATCTTTGTGAAGCGCCATATTGGTTGTAATGATCGTAAATGAAGCATACTTTAGGTGGCATTAAAAATATTTATTTTATAACATCGAAGAAAAAGACATAGGGGAAAATATATACATGACCAAAATTATAAAAATTGCATCGAATCGAAATATAATTTGTACTTATTTTAACGATTACTTTTACTCTTCTGACAGATTCATATTCGATCATACCGTTACAATCTCTATTCTTCGGTGCCGAAAACATACATCTCATCCTGAATATGACAATACAAAATCATTTTTCTCTCATAACTCTTTTGAACAAAATAAAAAACACCCCTACTTTTATCTAGTGTATCGTTCTAGAAAATGAGCTTTAGAATTGAGTGACCAAATATATTTTTCATTCGTTAATGTCCATTGTGCATACTGTCCACAAGACGGTTGAAGTTGTAGTTTTGGATAAGCTGAAGCCATTCGAATAATTTCTCCGGAAAACAGTTTTCGCATTGTTCGATCAAACAGATCAATTCGCCACTGACGATTTCGTTTCAACCGAATTAACAATGCTATTGTGCCCGCCGATGAATGCGCACGAATTTGTCCAATGTACTGATCTTGATCAGCGGAAGATATTAAATCTGCACGTGACCACGTGCGTGTCAGTATCCACGATGGTAAACAATACCGATAAAGAGTATCACATCGATGTAAAACAAAAGCATCACATCCAAGAACGGTCAATGACCAAAACTGATCATTAGATGAGGGCGTTTGTAATTGAATTACTAGTTGTTTTGAGATGGGTGAATATGAACAAAGAGCATTTTCACCTAGGATTAAAAATGAATTGATATGTTTTGCCCAACAAATATCTCGAATAGCTCCGTGAGTGTCACTTGGCCAGTCGATGTCGTGAGTTTTCAATGAGGATAATGAAAGGTCGAATAGGAGAAGACGATCAACACTATTATTGATTAGAAGCAAACAAGTATCTGATACAGCGAAGAATGTTGCACCATCGATCTATGTATTTGATAAAAGATGCATCATATGATATTTAATATCAACAAATGATTTACTTCCGATGGAACATCGTGAATCGTTGGGCAACATGTTAGTTGGTACTTAATTGTTGAAGACAGACATACTGACATAACTATTGTATATTCTGAAAAAAAATGGTAAAATATGACTTTAATTTTTGAAAGAAAATCGTGTTTTTCTTTTTCACTTGCGAATCTTAGTCAAACATGTAACGAGCAATATTTATCTTATGACGATAAAAGTATGTTTAAACCTCCTGACGTCATCGAAAATATTTTCCTTCGTCGAATAAATTAACAATCACTATGGGAAATATTGGATATTTTTGTTTCTTTGTTTGATCGGTTATATTTTTTGTTAATAAAAAAAGAAGACATTAGATGCTTAAGCGTTCGCTTTTTAAGTGTAACATGTTTAACTGAAGTTCGAAAAGAGGAAGGTGGGAGGAAAAAAAACACGTCACGCAGTTGCCTACAAAAAAACGAAGTGACTTATAAACCGTTTAACAATTGTAACAAGAATAACAAAAGTCACCACCACTCATTCATCTTATTTTAGACCATATTCATGGCACGAGCAGCATTCGATGGTTCAGCTGATGATTTAGGTACTTTAATTGTTTCATCAACACTTAAGATTAAACAAGCAGCTTCACTTGCTGCTGTTATAGCATTGATTTTCACAACAGCAGGTTCCCAGACTGCAGCAGCGAGATTGTCTGTAACATCTTCATGCATAATATCAACACCGAACCAAGTGTTGTCTAAGAAAATGAAAAGAAAAAACTAGAAGTGATAGATTCGTATATTGAACGCCTACTTTCAGCATGTTTTTGTCGAAGTTTGTTTAAAATATTTGTTGCATCAAAACCAGCATTTTCACATAACTGTCTTGGTATAACCTCGAATGCTTTAGCATATGCAGCGATAATTAACTGTTCTTTACCGGCTACTGTTCGACTGTATTCGCGTAAAGTACGACTTAAAGCCATTTCAATTGCACCACCACCAGCAACAATCGAATCATTCTTCACCGCACGTCGAACAATCATGATTGCATCATGTAATGACCGTTCAACTTCATCAATGAACTGTTCGGCACCACCACGTAAAATCATTGTTGCCGTTTTAGCTTTGGGACAACCAGTAAAAAAGTTATAACGTTCCGAGCCAATTTGAATCTCTTCTAAAACTTCACATGTACCTAATACTTGTTGAGTTTTATCATCCAGATTTTCGACTGTTGTTATTATTGCACCACCGCAAGCTTTTTGCGTACGTTTAAGATCATCGTCTTGCACACGACCAGCACAAAACATGTCTCTAAAACAAAATCAAGTTTCGTCCGATGACGACCAAACAAAACTCTTACCGGTCAGCAAAGTATTGCGTTGCGACATCACCAATTGGTAATTTAGAAAGAACAACATTAACGCCAGCCGCATGAAGTTTTTCGAGTTTACTGTAGAGAATTGACCATTCAGCATCGACAATTTTTTGATATTCCTAATGATAATAGAAAAGGTGTTTCTAGAGTGATTGTCCAATAAAATCTTACAGCAACATTGTCTAAACGGATTTCAGCATTGTCACGTTCAGCTTTAAGTTCCAATTCAATATTGAGTAAAGCTATTTTCGGCTTTAAGTATTTCTTTTGTTGCATTTCGAAACCAGCATACGAGAATGTTTTTTTAAATGCAACACCGTCAACAAGACGCGATTCCTTAACAGAAAGTAAAAGGGCAAATTTTAGAGAAAAGATCATTTCCTTTATAAATCTCATACCTCGAGTGAACCACCGGTTACTTTCTTCATTCCAATCCTAGACGAGCAAATACAAAAGATTATGTCGCGATGATTAGTTAATGAAACATACATGTTCAATGGAAGTAGTTCATCTAACATAAGAACAGCATCGACGACCATCTTGGCAAAAAAATCACGTTGTCGTGCAATCAATTTGGAACTTAATGTTGTTCGTGCACATTTTTCCAATAGAGCGCGTTGTTCTCTAAATATTCAACAAAGAAACTCTTAACTGGAGAATCAATCTTCTCACAACGCACTTGACATCATCCTTTTTAACATTAATTGCGATTTCTCGGATTTTCTTCGTTGCCAATGCTGTTGCTTTTCGAATAGCACGAATAATAATTGTCGGATGCATTCCATCTTCAACGAACGTTCGAGCATTTTTCAAGATTTCACTTGTCAATAAAACAACAGATGTTGTTCCATCGCCAACTTCAGCATCCTGCGATTTAGCAATGTCCACAAGTGTACGTGCTGCTGGATGAACAACTTCCAATAGTTTAAGAATCGTTGCACCATCATTCGAGATTGTTGCTTTGCCACGATTATCAACAATCAATTTATCCATACCACGTGGACCTAAGGTTGTACGAATAGCTTCACCAATGGCTTGACAAGCATTGATGTTCGATAAAACTTGCGATTTGCCTTGAGCCGAATCGGTACCTTCTTTGAGAATAATGATCATTGGTTGCATTTTGGTATTCGATGCTGAACGAAAGATAGTTTCTTTAGATCTGAAAAAAAAACAAAAGCAACATGTCATTTCGAAATAAATTCTCTTCGATTATTTCCATTTATTAGTTAGATTTAACACACTATCTATATTGAAAGACTGTTCAAGCAAATAATTTGATAAAACAAGGGTGACAATAGGGTTTGTTTTGATATTCTTTGAATGTACCATTCTGTAGTTGACGTGTACAATAAGAACATATGAAGTGTTCGACATGGTATTTTCTACCCATGGCAGTTATACATCGACCACTAGAACGAAGAGAAAATCGAACGAATATTTCAACAAAGACACAATCGAATTTACCCAATGGGTTTCTGACACGATGAACAAAGTGATCCACGCCGTTGATGATAATGTAATTCACATAAAGGCTGATGATCGTGTTCATAGAATGAACCAGTTAGAAATGGCTGTGAGCATTCCTAAATCGAAATCGTTAAGTTTTAATCGGCTGTTAAATACTAATATTGGTACACGTGGGATTTATGATTCTCATTATCACAAACGTCAGACTAATTCTTAAATGGAGCAATAAAAGTCAAACTTAGACATGAACATTTTGGATTATTGAGAATATGATCGAGACATAGGCGACGATCTTGAACAAAATCATTAGCACATGTTGAAGAAGTGCAGAGTAAATAAATATGCGCCTGTCGAGTGAAGGTTTTTCTGATCAACTGATACATGTAGCTATGAAAGATCATCTCGATTTACACTAGCAAGTTGATTGATATTTACTTGACAAACAAAACAATTCTTATGATAATGACCACCAAGGGCTTGAATATAAGTGTCAACAATCGTCTGTTTGCAGCCAAGACATTTGGGAACGAAATTGTTCATATAGCATTCCCTGAAAAACAATTACTAGTTATTTTTATTTCATATTTCACATTGTATTGAACCTACCGACAATAAGCATAGCCATCTTTTTCATGATAACCATCTTCACCGACTCGCCGTTGGCATAGTTCACAAAGAAAATGTTCTGGGTGCCAATTGCGATTCAAGGCCGTTATCATCACCTTCAAAAAAAAAAGTCGAATAATTCATATCGAATCCGGAGAGAAACTGAGGTTGTTTGTTTTACATCAATAATGGGTTGATCGCAACGAGTGCATTTTGGCGCAAACAAACGTCGATAGTCATGTTCACAATAAGGTTTGCCAGATTTTTCATAGAAATCTTTGCGACCAATTTCGATGTTACATGCTGTACAACGCAAATGTTCGGGATGATAGGAACGATCAAGTACGGTGATGACCTATTTCGAGAAGAAAGAAAGAAAAGATGATTTGAAAACCATTGTTAAGAAAAGATTTCGTTAGAGCAGAGCGCAGGCCTAGACAAAAACCCTATGAACCATCATTCAATGAGCTACATACGTAATTTTTTGCTAGAAAAGTATATCGAAACGCGATCAGATAACTTTCAACGAGTTTCTTAAGACAATTACCTGTCCTATGATTGGTTGCTGACAAGACTGACAGATTGGATATTGTTGTGAAATGGATGATGTCTTTTTCGTTGCGATCTGGTCAGATGTTGGCGATAAACACGGTGGAATATGTGCTTGGGATGCCTATCAAATGTGAAATGATATTTCGTTTGTGTCTTTTTTGGAAAATGAAACTAACCTGTGGTGAAAATTTGAAATTACTCAATGATTCCATAAGATTCTCCAATTCTTTTGTTGCCGAAGACTTTTTCGATGTATGTTTCGTGGAGGAAGATCTATCGGAGAGAAATTGATTAGGAAAAAAGCATTTTCATTTGTTGCTTTTCAGTACTTTTTTCTTGAATTTGATTTGATTGTTTCAGTTGTATCATTCAAACTGTCAATTAAATCATCAATTGATTTAGCATTTTTCTGGGAAGACTCGTCTGCACCATTGATCGACTTTGTCGGGGTAGAATTTGCTGTTCGTGCTGTTTGATCTTCTAGAAAAAGAACAATTTTCTTGCTGAATTTTCTCGAAACATCTTTCGGCCATACTTTGCATTTCTTTTCTCATTGTTTCTTTTGCTTTACTAAGTGCTTCAAGAAGTTGATCAAGTTCAGCGACACTCTTAGGTGGAATTGGATCCTAAAAATATACGAAAACGAAAGTTATTCACGTTTCTCTTCGTCGTCGAACAACCAACTGGTTCGAGTATGGAATCAGGCCGAATTAAATTCAGTGTTTGAGTTCGATGTGCAGGTGGATTTCGATTAAGTACAATAGGTTCCAATCGAGTTTCACTTTCATGATTTTCATAAACATTTCTTGTTCGTTGGCTAACATGTTGTAGCTCAGTCAGAAGTTGATCTAATTTAAAAAAGTCAAATGGATGAACTTAAGTTTACATGAAAAGAAAGAAACTATACCAAGATCTTCCATGACTAAGCAACACGAAATGATTAAAGAAAAAAAATAAACAGAAGGTATCCAGTAGAAATTGATTGGCGTGTTTTATCAATCTGTTTATTTTTCGGTCGTTTTTCGAATTTCTATTTATATGTTCATAGTTTCGAATTTCCTTAGAATTGTCACAATTTCTATCGGATAGAATTCACTTTTCTTCAAGTTAGATGTCGCTAGTGTTGTACAGCACAGAGATAAGTTCAAACATACGATACATGAAACGATCATTCATAGAAAAATTATGCTACCGACGGTAAATGATGTCCGAGAAGGTTTCATATGTCCACAGTGTCATCTGGACATGTCAACGATGGAAATGTTACACGTACATTTTCAAGATGTGCATATGAAACAATCTTCGTCGACTGTCAAAGGTAAATAAAACTGAATTGAATTCGAAATTTATTTCAATAATTGATCGTTGATCTCGTAGGCTTATTGTCATTCGCCAAACAAAAGATAAAAAGTGTTCAAGATAATTTCACTACAATTCCCAATGAACAATCGAATATTTATGCACAATATTTTTCAATTGATCCATACGACTCTTCTACAAAACAACAACAGCAACAACATTCACCCAATGGATATATTTGTTCGCACAATGAAGCATTTAAAAAGTTTCGAAAGAATAAACACGATCAGATGTCTCTGGAAACAACTTGTCTACTGCTTCGATTGGAACGATTGACAAGTACCGAAGAGAGTGTACCGAAAAGTTCTAATCCAAAAGAACGGCGAAGTACGAATTTCACAAACAGTTTTATTCTATTCTTTCATTGTCTATCCTTTGTTTAGAATACGAACAACGTATTGTTGATTGGTTAGATGATTCTAAAGTATCGTTATGTCCATCATGTGCAAAATCATTCGGATTGTCTAGACGCAAACATCACTGTCGTCTAGATGGATTCGTCATATGCAACGAATGTTCGCAATTTCTTCCATTTTCAATGGCTCGTAAGCGAATTCTTTACTCAGTTGAGGAATGAAAATCGAAAACGGGGTTAACGCCTATTATCTTGAGTACCATTTGTTTTGATAATCCTTATAATTGAACTAGCAATTTAAATCCTTTGAGAAATATTTCTAATCAAACGAATTCGTTTTAGGATACTTAATTGAACCAAATACACCATCATCATCATCAGGACTCTTGAATAAATCAACGACGAACGGTGTGACTCTTCAACGGTCGAATAGTTTAACCAGTGTAACATCAACGGCTGGTGTCGATGATCCAAATTTGAGTTTAAAAGATGGAGGAAGTCATGAAGAGTATCTTCGTATTTGCCGATCATGTCAACAAATCTTACAGCGACGTTACGATCAAATTCGTTTCAAAAAAACGGATAAAGATGAAGTTTTAGTGCGCTATGAAGTAAATTCAATTTCCAACAAAATTTCATAAAATTTATTCTTTGTCTTTTCTATTTTAGAAAATTATCGAAGCTCAGAATGAACTGGGAAAAATTCATCCAACATATTCAGCAATTGTTGAATCTCTTTTGTAAGAATTTTTCAATAAAATCCAAACGAAAGAAAGCACTCTCATCTTTCTAGAACCGGAGAGACTAAACATCAATTGATTGATGGTCAGCGATTATATCGTCGAATAACATCGTGTTACGAAACGATTGATTCAACATCGTAAGTTGAAAGAGATTTTTCATAAAAAATTCATCCTTTTCTTTTCTTTTAGTAAATATATCGCAAAGCTAGGCGAATCTTGTCCAAACATAGATGAAAACGATACATCATCTCAAATTCGTTACTCTGCGCTTTGTCGAAATATTCGAATGTATGCAATACATCTTCTACAAAACTATTCCATTTCAACACGTCGTCTGCCGAGTGACGATGACGTTCAACGTGCACGTGAAGAGCGTATTCGATTACTTGAGGAACGAAATGAATCTGAACGTTTAGCAAAAGTCGAATTAGCATCGCGAGTTGGTCCTCTTGATTCTCCGACACGAGTGAAAACAGAAGTGTCTGGTTGGAGACCAACCGTTGATCGTAATATATTAGTACAAGCCCAGGAACTTAATCCACTTGTTCAACAAGTCTATCAAGTAACGGAATATATCCGACAAGCTCGAATAGCTGGACGTGATGACGAAGTCAAATCATTGGAAAATAATTTGAAGGAACTCGAACAAGCTCTTAACAATGCTCAACAAACATTTGATTCCTAGTAATATGTGTGTATTTTGAATGATTGGGATTTTCAAATACTTTTTTTTACTATTATTCATTTTTTTTTCTTAAACTTTATTTTACAGTGCAATAGAATGTAAAATTATGGCTCAAAATAATAAATTGTTCAGATTAGTAAACTGAATTTGAAGAAAAAAAAATTTTTTAACCGAATCCGCACTGACCGGGAATCGAACCCGGACCTCTAGCGTGGGAAGCAAGCATTCTACCACTAAACCATCAGTGCTATCTATTCAAAACGATAGAGATGAACGTCAATGAGCAATTTTACTCTGAATTTAACAATTTTTTCTATAATTATAATATGACATTGCGATGTTCTAGTGTATAGAACTAGAAAAAGTCAAAGATTCTTCTTCGAACAATAATTGGATTAGGAAATGTGTGATGATGGATTAGAAAGAAGGCAAGCACTGGTGGTTCAGTGGTAGAATGCTCGCTTGCCACGCGGGCGACCCGGGTCCGATTCCCGGCCAGTGCACGTTTTTTTTTTTTATAAATTATTTTATCCGGTTACAAGACAAGGAATCTTTCATGTAAAATTTTCTCACACAGAGGGCGATGATAAACTACAAGACTTGCAATTTAATGTAGACGGAAGAGATTTCATATGTGATGGTAAAATGCATCCGGCTTCAACTTGTAGGTTATCATTTTTTCATCGAGTGATATCGATGATGCTCATAATTGCTTTTTGAAATTTCTTCTGTGCAATGATAATCCGACTAATCAAATGTCGAATCAGTCTTTCGATATTGTTTTATGATAAAGTGACATTTTGTTTTTAAATCAATACTGGATTGCGAAATCTCTTTTTATAGGTTTGCCGGATTTCTAAGTATCTTTGTTACTGGGAATAATAACGGTAGGTCATAGGGCGACACATAGTAAGCACTGGTGGTTCAGTGGTAGAATGCTCGCTTGCCACGCGGGCGACCCGGGTCCGATTCCCGGCCAGTGCACTCTTTTTTGCAAAAAGAGGCACAGCGAATCTCATACTTGCATTTTCAGCGATGTAGAATTCCGAAATTCCATCGTTTTCCTCTAATCGTGTGAGCCTCTGTTATATGAGAAAGCTATTCAACTTTCTTCAAATCAATACCGAATTATGCAATTTCTTTTCGTTGTTTTGATTTTTCTGTAAGTCTATTTGATCCTAGGAGTATTTGCAATAGATCATGGGACGATTGACAACAAGCACTGGTGGTTCAGTGGTAGAATGCTCGCTTGCCACGCGGGCGACCCGGGTCCGATTCCCGGCCAGTGCACTCTTTTTTTACCCTGTAAACATATGACACATTCAGCTTTGTCCTTGCCCGCATGAAAAATGCAAATATGTTTTTGCATGTCATCAAAGTGACTTATTAAAACAAGTCGTTATCTTTATTTCAGTACGGAAAATGGTTTCATATCTATAAGTTAAATAAATAAATTACAACAATATATGTATCTATGGTATATCATTGTTTTCATGATTGTATTTCTTCGTTTTCTTCTTCGATTGACAATGCTGATATTTCCAAAAAGCCTTTCAGAGCAGTGCTTACACCATTGATGTCCAATAAGAATGTATCATGTCCGAAGATACTATTCAGTTCAAAGAAAGTGACATGAGCATTTCCTAAAATAAATATTTTGAGAAGGTCTTATAATTATCTTATCGATCTTTGGCAAACCTGCGTTGATCAAGCCTTCTGCTAGTTGTTTTTGTTGCCAAATTGGGAAAAGAATATCTGTTTGAGATCCTAAGACAAGCACAGGACATTGAATTTGTGATAAAGCATCATTCTGGCTCTCATATCCTTCTGTTAAATTAAACAAGTCCATTGCCTAGACAAATCTGTTCACTAGACAAATCTACCGAACAAAAACAGACTAACTTTTGAGATGTACAACAACGAATTTGGATCGTATTTCTTCGCAAAAGTCAATCCTTGATATTGTAAATAACTTTCAATTTCAAATGTGGGTGCTAGATGAATCTGATCACTAAAGCGTCGTAAACCAAATCGTTCAAGCCATTCAGGGCCAGATCGATACGTTAACGTCGCAATTTCTCTTGCGATACGCATTCCGTCAAGTGGATACGCATCTTTATCATAGTAATGACCATTATGCCAGTTGGGATCGGTCATAATCATCTTTCTCTGCAAGTATCGTAGAGCGATTGCAGTAGGATAAGGTGCAATACATGACGAAATAGTTGCAACTCTAAAGAAAGATTCGTATGAAAGAGCAGACTTAGTTGTCAGAAGATCGACCAACCTGCCAACGTTTTTTGGATAGAGAAGACCAGAGAGAATCGAACACATTCCACCTAATGATGAACCTATACTTGCATGAAGCTTTTATTCGAAGAAAACCGTATTTAGAAAGATATGAACAAATTATTTTCATAGCATACTTTTTCGATTCCTAAATATTTCAGTAGCAAGAACTGAGCACGAACTGTATCTTCTACAGACAACATTGGAAATGAAGTGCCGTATGCTTTATTCGTTTTCGGATCAATCGATGATGGTCCGCTAATCAAACACATCTCTCCAATCAGAAATTTTCAACTGAATGAAAACTTACGTCGATCCATAACAACCACCAAGATGATTACAACATATAACAAAGAAATGATTTGTATCAATAGCCAAATTTGGTCCGATAAATTGTTCCCACCAACCAGGTTTTGTATTTTGCTAGAAACGAAATTGATTTTAACGAAAAAGGCAACCAGTAAGTTACCTCATGACTTTTAGCGTGCGAACTTGCACTGAGACCAGTAAAGATAAGAATGGCATTATTTTTCTTCGCATTCAGTTTGCCCCATGTTTCGTATGCGAGTTGAAATTCATTCAACGATTTATGATTGTATTTTAACCGAAAGGGTTCATTTTGATGTTCGAAAACTTGATACCCTGACACGATATGATGATAAGCTGGTTCGGGTCCTTCTACAGAATGTTTACTATAAGAAATCAAACAAAATTAGTATATAAAACTGATCATTGATTGACTTACGATCGGGAAAGAACCACACGAGAGACTTTCAAATTCGTAGACAAAAGAAATTTAGTCCAAAAATGCATCGTTCTGTTATATGACAAAAGAAAAAACGTTTTGCTGTCCTTTCTGATATTTGCTTGTCCTCGAAAAGCACCAATAACTACTCACATTCGTATCACTGCTTCATCACACGCTTGCTGCGTGCGCACGTGAATCAAAAGAACCTTCAACATGCCAATGACAAAACATATTTCATTGAAACCACAACATTGCTTTACCGTGTACAGTGGCAAATTAGTTAGATGTGATGGAAGATGAAACGATATCTTAATAACAAAACAAAAATAGTTTTTCAACTTGATAACAATCAAGTAGAGAATATCAAAATCATCTGTTTTTCTCAATCGACCGAAAAAAAAGTACGCATTAACCAAATATTTGCTTGACCTTCTATTTTTTCTCGATACTCTGGGGTTAGTGTCACTCGTGTCAGACGTTCTCTTCGATAAGATAAAATGTCTGATAAGGATTAAATCATGATGAATAGCTTGTGAGCTATCATTTAGCTCTTTGTATGTATTTTCTACAACAAAAACATGTTTTTTTAATGTTTTGATCTAATCACATAGATATGAAAACAAAAAAAACCTCCAAACAAATGATTCTCTATTTATTAATCAATCAACAATCCCTTTTTATAAAGCATATCGAACGGAATTGGTGCTCGTTGTTCATCGGTTCCAAACAAACGACGTAATGCATCACGAGCTGCCATTTCTTCAGCTTGAGAAATCGTTGTACCGGCACCTCAAAAAAAAACAAATACATATTCGCTATTAGAAAAGAAATCTCTATTTACTTTTGCCAAGAAATTCTTTATTCGAGTAGACACCGACAATATATGTCGATAGTACACTCGATACACCTGTCGCCCATATCAGTCTATAGGACACAAAAGGCAAAGGATATAAATGATTAACGGTGGTATTTTTAGTCACAAACCGGGATTCAGGCGCTTGTCTTCCATCGTCTTCCAAGACTTTTGTCAGTAAACCCATAGGATTCTTGATCTGCCAGATCTCATTGATATCTTTGCCGATGAGATGTGTCAGAATGAAATCGGCAACGAATAATTCAGCCCGAGATCGATTCTAAACTTCGAAATAAAAATTTAAAAAATCAATGAAAACTACAACGAACATTATTCTCCTCAATAGCACCAATGAAAGCGAAGAGAGCACTTTTGAGCATTGCTGGTGGAGGTGACGGAACCTAAGAAGAGATTTCAGTCCATATTTTACAACAAAATCCATTTACATCACAACGGATCAATGTCTTGAATCCAAGCTTTGAACTAATAAACGAAACTGTTGATTCGGAAATGAGAAATTGAGTCACAGCACTAAAAAATAAAAGCATCAACATTTTACACAATTCGCATTCAAATGCACATACTCTATGCCGTCTTGAGGAAGTTTCGGATACCAATATCGAAGTGCTTTTTGTATAAACTCTTCTGCAATTTGTTCACCTAATCACCATCAAATAAATATCGATTTCGTTACCCGCCAATTTCCTACCTTTTTTAGCTAATTCACTGTTGTGTGTAAATGACAAAGCAGTTTGATCTGTCGCCGTAAGACCTAATGAAAACAAAGATATAATCTATTTCCTTGTATTAACAGGCATCAAACCTGCTTCTGTTCGTTGTTTAGTTATTTGATTTAGAAATGAAACATCAGTCATAGCACATCGTAGTACTTCAATATTCATCTTTTCGCCAAATCGATGTGTACACGCATGCAATTCCGCATCATAATTCCTGCATATAGTAACAATGAATCTTGTTTTTCAATTACACAATGCACTTTACCAGTTAATCAAAGCAGATCGAAAACGTTCTGGTTCTGGTCCAGCTTCGATTCGTCTTCGATATAGATCTTCTTTATATAAATATCTCCAACGTTCTTTCAACGGACCGAAGACGGTACCGTACCGTAATAAACGTACCATAATATCTTAATCTAAAAGGCAAACAAACTCGGTTTTTATTCGTTTTCAAACAGCGTATGATTACTGATGTGAATGAAGAAGAAAAAAAAGAACAGAAACAGGTTGATAGAAGACAAGAAAAGAAAATAGGACGGATGCAATAAATATTTTCTTTAAACATATATATATAAATCTTTACATTATGCAATATATTCATATATATTTGCACTGTCTGTCGATCGTTTCATGTATTCACGTTCAAGTAAACTTTCAATACGTGTTTTCACCATCGATGTCTAGAAGAAACGAGAAATGAGAAGAAATTGAAGTGATTGGTATTGGTTCTTACTGGTATCGGAAACTTCAATTGTGAAAAGACTTCGGAAATTAGTTGAATATGTGATAATGTTTTGCGGGTTTTCATTATACGAACAATGGCTGCGTCGATTTGATAATGTCGATCTTGAACAACACGTTGAGTTGTTGAATTATTCTCTTCAGGCTGAAATGAACCTTATGTTTAGAAAAAATTCACCGAGTTTCAGATTTACTGTTTCTTTTAATTGAACTTGATTGATTTTTATTCGAATTAATTTATGATCAAATAAAGTATTCAGTGTAAATCGATCGTCTGGATTGATTTCTTTTGTCTAAAAGATATTCCAAACCAAGTTTTACAAAATCCAAAGAGAACCGATCACTTACCAATGGTTTCTTATTTAATAAACGAATCTTTCCACACGCTAGCGATAGTACTGTCCGTTGTAATTCAATTGCAGCTGAACAATCAAGAAAATCGATAAAAAAAATATGAAAGCATCAACCAATGAATTACTCACGAATTTTAGTTTGCTCTTGAATATCTGAATAAGCGAGCTCTTGATGTTGATTAAAAAGTAAAAGAACAAGTGCTTGATACAATGATACATGAAATTCTTTGGCCGTCTAAAAACGTCATCTTTCAGATCGAATGACAGTTATCATCAATACAAACCTTTTGTTTAAGCCATCCCTTTAGTAAGCAATGATCCAATGTATATTGCCATTGCAATTTACGTCCCGTATGTTTGCTTAGATAAAAACTAGTAAAGATTTCTTGCAACCGACAGAACTACAATAGAAGAAAGTTTTCGATGTAAAACGACTTCTTTATACGAATCGATTTACTTCAGGTGGAAGAACTGCGCTGACAGTGGGATAGGTTGGCCAAAATCCCATTGTTAATACATAGACAGACATTCCAATGTTTCCCGGTGACCCGCGGCCATGCATGTACTAAAATAGCTGACGTCAAAATGTAACTCAAGGATAGAATTAAGTACCTGATCGAATGCTGTCATGATATCTTTGGATAATTCCATATCTTTGAACATGCCTTCCAGTTTACTTGTGAACACATTTCCGCATTCTAGAAATAGCAAGAAAGAAATGTGTTTCCTTATTTAGAATGAAGACAAACCTTGTTTCAGTTTGAGTAACATGGATTTTTCGGCATCTACAGATGCACTTTTACCGACTAATAAGCGTTTAGCTAAATCCTTTTTATAGAATGCTTCGAAAACATCTTTGCCATGGATGAATCGAAAGAGAATAAGCAATCTATCCAAGATTTTTTCTAATTCTTCCTCGGATGCTTCTTTATTTCCCGTACGTAGTCTTGCATCAACTGCTTTTGCTAAAAAACACGGAAAAATATCAATCTAAACGATAAAAGATTTGTTTCATTCGAACCAATCAGCTCGGCTGGTTTATTTGCCCGTTGATTGATAAAATATTCGAATGAATCTTTGAGTATATTCGAAAACTTTTCATTATCATGAAAACATTCATGAAGGAATCGATCGAGCTTTTCTTTGAAATCGAGTAAATCATCGACCAACTTGTCATCTTTCTCGGGATCAATGACCAACGCTCGACCAGTGATCTAAACAAACCAAAAGCAATATCTTTTCTTTGAATCATCAGCATTCAATTACTTTAATGTAGTTTCCAAATGCTTCACGAAGACCATTGATGCCACCAGGTCCTACTCGAGCAAGTAGATCATACATCAATGCAACTGATGCAAAGCGATTTTCACTGATGAGTGCATCAAAGTTTTTCGAAAGCATTTGTTTGACATGACTGGTGATAAGATTATTTTCAACGATATGAATCAATTGAAGTCTAAAACATCGATATCGTTTTCGAAAGAAAGCTCAAGGAAAAAAAAACAACGAATACTTTGTTGATTGATCGATGTAATTGTTAATACGGGATTGTTCTTCCCATAGACGACGTTCGATATGTGAAAGATATTGACTTAATTCTAATGTTTGAATCAATTGACGACCTTCATTACGATAAAGTTCTTCAGTCGATTGAAGAAACAACTGTTCAAAGTCAACTTTATAAAGCTGAAATGAGATACATCATAGAAAAGATGATTTCAAATTTCTTTGATCGAATTTACATGAAGATCAATCAACATTCGAATAAGACTTTTAACTAAACTTCGATCAATTGTTTCACCTCGTCGTTCTTGTTCGATTAACTTCAATAAGCCAAGCATACATCTGAAATATCATCATAGCAAATAGATATTTTCCTTCGCAATCATACCTAGTTGAAATTATTGAATTTTTCATAATATAACGACGGAATAAATCTTGACTTAGTTCCCTGAAAAACTCAATTGGTTATCAATTAAATTCATTCCAATGAAAACTTGCCAAATACTAGGTACTGATGCGTGCAATACGTAAGTTCGATCCAAGTAGATAAATAATTGACGAATAAGTATCTAAAAGAATAAAAAAATGACGAAGATTCAACTGATGAAAGTTACTTACTGAGCGAATCGAATGATCATCCCAAGTTGTATTAAGAAGACGCAAATAATCATTACTATCACCCATTTCACTACAAAAATACGAATTCGCACAGGAAGAATCTCAATTTTTAACAATAAAAACCTGAGTAAAGCTGGTAATACAGTTTGTACATGATCATCGAATACTTTTTTCAAATTTTCATAAAGAAGACTAGCTGGAGATGAATTTGTGTCCGAAGTTGATGTTATTGTGCATAAATGTTCAATATGTCGATACAGTTGTTCTTCATTTGTTGGACTAGTGGTACCATTGAGAATAGCTTGAAGTGCTTGTTTAAGTAATGGCCAAATTTTATCGAAATAATCAGGTGGTGGAGCTGATGTCGAACCTAGGTGAAAATGAAATTAATCATTTGATTTCTTTTGAAAGTAAAAGGAATGTGAAACGAACTTTTCAGGTTTTTAATCACAAGTTTTTTTGTTGTTGTGCTTGAAGAATTTTGCGAGGATAAAAATGTAGATGATGCACCATTTGGATAACGACTGTGTATATCTTTCTCCATGAGGAATCGTTTCTTATGTGAAAAGTACACAAATTTACTGTGTATGAGATTTCCGTTCGTAGTCAACCAATAAATATATGTCACTCGTTTGTCACATTTACAAATGAGTCTAGATCACCATTCAATTCAAGTTAACGACGAACGAAGAAGGAATTCTATGTTATGTTTTGATCTGTATGATAAACTGACTCTATTTTGAGTGTAATAAAAAATAATCGACAGCTGATTACATGAATCTGAAATCTGATTGGTTGAAAATCCAGCAATGGAAAAAGTGATACAATGGATTCATACAGAATAAAGTTTATAATAAGATTTCATTAATTGATCAAATGGCATCTACATTCGAAGAAATTACCAAGTTTCTTCTCTCTCGTAAACCATTACCACCTTTACTTGCTCCACCACCGCTCGATACATCGAAACGCGTATCCAGTACACCATGGAATCAAGCATTGCATGATGATATAGCCCGACTACAAAATGATTCAACAGTTCCCCTATTTGCGATTGCCAATCTTCATTTATTCAATGATGATATCGGTTCATGTCATGATATTGTCGAAAAACATGGTGGTCATGCGATTGCAGACTATTTGCATTATATACTTCATCGACGAGAAGGCGATTACTGGAATGCAAAGCACGTATAGCCATACGAAAACGAGAGAGTGTTTGTTCATGAGGAATTCTTTCTGTTTAGATGGTGGATTCGTCAACAGAAAAGTCAAGAATTTCAGTCAGTTTATCTGACACAGAAATATGATGGATTCAGTAATCAAAAAAATTTGAATGATTTATCAACGAGTGCCAAACTAGCTGAAGCACAGACACGTGCTCAAGGATTTGTAGATCGTTGTGAACAAGTAGAAAAGCAAGCTGATAGTCAAGAAAAAGATCATTTAAAACAATTGCAATGGGATGAAATGAAAACTGTTTTTGATTTTGCCCGAAAGTAACCGGTAATAGTTGTTTTATTTTGTAGCCAAGCTAATTCATTTTAATAAAAAAAATGTTCTCGACAACGACCTAACAATGATGATTTGAATTATAATGCCACACTTTTGTATCAAGAGTTAAGAACATAGTTTTGTAATGAAAAACAAACTTCATCTATTGTAAATGGTGCCCATTTATCTGTTAAGGCAGGATCCAGCAATAATTCGAGAACGTCAGGTGGACAACCTCTTCTCTTCCGATATTTTCCCATTACTTGTAAAATTAATTTTCTTCGTTCTTGAATGCTAGTCTTATCTCTATTGTGAAAGTCATATAACGGTAGTGATCGATAAAATAATAATGGATAAACAGATGATTCATAGATTCTGAGAATCTCTTTTCTTTGCTGTTCAGTAGTTAACTTTGTCTTTGTAGGAAACAATCGTTGGAGTACATAAATAAGGTCTGGCTGATCAAGAACTCGATGAAATGTAGCAAGAAATATAGAATGTAACGGCGTTGAAGATGCACCATCGAATCCGGCAGATTCTTGTAATTTATTATAAGCGAGTTCATTCCGGTAGAAAACAAGTATAGTCACTAAATCAATCGGTATAATCATTGATCTTAATGGTAGTTGATCGTAATCTGGTTCTGCGTACTTTTCACGAGATTCTAATGTGAATCGGATACGCGCTCGTTTATTTGATCGCGAAGTTTTGTACCGCGAATCGAGCAAGATATTTTGCTCTGGAAATTTGCCACCTTGTAGACATTCGTTGTATTTCATTGTTCCGCTCATATGTAACGGACGATTAAGATCATTGCTCAATGGAATCATACTCCAGCCGCAAGCAATTTCGCAAGTTTCTTCATTTATTGTTGATTGGCAAAATTGTGATAACTCAATAAGTAAATATAAAGATTTCGACGGATGGTATTCATTTGAACGAATGAGAAAAATCAATCCTTCATCGATTACTGGAAGTGTTTGATAAGGATAAGGAATCCAGCTTTCAGTTATATCAGTCGCTTTTGATTTTTCGGAGATCTTCATTCGACTTGAATGGATATTAGAAATGATTTCAGAACCATCATAAAGACATATACGAATGCAGCGATTAAGTATCTCAATCTAAATAGAGATACGATTAAGTATTTGAGGAGAAAACACATGGATACCGTACATTTGCTCCGGTAATCTTGGGTATTTTTGAACACTTTTTAATATTGAGAACTTTTTTATATGTAGCTGGATAAGCACATATACGATCGACATCATACTGCCAATGCAGGTCAGCAAAGGTCAAGTTCGATTCGGTCATCTTTGGAATTAGCATGTAGGATAATTTATACCGATCTTTTTTAATCAATGATGTTAAACTTGATGCGGAAAATCCTGATGGAATATTATTATTCGTTTTGAAAGCTTTGACAAGTGATGATGCTGATGATGTCTGAGCAATTGGTTGCCATTGTCTTGATTGGTTTGGTACTTTTTCACTGGGCTGAATGTAATTAATAGGCACTAGGCCTTCTCGTTGAGTTTGAGCATTTTTAAATAACCACCAATCATCATCATCATGTTGTTTGACGAGAATTAAGTGCTCGTCCTTATGTATTGCTAAATCACCGATTTCTTCACCGGCGAAATCGCGTAGAACGCGAAACAATGTTCCCGGTGTATATGTTGTTCTTCGAAGTTGACGTAAATTCATATCTACTCCACCTGGTTCATCATCATCGTCATCTTCGGTAAGACTTTGTTCCGGGGTTTGATTTGAAGCTGTTAGTTTGTGGCGATTCGATGCCACATAAGCTTGTGTAGAAGTTGATGACAATGACGAGGATGATGAAGAAGAATGAAGTTGAACTGGTGGTGGATTCATATTTTTATGTAGTGGTGTTGATGTTCGCGATTGGTAATTATGATCATTGGTAATGTGTTTACGATGCGGCTCTGCCGACTGATCAGAATTTTTGTTTTCTGATTCCTCGTCCTCATCTTCACTGTCATCTTCTTCGCTCGATGTCGACGCTTCTTTGAATTTTACTACTTGAGGCGAATTTGACGTTCCTAAACATATTTACACGGAATGAATATACTAATGCATGAAATTCTCTACCTTGATTTCTATTGTTCGGTAGAACTACACTTTCTTCATCGCTGACCGCTTCTTCGTCGGATGACGATGATGATGTTGTATCTTCAGGTTTAATTAGTGGATGTCTACTAGCTAATGCTTCAATTCCTTTTGTAGGAGCAAATGGTCGTGCATTGACATCAACTGTTTCTTCGAAATGTTGATTGAATTCATGTAATCTTTTCGAAAGATTCGATAGTGTATCCAATGCATCTCGTTTTACTTGATCGAATGTTTCCATTGGCCAATTAGAATCCGATCCTCTTGCCATAGCATCCATTCGTGTTCGAAGATCATTGATATTTTCATTGAAATTTCTGATTTCAGTTTGATTTCCATCTGACGTCTCTTTCTGTGTGTTCAAATAAACTTCCACATCATTTTTTACTTGGTTGATCTCATCCAATAACTTCTGCATGTTTCTTCGAAAGTGACCCTACTACACATATATCATCATCTAACACATTTTTCACTCAATAATTTATCTTTAGTGATTATAGTCATATCAGGTGCACTCGAAACAGAGTCGCGTAGTGACCATTGATAAGAAAAGAAGAAGAAGCATGTTATTGCTGATACTGTCTTCGCTGAATAGATCATCGTGTACTTCTTTATTGATAGCAACATGGATTGAAATCCTATGGACCTGAGATGAATTAGTCAGATGTATTGATTTGTATATCGTGGCAACGATGACGATGTTTCGTTAAAGAAAAAGAAACGAAAACTTATATTATTAGTAATAACAAAATCTACTACAAATATATTGTAATGTGAGCTTCTTTTATCAATATACAGACGTCAATGTTGATGTTTTATTTTGCGAAATTGATTCATGAGATTGATTTATGGCTTCTGATATTAGAAAATCGATTTCCATTTATTTTAATTTTCAATCCTAAATCTATACTGCTTATTTTTTGTTGTTATATGATCAATGTATAAAGTTTGCAAGACCTTTTTGATAGTCAGTACTTCTCGAGAAAAAACAAGAATTAAGCGGAATGGTTAGACCAAGACTTTGTCCTAAAGATTCTAATTTAATTGTTGAAATAATCTCTTCCATTAGCAGAGTAACATTCCTCTGATCGTAATGATTCTAAAGGAACAATTTATCTAATACTCATGTATAGGCAAGTTAAAGGGTATAAAGTAAAAATAAGGGAAGATAAGATACGCTAGCTGCGAGAATAAGGGTATGTATGAATAGAAGCACAAGTTAACATGATTGATGCGAAATATCTATATGAAACATGTATAGGCTAATCGTTACGCTCAACAGTGCTGATTTCAACATCAATATGTTACATGTCTATCACTTGTTTTTTGTCCGATGACATGTGTGTTAATTTTCTCTCTTCATTCTATATGTTCTGTTTTGCTCTTTCTCTTTTGATTTTTTTTTCGATCTGTTATCCGTTGTAATCCATTTCCGAGCTTCTCCTAACACATCTATGTGTGCGACAGATCTTTTAGACCTAAACATACATGATATTCTATCGTATTTACCTCGCTGGTGTATTCTATGCGAAACAGAGATGGATGTTCTAATAATAGTAAATCACCTTTAGAATTTGATCAGCTCTTCATATATTTTGTCCAGTATGAATAGTATAAATCGTGCGGAGATCTTTCCTTGTATAGTACGGAACATGATAAACCCTTTTCAACAGCGTAAAATAGAGGTGATTAACTCACGTTCTTTGTGCCTTAGTGAAGAGTGAGAACAGAGCAAACACTCATGTAAAATGAGGAAGTGTAAAGGTCGAGAAAAGTATACGTCTTAACTTGGTGGAAGGGATCCCGTCATAAATGAAAATACTTATAAATGCAGTACTTCAGCGTGTTTTTAACCATAGCTTGTTAATAATAATATGATTAAACTATCCAAGTTTTATATGTAGTCGATACTCACTGCACTTAAAAATGTCGATTTATTCAATCACTTATTAACCACATTTAAGTGATGGCATGAGATTTCTATAGCACACTGCTCAAGTAGAGAACATTGTTTGTGTATTGACACAATTAGCCGGTAGAACTGCTAGAATAGACTAGAATTCAAGTTTCTCTATTACGATGCGTAATCATCGTTTCGAATCGATGTATTGTTTCATCAATTCAATCAAAATATGGCAAGCGACTACTGCAGCAAGATCATCTACGACGAAGAAGCACATTATTTCTGATATAAAATCAGTCATATAATCATGATATGCTGTTAAACAAAGTTGAAGTTAAACTACACCCTTGAGGATCACCTCTATCAATTACAAACCATATCGATCTCCTATCTTGTATTTCAATCACAGTCCTATCTGACTACATAATCAAGCTTTACTCCGTTTTACATACATATGTATCTCGAATGTCGATTCTTCGACAGTTTATCCAAACAACTTTTTAACTAAAGTTGGCTAAATGCAGAGTTGAAATATGCATATACTGTAGCCACTGACGGACTATTTGTCATGTATGATGCAATTCGTTCGATAAGTAATAACAATCTTGTCTGGATACGATGATCAGTTCTAAATCCTGATCGATTGAAATCATTAGACTTCAATAAACTTCTAAAAGAGAATTTGACTAACACGATCTCAATTACAAGCCATGAATCATCAGTGCAGGAAGATGCAATTGTTCTTCGTAAAAAATTTGGCATCGTAACAAGGAATTGCTGCTTCCTCTAATTTCGTTTGCTTTTGGAATGTTTGCGCAATGTAAATAGTAAAAACAGAATGGCAACTACATTGCAGTCGAAATGGTGAATCTTTTCAATATCAATACATGAGAATCATTGCTTTCCAACTTGATTCATCTGATAAAATAAATGCTCTTCAAATGGCATTTAAATATTCTGTACATTAACAATGCAATATGAATCAATACATTATCAACGAACAACTGTAATATAATATTTTAATTAAAAAGTGTAATGAAGACATAGTACTCTTTCTACACTAGGTTATTTCAGTTTTGCTTTTCCACAGCAAAGCAAAATTACAGTGTCACTATAGACTTGTTTTTTATTATTCAATTCTCTTGTTCTCTTCCTTATGGGCTATTCCCATCAAAAATATGCTCTTTTACTTTTCTTACTTTTCTCCCATGACTTCATCATTCTTTCTCGTTTCAATGATCGATATTTACATTATATATATATACTCGTTAGCTTCTTCTCTATCGGTAGTTGAATATTAGTTTTGTCAAATAAATAACTTATCTTTTTTCTTCTTCGTCGTATATAATGTTCCTCTTGTTATTCTCGGTGATTTTTCTCTTCTCATTGAACTAAGTTCATTTTTGTTTCTTTCGAAATGAATGTTTATTCTCATTCATTTGAAGATTCTTATCTGATCTTTATTCAAATCCGGATAGGGTAAGTTTTTTCAACAAATTGCAGACGAATCCCATTGATAATCATAATCATTTCACCTTTGAATATTACGAAAGAGCACTCACTGGTACATTTTCTACGGAAAAATTGACTCATTTTATCATTAAAAGAATCTTCTTGATTGTGATAAAGTAGATCAAGTATTCGAGTAATGAGAATGGAACATAAATAGAGTCAGAATATAAGAAAAAGAACATCGTCTTCTATAGTCAAAATTTAAAACTTCTCTAAATTCTAATCGAAAGAAATATTTCAGATTGAATATTTAATTTGCATATAAGTATATATATCCGGAATGAACATAAAACAAGTTTTTCTGTCCTCTTGGATATATGAAGATAAGGATTCAAGAAAGAATAACGATTAGATATTAGTTTTGTCGTCGTGATGATACGCTAGAAACATTCATTTCATATGTTCATAAGTTTCCCTTTTTTTTTATAATAAGTATAAAACTAAATAAGAATGAATAGAAATAGAAATGAAACAATCGAATAGTATTTATTTTGTGAACATTTAGATAAAAAGAAATGTCGAGTGAGACAAATGAACGCGGCATTAAAGTATATACATCTCGTCCATGGGAATTGATAAAAACAGGCTTTTTAGTTGCAACATGGATTGTTATGGTTAGTTTTGTTTGAAATAAATATCTACTGAACTTATTGACCGTTTCTAGGGTGCTCATTTAGCGTTAGCGGCACCGACATTAGATATTTTAGCTTCTCAAACAGGAGTTTTATATGGTGGTATAAGTACAATACTAATGGCACGCAGTATTGGTTATATGTTTGGAAATATAGTTGGAGCGTTAGCGCAAGAAATTGTTAAAAAGTATTCCGAAAACTTGTTATCGATTTCATTTCTAATTGCATCGATTGGTAAGTTGAAAAGTTGAACGAAAGATTTGTTGAAATGAATTTTATGTAGCTGTTTTTGCAACACCTGCGATTACTAATTTATATCATCTTTCAACAGTATTTTTCTTCCAAGGAATATCTCAAGGATGGACTGATCTTGGTTAGTTTTGTTTTTTCGTAGAAAAAGTATTCAAATTGATCGAATTTTATCTTTGTAGGTGGTACAAATTCAATGTTAACAATGTGGGGTGGTAACGTCGCTGCTCCACTCAATGTTGTTCATTTGGGTTATGGTCTTGGTTCTGTTTTTGCAAATTTAATTGTTAAACCATTTCTAAGAGAAGATGGAAATAGTACTGTATCATCGGTATCTTCTATAATTCCAGTTGAAATAGAAAAATCGAATATTCAAATTCCATATTCGATAGTAGCAGTTCTTTGTTTATTAATCAGTATCGGTCATTTACTATTTGGAATTTGTGAATATCGAATTCGACGTAAAATGGCTCGTCAGAATCGATCATTGAATTATTCATTAGTGTCAACAACAATTGCCAATGAAGCACAGAAAGTAGAAACAAAAAAAGTTTCGCAATATTCTCCTCGTTCATGTGGAAATGGTTATTTTAATTATGGATTAACGATGACAATTGTTTGGATACTTTATATGTTTTGTCTTAGTGGAAATCATTATACATTTGGAAATTTCTTTTTTACATATGTTAAATCACCTGAGTTCGCGATTTCAACACACGGCGCTACTTGGTTTATGATTGCTTATTGGCTTTCATATTCGGTCAGAATATATTTTATTTCATCAATAATTAGTAAAGATTCATTTTTAGGTTGGCCGTCTAATATGTGCTGTGGTCATTGTTTTTGTTCCAGTTCATATTGCTTTAAGTGGTCTATGGGTTCTTGGATTGATCTTAGCTATAGGATGGTATTTATTTGTATGGATCATATCGTTAACAAGCACAAGTCTTCTTGTTCTCGGTATATCTACTGGTCTTGTATTTTCTCCAACATTTCCATTGTCATTTGGATTTATAAAACAACGATTAAATGTTAATCCATTATTTATCGGCGTTGTCTTATGCAGTGCATCACTTGGTGCTACATTTTATCAGAAACTCGGTGGTAAGTCCAGTTCATCCTTGTAATTTTAGTAAAAAAGTGAAAATAATTTTGTCGTTTTTTCAAAAAAACAGGAGAAGTGATGGATAAAAATCGTAAACATTTTCCAACATTATTAATCGCGTGTGTGGCATTGTCAATAATACTATTTGTTTGTGCATTAATTATAAGTTCAATCCATGAAAACAAACTAAATTCCAAGAAAACTTCTCATACAACATCATCTGCCAAACCATGTTTACATGTTAATGATGACGAAAAGTAAATGGAAACATACAGAATAAACAATTATATGCGCTTCTCAGATAAACTTTATCAAATAAAATCTTTCCCACTTTTTTCCTTATGAAATAAACAAAAAGAACAATTTCGAACTTCAATCAATGATAGCAAACCTATCATGTAAAGCATCTCAATAGATTATTACGAGTGAAAGAGTAAAATAGGTTCTCAATTTAAGAATAAATAACCAGTATGAAACACAACTAGTTAAGACTTACTGATTAAGTTCTTTTGTGTAATCAGAATTTTTCAGAGAAGAATTTCAACTAAAACAAATATAAAAGATAACCTTCGTTGATAATTTTTTATATGAATAGTGGAAACTTGCATAAAAATCCGACTGGTAACATGTTACAAACAGAGATCCTCATCGTGAGAATAAAAGATTAGAAATTTCCAAGACAAGAGTTGTCCCTTCTGACATCAATCTCATGAGTCACGATAACTTTGCAAGAGGACTCGCGTGAAGCGAGGTGGGACAAAAGTTTTTGTCCCATCAGATAGGTTAAAACAAAAACGAAAATTTCTTGAGAATAGACGGAATAAAAAATTATATCAAAGAATATAATGGGACAAAATTTTTCTCCCCATCGTATGAATTTGCTTACTGTAGTAACGACGCAATTATGAATCTAACGTCTCATTTATAATCCAGCGTTTTCGCTGTAATCGTTATAGGAGAAAAATTAATCTATGGGATATACTTTTATTTAACCGACGATAGGCAAGTACCATTATAAGAGTAGCTTATTCGCATAAATGCGTAGGATAGAATTCTGTTTGTATTTGTAACATAATAAAGCTCATCCAGTTACTTTCTTTCTTTGTATTTTGACTGATCCTCTTTCTCTTTTTTTCGTAATTTTATAGATAATGTATCATCGCTGTGGCTATGTTTCGTAACCATTCGAATAATGTTTTGAAGAATATTTTTCTAGTTCTTGTGTTCGAATGACTAAGAGAGACATCTGTATCAAGAGGATTTTTTTCTCAATAAATAGAGACATTTTATTTAAAAAAAAACCTTTGTCTCATGCGATGGGACCATCTCATTTCATGCAAAGCTCTGTTTTACAATCATAGAATTTGAAAGTGTAGTGAACTATAGAGATTGTATTAGTGAGGAGAGGAGAGTCCTCCGAATTATGTATAGCTTAGTCGAATAAAATAATCGACTATCATTAATGACTAGTATTTGCTATATTTCTCTCACTTTTTGGACTTATATAAGGGCGGAATGGAAATAGCACGCTTTTTAATGTAATTTTGGTCTGCCAGTACTGATCTCATGAAGTAACTACTGATTCTTGATCGAGTTTATACTGTAGCTATCGATACGTCTATGTAAAATCAGTTAAATTCTAGACGTGTTTGCGTACATAGACTACTATTGAAGAGGTAGAGTTGCTTTACTGAAATTTTCTCTAAGTGCAAGGTATTTTCGCGAAAATCGAAATAAAAAGATAATATCCGATTTATGTTTACGAATAGATCTAATAGCCATTAAATAGTCCTTAAAATCTTAACAGCAACAAAGATATTTGATTTGCTCACAGTTTGCAAAATGGTTAATAAATAATCGACGAAAAAACTTGTTATAAATGACTTAGAAATATTTTCGCGTAAAAGAAGCATTATCATGGCTTTCCAGAGAGTATGTGTTATTTCTACAAACATTGTGAAAGGTATATGAATGTCCAAAATGTTTTTCCATACGATATAGCTAAACTTCTAGGTGTGTGTATGTTTTTCACTGATGTATCTCGTTTTCTTGTTTGAAAAACCAGAGTTACCTGAAAAATAGACTTTACCAACTGAAAATTTCGTCATGAAAGTAGAGAACTTTACTTAAGTAAAACGTACGGTCTCACTTCTAACGATCGACATCAAATCCGTACAAAAAGATACAACAATATGAGTGAATTAATATAGGAATCGAATTCATCATATTATTCATATTCATCTTTCAGAAAGAAATTTCCTATGAAAAATTTGAGATAATTAATATGGACACTACTGATCGCGTTACCATTGCACTGGATACTCAGTTGCCCTCTTATTTGTTATCTACTACATTAACCATTGTTGCCTTTTACTTCGCGTACAAACTATTCAAATATTCATGCCAAACGATTCATTTTCCTGGTCCGAAAGGTTCATGGTATAATGGAAACCTTAAGGAATTGTTAGCGGATAATGCACATGAATATTGGGTCAAATGGAATCGTGAGTATGGACAAATATTCGAAGTACATTCCTCTTGTTTTTCCCGTTTAATATTTGTGGGAAATCCTGAAGTGATCAATCACCTGTGTTTGAGAAACTATCTTAAAGATGAAAAAGTCTACAATGGTTTCAAATATCTTTCTGGCAATGGCTTATTCTCTCAATTAGATCCAGTACAATGGAAAAAGCAACGAAGTGCGCTAGCACCGAGTTTTTCTCATGCAAATGTATATCAACAGCATCATATTATGCAGGAATATATGAACATTCTCATAGAAAAACTGGATTTAGCAATCGAACAGAAGAAGTTAGTGAATATAAGTAATGAAATAACATTAATTACTATTGATTTTCTTGGTGAAATTGCATTTGGACAGACATTTGATGCTTTGAAACTAGGCGAAAATTGTCTCCTTATGCAATTATTACAATCAATTTTACCGGAGCTAATCAAATGTGCAGTGTTTCCTCTACGTGGACAATTTCCAATACTGAGAGTGACGAGAAAAATGCATGAAGATATTAAAAAACTACGATCGATTTGTCAAGCATCAATAAAAACAGCAAGAGAGATGGATGAATCAGATAGATTGTTCAAGAAGGAACGTATTTTTGAAATTTTAGCCACAACCAAAAGTTCGAATGGTCAATATGTATTTAGTGAAAAAGAATTGATTGATAATTATGTGACATTTCTCGTAGCAGGTGGTGATCCAACAGCCAGTGCCATTACATTCGCTTTATATGAACTGTGCCGAACTGAAAATGAACAAATATTACGAAAAGCTCAAGAAGAGGTTGATGAATTGCTTGATGGAAGGTCGGATTTGATCAACGAACATGATCTCAACAAGCTGAAATATTTAGACATGATTATTAAGGAAACATTACGATTGCATGGTCCTGGATTTGGTACCATACGAAAATTAAAAGAAAATCTTACTGTTAATGGTATAACATTGCCAAAAAATACTTCATTGTATATTTGGAACTATCCAGTTCATAGAGATCCAAGAATTTGGTCTGAGCCAGATATTTTTAATCCAGAAAACTTCAGAAATGTAGATGCTGGTGAGGTGAAAATGAACGGATCATATTTTCCTTTTAGTCATGGTCCACGAAAATGTTTAGGATTAAGTTTAGCTATGGCTGAAATGCGCTTTATTCTAGCTACATTTATTCATCGGTATCATTTTCGTTTAGCTGATAACTTTAAAATGATCGAAAAATCTTCTTTTACTCTTTGTCCAAGTAACGGTTTACCTGTATATATAACCAAGCGAATTTAACTATCCATTAGATTACATAAGCATTCCTTTGTTTCAGTACATTTCATACAATTCGTTTTCACATATCATAACAATAACTGGAATCATTTTTCTGTTCTATTTTTTGCTCTTATTTCCGAATGTGTGGGTGAAAGATTGCTGGCATAGCCGGAAGGTGAACAATTGTTCACTTCATTCTAATATTTGCTTATTGACTTTTATTATCTTGTATTTTTTGTACTTATTCGTGAATTATTCAATAAAAGTCTTTGTCTTTCACATAAATCACAATAATGTTTGACCAATAAGTGATATATATACAAATAAAATCATTAATTAAAACTATTCGTTCTGGAAATTCGATGATAATAATCACATTTCTTTTTCTTGCTATAAGAAGAACGTTGTTTTATCCTTTTTAACATAATTTAATAGCACTCAATTTCCGTGACTTTTATTAACACAAAGATCTGTTGATTATACGTAATTAACATAGATAAGTAACACTTCCATCCACACCTTAGTAATAAAGGATACAGACAGAGTATTTTGAAAGAAAAATCATCGATAATCATCTTATAAGAATGTCAAATATTCCGCTAGTGAGAATATTAGATCATTGACACAAGAACACATAATTAAAGACACGTTTTAGTTTTACTATCCTAACGAATATTTTCTAACAACTAATCAAAACATCTGTACCGGAGAGCTCATAATCCATGTGATGTAAAAAGCAATGCAGTTGTACTAGATTTCATTGAAAAATACTCATTAGATATGATAATTATCTCACGAGTATATGAAATCGAATTAAATAATATTTTATTTGAAAAAGTTCTTGTTGTTATTCACTTATACTTATATTATTATAACAAACTCAAGATCAATCGAAAACAAATCGTTTAAATATTTGTAAACTCGGACACTGCATCCAATAAGATTATTCTACTTCATAGAACGAAACTTCCCGGTGAAAATGCTCTATTTATTGAAGAAAAACTCCTGTTCATATGTGTGTTTCTCATAATCATCCTAGTGTAGAAGCGAGGAGAACGCTTTTCAAGATAATCGTCGAGGATCCATGAATCATAGCCATCAATTGACGCCAAAATTAATAAAAATGAATTAAACTATAAAAGCTAAAGCAATGAAAATAAATCTGTGATGATTGAAACAGGCAATTCTATCTCATAACAACTCATTTATGTAAATAATTTCCTTTTAAGACGATATTTTGCTACAGCCTGACTACATCAAAGTATATTGTAAAATTCAATTTTTTTCTTTCAATATTTGCCGAGTCGTTTAGTTCGCAATGACGTCGTTATTAGAATATGCAAATTTATAGAATGGGAGAAAACAAATTTGTCCCACCTGATTCTGTTGAATGATTTTGTTTCATTCCTTCCCATGGGAAAAAGTATTTTTTCTTTCATTACTTCTCATGGGAAAAATCGTTTATTTTACCCTATCTCACGTGGAGCCTTAGTGTATCAGCATACTAATGTATATTAGTTGTCGAAAATCAAATAAAAGTCAGCAATTTATGATCTTACAAAAGCATGTGGTGTGAAGTCAGCCATTTTCCAAATGTGTTTCTTCCATAATCCTCTTCATTGATGATTTGGAACTACTACGATATTTACCGGACGATCCGTCGGCATCTATTGGAGATGAATTTTCATTCAGGTCATACTTTTTGACACGTTTGTTTGTTTTTGATGATGAAGAAAAGTCAAGTGAATATCTATTTTCTAATTTGTAGATAAAAATGAGTTTCATCGAAAATCTTCTTAAAACGTATTCGAATGTTCATGTGCATGATGATAAACGGAAAGATGTTGAAGAAGTTATTCGTTCATTGATTAATGATGGACGAAAAATGTTGCATGTTGTAACAGATTTTGATTATACATTAACAATGTATGAAAAAGATGGAATTATTGTACCTTCGACATTTGGTGTTATCGTAAACAACGAACAACTCACTGTAAGAATTTAAATATACTCTAAATTGAAGTGTCTATCATTCTACGTACTGTTATATTAGTTAAAGCTACTTGAGTAGTAGTTGATCGTCGTGTCATTTTATCAGTCTCCTAGATTTTTCATGAGATAACTTTCCCAAATTTGTTTATCATAATCCAGACATGTACTGGGAACTCAGCAAGATGATCTTGATGGTAGAGCACAGTGATAAGGATGTACACTATTGTCACCTTTGCTTAGTCTTAGAAGCTCATTGAATAAAAGAAGTCTTCTCTCAAAAAGCTTTTTATCAGCTTGAAAGACAACACACGCAATGGTGAATATTATTAGAATCGGCTTGGATCATGGACTTCTCTTTCTGTTCAATCACTCAAGTTTTCAGTGTTAAGGATGCCTAAAAAAACATCTGTAATGTGATAAACATCGATACAAATAACTGAAGCGCAGAAGTGATTGTACGTGTCAAATGAAATACGATTCGGATGATGATCTTAGAGAAAACAAAATGAAACGATCGAGTACGAATTCATGTATAAAAGCCGTTTTTAATCATATTCAATCAGAAAAGACGCTCAGCAAATCGAGTTCAGACATCGAAGCAGCATTCATTCACTGAAAAAATGTAAATAACCTAGTAATCTCTACGAAAAATCATTAAATAGTTCAGACACATTGAAATGAAGTTGCGAACGAAATGTAGTGAAAATAGTTTATATTAATTCTTCTTTCACCCTGAGTAGTCATTTTAGTAATCCTACTGTGACCTGTAAATTGATACAAGTTTTGCACATATAAATATGATTAATCTATGATGAAATTTTGATTTAGCTACCTGATGGTTCATTCGTTCGTGATCGAGCTGCTGAATTACGTGCAAAATATCATCCGATTGAGCATGATGTTCATTTAACTGTAGAAGAAAAAACTCCACATATGGTTGAATGGTGGCATCAATTACAATCTCTTCTTCTTAGATCAAATCTCAATCAATCATTCATACATCAACTAGTCAATCAATCTGAATTGCATTTACGAAATGGCGTACGAGAATTTATTACAGAATTATTACAAAGTCAAACGCCGATTCTCATCTTTTCCGCTGGTCTAGGTAAATAAATATCTCGTGACACAAAAATTTCTAATCAAGATGAAATTTTAGGTGATGTTATTGAACTTTGTTTAAAAAAAGAAATTCCTGAATTCAAACATAATCATGAATCTTCACACATTGTTTCAAATTTTATTCAATACGATTCCAATGGCTCTTTGATATCATTTAGTAAAAAAGTGATGCATTCACTAAACAAAAATGAACATGAACTGCATGATACATCCTATTATCAATCAATTCTTAAACGTCCGAATGTTATTCTACTCGGCGATTCGCTCGGTGATGTTGGAATGGTCGGTGGAATGAAAAATTTAAAACATGTCCTCAAAATAGGTTATTTAAATCGAAGTACACCAGCAAAGTTAGAGGTGTATAAAAATGTTTTTGACATCGTTATCTGTGATGATCAATCTTTTCATATTCCAAATGTCATATTAAATGCATGCTAACTTTGGTTTTCTCTTTCTTTTATAATAAAGAAAAACAAAAATTGCCTGATCGATGTACATGGATAGTTGATTTCGGATAAAACTTCGTTTTATTGTTATTTTATGTAAAATATTCGAAGAAGGAATAAGAATAAAGTTCATTTCCTATAGTATCTCTGATCAGGTAGAATAGAAAGAAGCGATGCTCTTATTACACTTGCGCATATGAATGATTATCAGCGATACAAATCCAACTCTTCAGAAGAAATTATACCTCTTTTTTTGCTTCTTGAAACTTTTCATGAAAAGTAATCAAACATAAGATGTGAATGTTTCTCATATGCTTTTGACTTCACTAACATCCTTAAGATCCTTTGCATTTCTAAAAATAGATGTTCATAAAGAATTATTTGATGATATCAATTAAAATGTTACTTTGTTTTCGATCTACAACCACGAATAGATTTTTCTCGGTTTGCTTTACTAACTGGTGCCTTAACTCATTGTGTATTTTCGTTTGTAGTTGTAGGAGCAAATGGTCGTGCATTGACATCAACTGTTTCTTCGAAATGTTGATTGAATTCATGTAATCTTTTCGAAAGATTCGATAGTGTATCCAATGCATCTCGTTTTACTTGATCGAATGTTTCCATTGGCCAATTAGAATCCGATCCTCTTGCCATAGCATCCATTCGTGTTCGAAGATCATTGATATTTTCATTGAAATTTCTGATTTCAGTTTGATTTCCATCTGACGTCTCTTTCTGTGTGTTCAAATAAACTTCCACATCATTTTTTACTTGGTTGATCTCATCCAATAACTTCTGCATGTTTCTTCGAAAGTGACCCTACTACACATATATCATCATCTAACACATTTTTCACTCAATAATTTATCTTTAGTGATTATAGTCATATCAGGTGCACTCGAAACAGAGTCGCGTAGTGACCATTGATAAGAAAAGAAGAAGAAGCATGTTATTGCTGATACTGTCTTCGCTGAATAGATCATCGTGTACTTCTTTATTGATAGCAACATGGATTGAAATCCTATGGACCTGAGATGAATTAGTCAGATGTATTGATTTGTATATCATGGCAACGATGACGATGTTTCGTTAAAGAAAAAGAAACGAAAACTTATATTATTAGTAATAACAAAATCTACTACAAATATATTGTAATGTGAGCTTCTTTCATCAATATACAGACGTCAATGTTGATGTTTTACTTTTCAAAATTGATTCCTAAGATTAATTCATGACTTCTAATATTAGAAAACCGATTATCATCATTATATCAATTCAGTTACTAAAACTATACAGTGAACTAAATGATAATTTCTTGTCGAGGTCTATTACAAATCGTTTTCTTTTTGTTCTTCTATTCTTTTGTGTTGTTCTGTGCACCGATCTAATTTTATCCAATTCCCTCTTCTTCGCATTTATATCGATGTCATTGAAAGTGCATTTCATTTGTCTTGAATACATTGTCAATTAACAAATATTGACTAGTTTATTCCTGCTAGTACAACTAAACTTTTGTTGTTAAAACTCATTTACACATCCATTGATTGATGTTGATAGTATCGAACACTTCATTCGTCGAGAAGTAATATTGGTCCAACAGGAGAAGAGAGACAGGTGATCCATTATTTGTCTTTTTCAGGCTTTTTTGTTTCATCGTTTTACTTCATTTTTTTTCTTCATTTTTCTCAATTTGATTTTCAAACAAGTGAGTAATGTCATGGACACTCGGAAGGAAAAACGACAAAACAGCTTCCTATGAAATTAGAGAGGTAATGATCGAATTACGAAAAGGACAACAATACCATCACATAACGAATGACGCGATGGTAAGTAGAGTGCTCACGAGAATGAAACGAAGGTATGCGGGTGGCTGCTGATCTAAACGAAATGAAGAAGGGTGGGGGATAACAAAAAAAAAAAGAGAACTGTACTTTTATCAAAGAGAATGATGACGTGCTTTTCGCTTTAATATACAGAATAAAATTGAGTGTGAGAGGATCAACATTAGAAATAAAAGAGAGATTTGCTAAGAAAATTCTCAATTAATCATTGTGTAATCATGTCTACTTGTTTGTCTATGTTAAAAAGCGTATAATTTGATTCGAAGTATTGTTTTCACGTAAGTATTTTTTTCGTTGTATTTTGTTTTGCTTTTTTTCAATACCACTCGACCTTCATTCGTTTTTCTCTTGTCATATCTTTTTCTCTCTCTGTCTCTCTTTCATCCAATACGTTAAGCTTCTATTTGAACACTACCAGTATCACTTTGCGTCGATATTACGAAGGCGATTCGACTGAACATGTTTGTATTGATTAATTTGCACTTTCTACTTGTCGCAAGACGATTAGAATTTATAGATAGGTATACAACACTTCTTCTCTGTCTCTCTCGTTTTCAAAGTATTCATCTCATCGTGAATAGACAGACTGATGCGTATTTGTTCGAAGCTTACATGAACACGTGCTCATACCAGTATGTTGTTGTCGCAGAGAAAGAGAGACGATAAAGAAAGGTGATTATTGCATCTTTTCGTTCAAATAATGAACAATACGTACGTACATACGTACATACATTCGGTCAACGACAAGTAAGTGCCAATATATATGTATATAGGATGATCAAAGTTTGTTCTGTTTCTCTGTCTATTGATAATTACAGTCTTGTTCATCGTTAGATGAGTGTATTTGAGTATTCATTGTCTTGTCTATCTTTCTAGATGGCATTTGCACAATTTCGAATATTATTTAAAAAGAATTTTCTACTTCGTCGTCGACAACCGGTAGATAGTTAAATTCTTTTATTCATCAGTGAAAATCTTCTTTAATTTGTCTCTTAGGTTCTCTTTCTTTTTGAACTCGCTTGGCCTTTATTACTCTTTTCTATTGTTGCAATTGTTCGAAAAACTTCACCTGTTCAAAATCGACCAGCATGTAAGTTCTCCCACTTGCTTCCAACAAAACTTAACTTCTCTGAATTAGGTTATCACAATCCGATGCCATTACCTAACAGTGGTACAATAGGTTTTCTCCAAAGTTTCTTGTGCAATACCAATGTCAGCTGTCGTTCAAAGCCCTTCGATGCTCAAACATCGTCGCTAAAAAATTAGTAACTAATCTGTACTTTAAAAGATCTTCTCTCAAGAAAATTTCTTGTTCATTCTCTAGTCTTCCATCGGTTTACGACGGTATCCTTGGATTGACTGAAGCAGAAGGTGTAAATACTGTTTTATACAATTTACCTAATCTAACACGTAGTGTTGATCATATCAATAATGCATTCAATGATACATTCTTACAAAAACTTCTTGATGGAAGATTTTCTATTGCTGACCTTTTCAACAACACTAAAGAATTACGAACTGATTTAATTCAAACTGGCTTATCCAATGATTTAGTTGATGACTTTCTCAATGGATCGTTTGATTTAACAGAAATTTATAACTCATTCAATAAGACAATCAATTTAGAACCATTCTGTCGAATGAGTTTTCTCAACCATATTCTCACCGTCGATGATTCTGATAATGCCGAGATCGTTATTAAAGCGTTATGCCAATTGAATGTTCGTAACTTGACAATGGACTTAAATACATTCATTAATGATTTGAATATTGATACATTGAATCGATATGTAAGTTTCATTTAGAATACTTGAAAGCTAGAAGTGTACTTTTTGTGAAAAATACAGTTCGGTAACCTTTCGCAATTGATCAATGGAGACGAGATTCAAAATAAGATTCAACAATTGAGAGACTTAGAACAAACTGTCAGGCAGCTAAGTGGATATGGAACATTGTTACAAAATTTACCGAACATGACCGAAATCGCACGGATTATTCCCCGATTGATTCAAATTATTGAATTAGTGCAAAATGAACGAGATCTCATTCAACTGTAAGTTTTGTAAATTGATTAGCAAAAAAGTTTACGAACGATTTGATTTTAGTGCCGGTCAAATGTTAGCAGATTTGCATGTTATCACTGAAGAGCGTATCATCTTGCAGCTATATGAAATCACCCAAATGTTCGTGGATTTTCTTCAGCGTTATGATAATATGAGTAAGAAGACTGTTGTTTGTAACAGCGATCTATCTAATTTCTTTTAGCACAAAGTCTCACGGCACAAGATTTATTTCGAAGTATATCACTGAACACTACTTTGCAATCGTATTTAACGATCACCAAAGCATTTGAGAACCAAATCTTCAACTCAAGAATCAATTTTCATGTCGTGAGATTGATTCGAACTGAGTCTTGGTCTCTTCTGAAGTTATTTGTTTTAGTTAGCGGAATTTCTTGTGGGCAAAATAACCGGCGCACCGAGACATCGATCCATATGTCTTCAGCCTGGTTATTGGAATCTATTCATCTTAGATGAACCTACATCAAAACACTTGAAGGATCGTGTCGAGCGTTACTGTGGTATTCATAACAACATTGATCCAATTTACAATAATTTCTTCGAGGGTCTTCGCTTCGATCAGGTAAAACGAGTGATTGATCGTTGAGAAAACTCTCAGTTTAATTTTAGTTACAAAAATACTTCGATGATATGCACTTTCCACCGATGGCATTCGAAGGTTTAACAAATATTCTGTACACGTTCAACAAAGCGGGATCCGTTGAAAATGATCTTCGTTTAACATTCGATAGTGTGTCAGCCGTTAGTGAATTATTAACCAGAACAAAAACAGCTGGACTGAATCTCTATGCGTAAGTAGTATATTTCATTGAAAGTGATAATAATTTTTGCTTCGGATTCTAGTTCATATAATTTCGTTAAACAAATGACGAGAACGTTCAATCCAAATCTATTGAAACTACCCATTTTCAACACATTGGATATTGCAATACCAATTCTAACACCTTTAGTCAATTTCGATCAACTTGTTTCTGTGATTGCGGGTATTCCACGTGGAACAATTGATAATATCGTGAATAGTGTTAATCAAATCAATAATTTTTTGACTACACCAGCACCAACGAGAGTAATTTTGTCAAAAATGAATAGACATGGTTTCATAAGTTTTATTTCTGATCTAGCTGATGCGTTTGACAACAACGGTGAATATGTCAAACGTTGTTACAACAACTACGCCCCGAACTCGAGCTCGATATATCGATTGGGAAACACTGTATCATGCGAATAATTTTCTAAAACGAAATGCATCGAAATCATTTGTCATCCCCGCCAACATGACACCCTATCATCAATGGATTAAACGGCAAAAACGAGTAAATCAATTTTCACTTCATAATTCTCATAATCTATCGTTATCTTTGTTTAGCAATTGGATATTTTTAGTAGTTTTCTTGCCCAACCACGCGTGTCTGATTCATCATCTTTGGCTTTTGTACCTGATTTCGTCAAAATGTTCAATTCATTCTCTCCTGAAACATTGGAACTCCTTTGTATTGAACCATTGATTAATCTCATTCCAAATGATCCTGTTCTTAGCTATGTCTTCGGCGTTGGTCGTTTATTCGAATTGGTCAACACGTTTATGTCGATCATAACATCAACAAATCGTATTCGTTGTTTAAAAAATCCTAATAGTGATTATGCAGAAATTTCACAATTTCTTCGTCTGAACAAAACTGTCGGCGTGGTAAGGATTCATAACGAAAACTTTCTCTCATTATCTTTCGCTTTTGTAAAGATTCGTGAATTGATACAAAATGGTTTTCAAGCGAAATTCAGTTGTTCACTAATCGTTGATGTTGTGAAAAATATTCAAGTCTATCAAAATCTTGCGCAAATTATGCAACATAATACGATCAGTCTTGATACGCTCGAATGTTTCAAACAAACAATCTTACAAACACTCGAACGATTGAAGATTCTGCCTGGTTTATTTCGTTTCATCTTTAGTGACATGTCACTTATCCAGTCAATTAAAAAACTTACACCGTTGATTCAAATCTTCTCACCGATATTTTCTTCGAATTCATTTAAATTTGTTCAGATGAATGATATGATCGAAGATGCGAATAACTTCACGTTGTTTTTACAACAAAAACGAAATATCACGCTGAATCATTTGTATTTTAATACAAGATTGGTAAGAGAAGCTGAAAACTAATGAAGATACTCATGTTTTTTCGTTCATAAGGCCCATTTGAACTCACCGGATGACTTGAGACACATTTTTTGTAATCAAAAACAAATGAAGAACTATGTCATCTCATTCAAAGACTCTCCGGAAACATTAGAATGGATTTTATGTCGAAGTGAATTGCTGTACAATCAAACTTACCAGCAATTTATCGAACAATACGGTAAATCAATACAAATGAAGGTAAGTAGAGAAGATTTCTTTCTCTGTCACAGAATAATTCCTTTTACGATGTTGAAGAAATTTAATGGATTGGATATTGAACGTTTATTCAATGAAATGCCGTTTATGCAAAGCGATTTCGAACGATTAGCCAATGAGAATCAATGGTTAATGAATCTTATGGGTGGATTTAGTCAAGAAGAAATGTCACCAATAGACATCTACAAACTATTCATGAATTTTACAACGCACCTTCCGGAATTCGATACATTGAGAGCGAAGTAAATGACGAAACACTTTTTTTCACAGTGAATTCATCTTCGTTTGCTTTTAGTGTATCGTACTTGGTGGAAAAATATTTCTGGGCATTGCCGGATGAGAACATGCAGAAAATGATTCTGTCATTGGTCGATGGTCTTCAAACAATTCATGAATTGAGTATTATTTTGCAAGAAAATTTAAATGGATGTAAGTAAACTAATTAAATTTGAATGAAAATCAAAAGACGCACCATTTCGACTTTAGTACCTCTGAGAGATGCGTTTAAAAATTTTACATTCATTCTCAACAAACTCCGACGGGATTATGGATTGCCACCATTGACTATTCAACTCTTGTCACAAGCTCGTTTGTTCAAAGATCCCATAGTAAGACAAGTGATTATCCCATTTGGATATTTTAACGGATGTTTTCTAGATTTTATTCAATTTGTATACTGAATATCATCAAACAGTTTGTAATGCGAATTCATTGAATGCGACAATTTATAAAACTTGGCCTTATTTGAAATTTAATGAAAAATTCGATATCAAAAAGTTATCAGAACGTCTATGCGAAATGCCATTGGAAAATCAGGCCAAACTTATTCGATCATTGATGAAACACTTGCTCATACCAGATAAAATACAAAAGGTAACTACTAAATATTCTGATAATCCATCCTACATTCGTTTGTTTCCCTTTTTGAGTTTGTTAAAAGTGGTGGCAAGTACATCGTCGATCTGGTGAATATGGATGACAAAGAAGTGGATGTTTTCAAACAAGTAGGTCCAATTGTCAATGATGTGAATGAACTACTCAGTCGCGTCAAACGATTGAATCAACAAGTAGACGCATCGCAAAGTAAAATCACATGCTGTTGAAAAAAAAGAAATGAATAAAACGTTTTTTCTTTGCGTTTTTGATCATTTAGATCAAGATCAATTTTCAAAGATAACGAATATATTCTGTGCAGAAATCGACAAACCCTCAAATCCACAACGGCAAGTGCTGGATGAAGAAATCTTTATCGAGCAAAATAAAGATCAAACAAAGAAAAAAAATGAAACTGAATCAATCCCGCAACAACGATTGTCAGAATCGTATGATGAAGGTGAATATCAATTTCGAAAAACAAATTTTGTCCACATAAAACTTGTCACTAGATAATAAAGTCGATTGTTCGGATATACGACGAAGTATTGAGCAAAGTAGTGATAACGGATATATTATTTGGCCATTGATTAAACCGTTGCTAATGGGAAAGATTTTATATGCACCAGCTACACCTGTCTCGAATGCAATTATTGCGAAGGTAATGTTGAATCTATGGCATTCGTTACAGATAGAGACAAAATTTTCTTTTCAAGGTTAATAAAACATTTGAAGAGCTGGATAAAATTCATCAATTTGCTAAAGCTTGGGTCAACTCTCCACTCAATCTAACGGCGCTATTAGGCGACCTACAAAACACGAATAACATCAAAGTAACATTCTCTTCGTTTATCTTTCAATTATTCAACTTGTTTATTTTATAGAAAGTTTTGTCGAATCAATTCTTTCAAGAATTGTTTAGCAATATCATAGGAATGAATTCATACGATATTCAATCAATTACATCAATGTTGGACAATTTCAGTGGCGAGGCCAATGCTGATGTGCTGAAAAATGTAGAAGCTATTATGAAACAATTCAGTGATTATTTACCATGTATTGAACTAAATCGTTTCGAAGCACTTCAAACTGAGAATGAGCTCGTCGAACGTGCGAAAGAACTTCATCGAAATAGAATGGTCATAGCCGGTACTGAACACATTTTTTTTTTGGTTTCAGGAGTAAAATCTCAATGAATTTGTTTGTAAAATTCGTAGGTATTGTCTTCTCAAACTTGAATAGTTCGAATCCGAACGCGAACTTCCTTCCACCGCATATTCATATCAAAATTCGTATGGATGTCGATAGTGTACGGACAACCGAACAATTAACAAGTTGGTTGTTTTTTCCTGGACCGGAAAATGATTATTTTCTCGAAATGCACTATTTACGTGGTTTCATACAACTACAAGATTTGATTGAACGCGCAGTCATTGACTTACATTTCGAAGATACAAAGAAACCACCAACGAACCCAGTTGTGTACATGCAATTGATGCCATATCCATGTTATCGTGGTGATCCGTAAGTTAAGCTCTTCCTTGAATAGTTAAAAAAAAAGTACGAATGGTTAAATTTAGTGGCAAAGAATCATCGTATGTCAATTATTTTATCTTGCCGATTTTGGGAACGTTAATGTGGACGGGTAAAAATAATGATGAAGAAAGTTTCTCATAGTCTTCTTTTTGTTTTAGCTACTTTGGGTGTTTCGATAAAAAATTTAATGCGTGAACGCGAAAGAAATGTCGAACAAGTAATGAACAGACAAAGCTTTCCGCGTTGAGCAAAAATAACTTTTGTTTTCTAGACAATGAAAATCATGGGACTTAATTCCGTCATTAATTTCATTGCTTGGTTGATATGCTCATTCATACCTATGGTGATTGTTTCGATTATTGTTGCAGGTATAGTTCTGAAGAGTAGAGAGATTTTTCAATTCTGTTATGAGTTTTAGTTGTGCTCAAATACGGTGAGATTTTCCCTGCGTCGGACTTAACTGTTACCGTAACACCGTTATTGACATTAGCTTTATCCGCATTGATGCTGGGGTATGTTTTCAAATAAAAAGACTGATGTGAGTTGCTTCTTTTTTTTTCTCTTAGATATCTCATTAGTGCATTCTTTACCAAAGCAAATTTAGCAACATTATGTGGCATTTTAATCTACTTTATTTCATATCTTCCATTCATTCTCGTGATGTTTCTCGAAACTAAAATGCAACTCGGTCATAAATTATTGATTGTAAGTTTAGTTTCTACCTTACATTTCTCCCTGCACTCGGTCTCTCTTTCGTTCGCAGAGCTTGTCCAGTGCAACGGCATTTGGTTATTCGTCGATCTACTTGACACGTTTTGAATATCAAGGCGAAGGTGTGCAATGGAACACAGCTTTCAAAAGCATCTTTCCCAATGATCAAATGAACTTCGGTATTGCTTGTGTAATGATGCTAGTCGATTCGATAATTTATGGTTTAATCGGCAAATACATTCGATCCGTTTTACCGGGTAAAAATGCTCGAAAGAAGCCCCTATGGTACCCATGTTTACCATCAACATGGTGTTTCTGGAAGAAACGATCCAAGTTTGGTGATGGTGCGAATTCTCTATTTCATATAGAACGTGATCATCAGCCCAATCCATTTACTGTGCGAATGAAACGTAAGAGACGAAAGGCAATCGAACTGGATTTGATCGTACCTTTTTGTTGTAGAAATTGATCCGAATAATGAACAAGAACCGACGGATTTACCTGTGGGAATTGCGTTTGAAAATCTTTCCAAACATTACGGTCAGAAGAAGAAAGCAGTGGAGAATCTATCATTGAAACTTTATGAAAATCAAATCACCGCATTACTTGGCCACAATGGTGCTGGAAAGGTAAGATACTCTTTATTTAATTATCGAGTTCTTATTTTGACTTTTTTCCGCTTAGACAACAACAATCAACGTTTTAACCGGAATTTATCCTCCAACGAATGGTACGGCTAGTATCTACGGACAAGATATAACAACAGATTATGAGCAAATACGAAAAAACGTGGGTCTGTGTCCGCAAGAAGATATTCTATTTGATTTCATGACTGTACGTGAACATTTACAATTCTATGGTCGTCTGAAGGGAAATATGAGTTCCAAAGAACTAGATCGTGATATAAATGAGTAAGTCGACTGGTAATGAAAAGAACTTTTTTCCTGAATGTCTCTTCATTCGAATAGATTGTTGACTAGTATGGGTTTATGGGTATTTCAACACGAACGTGTTTCATCATTATCAGGCGGTGTTCGACGAAGAGTGTCAGTTAGCATTGCCTTTGTAGCTGGTTCAAGAACAGTTATTCTTGATGAGCCAACATCGGGTGTTGACCCATGTGCACGAAGAAGTATCTGGGAAGTGATATTTAAACATCGAGCTGGACGAACTATCTTGTTAACAACACATTATCTCGATGAAGCGGACACCCTAAGTGATCGAATTGCCATTATTCATCAAGGTTAGTAAAAAATCGTTGTTCTAGATCAAATGTTCGTTTTCGTGTGATTATAGGTCGTCTATTATGTAGCGGTTCATCGATGTTTTTAAAGAATCGCTTTGGTCGTGGGTATAGTTTAACCATTGACTTAAAACTTAAGTTAAATAACAAAATGAAAGTTGTTGGTAAGACTATGAAAAGCAATAACTATTTGTAATGTTTATTTCTGTTTGTGTATCGAAGAGAGTAAACAATTCAAAGATGTGAATAACTTTATTCTGCAAGAAATGCCTGATGCTACACTGCGAGAACACATCGGAAGTGAAATAACATATTCGCTTAAACTTGAACAACGAAACAAATTTGCACTACTATTCAAACAATTAGAACTTAATAAAGAACGTTTAGCTGTCGGAAATTATGGCTTATCCGATACAACACTTGAAGAAGTTTGTTTCAGTGTTGACCATAAACTCAGATGATAAACAGATCGATTTTTTGTAGGTTTTTCTATGGGTGACAGAATTAGCTGATCAAGGCAAAATGGACGAATCAAATGACAATGCAACTATACCGAAAATAGTCGTTGAACAAACAGGGTTTTCATCTGCTCTAAGCGATGATAGTGGTTTAGGCGGCGAATCAAACGCAACTATGGATGGTATGTAGAATGCTATTTTTACATCTTGTTTTTAATGATTCATTCAACCAGTCTACCTTGAACTAATTATGTGAGCGCGTACATCCGCGAGTAGATAAAAAAAAAGGAATCGGAAGTTCCATTAGTTATGCAAACATCCGCTATCGATAAACTAAATATCATTCTATTCTTATTAATTAAAAGTCGATGATTCATGTTGGTAATGTTTCATTTAGGTATATCAACGATAAGCAGTAGTATAGCTCAATTACCTACAACAACTAATGTTATCCTTGCACCGCTAACGCGACCGCCTCGAGTGACTGGTCGTAAATTGTATTTTCATCAATTTCAAACATTACTATTGAAACGCTTCCATCATACGAAACGAAACTGGAAAGTTTTCCTGTCACATCTCATTCTTCCTTTACTATTCGTGGCAATGTCGATGGGTTTCACACTAGTACGTCCATCTCAAGTCTTTCAACGACCATGGTTACTGACTCCAGCTATGTACGATCAATCAGCAATGTTTGTCAAGTAAGTTACACATACATACATATATATTATTGTAAATAGTGTAAGAGAGAACCAAAAAATTACATATAAAGGTGAGAAGAAAGGCGAAGAGAGATCGACTAAGAAATAGAAGAAAAACCACGGAATGAATTTGACTATTGATCGAAGTATAAAGGGAAGATTTAATAACAACATTGAAATTGCACAATAAAAAATAATCGTTTTGTCTCATTTTGATTGATTAACTTCGCGTTTCGTACAAACCGCTCTTACCAATATATCGCACCCATTTAATCGTTTCCGAATCGGAATAATTCAATTTATGTTCGAAAACTTTAAGATATCGAACTTTGAAACCTGATGGTGCAAATGGTACTTCGAAATTCATCGATATCGGTGGACGATTCCATTTTTTCTTGTCGTTGGGTGTTAATTCAATCTCAGCACTCAATTGTGATTCTTTCATTCCACCCATTCGTTTCATTTTCCAAACAATGGCATTGTCCGATGCTTTGTGTTTTGCTTTACCTTTCATGCATAATAATTGTACATCACAGGTATTCGGTGGAATGGGTATTCGTATTTCAATTTTTTGTCCAATTAAAGTTGGTTTAAAATTGGACTTGACGACCACTTTAACTTCCATTTTTGTTCGACCTATTTCTCTTACTAATGGAATCACACGAAATGGTAAACTGATATCTTTGGTTGTACGATAACGCATCAATTCAAATTCGCCATCGGGTGGAATAAATGAAATTGAGTGCTCCGATTCGAATTTCGATAGTTTAACACATTGATGAAATTGACAATCATCAATGGCAATAGCAGTTTTGGTTGTTGTTGCTGGATTGGTTGATCCATTGTTCGGATTTGTAGTTGAATTAGTCGAATCAGTTGTAGTTTTCGTTCGATTTTCCACTGTTATTTTGTCGTTGATACCGAATTTACATTCGGGCATACCGGATAAGTAACTCTTCATGACTACACGACCAGCGACATGTGTACTCAAAACTTGACCTTGTTGAGACATGAGTAAATTGACTGATTCGATAACATCGAGAAATAATTCGTTTCGACGATATTTAATGCCTTCACGTCGCCAACCAATTTGACCAGTGACAGCTGATGTTACATTGGTTTGCTCTTCGCGTGTAACTGGTCGAACACCTTGTTGCGTGATAAAGGATTTTAATACACCTGTATCACTGTTTTGTGGATAGCCAAAATCAAGTATTTCGTCCAGCAATTCATAGATAAGAACAAAATTATTCTTGACATTCTCTTCACTGATCTTCCCGAAATATGATTGCATGACATCGATCATTTTGTTCAAGAATTCGAAGACCATGGCTGCATTGATATTTTGTTTCGCAACAGCACACAGCCAAATATTCGAACGTTTTGTATAGAAGAAGCTTGTTCGTGCTATGTTAACAACAGGAAAACGTGACTGTTGTCGAGCATGAATGACATTAACACGAAATGCATCGACAGCATTTCTGCCAATATCATCACGATAAACACGCTACAAATACAAATTTCTTGTTTATTTCCAAAACATCGACAAGCAAATTCAGATTTACCGAAATCAACACTTCCCCTTTGTGATTATAGATAAAAACACCACCGATCATTTTCTTTTCTTTTCCTTTAATCTGATTGAAATGATGGGAATGAGTGAGCAAAGGAAAGACAACAAATTGTTGCATTTACTATGCTTCTTCGTTCCATGCATTACCCAATCGAGTCATCTATGCATCTTGCTAAATCGGATTATTTTTTTTCCGTCTATGCCCCCTTTCGTTCTTCACGATCGATAATCAATTGAAGAAAAGGGAAAATGATTTTCTTGATAAGTCCCTTCACTTCCTAGCAGTATTGATGATTTAGTGATGGAATTATTCACTTTGTTTTTCTTCTGATGCATTGCTGAATAATGCAAACTTTCTCTGCATTGTGCAAATATTTGCGGTTGTATTTTTTTTCATCGATTCTGTATCAAAACATTACGAGTGACGATTACACGTAGATATTTTTCACCTTAGTCAGTCATCGTCGGAAAACGAATCTCTCACGTCTTTCATCACACATACGAAAGAGATTGAAACATAAGTCTATGGGGTCCGAACGACTAGAACAGTATAAGAAATGGCTTGCCAAAGAACCACAACTTGGAGATAAGTATGTAATCATCGATGCTAAATGGTTGGAGCATTGGAAACGTTTCGTTGGCTTGGAAGAAAAAGACGAAAACGAAATCATTACAGATCCCGGTCCAATCGATTTCAGCAAACTAGCAGTTTTGTCGGATGACGAAGATCCAAAGAATATTCAACTTCGTTTAGACGCTGTGGAGAATAACGATTATACATTCATTCCATATGAACTCTACAAACAACTGTTAGAAACCCAGAAAAAAGTTGGTTCTGAAATAGTTCGCGAAGTAATTCCCCGCGGCGATTATGACACGGTGGTTGAATCCTTTCTTGTACCATTACGAATTCGCCAGTCACGCAATTCTAGTGCAAGTACAAAACAGATCTATCGTAGCCGTCGAACGAAAATATCAGACATCAAAAAGACAATCTGTAATGAATTTCATCTCTCAGAAAGCGCAAACGGTTCTCTATTCTCATCGACTGATGACAAAGGTTTATATTGGGATACAATTGATGAACCAGACTATAAGACTCTTGAAGATATTGATTTAGTCAAGAATGCTTACATTGTGTACGAATCAAGAGCATTAGTGGTACGAAGCGCCAATTTGTCAAAAACGTCTTATATTCCTGGACTTTGTGGTTTAACTAATTTGGGTAATACATGTTTTATGAATTCAGCTTTGCAATGCATATCAAATGTGCCAGAATTGACCAAATACTTTCTAACAAATGAATATAGTTCACATATCAATCGCGATAATCCACTGGGAATGAAAGGCGACGTTGCTCAGGCATACGGTGAATTGATCCATGAAATGTGGTCAGGTAAAACAAGTTACTGCGCACCGAAATCATTGAAACATAATGTCGCTCGATACGCACCACAATTCAGCGGTTATGCTCAACAAGATTCGCAAGAATTCATGTCGTTTCTACTCGATGGTTTACATGAAGATTTAAATCTTGTCAAAAAAAAGCCGTATGTTGAGAAAAAAGACGACGACGGCACATTAGATGACGATAAGTTAGCTGCACAAGAATGGAGCTATTACCAAAAACGAAATCAATCGAAAATTCACGATATCTTTCATGGTCAAATCAAATCGGTTGTGCAGTGTTTAACGTGTGGTACGAAAGCGCGTACATTCGATCCTATTTGTTTTCTAAGTTTACCGTTGCCAAATAAGAAAAAAATTCGCACCTATAAGGTTGATTATGTTCGTACGCATGGACAGGTGAAATCATACTACATCAAAGCAAATGAACTAGGACGAATGTCGGACTTAGTCGCAGCATTTTGCGCTCGTTTTCAACCGAAAAAAGTAGAAGCACGTAATGGCACCGAGTTAATGGAAACCGATGATGAAAGTGCCTATCCAGAAGACAATGACGATGAACAAGGCGATGAAGAAGACTTAACAAAAGCAGATGATTATGATGGACACCAACCTAAACCAGACTATATTCATCCTGTAGAAGTGTACAACCATCGAATACATCTGCAATATAATGAAAGTCATGCGTTAACACGTATCATAGATCGAGACCAAATCGTCTTCTATGAAAGTGAACATTCATTAAAATCGGACAAGCAAACAGGTATCCTAATGCCATGCACGTTTCGAGAAGTTGATTATCGTCAAAATTTTGGCTTGCCGATTTATCTCAGCTTACCCAGAAAGAATTGTACCGGAAAAAACATTCGAGATGCTCTGCAGGTAACTTCAAATATACTTCTATTTGAAGAAATTCAAGTCAATCTTTGATATTCTTTAGAAAGTAATTGGTAATTTCCTTCCGTTGTCATCCGTTGCACCTGCCGATAAACCCTTGTATTCGGCGCTATTGCAAATTACTCAGAATTACAGTCCGCAACTGAAACCATTGTCAAGTCTACTTGATGAGCAGATTGATTTTGCTCGTTTGAATGTTGAACTTGTCGTCGAAGTCAACTCGGCAGTCGTAGATCTATACAAGAAACAGGAAAAAGAAAAAGAAAAAGCGGATGACAGTCAACAGTCTGCCATGAAAAAGAACAATCGCGTAGAGAATTCAACAAAACGAACAATCACCTTGATGGATTGCTTTCGTTATTTTACTAAGAAAGAAACGCTATCGGACGATGATCGCTGGTTTTGTCCTAAATGCAAACAGTTGGAGAAAGCAACGAAAAAGTTTGATATATGGCTACTACCAAAAATTCTTATCGTTCAATTGAAACGTTTCAGTTACACGCGCTATCATCGCGATAAAATCGAAGATCTAGTCGATTGTCCATTACATGATTTGGATCTTTCCCAATTCGTACTCAATCCAGAACAAAAGAAGAATACCAAATATGATTTGATTGGTGTGAGCAATCATATGGGTAGTTTAGGCGGTGGACATTACACAGCTTACGCGAAAAATTCCAAGGATGAAAGATGGCACTCATTCGATGATTCATACGTATCAGATATCAGTGAAAATGATGTGATCAGTAGATCAGCATACGTGTTGATTTATCGACAGAAATCAACAACAAATGAGGACGCAAATTAATCGATTCGTTAATTGAAAGATATTTTCCTTTTCTTTAAAAAACATCATTGCGCGTATCATTTTTCTTCAGTGGAATTTTACGAGAAATACTTTTTTTTTAATATTCTTATTCCTGAACAAAAAATTTGACTATTTTTGGTGAAACAAAAGCTAAAATTATTTCATTTCAGGTTATGCAACGATAATGATCTAATTGCACGCCGTCTTGATGATCGACTAAGAAATAGCTCGTTTCCAAATATTGGAACAACATGTATGAAAGATGCACCACCGGCATCAAATAAAGAACCATATAAATGTGGGGAAGGAGAGAAGAACTTCTACATCCCACCTGATTCTACAGATTTCAATCAATATGGACGATGTTCAGAATGTTTTACAAAAGCGTTACAAGTAAAGATTGACTTTAGGCTCTTCTTTTTTTGTTCAGATTTTTGTTTAGATTTGCCCACCGGATTCGTTTGCACGACCGCCAACACGTAAAACTAAATCGGGCATTGTGGTTCGTTTTGAAATGCATCTCGAATTGTCAGATTCTCACTTATTGTCCTTTTTCTAGTTATACGACTTGAATAATGTAACATTGAACGAATATTTACTGAAAAGTCATCATACATTTACTGATAATCGGTGTGTAGCCATATATTCTTCTCCTTCTTCTTACCATGAATCTTTTAGATATGGGGGTTTAACATTTGGTGAACAGATTGAAGATGATTATTATAATCGCAGTCATGCATTAGTTTGGTTCAATAATAAAGGTATTTTATCAATGAGTTTTCATCTCTTATCGTTCAAACCGATATTCTCTTGCTTAGGTTATCATGCATTACCATCCTATTTGAATGTGATGAATAATTTAATACTTCGTTCGAAAATATCCGATCCTAGGACTGCTGAAAAGTTCGGTATTTCAACTTACAGTCATCCATTCACATTGAATAGTGATTTACTATCTCGACAATCACTCGAACAACGTATATCAGATTTCGGTGTTGCTATTACGGTTCTATGTGCATATTCATTCGTCCCAGCTGCTGTGATCTTATATCTTGTGAGAGAATATGTAACACAAGAGAAACGTCTGATATATATCTGTGGCGTCAAACCCATAGGTAAAAAGATTCAATGAATTAATTGATCAATTCGAATTGTTCTTTTTTTTTTGTTTAGTCTATTGGTTATCGACATTTATATGGGATTTTATTTATTATTTGATTTTAATCGGTTTAACAATGCTTCTAATTCGAATATTTAATATTTCCGCTTTCAATTCTCGTCCTATGACAACTCAAGCAATATTTTGTCTATTACTTCTTTACGGATGGTCATCGATACCATTAGTCTACTGTATAGTTCGATTTTTCAAAGACACCGGCACTGCTTTCATGGCTGCATTCTGTCTTTGGATGTTCTCGGGAATTATTACGTGTATAGCTGATCTAATGTTAACATTATATTCATGGGTACCTGGAATCGTACGTGTACAAACGATTCTCTCGCGGTTTTTCCTGGTATTTCCACCTTATTGTCTCGGTTCCGGACTTGTTCATTTGATGCGCAATGAATTGATGGCCGATTTCGGTCGTACGATCGATGCTGATCTCTACGTTAATCCGTTCACAATAGCACTCATCGGTGATCGAATTATAGCAATGATCCTCATCGGTATAATTGGATTAATCATAGCGTATGCTCTCGATTTGGACATTCGGTTACCAAATTTGTTCTACAAAGTAAAGATTTTTCGAAAAATCTGTGGAAATCGAAACGATATTTCTTTTATTTTGAATAGATTCCACCACCGGAGACATCTATCGATAGAGATGTTATGGAAGAACGACATCGAATCTTGTATTCGAATGAAACCAATCATGATATTTTACAAGCTAAAAATCTCACAAAATGCTTTCGACGTGCAACTGGTCAGTCATTGCTGGCAGTTGATCATTTATGCTTTGGAATATCCAAAGGTCAATGTTTTGGTCTACTGGGAATCAACGGAGCTGTAAGATAATATTTTTTTTCCCATTGATTTCAAGTTTTCAAACGATTTTCTAGGGTAAAACGACTACATTCAAAATGATCACCGGTAAATTGAATATTTATGTGTGTATTTGCAAATTTTCCATGAGTTTCTTTTAAGGTGATGTTCATCCGACCAGTGGTGATTGTCTTCTCTATGAAAAACAAATCCGTGATCAAGCACGCGAATATCCAGGTTCAATCGGTTATTGTCCACAGTTTGATGCTGTCGATGGTTATTTAACAAGTCGAGAAGCATTGATGTGTTATGCAAAACTGATTGGTATAACTGATCGTGAACATGTTGTCAATCTAACATTGAGAAAATTTCATATGGAATCATTTGCAAATCGAGTCATACGAACGTACAGCGGAGGAATGAGAAGGTGAATAAAAGTAAATCGAAAATTTGTTTACAGATTTCTTTGTTTAGAAAATTATCAGTTGCTGTTGCTATGTTGGGTCAACCAGATTTGATTCTTCTGGTAAGCAAGATCTATTTTTGTGACTAATATTTAGAACATTTCAATTTCTTATAGGATGAACCGACTAATGGAATGGGTAATGAAAAGATTGATGTCGAGCTTTTTTTAATTGATATTGATTTAGATCCCGGAAATCGTCGTATCGTTTGGAACAATATAATCAACGCTAAAAAACAGGAAAAGGCCATTTTATTAACCTCACATTCCATGACGGAATGTGATGTATTGTGTTCACGGTTAGCGATTATGGTTAATGGACAATTTAAATGTTTTGGCACGCCACAACACTTAAAACATCGATTCGGTACAGGTTATTATTTAAAATTGCGTGTCGAACATGAATCATCAATACAAATTGCGTCAGAAATTATTCATCAATATCTTCCTGACGCGAATATGACGGTTTGAATCCGAACTTTTCGCACGATTTCGAAGAGTAAGAGAAAATGCTTCTATTTAGGAAAAACATGGCACTCGATTAGAATACAATATTCCGAAGTCATACTCCTTATCAAAAATATTCGGTTTTATCGAAACAAACAAATCTCTAATGAACGTTATGGACTATTCGTTGTCTCAAACGACACTTGAACATGTATATACAACAAATCGTTTTCTATGAAGTACTTATTTCGATTTACTTTCAGGTTTTTCTTCGTTTTGCCAGTAAACAACGTGATAATTCCATTGTTAACCTTGAAGATGTAGTCATCGATGATACAGCATCAATATCATCATCGACTGTTCAATCATTTGTTCAAACAACTGACAAAGCGAATAATACATTTTCGCGTCGTTCACCATCGTTAGTGCAAAATCAAAATGACAATTCGTCTCAGACAGCTGCTGACATACGTGAATTACCCGTTATTGACAGTTGTACAGATCTTGTACTGAATGTCGATCGTCCGCCATCGTCAACATCAAATATTTCATCGCAGCAAGATGAACATGTCTTTCGGATCTAAAGAAAACAGACGAAAATTCCTATCTCTTTTTCTCTCTTGTTTTTATTTTGTTTCGCGAGTTTGAATTTCGAATATACGTAAACATTCCACCAAAAAAAAAAAGACAAAACACTGGCAAACGAGTAGTTCGAAGAGCTGCGTTATTTATCTTGTTTCACAATTCGTCGGATCACTGTCACCACTATCGGTTAACGACATCGATGATGGATCCATGTTTGCGTACATAGAGTCCAACATATTTTTATTTTCATTGTCCATCGATGGAATTGAATTCTCATCCTTTGCAGTTGCTTCTACAAGAAAATTCGATGTAAAAAAAAAACTTATTTTCATGAGCATTTACATACCTTCTCTATCCATTTTTGGGCGGCGATACGAATGAAATCAAAGCACAAATGAATGAAAATATTTTTCAAGCTACGCCTGATTAAACATTTATTTTCTTATTGATAAGCATCCAAATGAAAAATAATTCGATAACGTGTGGGCGAATGTATGACTTATAAGAATGCAAGATACAACAAAAAGAGAGTAATTTGTTATTTTGAGTATATGTGTTTCGTTCAGGATGCGGACCGGATAGTCGGTGAAGTTTTATTAGTTGAGGAGATGTTTGTTTTTTATTGAAAACGTATGCAAAGGAAAGAAAGGTGTATAATGAAAGAAAACGAAAATATACAGAGTAAAGATAATTCTTTTTCGTTTTTCAAGGAAAATTCAAAGACAAAGAAAAGGATGTTGTAATAATTGCTGAGCACTAGGACGATCCATTGGATTGATTTGCAGGCATTGGTGAAGAACATCACGTAAATGAGGATTATTTGTTGATGGTATGACTGGATTTTGTGTTAATCGAGCAATGTAAGACATTTTTTCAAAATTATCTTGAATATGTTCAAATGGTCGATAGCCAAAAACCATTTCGAAAAGAAGTACACCTAGAGAAAAGAATAGCATTTGTTCTGAGGATGAACAAGAAAGGAATTGCTTTTAGCAAACCTAATGCCCAAATATCTGATGCTCTGCCTTGACGAGAAAATCGACCATTTTGGATCTGACATACTTCAGGCGGCATATATTCGGGTGTACCTAAAACAATTCAATTTTGATTTGAGAGAATACGTCAATTTCCTCGTACCTGCAAATGGTCTCAAAACAGATGTTTGGGTTGGTGAAATACGAAATGAAAGACCTAAATCAATGATACGAAGTTGATCACCAGTGGTCATAATAAAATTTTCTGGTTTAATATCTATAAAGAATTGAACAGATGATAATCTTCTTCACGTTGGACTTTATTTTCTTTCCTTACCTGAATGAACAATTCCATTACGATGTAAAATAGCCACTGCATCGACCATTTGCGCCCAATAAAATTTCGCTTGACTTATCGACATTTTCTTCTGTTTCGGTGAGACTTGTAAGGGTAACATAAAGCGAAAATCATGTCCACTTTCCATAACTATTTTGCCCGTTTGAGTTTTCGTGTCATATTCATGATTATAAACTCGAATAACATATGGATTTCGTGGTTGTAATTTTGTCAAGTAACGAATTTCTTTGAAGAACATTTTCGAGTTCTCATGTCGATCAACTGGATCAATATTTTGAACAACTTTGATTGCCACAGGCTGATTGGTTCGAGAATCATAAGCGGCGTAGACACGACTATGAAGTCCCTCGCCGAGTAATCGCATCACTGTATACGGAATTCCATTGACATGAATGGTTGATACATGTCGTTGATAAGTAGTGATATATGGAATGGATGATGAGGTTTGCAATGGAAAATGCCAGGAGGGTGACGCGGGCAAAGCTGGTAGTAAAGCAGATGAACGTTTTGTGTTTAAGAATGAAATGATCTTACTAGCATCACATGTTGGTTTATAGTTGGCCGGAAATGGACGAAAAGCGAAAGCGACTTTCATCATATGATTACAGGTTCTTCTCCGTTATATGATGAAGATGCGCGAAAGAACAGACAAACCTATGTGTAATCAAGTGTGCTTGCGCCCTTCTCGCTTTTCATTTCTTCCTGCACTTTTTTTCTTACGCACTTCTAAATACAAAAGTTCACGTTTTTCCTTCTTCAATTTTTTTGTTCATACCTTCTCTGATGTGCTAATTGGTCGAGCATGAACGATTTGTTCTATGTTTGATCGAGTCAAGGTCAAGGCTCTTTTCGTACTTACTAACTGCAGTCGTCGCGTATTTGTCCTATTTCGAGATCACTCAGCAGTAGAAATCTTCACACGATCTTAACATCGAACATCTTTTCTCATTGAAATTTCTTTCTTTTCTTTGTTTATTCCGTATATACGCTTTTGTACTAGCATATATACCACGGTATTCGAAATGCATTGCATGCTTGAGTAATATTTGTATCGTAACTTTAGGTGACAAGTTTGTTGATCCATCATCGTTTTCTTTTCTTCCTCTATTACGTTTAATTTACGTAAGAACAACGAAAAAGACAAACTATTGAACGTATCAAAGCGTAGAAATAGATGTGTGCACATACTTCATGTCTACTTAACACACGTTTGTATGCATACAAACCAATGTAGTTGATTTTATTGTAATAATAATGTTCAACGACGAGCAAGACTCTAAATAATTCATATTGACTCTTTTTGACAAGTACATCATGATCAAATTCGTATATTCAATAGATATGATTTTATTCATGAGAATAAAAAGAAAAAGGAGAAGAGAAAAAAAAACGTACATAAAAATATCCCACATTCACGTCTCTCTTGTCAACTAGAATAACCGGGTGTAAATTTTTTCTAAAGAAATCGTTTCTCTTTCGTTCGTTATAAAATAGCTTTTTGAAAAAAAAAAGTGAAATTCGCTTCAATGTTTTCTTTTTAAACCATAATACGTGTTCCAGGCACATAACGTGTATCTCTCCATATGTTTGAACCACCATAATTATTTGTATGACGTTGACATTGAGTGCAACGTTTATATTGATCACATTGTTCATGTACAAGCACACCTTGAGGAGCATATACATGTGTTCTTTCCTCTTGATCACGCTGACGTTTCTCTTCGGTCGCATTTGACCAATCTGCTTCAAGATCTTTTCGTATGGTATATGCACGCCGAAATCGTTCACGACGGTCAGATATTAAACTTGAGAAGAGAAAATAAATGAAACGTTCATTGATAGAAATAACCTACTCTTCTTTGGCAGCATCTAATGCTTTCGATTCGTATTCTTGTTCACGCATTTGTTTGAGTAATTGTTGACGCTGACGTTGTTCAACAACTTCTTTTTGCTGTCGGAAGATTTCCATAGCTTGAAAACGACGTTCTTGTACTTTCTCAGTCGACATATCATGTACACCAAAGAATGGTGCGGCTTCTTCAACAGCAGGAATTCCAGATGGCTTATTTCGAACCTTAAACAAACACATCAATTGCATTCGAAATGACGATCATCAATAAGATATCTACTTGATTATCCAGTGCACTTTTCAGCTCTTCTTGATGAAGTCGTTTATTTCGTAGGAATGCTTCACGTTCTTGTGCTAAGCTGCAATAGAAAAGAAAACAACTATGTGCAAACCAGAAGAAGTTATCCTAGTGGTGAAAATGTACGCTTCGGCTAGTTGCAATTGTTCAAAACGTTCTGTGAAATGTTTATCTTGTCTCTCGGCACGCTCTTCGTCCTGTTTCCATTTAATTTGAGCATCTAATTGCTTAGCTAAATCTTGTTGACGAACGTAAGTTGGAGGAGTTTGAACACGTTTTCGAAAGACAAATGAACGCTAACAAATCACAAGGCGAAATTTTCTCTTTACAAACAGATGAAAACTTACTGAGGCATCACTCGTTTTCGGTCGTTCCATTTTTCTCGCTCGTAATGCTTCAGCAATACCCAAATTATACTGAAAATAGAACAAGTTTATCTCACTATGTCCATTCATATCGATCCACTCACCGCAGCTATTCGCTGTTTGTCTTCTCGATCAGCTTTCGACGCAGCCTAGACAAAAATAAATTCAGACTTATCCAGAAATATCTTCGATTCCTGTTCTATCTTACATCTTGTTTGCGTTGTTCCTCAAGATCCCGTTGATCTCGATACTGTTCAAGTAGTTTCGCTTCTTCAGCTTCACGAATTCGCCGTTCTTCATTTAAATAAACAGGAACATTACGTTTCGCACGCTGATGACATAGATAACAAAGTTCTTGTCCTGCACCATGATGGCCACATGGTGTTAAGGGTTTAGCAATTGCTGATGAATTGATATGTTGGTACTGTTCAGGATGAACATTTAATGACGATGATATACGATCACGAGCGCTTCGATCTGTTAATGGACGACTAAATCCAAGTGCAGCAGTGTTCTCGTTGGTTGCACGCATGACGACACCGTTTGATGGGTTGCTAAAATGAAAAATCGAATTAGAATTCGTTATTCACGAAAAAAAGCACGATCAGAATAGCAGAGCGAATCAAAGTCACCTGATGTAGAAATTAGTTTTTGTACTTGTCTACAAATAAATTCTTTTTGAATTAAGAAAGTGTGATATTAAATTTGGACAAAATCTTTTTCAAATGAGAATTATGAGAGCTTACTTTGTCATTTGCCCATTATCATTCTCTGGTTGACAAAACGTAACTGTTCGTTTTAATGGAACCAACGGTGTTACCGGTCTTTTTCCGGTGATTGATGTCGAAGATAGTTGACCCAAATCAGTTGAAGAAAGAAGTGGCGCAGCAGAAGTAGATTCATCTTGTGAATTAGTGACTCCTGTCGTTGTTACAACGTTCGTTAATGGAAGTACTGTGATACAAAGTGTTGGTTCTAACAGAGAACTTATCATTTTCAAACGCTCCGCTATGATTCACATTTTCTTACCTCGTTGTTCGTTTTCAGTCGGATTCTCTTCGTGAATAGCTTGTAATGCTGGATTACCAACACGACTGTTTAATCTAAATTGGAAATGAAAGAAGCACTGTCGTGAAAAATCGAATTCTCCTACCTTGGAAGAACAACATTTGAAGCTGATGGAGGTCTTGCTGCTTCCCGTGCAGACATCACTGAATCAGACGTTCGTGGCCTCTGTATGAGTTCAAAAGTTTGATCATGATTTTTCCAAAAAAGAGACAAACTTACATTGCACACATTATCCAGCGAATGTTTGCCCCCAGTTCCATCAACTTCAATCACAAAGGTTTTGAAAAATCTCATTTTCACTTTTCCCTCACGAATTTGTAATTTGCCTATTCGTGAAAATGTAAACTCGACATTACGTTGTGCTGCTACTGAACGATTGAAAACTTGTAAAACATGTTTGACACATTGTTCAATTTGATCTCGTGAATAATTCGACTGTAATTGAATCGAAAAGTAATTCAACGGATGAATCGGTATCGATCCATTCACTGGATAGTGAGTAAACTTCAAAGCATGAGTTTGAGCAAATTTTTCCGAAAATGCAAAAATGGGTCGTTGAATAAGAAGATATTTATTGTTTCCCACATCTATACGCTTATGAACAAATGTAAATGTACCAAATCCAGGAATAGTTACGCCCTAATTCAACAAGAAAATTGCATAGAACAATTAATAGAATGAGTTTTACCTTCGATTGTTTCATAAATGATTCGATGAAACCAGAAACAGCGTCCCATATTTTAATTACGTCTAGATATTGAAAAGTAGATATCGAGAATATCTGATTTCAAGGATAATGACATTTTCTATGTTTCTATGCTAGTATTTTATCAAATTTGAAATCGTTTTGTTGATTTACGATTCTCTACACATTGAATCGAAGAGTTCTTTAAAGAAATTGTTAAAGGTAAATAATCTCGATGTTTATTCGATGACTTTACTACTAACTATTCTAATTAAAGACTTAAAAGTCTAAGAAAAACGTTTACGACGGTAGCTATTTACTGTTTTCCAATTAAGAAACGTATTCCTATTGAAAATTTTCTCGTTAAAATAGAAATTGAATCCATTTCCTCCAATCCTCGTTTTCGAACAGGAAATTCCGTTTTCCTGCAAAGATTTCAATTGTTATTGCAGCGAAATTGAACGACAAACTTCGTCCGACATTCATTCATCACATAAAACAGTATGGTTTAATAAAACTCATACTCCTTCTCAGTTAGACATCCTCCACACTTGAAATCAAAGTCGATGAACTTATTCAAATGGAAATTTCTTTGATTTCTATGTCTTCGACAATGTGAAGTGCTGAAAAAACTTCTCTTTTGTTCTAATCAAGTAAATAAATGTCACTTTATGGTTTGATTCAAAATCGAGTCAGATGACGGTTGCTAACAGTTACATTCTAAGAAAGTTTCCGTTCAAGAAAAGAAACCAACTGCAAATAAAAGAAAACTTCTGATCCGTCGAAAATTAGAACGGAAATCAGAGCTAATTTTATGAAGATCCGATTTCTATTTTTGTTTTTTCTTCCTTATCAAGGTCGTGAGAAAAAGGATCTTACCATCATCTGTTAAATTAACAAGTGATGCTGCTGTCGGCTGTTGTTTTGTACCATCAAGATTCGATGATAATTTGTTAATATTATCAATCATATTGTTAATTCTCTAGAAAAAGAAATCAATCTTATGAACGAAGAAGAAGAAAAGCTTAGTAGCGAAAAAACGACATTCTGTTCTTTTTTCAATCACTATTCTTCAAGTTGATGTTTGTTGTTATTTGTTTTATAAATTAATTTTTTTCTTGCTCGCTCTTTTTTTTTCTCTCGAGCATTCATTTACACCTTCATCTCTGTCGAGTTGCTAAGCATTAAATAACAGAAACTAACTTGTAGCGCAAGAAAATAGATGTCGTCAGTAGTATTTCTACCACCATCTATAGTTGCTTCTCTTCCTTTTTCTGATCATCAAAACAAAAACTTTCAATGGTCAATTTGATACAATCATTAATTTGTTGTTGTTAAATCTTCTTTTTTTGTCAATTCGACTTTCATGTGTTTTATCTGTTTGTTTTCAGGTTAGAACATGTCATCACTTTTGTTTCTTTCTATAATTCGTTAAGAATGGATGAAAGTGAAACAGGAAATCATTTGTCCGGTACGGCAGCTCAAGCTTCCACTGTATCAATTATTCCAAATGATAGCCGTGCAGGTGGACGAGGAGCTGGTCTAGCAACGAGTGTTAACAACAATAATTTAATGACAAACGACAGATCAAATGAAACAACAACAACAACATCGACATCAGCTGTTGCATCGAGTAGTTCAGGACCAAATGCTATGCTTATGGTTGGACCTAATTTTCGTGTGGGAAAACGAATTGGTGCCGGCAATTTTGGAGAAATTCGCTTAGGTTAGAACGAAAACGACAAACTTTTTTTTCGACAAAGATTCATTTGTAACGATGTTTGTTTTCTTTAGGAAAAAATTTGTATAATAATGAACATGTAGCAATCAAATTGGTAAATCATGAAATTTGGAGAATCATTTCATTTTGATCTGAATGAATTCTTTTTAGGAACCGATGAAATCTCGTGCACCACAACTGCATCTGGAATATCGATTTTATCGACAACTAGGAACTTGTGGTGAGTCAATAAAAACAAAAACAAAATGAGGAAAACCGATTGAATTTTGTTTTTCTAGAGGGTATTCCACAAGTACATTATTTTGGGCCATGTGGTAAATATAATGCATTGGTAGTTGAATTACTTGGTCCATCACTGGAAGATCTCTTTGATAATTGCGACCGAAAATTCTCTTTGAAAACCGTCCTGATGATTGCTATACAATTGGTATGTTTATTGTAGTAGTTTTTCAATAATTCATCATGTTTGTGCTTGACAGATTACTCGAATGGAATATGTTCATTCAAAAAATCTTATTTATCGAGAGTAAATTGATTACAAATGAAACGAAAACGATAGATTGATTGTTTTATATTTGATTTTCTAGTGTCAAACCAGAGAATTTTCTTATCGGACGTTCATCGACGAAAAGACAACATCTGATACATATTATTGACTTTGGCTTAGCCAAAGAATATATTGATCCTGATACTGGTCGACATATACCATTCCGAGAACATAAAAGTTTAACTGGTGTGTAGAACGTTTTCATGTCGATGCTTGATTTTTTTATTCGAGACCATTCTAGGTACGGCAAGATATATGAGTATCAATACTCATCTTGGAAAAGGTATGTTGGTGATGATTTAGAACTCGACAGGAAAGATCTTTTTTGATGATTGTTGTAGAGCAAAGTCGTCGAGATGATCTTGAAGCATTGGGGCATATGTTTATGTATTTTCTACGTGGTAGTTTACCGGTATGATAAACCTAACGGGTTTTTGTTATTTGTCATAGATTGACAGACTTATTTTTGTGTCGTATTGTATGTCGTGTGAAAATCTCATAGGATCATATGTTTTACAATCACGAGATTTGAGGAAACATGCGTTAATTGCCGGCAAATATGAATATTTTTTGTTTTGGATTAGTGGCAAGGATTGAAAGCTGAAACATTGAAAGAACGTTACCAAAAAATTGGTGATACGAAACGTGCGACGCATATCGATGTTCTATGTCAAAATCAACCAGGTAATAAATTGTTGCAATGATTCGACTTGAAGTCATTGAGTGAAATCTTTTCTCGTTTGTTTAGAAGAATTCGTCAAATATTTGAAATATGTTCGCAATTTGGATTTCTTCGAAACTCCAAATGTAAGAAATTTCTTGGAATAGTTTGCCTGTCGAAATTCGATTCGTCATTTCTTTTGCGTCTAGTATGAATACCTTAGAAAATTATTTAAAGATTTAATGGATTCACGCAATTATGTATGTGATTATAATTTTGATTGGGTGGAAAAAATGCGACCAAATCCAAATCTAGTATGGACACAAATATTTTGTCTTTTTCGGCTAATTACACACGTAAATACGTTTATTGATTAGAGTACTGCTGGTAAATCTCAATATTCATCAGCAAACCAACATGATACGCCATCGAGTCCAACACCACGTGCAACGAATAAAGTAAGTACGCTTTTTGAAATGCAGTCAGGATTAAATTAAGTTGCAAATTTCAAATAAAAATTGGTTTCCCTCCCTCTCACAGACGACTTTTTTAAATCCTCATCTCTCGGCGTCAACACAGCAAGTACATGGTTCAATGCAGGTATTTTCAAATGAATCTCGTCTGTTCACCTTATCATGATTGTTTGTTCTTTCCTCCGGATATTTGTCCGTCTATGTGAATAGATTTTCCCATTGATTTTTATCGTTGTTAGTGAATGACAGTGTCTTCTTTCTGAATTTGTTCAATGAAAACTGATGAATAAATCAATCTTGTTTTTCTCTTCTCCTAGCCCATCAATATTCTTGACGATGATAATGAACGACCCGCTCGAGGAGATCAGGGACACATTGGCACATCACCATCAATGCCCAATGCAGAAGTGATTAGTGATACGAAGTAAGTCAATCAACATAATTCTTCTTTACTAAAGCTTGAGCCAATTCGGCAATAGAATTATTCTACATTTCGTTTATGTCCACAAACAAAGTCTCTAAATTTTTTCTAGACGTAAAAGCTTTAATGGAAAACTATTTCCGAATGATAACACTTCCACTAGTAAAATGTAAGACTTAGCAGTAGGAATGTCTAGATGATTTCTCTTGAATTGATTTGGTGATGGACATGATTCTACGAAAAAATACTTCTATTCTTGTAGATATTGGAAAAGGTGGTTGTCTTCATTCATGTAGGTTTGATTCGATTTGAAAAAAAAAGAAAAAAAAATGCAAAATGAAAACACATAGTTTTCGAAAGAATTAATTGCTCAACATATAATTTCCTTGTTCTTCTGATTCAAAGTTAAAGTATTTCACTAATGTGTCTTTTGTTTAGGTGTTGTTGTTTTTTCAATCGTCGTACAAGACATACGACTAATAAACAAACGAGAAAGTAATTCCATCAAAACGGCACTATTCGCTCAAGAACAGTTATATTTTGTAAGTCGATATTTTCGACAAATTATATGTTGATGTGTCTTTATCTAGGGTTGTCGATTCGGTTCTATTTCCTTTTCTTCTGTACAGTGATTTTTGGCATAGCACATACCCAACATCATTACATATACTCACTGTTTCTCTTTTTTCTTTTCTTCTTTTGTCAATCGGCACTGTGGATAATATAAATTTTGTCATTTCTATCTTTTTCTCTTCAAATCTTTGTTTGTTGTTATTGAGTGTGTATCATTGTATTTGAATTCAAAGTTTCATTTTTCTGTNAGACAAAACATGAAGTATATTTTAGCATGTCGTTCACAACAATGTGGCATGCTAACATTTCCAATAATGTGTTCGCTTATTGAAAAACATGTTTTTACCGTTTCCGATCAAATTATGATTGATGCAGCACGATTTGCATTTGAACATTTGAAATTAGTTACAGAAATGTCTGCAGGTTTATCACTTGGCGCATTACTTTCGCAATATCAACAACTTGATGCGAATATTCGTAATATAGCAATTATTATCAGTGGCGGTAACGTCGATCCAGACGATCTGTTATTATGGCACCAAAAACAATAATTTGCCTTTTGTTTTTACGAATTGCTGTTATTGTCGTTGTTAGTTGTTTTTCGACGTATGTGTTTATTAATAAAGCGAGAAAGAAAATTCAATGGATTTAAACGAGAAGCCGTACGGTCATGGATCGGATCATCATCTTCGGGATCTTGAATTGGCTTCCCAGTTCGAAGACTTTGTTCTAGTGCTTTCAAATAGGCTTTTTTATCTCTTTCGGGATTGTGTGTAGATGCTGACGTAGAAGCCAAATCCAGACTCTTCAAGCTAAGTGTCTCTTCAATCTTCTCAGATGACACAGTGGAATCGGTTTCTTGATATGTTCGACTGGCTCGGCCATGTAATTTACTGAATAAAAAAAAAAAGAATCATTTTGCAGAAATTCTTTTCAAAAACCTACCGTAATAATCTGGGTTGAAAGGCACATACAAAAATAAAAAGACAAATTCCACAAATGGTTACTGCTGTGATAGTAATAAGTATTACGGCGAAAAGGTCCATGTGATTTTGTCTTTGTTTTGTTATGAAGAAGAAAACAAATGTCAACCACTGATATACCATGTTCCCATCATCATTATCATCTGGCCGTTTCTATCACCCATGTATTATTAAATGTCACTCAAAAAACGATGCATTATCAGATGCCAGCGAAGAAGAAGAAATCTATGTACATGGACGAGATGTATACATAACAATTAGAGATGGTTGAAGACGAACGCAAAGGAGAAATAGATTGAAAATGCCGTAGAGAATGAACATCAAAGAAGATCAAGAGAAGTCGGCCACTAATGAGAGAGTAACAGTAATATCTTTGACTCGTTTTTTTGACATACACGGAAATAATCTCTTATTATGGTTAAATCAGTTAACAGAGAATTCAGATAATTTCCATTTTTTCTCTCATCACGATTCTTCTTTGTATGTGTGTGTTTCTCCGTCTTTCTCCTTTTTTTTTCTTTCTCCTGAGATCGATCGTTCGTTTTGTTCGTTCGAGTGTTGATGTCCAACATAAAGGAAGAAAACGAGCATGATTAATGCAAACACTTGTGCTGTTTAACAAGAAAGTCAAGAATAGCGGGATAGTAGAAAAGAGAAAGAGAGGGAAAAGGAATCTAACGCCAAACGTCAACGATGATGACTCGATGAGAAGAAGAAGAAGACGAAGAAATCTGTTAGTATTAATGGATGTTGACAGAGAAAAAGTTTTTTATATGTTCTGTATTTCTCGTTCGTACTCACTTATATAATATTATATATTTATCTGAAAATACGCGTGAATATAAGCGTGTCTGATAAATATTCTTCCTGACACGATATAATCGCGTCAAGACTCTCTTGAGAGTCGAGATATTGATTGAATATATGGGCAATGTTATTGAGTGTTAATTGATTAAACAGATAATAGTCTTATCATCGAACAAAAAAAAAAGAAAGAAACTAGTCGACAGTCCTATGCAACTCGATAGAATATATATATCGACACTAATGTAGGTTTTTATCAGAGACTAGTTGTGTTCTATCATCTGTTATCAATTGCTTACAAGGAAATAGATAATGTCCTTTATTCATACCACAAGTTAAACTTTCTTTGCGACATATTTTATTCAAAGACGAGAATCATTTTTTCCATCCGGCTGTCCTTGTCTTTGAGAAGAAGAAAAACAAGAGTGCTACATACATATTGACTTTGATGATCGGATGTTTGACTTTTGCTTTTTTTTTCGTCGCTCGGCTTCTTAATGTTCGTTTTGGTATGCGTACATATACACAAAGTAAAAGAACGATAATAAACAAATAAAAGACTGGTTAATGTATAAACGATTAGAAAGATATATGTCTTTGACTAGAGCATCGACAGAATTCGTATAAAATGGTATTGTTGATATCTAGGCCATGAGAATAACAATTATCGAATGAATAACTGAAATATTGTTTATACAGAGTCTTCCGACGAGAAACACTCGATTTCTTTTGACAATAAAAGTATCGTGACATTGGAATTTGTCAACGGAAAGGAAAATAACATGATGATGTCTGATTTTATTAAATAAACATTGAAATACTGCTACGATGCTGTCGAATAATTTGCTTTTTCAATGTCTAAAACTCCTTTTAGTTCCTTTCACCGACCTCCATTTTCCTATGCAAAAATGTTTACTCAAATGCCAAATCGTTCTACTTTTCAGAAGTATTTTTATATTCATGAATAATTAGCCATAATAGTTTTGGTAGCATCTTTATAGTTTTTTCTTCTACTTTTCTCTCAAAAGTATAATATGCACATAACATGTTTTAAGAATTACGTTCAATTTGACAAATAGAGACAAAGGAGAAGCAGTAAAATTCAGCAAGAAAAACAAGTCATTCCATATGGTACAAATGAAATAATGCTGCTCGTGTCGGCAGCGTAAAGTGCATCGACATATTCCTTCTTCAAAGAATCGCCTTCGGTGAAGCTAATATTGCTCACTTACATTTTCTCAAATAAAAAAGAAAATCATACCGCCAATCGATCAATGATGATTAGCTCCAGATGATCTGATTGTTGATATGCTGCTACTTTGCTCTATCAATGCAGATTGATATACAGAGATGTTTGACATGGTCAAAGCGATTGATATTTATCGTCTATTATCTTATTCACACTAAATGGCTTGCATCACTTTGTTCGTGCGATGGTGTACTTTGCGTTTCTCTCTTGTTGATCTAAGTTTCTTGAAAGAGAAGAGCGAGTTGCCATCGTTTAGAGATATCTCGATCAATTCATGTTAATCATAAACAAACTTCGTATCTTTTTCGAATAGATTCATCATTCCAAATACAATTCATGTCTTTCTATCACTCATCTCGTTTCTCGCTTGATCGTATACATTTCAAGATTCCTTACATAGTTGCTTTAATGTATCTGACACAGTTGGAATTCCATTTTTTCTCCTCGGATTATCTATTAAAGAGAAACATGAATATCATTTATTTATTTATTTATATAAAACGTCAAGAACAAGTGAGAATTGCATTCTTTCTTCTTCATTTCTTTTCCAGACAAATCTATCTTCATTTCACATATCTAGATGTAAAAGGTAACTAAAACTTCGTCGATTCTATTTTTAATTCGCAGATTGGTAAGGTCATAATTATCATCATCGAAACAGTCATGATTAATATTCATACGTCGATGAGAAAAAGAGAAAATTTAATAGATGGATATATATATCTTTTACTAATTCATAACTTGTCATCGTTATTTTATCGTTTTGTTTCGTGAGGTAGAACGTGAGAAAGAGAGATTTATTAGTTATTCTTCTAATATGTTCATCCGCCAATTTGATTACATAAACGTTTTTAGAATTACTTGAATAGACATCAAACAATAGAATGAAGTGAAGAAAGGTGAGTGAGAAGCTTGAAGCATCACACCAGTATATGAATTAGAATGAAATGTCTTCTGGTTCTTCTTCTTCTTCTTCTCTACTTCTTCTTTTTTATATGTCGCCTATTTGTCTGCTTGTCTGTCTACTATTCGATGATGATGAAGATGATGATAACGTCGTAGAGTGCCAGAGCGGAACCTATTTAATGTCTCTAATTGCTGCTCGAGCAACAACTCTTTCATACTTCCTCTCAAATTGATTGTGCCTTATGAGTAAAACTGAACNAACGTAAGCGAGTATAATGTTGTAAAAAATAATTAAGAATAAACAAAAGAATTCATCTTGAATACACACATGATGTGAAAGATCGATTAGAGGATGACAACAACGTTAGATGATGTAAGAACTAACAAAACTGAACGTGCACCTAACATTGACGACAAAACGTGCTTGCGCTTTTTACACCCTGATGATGATGATGATGCAGAAAAATACACCATACATATATCTTTTTCTTGTTTTATATATGTTAACGCTTGCCCTTCTCAATTCTTCTTCTTGTCCTCTTTCGTAAGACGAAAATGATTACAAAAATTCCAACAGACAATGGACAACTGAAGAAAGATGAAGAAGTTACACAATGTCTATAAGATACTTCTATTCTTGCCCTTTTGCTTTTACGTGATGTTAATGATGATGGTGATGATAAGTGAACTAGAGAGAGACGTATACATATACACCTTCTGTAGTTAGTTCCCAACATAGTCATTTCGAGTGAGTTAGAAAATACATTATTAGAATAGAGACTCGATGATAGATCGTCAATTGACGGACATGCAAATGGATAGCCGATCGATCAATTCCTAATTGGCGTTCATCATGTATTTTCCAAATTGTATATTGTTCATTAGAGTTCGACCAGACGAAATCAGATATTTGGTGAGAGATAGGAAAAGAGAGAAACAAAAAGAAAGACAAAGCGAGAGAGAAATCTCTTGCAGTACTTTTTTTCTATGTCTTTCTCTCTCTCTCTTCCTCTCTTTTAGTCATAATCCTGTTAGTGTTCTACGAAGGTTATTATTTGTAACATTTTCAACAGACATTGATATAGAAGGCCTCTACCTCGCAGGCTCACCGGTCCATTAACACACTGGTCAATGTAATACCTTGCATTGATTGACACAGTACGGATATAGGTTTGTTCTAAAACGTTGTATTGAATTGATTCATAGATTGATTGCTCAGGTGAAAATATTTTCTTTCACAATTGTTGAATTTCTCTTAAGAGAACATTCATACAATTGATGTTATTTCAGGACCAGTTCATTCACCTTGCCGCAATATATGATTTGCTGGTCTCTTCATTCTAATTCACCTAAAGGCATTTTGTTCGCTCCTCCTCATGTTCGTTTTAGCCATGCATGTATACATTTAAAAGCGCGAGAACGAAGCAAAACGGAGTGCACCATCACCATTAGGATGTGTAATATATTTATATATATATGTGTGTGTGTGCATGTACAGTGTACATGTACAATATGGACATATGATTGACAGTGGCAGCAGCATATAAGTAATCGTAGTAGTAGAAAAAACGAACATCATTTTTAACTTCATTTATTTTCATTTCTTCTTGTCTCTTTCTCTTTCTCTTGCTTTCTTGCTCTCTGTCTCTCTCTCTCCACACCGGATGGTAATGTATACAGACGAACGAAAAGAGATTATTGCTTTTCATTAGACAAATTGTTCTTGCCTGTTGTTATTGTACCTATTCGCCTAATTTATAGATCTCAATCTCGTTTTTCATTGTCGAGTGACCGAGAAAGCTGAGTATCGTATCGCCTCTAATCATTTGCTTGTCAAACACGACATTCTTCTGTAGACAATGTCAAAAGATTAATAATAATCTTTTATGTTTCGTAATTTCTTTTTAAATAGTCACGCTGACTAATTTTATGCACATCTCTTATCAACAACGGATGCTGTCATTGTGACATCGATGTGTAATTTGAGATCATCATTACCTTGTAGTAAGAAATGGAAATATCTTCGACTCGAATTTCNAGACAAAACATGAAGTATATTTTAGCATGTCGTTCACAACAATGTGGCATGCTAACATTTCCAATAATGTGTTCGTTTATTGAAAAACATGTTTTTACCGTTTCCGATCAAATTATGATTGATGCAGCACGATTTGCATTTGAACATTTGAAATTAGTTACAGAAATGTCTGCAGGTTTATCACTTGGCGCATTACTTTCGCAATATCAACAACTTGATGCAAATATTCGTAATATAGCAATTATTATCAGTGGCGGTAACGTCGATCCAAACGATCTGTTATTATGGCACCAAAAACAATAATTTGCCTTTTTGTTTTTACGAATTGCTGTTATTGTCGTTGTTAGTTGTTTTTCGACGTATGTGTTTATTAATAAAGCGAGAAAGAAAATTCAATGGATTTAAACGAGAAGTCGTACGTTCATTGATCGGATCATCATCTTCGGGATCTTGAATTGGCTTTCCGGTTCGAAGACTTTGTTCTAGTGCTTTCAAATAGGCTTTTTTATCTCTTTCGAGATTGTGTGTAGATGCTGACGTAGAAGCCAAATCCAGACTCTTCAAGCTAAGTGTCTCTTCAATCTTCTCGGATGACACAGTGGAATCGGTTTCTTGATATGTTCGACTGGCTCGACCATGTAATTTACTGAATAAAAAAAAAACTGAATCTTTTTTCAGAAATTCTTTTAAAAAACCTACCGTAATAATCTGGGCTGAAAGGCGCATACAAAAATAAACAGACAAATTCCACAAATGGTTACTGCTGTGATAGTAATAAGTATTACGGCGAAAAGGTCCATGTGATTTTGTCTTTGTTTTGTTATGAAGAAGAAAACAAATGTCAACCACCGATATACCATGTTCCCATCATCATTATCATCTGGCCGTTTCTATCACCCATGTATTATTAAATGTCACTCAAAAAACGATGCATTATCAGATGCCAGAGAAGAAGAAGAAATCTATGTACATGGATGAGATGTATACATAACAATTAGAGATGGTTGAAGACGAACGCAAAGAAGAAATAGATTGAAAATGCCGTAGAGAATGAACATCAAAGAAGACCAAGAGAGGTCGGTTGCTAATGACAGAGTAACAGTAATATCTTTGACTCGTTTTTTTGACATACACGGAAATAATCTCTTATTACGGTTAAATCAGTTAACAGAGAATTCAGATAATTTCTATTTTCTCTCTCATCACGATTCTTCTTTGTGTGTGTGTGTTTCTCCGTCTTCCCTTTTTTTTTTCTTTCTCCTGAGATCGATCGTTCGTTTTGTTCGTTCGAGTGTTGATGTCCAACATAAAGGAAGAAAACGAGCATGATTAATGCAAACACTTGTGCTGTTTAACAAGCAAGTCAAGAATAGTGGGATAGCAGAAACGAGAAAGAGGGAAAAAAAGGAATCTAACGCCAAACGTCAAAGACGATGACTTGATGAGAAGAAGAAGACGAAGAAATCTGTTAGTATTAATGGATGTTGACAGAGAAAAAGTTTTTTTTTATATGTTCTGTATTTCTCGTTCGTACTCACTTATATAATATTATATATTTATCAGAAAATACGCGTGAATATAAGCGTGTCTGATAAATATTCTTCCTGACACGATATAATCGCGTCAAGACTCTCTTGAGAGTCGAGATATTGATTGAATACATGGGCAATGTTATTGAGTGTTAATTGATTAAACAGATAATAGTCTTATCATCGAACAAAAAAAAAAAGAAAGAAACTAGACGACAATTCTATGCAACTCGATAGAATATATATATATCGACGCTAATGTAAGTTTTATCAGAGACTAGTAGTGTTCTATCATCTGTTATCAATTGCTTACAAGGAAATAGATAATGTTCCTTATTCATAACACAAGTTAAACTTTCTTTGCGACATATTTTATTCAAAGACGAGAATCATTTATTTCCACCAAGCTGTCCTTGTCTTTGCGAAGAAGAAAAACAAGAGTGCTACATACATATTGACTTTGATGATCGGATGTTTGACTTTTGCGTTTTTTTTTTCGTCGCTCGGCTTCTTAATGTTCGTTTTGGTATGCGTACATATACACAAAGTAAAAGAACGATAATAAACAAATAAAAGACTGGTTAATGTATAAACGATTAGAAAGATATATGTCTTTGACTAGCGCATCGACAGAATCCATATAAAATGGTATTGTTGATATCTAGACCATGAGAATAACAATTATCGAATGAATAACTGAAATATTGTTTATACAGAATTTTCCGACGGGAAACACTCGATTTCTTTTGACAATAAAAGTATCGTGACATTGGAATTTGTCGACGGAAAGAAAAATAGCATGATGATGTCTGATTTGATTAAATAAACATTAAAATATTGCTACGACACTGTCGAACAATTTGATTTTTCAATGTCTGATAATCTTTTTAGTTCCTTCGACCGAACTTCATTTTCCTATGTAAAAATGTTTACTCAAATGCCAAATCATTCTACTTTTCAGAGCTATTTTTATATTCATAAATAATTAGTCATAATAGTATTCTCAACGTCTTTATGGTTTCTTTCTTCTTCTTTTCTTTCAAGAGTATAATACACGCATAACATGTTTTAAGAATCACGTTCAATTTGACAAATAGGGACAAAGGAGAAGCAGTAAAATTCAGCAAGGAAAACAAGTCATTCCATATGGTATAAATGAAATAATGCTGCTCGTGTCGGCAGCGTAAAGTGCATCGACATATTCCTTCTTCAAAGAATCGCCTTCGGTGAAGCTAATATTGCTCACTTACATTTTCTCAAATAAAAAAAGAAAATCGTACCGCCAATCGATCAATGATGATTAGCTCCAGATGATCTGATTGTTGATATGCTGCTACTTTGCTCTATCAATGCAGATTGATATACAGAGATGTTTGACATGGTCAAAGCGATTGATATTTATCGTCTATTATCTTATTCACACTAACTGGCTTGCATCACTTTGTTCGTGCGATGGTGTACTTTGCCTTTCTCTCTTGTTGATCTAAGTTTCTTGAAAGAGAAAAGCGAGTTGCCATCGTTTAGAGATATCTCGATCAATTCATGTTAATCATAAACAAACTTCGTATCTTTTTCGAATAGATTCATCATTCCAAATACAATTCATGTCTTTCCATCACTCATCTTGTTTCTCGATTGATCGTATACATTTCAAGATTCCTTACATAGTTGCTTTAATGTATCTGACACAGTTGGAATTCCATTTTTTTTCTCCTCGGATTATCTATTAAAGAGAAACATGAATATCATTTATTTATTTATTTATATAAAACGTCAAGAACAAGTGAGAATTGCATTCTTTCTTCTTCATTTCTTCTCCAGACAAATCTGTCTTCATTCCACATGTCTAAATGTGAAAGGTAACTAAAACTTTGTCGATTCTATTTTTAATCCGCAGATTACTAAGGTCATAATTATCATCATCGAAACAGTCATGATTAATATTCATACATCGATGAGAAAAAGAGAAAATTTAATAGATGGATATATATATCTTTTACTAATTCATAACTTGTCATCGTTATTTTATCGTTTTGTTTCATGAGATAGAAAGTGAGAAAGAGAAATTTATTAGTTATTCTTCTAATATGTTCATCTGCCAATTTGATTACATAAACGTTTTTAGAATTACTTGAATAGACATCAAACAATAGAATGAAGTAAAAAAGGTGAGTGAGAAGCTTGAAGCATCACACCAGTATATGAATTAGAATGAAATATCTTCTTCTGTTTCTTCTTCTCTACTTCTTCTTTTTTATATGTCGCCTATTTGTCTGCCTGACTGTCTACTATTCGATGATGATGAAGATGATGATAACGTCGTAGAGTGCCAGAGCGGAACCTATTTAATGTCTCTAATTGCTGCTCGAGCAACAACTCTTTCATACTTCCTCTCAAATTGATTGTGCCTTATGAGTAAAACTGAACAGATAAGAGAATAAGAAAAACATCCATTCAACGTTGTTGATGAGCTTGAAGACAATAAGCCTAAAGACGAATGCGTAAGTGAAATACAACCCCTCACTTGACGCACCTGTATCGACTTATCCCCACACACACGCACACGCTTTTGTCAAAGTTAAGCAACAGTGACAAATTCGAAATTATCAAATACGGATGAAAATAATCTTAATATTTTTCTTATTCTATACTTAACTTCATTAGTATAATGGTTTTCCTTTCTAATAAGTCAAACAACAACGTTTTTGTTTGATCAATGATTATATATACTAAAGTATCAATTATCATTAGTAAGACATTCTCTCTTTTTTAGTATCTTTCATCGACGTATGTATATTACTTCGCATGAATGATAATTTGAAATGATCATCATTATCATCATCCGACTCTCAATTAGTCGTCGTTAGATAGAAGAAGGAAAAATTGTAGTAGCCATTAAGCTTTTCCAACTTTCCGCTTGATGCTCGTTGAAAATAAACGGAGCATTATCATCATCTCTCCCTTCTCTTGTACACCTGACAATTGTAATTTGACGCGCGTGAGTTTAGCAGTCAGAAGAGGAAGAGATGACGAGGGATGATGGTGACGGTGATTCGTCTTCGCTTCTACTCACACATGACTGAATTTGACGGTAAAGGATGCAGCGGAAGAAATCAAGTCAAATGAGAAGAGACGAAGGGAGCAGGAGAGAGAGAGAGAGAGTTTTTTTGTCAGAAACATACATACATACATACGTGTATATCTCATCTTTCTCTTTATATATCTATTGAAAAAAAGTCGCAGTTTCCAGACGAGAACACAGGTATACAAATCGATTGGTTCGTTATTATATTGACTAGATTAACCAATCATAGAGAGAACCGATAGATATCAAATAATGATTTCTCATTCTTTTTCTCTTGACATTCCTCGAGGCTATCTTATCTTTATATATACATCTGATAATTTGTTAATCGTCAGAGTAAAAGCCAACGCGTTTGCACAAAGTGCCCATCGCTTAATATGATTAGTTGATATTCTATATATTCGACATCTCTTCAGATTTTCTTACACCATTCTCTTCTTCAATCATGTCAATGATGCCAATATCTACAAATGATCTTTATCAACGTTATACAACAACATGGCCATTTTTATCTTTAAATGTGCCGTCAAGTCGTCATCTCTATCATTGTGCAGATAAATGTCGTCCATCGACGAACAATCGTATCACACGATTCTATATTGATGACATACTTGCTGATTCGAAAACACCGACCACGAATGCTCTTTGTTCATATTCAGCGAAGAATCTGAAAGGTGTGTATCGAATGCTTTGCTTGATGGAAATTATGTTGTTTGTCTTTCTCATAGAACGACGCCGATCAATGTCAAATAGTGATGATGGAGATTCATTAGTAAATCCTCAAAAGAAGAAAAAGAAAAAAGCACGAACGACTTTTACTGGAAAACAAATCTTTGAATTGGAGAAAAAATTTGAGGATAAAAAATATCTATCATCAACAGAGCGCGCAGAGATGGCAACTTTATTAACAGTTACTGAAACTCAAGTTAAAATCTGGTAAGTCAGCTGAAAAAACGCAGACCGACGATTAATTAATGAATAAGAATAGAATAGAAGCCAAGGAAAAAAAAGAAAAGTGACGATGTCATACCTCCATTTGATAATGACAGATGAATTAAACCAAAATTTAACGTTTTCATTGAATAGAGTTAATTAGAACTCGTAGACACATATACATACGTAGGATGCTTATTGACTGAATCAATCTTATCGTATGGAATGGTGATTGCTAATCTATTCATTGATAGTTTATTTTTGATATGGTATACCCATCTACTCCCACAGCAGGAGTTTGAATAAAATAACAAAAGGATTTTTTGTCTTCGGATGTTAATGACCTTTGTCTAAACGTGAATGAGTGCGTAAAGTCTATTTCATTCGTGTTACGCTGCTCCTGAATTACTGAGTAGCACGGTGTTTCTTTGTGTAGGTTTCAAAATCGGCGAACAAAGTGGAAGAAGACAGAGAACATTTCCAATGCGGAAGCAGCTGAACATAAGCTAGGTACACGAAAAATGTCGTCAACATCAACATCGTCATCCATTGATCATAATCGAAATCCGACTGTTTCATTGCCAACAGGTGGTAGTACAAGTAGCAAGAGCAGTACTTGCAGTTCAGTTAGTTCGCACCGATCCGAGGAACAAGCTTATCATAATGCAACTGCACCGCCGCCTCCTCCTCCAACACTTCCATTAATTTATTTTAATCCGTTTTCTCAATTACTTCAATCATCGTGTACATCCAATGCAGACAGACTATTTCCAACATCATTCGATGATCAATGTCGTTCAAGATCATCATCACCTGAATCTCCATTGACAATATCTGAAACAACTCATTGTTTACCATCGAGCAGCTCAACACCCGTCAATGAACACAACGAAGAGCAAGAAGATGATGAAAATGTTAAACCACAATCACTAAACGAACAGAGATCTTGTTCAAGATGAAACAATGATTTTCAACATAATACGAATGTTTTTTTTTGGTGTGTTTTGTCCTCTTTCTTTTTATTCGTCTTCTTTATTTAATAAATATCAACATGTTCTTTTATCTTTAATTTTTAAATCCACACACAGGTTCATTCTGAAGCCAAATGAAGATTTAAGTTCTTTCTTTTGTGACATTTGCGAATATTAATCAAAAACAAACATATATTTTATAGTGTGTGTTTGATAATGAGAAATGCGTAGTATTCCACAGTGAACTATATAATTACAAAGAATGTTTAATTTAGATATGTAATTACAATTGTCCCCAAGTCATTAGCAGAAAACGCGAAATAATGATATTTCACAGGAAGATACACCTATTTTCATGCTACACAAATATCCACCAATAACATAAGCAGCCAAATAACTCTTGTAAAACCAGATTATAGATGAAGAGAAAACAGCAGAAATTATTCTAAGTCAATAAGTTGATCCTATTATCGTTAATGTCCAAAACGTAGCAAAGTAAGCAACTAGTACTCCAATATTCAGCCCAAAATTGGAATATGAGTTGAATAAAAGATGCCTTGCACCATTCACTATGTGATACAGTGGTAGTCCGTACCCATACCGATAGAATGTTGGCGAAAGCTCAAGAACCAATTGAAATGTAGCAGATGCTAGCAAAAGAACGACAAAGATAGTCAAGAGAGAATTGCCGAGAACACCTAGATTGATCGTGAATAGGACGACAATCATACCGAACACCATAATGGATAACCAATTGAACATCCAATAACGCATGAAAAGACTACCGGAGTGAATACCGAAGAACCAGAGAACAATTAGTGAATAGATAAGTGATATTATAAACGCTTGAAAAAGACTATTGATGACAGGCAATGTCTTTGAACCTACGAAATCGTGAGACAAACTTCATGACATCGTCGATAGTCATTCCAAGAGTTAATTCTTTTAGTTTCGAGTCTTCATGGAACAATTCAGTTAACATTCTTTCAAAATTACTTCATTTTCTTCGCACTTCGTATGCCAAGGAAAACGAAATGCTTTTTTGAAAGAGGACAGTGTGACACAATTTCTTATACATGAAATAACACTAAAGAACGTTTAGATGTTGAGTATTGTTACGTTTCACAACAAGAGATTGTAGTGATCTTTTAATGTAAAAGATGAGGATATTATGGATCAAATTATGAATAGGAATGCTGTCTAGTGAACCATAAAATTGGTTTCATTCCGCGCGTTATGACTGAAAACAAAACTAAGACGCCACCGGAACTGAACCGATTTAATCGTCAAAGTACCGGAATATTCTTCCAAAGACGATTTGTTTATTTCAACGAATCGTGTGGATCAACGGATGAGTATTCAACTATCATACCAACGATAATGGCATAACGACTACCGATAACCACAGGAGTTGAGTGTGATGAAAGAAAGAAAATCGATTTTAGTATACTCAAAAACGAAGAAAACTTCTGAGATACAAACGGGCAAATGATTGGAGAGAACAATAGCGAGTTAAACGAAAAGAGAAAACGCGAAATGAAAAGTTAATTATTAACGTCTACATCCAATTCGTTGTTGTTTAAGACGATTCTTATAACGTCCACGACTACCATCATTGTCATCGAATGTTGGATGTGTTCGATAGTACATAATGCGAGCTTCAACAAATGCTCTTTTCCTTTCTGCTCTTTCTCATGCTTCAAAGAATGTTGATCAGGAAGAATTCCATGAACTATTTTACCAAAAATAAACGAGTTTGCAGTTGAATTTGAACATTTTCACAAAGAGCGATAGAAGTTCACAACCAAGTTTTCTCAAGTTACCTATTTTTTAACGATTATGAGTCACAGTGCGATCGCAGTAGAACAGATGGGATGGACGAAAATTCATTTAGACGTGAGGGTTTTGTATGATTTTTTGTTTTCTGATGCTAGCTTCACACCGAACTTGCAAAAGTCAAACTTCTGTATTTTTGAAAAATAACTTGAAGAAAAAGGACAGACAACGGCTGCTTCACAATTCAGCTCGCTTTCATTTATATAAACCTAACATCAGAAAGTTTCAGATGCCACTGTTTCTTCCATTTAGTTAACTTCAATAAGCAAAATTTTAGAAATTAACCAGAAAAAACCCTTCAAATGGCTCCCTTTAGTGACTGCGCTTCTATTTCAAATGCTTTATTCCGGTAATCTGTTTGTGCACAGTGAGCTCATGAGCGTTTAAATACTCGACTTGTCGGCGTAGTAACATCATCCATTTTGATTTTTCCTCAGATGAATTATAATTTAATAACTTTCAATTAAAACCGTGAGTACTCTCATAGCAAAAATATTTTCTTATATGCTCAGCATTAGAAGTACATCCATGAAGTCACCAACAACGTTTGTTTCTGTCTTTCATTGTCGAATGACAGAGCCGGAATTCTATAGATCAAAGTGATTTTGTTTACAAGACGTGTTGTTAGTTTAGTTATCATTGAACCTTCAATGGCAAAATCAATCAGATTCGTCACTATAGATCTATCAAGAATTATTTTATTTATAGTCAGTATCACTAATGATTGAGTCTGAACAGTAAATGGCATATTTTACCTATCCCTTTTCTTTTGCTTATGTGCTATGATCGCTTGACCTTTTCTTGATAGAAACATGTTGGCGAAAAAATTGATTTGTCCATTATATATGTTCGATAGTTTCGATTGATTTTATGAAGAAACCTCGTCTGTTCGAAAGCAATACAAGATGAATTCTGAAGTACATGCGATGATAATCACTACATTGAGCATGATAATGACATTCATCCTCTGTGATTGTTTAGAAGAGACAAAACTAGATAATAGTTTATTTCAGGATGCCCAATACACGATCATCTTCTGCTCATTCGTTGCCTATTAGACAACTGACAAAGCATGCTGTCCAACTGGCATGGTATGTCCTTCTTTAGAAAAATTTATTTAGTCACTATCGTATTTGTAGTCAATGAGCCATGCAAATCTTACTGGGATAGCATAATATTGATTGAAATAGTTGTACTTCGTTGGATTTTGTCATTACGTAGTCCAGAGGAAAAACACCGATTTGAAGAAGTGAAGGGAAATTAAAGATTTCTTGCATGTGCATTGGTAGCTGTTTAGTTTGTTGATATATTCTTCAACACTCTACATGTAAATTGTACCATCGATACATTCACTGTTTTTCTTCGTTTATCGAGGGTATTCCAGTTGAACTCGGCGCTTATTATGGAAATGAGCCAACATATGAGACAATTGACGACGAATCATTTATCATATCTATTGATCTTGGCGGTTTCACATTTTACAATCCAATGTTATTATTTATATTGTCATCTTTGCAGTCGAAATTGAATCAAATTTACGTAGCAATTGGTGCTATAATTAGTGTATAAATTGACTCTATGATAACGAACTGGACTTCATTCTTTCTAAATGAAAACAACTTTCGACCTGCTCTTTCTTTATCTGTAATATTCGATTCGACTTATACTATTCCACTTGATCTATTTGCACAATATTATAATTTCGATATGTGTTAATGTGGAGTATCGATAGAATATCAAATCGCAACTAAACTTGATTGATCTACAGAACGTACATATGAAACAGTGGCACAGATATGAAATTATTACAATATACTAAAACAAACAATGAATAAATGAATCTGATATGGAAAGTACGTGATACACAGTTTTCAAGTGAATAACTACCATGTTACACATATATCTACCAATAACATAAGCAGCCAAATAACTCATTGGATAACTTAACATACTATTCTATTTCTTTTGTTGGTTTTCTTTCAAGAAATTTGTCTGTTGCTTCCTAAGCCAATACGCCGATGTAACTAACGCTAGTGACCAAAATGTAGCAAAGTAAGCAACTAGTACTCCAATATTCAGCCCAAAATTGGAATATGAGTTGAATAAAAGATGCCTTGCACCATTCACTATGTGATACAGTGGTAGTCCGTATCCATACCGATAGAATGTTGGCGAAAGCTCAAGAACCAATTGAAATGTAGCAGATGCTAGCAAAAGAACGACAAAGATAGTCAAGAGAGAATTGCCGAGAACACCTAGATTGATCGTGAATAGGACGACAATCATACCGAATACCATAATGGATAACCAATTGAACATCCAATAACGCATGAAAAGACTACCGGAGCGAATACCGAAGAACCAGAGAACAATTAGTGAATAGATAAGTGATATCATAAACGCTTGAAAAAGACCATTGAGAATGCGATAGAGAAGTAAGTCGAACCAATGAATTTTTCCCACTAGATAGATGTATAGAAGTCGGTGCCATCTTAGTGGCAGGTCATGTGGTTGAACTTACCAAACTGTGAAACAAACTTGATGGCACCGCCAACAACCATTCCAGAGACTAGATAGAGATATATATAACCAAGTGTTGTTGCCAGTTGGCCTACAAAGATGCAGAGGATTTACTCTCAGTTGTTGAAAAGACATGAACAGATACAGACCAACAAAAGGAGAGCCAGGATGAATATTTTGATAGCTTGCACTCAATGGATCTACAAGAAGTGTTCCAATTTGGAATGTATTGAAGAGTTGTTGAGTGTAGTTGTTAGCAGAGTTTGCCGATGATGAGAGATTGTGGATGAGAGTACTACGTAGATATTGACCATACTGAGTACTGGCTTTAGCGATAGCTGATCGAATGGGTGGTAGAACATAATTGTTGACTGTAAAAGCATTACGCCCATCTCCATATATGACGAGAATCGGCAGTGTGCTGGTGAACGGTGAAAAAAGTGTGGTAGTCGTGTTTGCTAGTGCTGCAAGTGATTGATTAATCAGACGTGTAGTATCTGCTCGAAGTACAACAGCAGCCCATACTTTTCCATTTTGTACTTCATCTTGTGTATCATCCACATTATGGTTGAAATCACTTGAATCTTTATAACACCAATGTAAAGTAGAATTGCCGGATGTCGTTTGCCGAAAAGCATTCGTAAAATAATATCCCGCAAGATCCCCATCATAGTCAATAATATTGACGTCTAGATTGTCTGTATATTTGCTCGGATTACTTCCAGATCCTAAATATATTGTTGAAATAAGGAAGATAACAGTCCAAAGTTCAATCGAAGCAAAAATCCATTGGCGAAGTAGGTTTTTGCGCAACCCAACAATATCTTTGTTTGATGAGTTCCATATATGCACAGGTTCGATAGTTGGTATTTGATAAGATGATGGATCTTCTGCAATAATATAACCAAAACGATATCGAGAATGCATCGTTCGAGTAGTCGAAATAGATACGCCTTGTTGTTCGGTTGGGACGTAAATAAAGTATTTTACGCTTCATTGAGTATATTGTTCTGTTATTGCATTTGCGCATATTTAGTCAATAATATTTTGCATTCTTACTTTATGACCATACTTACAAATGTTATCTAGAACATTAATTCGTAGACCATCGATAACGCCTTCACCTCGCCACCTATGGTCCAATGATCCTGAAACAGCTAAAATACGTCGTTCATTAATCATCTATTGGATTCGATCATCAGTTCTTTTTTGGATACTGATTTTGCTTATTGCACTTATCTATCTTGGTAGTGGCGTGGTATGTGTAATATAACACTATATTGTACCTAGACTTTTGCACTTTCCGTATTTCCTCCGAAAAATACGTTCATTTTCGAAATATTGTAATAGCTATTGCTTTCTAGAATCCACTATGGCATACAACTTCACTGGATGTGTTTGTAACGAACTTTGATGATGGTCTAGCAGGTAGTTACTTTCTTAGCGCATTCTCTAATACACCGCCTGGTAATCAAACGCTGAAATGGATTTTTCAGCAGCCGTCCGTTCTCCCAGCAGAGCTTGATGAACAAATCGAAGATGGCAACGCTTGGGCATCTGTATATATGAATGCTGGTACAAGTGCTCATCTTACTCAAGTTCTCCAATCGATTCTGAGTGGAAATGCCACAAGTCTTTCTTATAACCCAGCATCGGCAGTGACAATAGTCTATGATGAAGGTCGCAATTTCAATACAATCAATGGATACGTTTTGCCACCGATTAAAGCAGCCATTGCTGTTGCTAGTGCTCAGTATGCAAAATATTTTCAGTCTCAACTTAGTCAATATTCTAATATAACACTTACAAATGTTATCACATCTATTTTGGTTGCAAGTGTTACCCACTCACCTATTAGTTATACAAATCAAAATTTACATCCAGCTACGCCCTACGCTGCTATACTGGCTACATCATTAGGATATCTCTTTCTTTGGTTGATTATGCTAGCGTTGGTTGGCGCGATAACACGTTTAACTCAGCCGCTTGCTGGCAAAATCAAAATCATCGACATTGTATTGATACGTATTGTAAATAGTATTTTCAATGGTCTCATCATATCTCTTATCTATAGTCTGTGTGTACTATGGTTTGCTGATTTTACTAGCCCTGTTCCATTTATTCGTTTTTGGCTTTTTAACTGGCTTGCCACAATCACATTTACTGTCATCATTGTTTTGCTCATTATCAATTTAGGTGCTCTAGCCCAGTTAGTTTTGCAGCTCTTTCTTATTATCAATCTAGCTGCAGCGACAACTAACGTAACGATCGAATTGCAAAATAAGTTCTACCATATTGGGTACGGTTTACCTCTATATCATTGCTTTAATGCAGGTCGTCATCTACTATTCGGATCACATACTAGACTCAATGTTGACATTGCTGTACTGTTTGCGTATTATTTTGGTGCAACTATTCTCACCCTCATCACTGGTATTTATCGAATGCGTAAACAAGAACAGGAAATTCTCGAAAAGAATCGTAAGGAGAATCAGAAAACCAATCCAGGCATCGCGAAAAAACAGACTAATAAGAAAACTTAATATTCATATTTATAAAAACATACATCCTTTGTAATTCCGAGGTTGAGTGTGTAGGATAATGGTCGAAGTAATGGCGAAGATAAACGTATGAATTTGGTAGCGTTTTGATGTTTAGGCTATTCCAATTTACATCTACCTGATACCGTTTTTCAACTGGTGATGGTGTTTCTTGAGTTGCAGCAAGCATTCATATCCTAGTTTACTCATTCTTATAGAAATAAGCTGTTTTGATTCAATAAAATTCTTCGAATTGTATGAAAACCTCTATTTTAAAAAAAATTTCGATTTTCAGTTTTATTATCATTTCATATGGCAGTTGGAACAGAAGAATTGATCACATATAAAGTTGTGGACTTCATGCAAAAAAGAAATATCAATAAATTATTGTATTTATACAATAAGTTCGTCATCAGGTTTTCTACAATCGAAAATCCTACTTTTCAATTAACTGATCGATCCAATTCAAACTCTACCATATATGATTTATTTCTAGCATCATTACAACGAATATTAATTAATATTCCAATCCACCTTTTATTTTGTTATCAAAAGAGAAAGGAAAATTCTTTTGAATAACAGTTTTGACCGATGTACAAACATAGAATTGAGACTCGCTTGATTCTCAACTGAGTAAATTAATAAAAAAGAGCATTTGAAACATTTTCTCAAACATTCGTTTCAGTAGCGAATGAATTTTCCTCCTTTATCAACGAACGGAAATGTGTGTTATCACAGTGATTCAATATTGATCCATGATAAATATAATCGATGTGAAGCGAGCACCGAAAACAAAAGTAAATGACCTGTCGTCATCCCTTTATCAAGATGATTATCATTGTAAATTCTTAACGATCAATGAAAAGCCAATTCTGTTTGTTCATACCGATAGATAACATATCTGATCGCTTTAGTTTTAGTTTTGCTTTGCATATAACTCAAGCTGGAACGAATTTGTCTTTGATCGCGTATTGTATATTTATATCGAGCACGAACATATAAAAACAATATTCCGTTAAACGATGATGACAATTCGTCGATTATTTCGAATGATGTCTTCGTCAACGAAACCCGGTTGGTGTTCGAAACTTCCACGGCCTCAATACTCTCTTCTTGAACCTGTTTCCATACCTTCTCAAACATGGTTCGAAGTTTATCGTCTTCGTCCGAACGTTTTTGCGATCTACGAACCATATCATTGGGAAGAAGTAATATCGTATCTTGTAATTGGTTCTGAACATTCTCTCTTGATTGATACGGGAATGGGTATCGGAAATATTCAACAAGTAATCAATTCTTTAGTTCCTTCGTCTACATCATTGAAAGTGATCAATACACATACTCATCATGACCATATTGGCGATAATTGGCGTTTTCCTGGTTCACTTTTGGGCGTGCATTCAGAATTCGCTAAACACAATGCTAAAGGATCATTCGAAGAAGCTCAAAATGAATTAAAACCAGGCATGATTTGGGAGAAATACTTGCCAAAAGATTTCAACCCTAAAACCTATCGCATTCATTCCTTTCAAATCGACCATTACGTACAGGAAGGTGATCGGATTACTCTTGGACACAATCATGAGCTCGAAGTGATTTCAACTCCAGGTCATGCACCAGATTCAATTTCACTTCTTGATGAAAAACAACGTTTATTGTTTGTTGGTGATACATTCTATCAGGGCCCAATTCTTCTCTATCGGCCAGAGACCAATCTTCAAGATTATTTAATTTCATTAGAAAAACTGGCAAAACTCATTCTTAAATTTGATTTAATATTACCAGGTCACAATATTCCAAATGTTCAACCAGAACTGCTCGAAAAAGCGGCAATTGAAATGCGCAATATTATGCAAGGAAAATCCAAATCAACCAAAACTGATGATGGCAACTACGATGAATATTCTTGTGAAGAGTTTTCATTTGTTATTGATCCATCTTTCTTATCAACATGAAACATTCATAAAAAAGAAAAGACTATTAACTTTCTGTTGAAGATTTACTTTGTCATATATTACAAATATAAAGAACAAGAAAGAACATGTCACATGAATTCAACTTGACATTCAAGTAAGAAACTAGTTCAAGTAATCCGTAGCATATAGAAGAAAAATTTTAACCAAATTACATGTGCAAGTTATGTGAAGAGTACTCGGCATAGTAAAATCAAATATTGATTCATTCTGTATTCTACGGTATTGATGAGATGTAACTCGATTAAAAATCTATGTAGTCAGTTGAGTAAATCAAGATCGTACTAAGTGTCCACGATGACAATGAATGTTGTTACTAATGATAATAAATTTCCTTTTTCTTCGAATATATCATTTGATTGAAACAATGTCTCCCTATGGCATCATTGTCAGCATCAAAAGTCTCGTCTTGTTTTCATTTCCTCAATTAATCGTCTGATTGAATATGTACAGACAGGTTGACAAGAATCGATTTAAATGTTAGTAGACATTCGTTAGTTCCTGATGTTCTTGACCAAGCGAACATAACATCGTCATCATATTTCAAACGTCTTTAATTAGTCTTTTTTTCTGTCTACATTTCCGTACAATTAAGGAAAAGTCAAATTACGCGAACAACGGATGTCGTCAGTCGAGTCTGATTCTCGAGTGTACACTTTCTCTCATTCATTTGTCTGTCTGTCTATCGTCGTTTTCTTTTTGTACATATACATGCAACTTGTAACTTAGTAAGTAAAGCAAGTAACTCGACCGACAAGTTCAAACAGCATGCGAGATTAAAAGCAAATACAGGAAATAATCATTCTGTCGACCCAAATAAATGATTTTTTACCTTTGAATTCAAATTGCATCATATCTTCATCGAAATATATTTCCTAACCTTGAATTAAATCTTCTAGAACTATCATATGCGGAAATGAGAAAAGAATATATATATATATATCTACATTCTAGCATTCTTCGATATTTATTGATCAACTGTTCAAGAGCTTAATATTCTAAGTCGATCAATCATTCATTCTTAAATAAAAAAAGAAAAACAACAACGAACAAGTGACTAACATTGAATAGATGAGACTACTTAGACGATTAGATGAGAAAAAGCAAAGAGACCAGAGGGCATATGAATCGAACAAAGTGATTTTTCAATAAGCGAACATAAAAAGTACCATCTCTATATAGCTGGTTGAGCCTAAGATGATAAGTAGACGATGAGAACGACGTCTATTGTCTCGAGATGAGAAAAAGACGCCGCCGAAAGCAAATTTATCAGAAGACAATGATGAACGACTGATGGCAATTGGTAAGTAGGTGGAAAGTCGTACGAACTTGTTCATATATGTTCACTGACATCGGTGACAACGAAAAATCGATTTCGTAATCTATGACCTTTACATCGAAATGAGAAGGTATATATATATATATATGGTGTGAAGAACAATCAAAAAAGGTGTGTGTACCTAAGGAAGAAAACGATCCGATTACCGGAACGATTCAATGATGAACGATGAAAGAGATACAACACACTCTTCTCTTCTCTTGTTCTTACCTTCTTCTTTTCATTATATTTATACAATATGAAAAGCTAGGTGTGTGTGTGTAATAACGTAAGCGAGTATAATGTTGTAAAAAATAATTAAGAATAAACAAAAGAATTCATCTTGAATACACACATGATGTGAAAGATCGATTAGAGGATGACAACAACGTTAGATGATGTAAGAACTAACAAAACTGAACGTGCACCTAACATTGACGACAAAACGTGCTTGCGCTTTTTACACCCTGATGATGATGATGCAGAAAAATACACTATACATATATCTTTTTCTTGTTTTATATATGTTAACGCTTGCCCTTCTCAATTCTTCTTCTTGTCCTCTTTCGTAAGACGAAAATGATTACAAAAATTCCAACAGACAATGCACAACTGAAGAAAGATGAAGAAGTTACACAATGTCCATAAGATACTTCTATTCTTGCCCTTTTGCTTTTACGTGATGTTAATGATGATGGTGATGATAAGTGAACTAGAGAGAGAGAGAGACATATACATATACACCTTCTGTAGTTGGTTCCCAACATAGTCATTTCGGGCGAATTAGAAAATACATTATTAGAATAGAGACTCGATGATAGATCGTCAATTGACGGACATGCAAATGGATAGCCGATCGATCAATTCCTAATTGGCGTTCATCGTATATTTTCCAAATTGTATATTGTTCATTAGAGTTCGACCAGACGAAATCAGATATTTGGTGAGAGATAGGAAAAGAGAGAAACAAAAAGAAAGACAAAGCGAGAGAGAAATCTCTTGCAATACTTTTTTTCTCTGTCTTTCTCCCTCTTTCTCTCTTTTAGTCATAATCCTGTTAGTGTTCTACGAAGGTTATTATTTGTAACATTTTCAACAGACATTGATATAGAAGGCCTCTACCTCGCAGGCTCAACGGTCCATTAACACGCTGGTCAATGTAATACCTTGTATTGATTGACACAGTGCGGATATAGGTTTGTTCTAAAACGTTGTATTGAATTGATTCATAGATTGATTGCTCAGGTGAAAATATTTTCTTTCACAATTGTTGAATTTCTCTTAAGAGAACATTCATACAATTGATGTTATTTCAGGACCAGTTCATTCACCTTGCCGCAATATATGATTTGCTGGTCTCTTCATTCTAATTTACCCAAAGGCATTTTGTTCGCTCCTCCTCATGTTCGTTTTAGCCATGCATGTATACATTTAAAAGCGCGAGAACGAAGCAAAACAGAGTGCATCACCACCATTAGGATGTGTAATATATTTATATATATATATATATATATATGTGTGTATGCATGTACAGTGTACATGTACAATATGGATATATGATTGACAGTGGCAGCAGCGTATAAGTACTCGTAGTAGTAAAAAAACGAACATCATTCTTAACTTCATTTATTTTCACTTCTTCTTGTCTCTTTCTCTTTCTTTCTTTCGCTCTCTCTCTCTCTCTCTCTCTCTCTTTTTCCACACCGGACGGTAATGTATACAGACGAACGAAAAGAGATTATTACTTTTCATTAGACAAATTGTTCTTGCCTGTTGTTATTGTACCTATTCGCCTAATTTATAGATCTCAATCTCGTTTTTCATTGCCGAGTGACCGAGAAAGCTAAGTATCGTATCGCCTCTAATCATTTGCTTGTCAAACACGACATTCTTCTGTAGACAATGTCAAAAGATTAATAATAATCTTTTATGTTTCGTAATTTCTTTTTAAATAGTCATGCTGACTAATTTTATGCACATCTCTTATCAACAACGGATGCTGTCATTGTGACATCGATGTGTAATTTGAGATCATCATTACCTTGTAGTAAGAAATGGAAATATCTTCGACTCGAATTTCCCGGAACTACAAACACTATTGCTAAGTTCAAGGTTTTTTTTCTTTTTTTATACTTCGACTTCCTGAACGTGTGTTAGCGTCCGCACACATGCACAGAGAAAGGCCGGCGTCTATCTAATCAATAACCATACACCTCGACGCTTTGTCATTTGCGCAAAAGCTTTTGTGTTCTTCACTTACACATTATACATACATCTACACGCAAATGCGCGCGTTCATACCCCTCTTTTCAATATGCTAATAATTGTCCAAACTTCAATCTTCTATTCTATTATCATTAGAAAGAAAGTCATTCTGTAATTAAACTGATCCGTTTGCAACTGTCCATCCCTATCTTCTTTCTTACGAAGGACGACTAATTCGATGATCATTTTTGACATGAACTATTTTATTTATGAGAAAAAAATGAATGATCAATTATTTGTCCCTTGTGATGATCATCAAACAGTGGACAATTGAAAAGAGAAGAAGACATTCGATGTGGTAAGATCCTTTTTCCCCCCTTGTATATATTTAGGTAAAACAAAGGATTGTATGTGTACGTGAGAAAGAGAGAAGAAGAAGACCGTGTCACAGATGTTGTTGGAGATAAAAAATAGTTAACTCCTTTCTTTTGTTCAATATTGAACAGCGATGAAGATGAATATAAGAAAGTTTATTGCCTCTTGACAGTTGCAGCAACCATAGATGTTTGAAAGTTGCGTCACCTGCATGTATATGTCGAAGAAACTAAGAATTCATTATGGGAAAAGTCACGGTTCTATCTAGCAGTGTCGTTTCTTTGCCAAGTAGATCTAAAGTATCTTGGAATGATTACGCCATTTTTTAGTTCTACCTATTATATATATAGCTTAGGTGCGTGCGTGCGTGTAACATTTAGTGTGTATATGCTTTTTTTTCTTCTTACTTGCAATATGCGCATGAATTCAATGCATATATATATAAAAGATAATGTCTTCCTTCTCTTCTTTTATTGTTGCTTCTTGTGTTGCTGCTGGTGAGCAAACATTTAGGTGAGACTGCTTATATACACATATATGTATGAAGGTTGACCGAAGCCATATATATATATTCATATATGCTGGTAAAGTTGAGTGGATGAGTAGGACGACAATGATCAAAAAGACCGTCGTCATCGCATAATTTCATGTGTCTAGGTTTTCAAGTACTACCTGCGGCGATGATTTGACTGTTCGAAGCTTTTTCACCTTTAGATTGAAAATTAACTTTTCTTTTTTTAATAGTTTAAGCTGATGTAGTTTTGTATTTCAATTCAAGTAATTTTCGTTTTAAGATTTGCCACTTGATCGTTTTTACTCAGCAGGAGAAGTAAAGAAACGCGATTGATCGAATAAGCAGATAGAGAAGGAAAGAGAGAAAGAGAAATGAGAGAATTATGATTATTCTTGATAGAGAGTGAAGAAGAGAGAAAAAAAGAGAGAGAGAGAGAGAGAACAAATGAGTGAACAATCTTGAATGAACTGCTTATTTTCAAAGTCGAAATTTGTCAGGCAGAAAAGAAGATGATGATGAAATATCGCGTAGACACTTTTAAATAGATCTTCTTCTTTTTTCCTCAGTCTTCTTCAACAGATTTGTCATACGTCAATTTCTTTTTTTTAATGTATACATGCGCATGATCTCAAACGACATGTACGTATTNCAACTTTACCAGCATATATGAATATATATATATGGCTTCGGTCAACCTTCATACATATATGTGTATATAAGCAGTCTCACCTAAATGTTTGCTCACCAGCAGCAACACAAGAAGCAACAATAAAAGAAGAGAAGGAAGACATTGAATGAATGAAATAAAAGAGAGTAAACGTGTATGAGTGTTAATCACTGCTTGTGTGTCTGATTGAATTTCGATTATGAGTAATGTTCAAGACTTCTTGCTTTCTCAGGAGAAAAAGAGTAATGTGTGCGTGTGTGTTTGTGTTTCTGACTGCACAGTATATATGAAGTTTCAAAGTGACCGATTTGATTGAACCACGTACACATTTTATTCAATTTGTACATGAACTCTACATTGATATGCTTCTTTACTCTCTTAAAAACAACATGATCGATGGACACGTCAGGCTTCCGACAGACTAGAACCCATTTAGCACCTGTTCTTGGACTAAGGTGTGTGTGTGTATACATGCGCTTCATTAAAATGTCGAGAAGAAGAAGAAGAAGAAATGTGAACCATATGAGAAAGGATACATACATATATGTTTCTAAATGATTGAAACAATGAGCCTACTAGATTTTGTCGAAGCAAACTCAGGTTAAAATGTTTATTTTTTTCTCCATTTCAGGTAATTAATCTCTAATTGATAAGGATGATGGTAAATCATCTCTTCTTCATATTTATTCTTTTATCCTTCTCCTATATATTTTGTGTACCAATTGAATTATCTGAAATTATTATTCCTGAACATACATCAAGTGGTCATTTACTATTGACATTGAATAGTTCAACGGCACAACAAAGATATTCGTATCGCTTCGTCAGCAGTAATCATCGTGAACTTCAACAATATTTTTCATTGAATTCATCGACTGGTGAATTGCGTATTGCGAATGATATTGATCGCGAAAAGATTTGTACACATCGATACGTCAAATGTAAATTTCTATTGAAAATTTTCGAATTATTTCACGAAGCATTGTATCATATCCCAATCTTGATCGAAGATATCAATGATCATCGTCCGCTATTTCCTTACGAGTCATCAACAATTCAATTGCACATATCAGAAAACTCGCCTCCATACCAATCAAAGTTGTTCATTCAGCAAGCTTATGATCAAGATCAAATCGATAATCAAAAACAATTGCAATACGAATTGAGAAACATTGACAAAACATTTCCATTTCGTCTCGAAACGAATGTCGATGTATCAAATCGTTTAGCACTTGTTCTTATTCAACCACTTGATCGTGAACGTATTGATTCATATAATTGCACATTACATGTGCTGGATACTGCAGGGCATGATGAACAATTACATATCACAATTCTTATCGACGATGTCAATGATCAATCACCACTGTAAGCACAAATTATGAATAGATCGAAGTTTGACCTTCTTGTTGATTTCATTAGGTTTGAAAGTGAAGCATATTCTGTCGAGTTATCTGAAAATACACCAATAAATACAACTATTCTTCAAGTTCATGCTATCGATGCAGATATCGGTCTCAATGGACAAATTACTTATGATTTTACTGATGCTTCGAAGCAATTCGCAACTACATTTGCGCTCGATAAGTATACTGGCTTGATTTCGCTTCGTTCAGCACTTGATTATGAACAACGATCGTCTTACGTATTCTACATTCAAGCACGAGATTCAGGTAAAGAACCACGTTCTTCTCAAACATTAGTAAACATAACCATTCTCGATGAGAATGATTGTTCACCAAAAATAACCTTTCGTTTCCTTCCGGAAATCGCATACAATCCATCGAAAGATCTGATTGAAATCTCCGAAAGTTATCCAACTGATAAATTTTTTGCTCAAATTATCGTTACTGATGAAGATAGTAGTTATCGTGGCCAAACTCGTCTATGGTTCGAAATTATCGATGAACACAAAGATGCTGATCAGTCATTTTACCTCTATCAAATTGATAATTCAACTTATTTTTTTAATCGAACGAAACCATTCGATTACGAGCGTCAACAATGGCATCGACTGATCTTTTATGCTCAAGATTTCGATCCGAAAAAGCCTTTACAAACCAGTCAAATATTAACTATCCATGTTCTCGACGAGAATGATAACCCACCGAGATTTATTCATTCATTTTACCATTTGAAACTCAATGAAAACAATCGTGAGAATAGTTTCATCCAACAGATCGAAGCTTTCGATTCCGATAGCAACGAAAATGGACGTATTACGTATAGTATTCTCACCAACGAAACATCGTTTCCTTTCTACGTCGAAGAGAACACTGGTAAACTCTTCTGTTCGAAATCTTTAGATCGGGAGAAACGAGATCGATACGATTTCTATCTCATTGCTCACGATCATGGTTATCCGACTAGTTTATCCTCCAAAGTTCACATACGCATTGATATTAATGATGTAAACGATAATCCACCGAAATTTCTCAATGAACAATATGATTTCACTGTTGAAGAGAATTCGAACAAGTTAGAAGCCGTCGGTATCATTCGTGCATATGATTTAGATTTGAATAGTCAATTAACTTATTCAATTTCGAATGAGAGACAATTTCGATATCCATTTCGAATTAACAACAATGGAGAAATATTCTTTCAAAAGTCAATTGATCGAGAAATTGAAGATTTCTATGAATTTAACGTTACTGTTTCGGATCAAAAACACCAAAGTCAGATTCCCGTTACCATTCAAATTCTCGATGTTAACGATTGCGTTCCACAATGGAAAACACCTTCAGAAAACAATACTGTGCTTATCGTTAACAAAGATCTCTTACCCATTGGATCAACAATCGTGAAATTCGAAGCGATCGATCAAGATGAGAAGAGCGATGGAAATGGCTTAGTTAGTTATTCGATTGAAGAGATTTATCCATCGAATGATGAGTTCTTAATTTTATTAAGTACTGGTGAATTAATCCTGAATTCCACAGCTATGGTTGGACGTTACCGTTTATTAATATGTGCCCGAGATAATGGTAGAGCAATTCAACATTCGTCGTTCATGCAGTTTTATTTATTTATTGGTGATAATAAAACGAATGGAAGTTTATTTTATGATTTACATCATAATGATCAATTTTTTAAAATCAATTCGTTTTCAACCACCAAACGTATGTTTTTATTATCAAGTTTTTTTATTTCATTGGCGATTATTCTGGCGTTTATTGTTTGTATGATCTTAATACTTCTCTGTCGATATCGAAGGCAGAAATACCTTTATTATATTAAATGCAAAGCAGCACAAGCAGTGGTCAATAATCATAAGGATCTCCATGATCCGACGATGAACATCGTTACAAATCGATTGACTGACTTCGACGAGCGACATTCAAGTTCGAACTCATCAAAATTGAGTTTGGTATGATTAATTAGGTCGAATTATTTTGTCAACAAACAATGCTTTTTCTTTTTCAGGAAAATCTTCATCAAAAACGTCTTATCGATCATTCATCATCGCCCTCCTATACAGGTAATTGACATCGCGTGGAACTTCCTATTAGTTCGATTGATTCAACCTTGAATCTGTCAAATGAATGGAAACTAAATCGGATTCGTTTTCTCACCCACAATTAATTGCATCGATGGTTAATAAACCAACAAAGAACGACGGAAAAAATGATCCCTTCTCACGCCATTGACACACATCGACGTCTTTTTCAAAAGAAAAACGATTGAACAGTAGCGAACACATCTTTCTATCATCATGAGATTAAGATCAAAAAAGAAAAGAAAGAGAATGATTGCTGGTTAGTGTGTACACATCTATTAGAAGCAGAGCAGTGTCGTTTGCCAAAAGATTTGTACATGCGAAAGTGATTAATCCATTGATATGAAGTGACAAAAGAAAATCTCGATCAGTAAATATGGGTGCGGCTATTTTCATTGATGAGATAAATCAAGTATTAAATTGTTTTATGACGTTAAATCAAGAGATCGAGTGTTACTTTTCTTCAATCTTTGTTCTTTTGTCAAACACACCGCATTGTATATCGAATAGAACACATCAATAAAACAAAGAATGAATATAATATCTCCTTTTTCGTTCATAGGTGCAAATATCTACACGCAAAGTAATCATCAACATCCTGAAGCATCATCGACGATAAGGTTAAATCAAACTACCAGTGACTATTACAGCAACAGCAGTAAACATGAAGAAGGTTAGCTATTCATACGCTTTTGTCTTTGTCTTCAAATGTATTTTATTCTTTTATAGATGTCGATGAATGGACCGATGAACAGCAGCGACCGACCATGGATGGGAATAATCAATGGTCAATTGAAAAGGTTCTGTATCCTGAGTGGTTATATCAAGGATCAAAAACTACGCCCACAACTAAAAAGAATTTCAATGCGTCAACATTTGTCGATATGAATTCCTATCGAACATTTGAAATGAATGGAAGCACGATAGGTAGTAATAGTACTGGTCGACGAACGATGTCATCGTCTCTGACATCAAATGCTCAACCATCTCCGAAACAAGTACGTTTTGGTTGTCAACAGAAGATTGTCGAACAAACACGCTCGTATCCACATCTAAGTACAACGATTCGACAATTACGAACGGGTACGACGACAACAACCACAACTACAACAACTATTTTAAAAAGTGATCCAGATGATACATTCATCTAACCATTATGTTTTGTTTGTGTGTGTGCGTGTGTTTTTGTTGTTAATGGACTCTTTTGCTCTCTCTTTCTCTCTTTTTCTCTCTCTTGTACAGTTGAAAATTTTTTTCGGTGTCTCTTTCCTTTCTTCGTTGGAATGACGAATAAAGAAAGAAAACAAAATATTGAGCAGATGCTGGAAATATGCTCGAACAGGAAAAAGGAACTCGATCAAAAGAACAAATTTGAAGTGATTCGATCTCTCGTCATTCAACAGATGGAACGACAGTCGACCAGACAGGAACACTTGTTTCTTTTTTCGAAAACGGAAATTAAACAATAAGAATTTGTTAATGAATAAATGAGAAAACAAAGAAGAAGAAGAGATAACGAACGTTTGTGATGCACTTGAATGCCATTTTATCTAATAAGATTATATTTTCTTTTCTCTAAAGTAAACCTGGACACAATCCATGGTATGAACGAATAGATCGAGGCCATAGATGCCTCCATACTTTACATTCAGTTCGATAACACGCGTCGAAGAGATGTATGTAAACAAGAAAATAGGTAGTTTCTTTATTTAGTAAACCCTTGCAAACTAGTTTTCGTTACTAGAAATTCTGATTCTTAAAAATGACGAACGATAGCTCTGTTAATGGATGCTGTGAACATTCGGAACGTAAAGTCAACTTTGGTCCAGGACCAGCTCAATTGCCACTTGAAGTACAAGACAAATTCGTTCTTTTGTAACATTCAAATGTTTTCCTCTCGTTCCAGGTTCTCAAAAATGTTCAAGCTGAATTTTTGAATTATAATGGATCAGGATCGAATGTTATGGGTAAATACTTCGCAGTGTAAATTCCGATAGATTTTGTATTATTTCGTAGAACTTAGCCATCGATCATCTGCATTTGCAAAAATTATTCAAGAAGCTGAACAAGACATTCGTGAACTTTTGTAAGAGAATTCTTCTTACTAGTCACACTCGATGTTTGTTGCTCTTTAGATCAATACCTGAATCATATGCAGTTCTTTTCCTACAAGGTGGTGCCACTGCTCAATTCAGTGCTGTACCATTGAACTTTCTCAATTTGAAATCATCGCAAACAGCTGATTATCTCGTTACTGGCTATTGGTCAGAGAAAGCGGCCAAGGAAGCGGAAAAGTTCGGTAAAATCAATTGGGTCGTGCCGAAATCAGATAAATATAGAGGTTTAACAACACATCGACATAATTTCATATTTATGGGATTTTTATGATCTTCTAGGTGTACCTGCTGAAAATACTTGGAAATTAACCGAAAACTCATCGTATTTTTACTATTGTTCTAATGAAACTATTCATGGTATTGAACTTGAAGATATTCCTTCGATTGTACCAAAAGACACGCCAATTATTTGTGATATGTCATCAAACTTTTTGACTCGTTCATTCGATATCACAAAAGTAAGACCGATTCCCTAACATTTTAGAATTCCCGATCATATTCATTGTAGTTCGCTATGGTATTTGCCAGTGCTCAAAAGAATTTCGGTGCAAGTGGTCTCGTTCTCGTTATTGTACGAAAAGACCTTGTGGAAAAGAATACAAATAATTCTATTCCAGTTACTTTTGACTACAAAGTTCAAATCGCCAATGCATCTATGTACAACACACCACCAACATTTTCGTAGGAGATCAAGTTATTTACATATGCGAAGTTTCTATCTTGTTTCTTTGCAGAGTTTATATTGCCAACAAGATGTTCAGCTGGACAAAACGACAGGGTGGTTTGAAATCAATGAACCAACTCTCCGATAAGAAATCCAAAGTTGTCTACGAGACGATTGATCAATCAAATGGTTTTTACTCGAATGTTATCGAGAATAAATATCGAAGTCGTGTTAACATTCCATTACGCATTATGAAAGATGGTACAGCGAATGAAAAACTCGAATCATCATTTCTCAGCGAAGCAGTCAAATCGAATATGATTGAATTAAAAGGTCATCGTGCTGTTGGCGGTATTCGCATCAGTCTTTACAATGGTGTTAGTTTACAAGAAACAACTAAACTTGTTGATTTTATGCGTACATTTCAAAAAAATAATAGCTAAAAGAACCAATCGATTGGGTTCATTGAAGATTTTAGAAAAATAAAAAGAAGATTTTTTACGTCGTTTGATATAACATTCATCGAATGTCACACGAGTTCTTTATTGATTTCTTCTCTACAACAGCTATGCATTGTATTAGAGAATAACGAGAAAGAGACAGAAGAATTGCTGTTACTAAGGTAACAATACAAATCATGATTGAAAGTAGATGAAGAACGAAAAATTCTATATGACGGTCGTATTTATCTTCCTTGTTAATAGATAAATAGCGGTAAACTGATCTAATCCCATGTTCTCTAGTTTAGTCGTCAAGCAAATACAAGCCGGAAAAATAAAACTATCTCGATGATTCGAAAGGTGTAAAACTTAAAAGAATAGGATAAGCATCTTTGAAATATATGCAATCGCTTGTTATTCTTGCAGAAACAGCAACAGCAAGAAAATGTCTTTGTATGTTTATATGACTGAAGTGTTCGTTCGTTTTTTCATCTTCTTCTTACATCTTTCTATTTCTGTTCTGTAAAGATTTTTTCAATAAATTTTTCACTTGTGGCAATTGAAAAAGAAAATATGACATACGCGGTACTTGTAATGCTTCAAGCTCTTGAACATTACTTTTGAAAATAGAGAAATCATTTGTTCTCTCGCTTTAGATGTATGCTGAAGATTATGGAAGGTAATTTTGTAGTTGAAATTTAATTACCGGTGATCATTCACATCTCAAAATGGAAAGTAAGTGCATAAAAGTCAAACGAATTGAGTTCATTTTGGCAAATGATTCCCTAGGATATCGTATACTTGGAAAGAAGGGTGAAGGCACGTTTTCAGAAGTATTAAAATGCCAATATATACGCGATGGGACATACTGGGCGGCAAAGAAAATGAAACAAACGTACAAGAGGTAATGATTCGAGAAGTCTAATGGTATTCGTTGGACGGTGTTTTGTTTAGTATCGATGAAATTCAACAAATACGTGAAATACGTGTGCTGAGACAACTGAATGGTCATCCAAATATAATCTTTCTTCGTGAAATCATTTTGTAATTTATCAACTGATGTTATTCATTTGACGAATCTTTTTAACTTTTATAGTGATAAACGAAATGGGACTTTGTGTTTAATATTTGAATTAATGGCAATGAATCTCTATGAATATATTCGCGGTCGACAACGATTATTGGCGAATGAAGTTGTGTGTAAATTTATGTATCAATTGTTGAAAGCTTTGGAGTTTCTTCATAGGTAATTATGAGAAATGTCTTTTTTCGTTTCTAATCATTCAACTGTGGACTTATTTTAGACATAATTACTTTCACAGAGATGTAAGTTTCGTTTGATTGTCATTTGAGAGAGAATAAAATACTTTTTTGCGAGTAGGTTAAACCAGAAAATATTTTGATTAAAGACGATACATTGAAGTTAGCTGACTTTGGTTCGTGTCGACAAACTCATTCAAAACAACCATTTACTGAATACATCTCTACTCGATGGTAAACTCCATTTCACTTCTATTCTTTGCATTTTATACATTCCAGGTACCGAGCACCTGAATCTCTACTAACCAATGGATATTATCGAGATTTGACAGACATCTGGTCAGCTGGTAAGTTTCGAGTATTCTTTGAGAGACTTCTTCGAAATGACTCTTTTCTATATGAAAGGTTGTGTTATGTATGAGATAGCTACACTTCGACCACTTTTCCCAGGCACAAATGAACTGGATCAGATCAGTAAAATCCACGATGTATTAGGAACACCATCAGCAAGTACACTAGAAAAATTTCAACAGTAAGTGATTCGAAAGTGTTTTTATCTGCTCGGGATAGAATAGAAGTATGTCTTTAGTCGGAACACAGCAGTTGATTTTAATTTCCCTCCACGACGCGGCACAGGTATTGCTCGCCGTTTAACACATTGCTCATCCGATGCAATTGATTTAATAAATCAACTATGTGTTTATGACCCAGATTATCGTTTCACCGCTGCTCAAGCTCTTCAACATCCATACTTTGATACTGCCAAGTAAAAGAGCATTTTCTTCGAGAAACAAAACAGAATCGTTCTTCCATATTTAGGCATGAAGAAAACCCGCCAATACATGTTGTCAATGAAACATCATGGGAGACTAATACTCAAGTATCGAGACCAAGTCAAGATCAGTATACACGACCTGATTCTAACAGCAGTAAATCAACTGCCGATGAACCAGTTACATCAACAAGATCAAATATTTACAATCCAACCACTATTCACCAACAGATCTTAGAACCTAATTTTCATAGAGTAATCTCATTCTTTTCATTCCTGACTTTTTCGACTTCTAAAAATTGATTCACTCTAGCTTCTTCAACCTCCTGCCAAAGCTCAATCGTTAGTTGATGCTCGCATTCAAGGTCAAGCACCTAAAAAATCGTTCGTTCAACATAAATCTCATACGAAGTCAAAACATATGCATCCAAGCTATCCCTATCCTCAGTATATTCAGCCGCAAGTCTATTATCATTCGCTTGCAACCGTGGGACCAAATGGTATACCCTATCAAACATCGCCGAATGGCCAACTGATTAAGAACAGTCATTCATCATTCTTGCCAAGAATAGCGGGCGTTTCGGCCTTTTCGAATTACTCAATCGAATCAGGATATTCCGTGCCAACAGCTCACAAAGTAGCACCCATTGTAAGCTAAGCCATAGTACAATCTATGTTTTGGTATACCAGTATGAGAGAATATCCTAAAGGTCCGTTTAGTTGTTGAGACATTCATCACTAGTAAATATACAGTTGGATCAGACCAGAAAGAAAATAGTATTTGGAAAATTTCATTTGATGTTGCTCGATTATTTTTAGAACGCTTATCCAACAAGGCAAGCGGCTGCATATTATCCGATAATCGCCTATCGCCCGTACAAAAAATGATCGCACTCTCGCTCAGAATATATTTACATTCCACTGACATTTTTTTTCTCCTTTTTTCGTTTTCAATTACTGTTATTATTTTATGAATGCTTGTATTATACAAGGAGCCATGTAGAACATAATCAAATATGACGTTTTTATAAACATAATATTTGTTTTTTAGCAAAAAAAGAATGTCGCGACGAATTTTATATGAAAAGTATATTCTTTCAAACAGCTGATTGTAAAACAAATATTCAACGAGTTTTTGTACTCAATGTTGACTAAAACACAAGTTGGTTTTAACTATCAGGATTAAAATGACCCTTATTATGTATTTCGAATAGAGTCAAGAAAGTGTCTGGTGTATGTTTTTCGCTTGAATTATGTTCGAACAAAATGTTCAGCACGACTGAATTCACCGAGCCATTTTTGTCTTACATTGCTGGGTAACCACTGGGCATATTGATTTTCATCCATTTGAATGTATCCAACAATGTTGGGATCTACACTGATTTCGCCATTTGCTGTTAAAATTTGATCTGGTCGACATGTTGTGAATGTGTCCGTTTGATCACGAACATATAAACAAAAATGACAACCAAAATTACCAAAACTAGGATCAACTTGAGAGAGTGCTCGTTCCATGGCAACACGTGTGTCACTCATGAATCGATAAAGAGAAGCTAGTTTAGTTTGCGCAGGAGCTTGAGCTACTACCCCAATACGTGGCGTGGATGCTAACCAAACAAGTCGAAACTCGTTCGTATTGGGGTTGAATCTTGAAAGAGCAATAGACTCAACTGGTGTTGAATTTGGTATCGGTTTTTGGATACAGTCGTTTTTATAATTTTGATATTTACGCATATTTTTTTTGTGTAAATTAGTAATACCCTGCTCGGCTGATTGCGCACCCTGCCACTGTCTGTTATTGGGAATATTTCGAATCTAAACGAGAGGGAAAGTAATTCAATGATCTAAAAGAAAGAACAGGTGGACTACTTGATTCCTAGCCTGTTGGAGGTAAGGCGCTAGAGGGACACAAATATGCGCGTGCCATTTCGATGTATTTTCTTGGTACCAACTACCGCGATGAAACGAAAGTATAGCTTGGTCTACAAATTGTCGATTCTCAGACAAGAATTGACCGACTATTTCAAAGGTTGCTTGAAGTTCAGTATCGGTAGCGTCTTTTTTCTGCTCGCGTTGTACAATAATGAAATGCGGTCGAGGTGTCCATGTATCATAGACAATTTTGATCGGTTTTGTAGCATCATCATACGCGATCACTTCTGCTGTGGCTGCATGCATTCCTATCGCCATTGATTTGAGGTTTAAACGAATGAGTTGTCGAACAACAAAGGATTTCCATATATACTCCAAAATTTCCCAGTTGGCGACGTAGCAACATATGGCAGTGACATACACAAAAAAAACTCCAACCAAAGGAAAGATGAAAAATAAAGCGTAGATAAAAAACAAAATCGATGTGTTTTTTCCTTATCACTGTGTTTACGTCCATAGTACACTGATTAAATTTTGATCGATTCTTCCTCGCTGCATTCATTTTTTACAAAGAATTCTTTCCACTTTAATAAGATTTCTGTTTGCTCAATGCTGAAATCAGACTCAATAACTATGCTTTTTCTTGGAAGAGAACATGAACACAGATTTATTTTTTCGTGCGCGTACACATATGACTCATACAAATTTCATTATAAAGAACTACTCTCTTTTCGTCCGACTTAATGTATTCGACACCTGGTTACGTTTCATGACTAGTTTTTTTTCGTGATATCTCGATTAAATGAAGTACAAAAGTAATTTTTACGTGTTTATTAAAGAATATCGTTATCAATCTCTGTTGTAAAAATGAATCCGAATGCTGTTTTCAAGAAATGTTCGTATTCATTGTTCGATCACGGATAAAATTCCGTTGAGATTCGTACCGAAAATCGACTTGTTGTATCATCCCCTATTGAACTTTGTGTATCGATATTCTGCTTAACATCATTAGGTTTTCGTATGTCATGCAGATTCAATGGTTTTACTGATGAATTCTTCTGATGCCATTTATCAATAGCAGCAAAACCCGATCGACAAACCGATATTGGTGGATTGACCAATGGATTGTCATCGAGTATTGTCGAGGAATAGTTGTGTTTCCAATCGAGTTGTTTCAGTTGAGTTAGAGTGCGTGGTAATGTACGTAATCGGTTATGTCCAATCCACAGCGTCGTTAGATTTTTCAACATACCGATTGAGTCGGGAAGTAAACGCAGACGATTGTCATAAAGTAACAGTGATTGCAGTTCCGTTAATTGACCGATCTCATCTGGTAATTGACGTAGTTTATTACTTGTTAAATCAAGAAATGTCAGATTTTTCAATTGAAAAAGTGACGCTGGTAAATCGCGAAGACGATTATTTGCTAGATGAAGACTTTCCAATTGCTCTAGATTACCAATAGCATTTGGTAGAGTCGTTAAGAAATTATTTGAAAGCACAAGTATAAGCAATTCACGTAAATTACACAATTCATCTGGTAAACTATGCAGATTGTTTGTATCCAAAATGAGGATTCGTAATTCAGTTAACCGACCGACTGCAGCTGGTAATTCATTCAATTGAAAATTCAGGCAAGCTTCACGTGTTGGACTCAATTCCAAATAGGATATGTCTGGATAGGCAAAAACATCCTATTCAATTGAGAAAATAAGAAAATAAAAACACAGATAATTGTCACCTACTGCACTAATGGTATGAAGATCCCGGCCGGAACAGTAAATACGTCGCCCATCCATGTTACTTGTTGCACTCACGCTACTACTATTACTGCTGTGTATTTGTTCAAAAGTCGAGCTTCTCGAAAGATTGTTAGCTAACACGTGAATGTTATTCTCAGGCTCTTCAATCAACTGAGGCATCCGTATACTTTTACTTGACAACATCTCTGAATTTCTCGAATTCTCTTCTTCTCCTTCAACGATTTAATCGCTTTCATTCAAACAAAATTAACATATCCATTACTAAGATCAGTTTTCACTTGAAATCAAGCAAAAAAGAACTTGCCTTCAACAAAGGAAAGTCATTTCATTAGTACAACATATATCAATATTTGACTAAGCATACTAAACATGATATAGCAAAAATAATTTATTTTTCATTATGATTGAAAAACATTTCAAGGTTAAAACGAAAAGACTAGAAGTAAAATCATCAAATTTGATCAGTTACTTGTAACTGACGAGTGTCGTATTGAAGAATGTTGAGCCTACCATTCAAATCACTTGTTGCAAATCTGAACATTCAATTCATTCTATCAAATAGTTACAAAATTGTATAATTTACTTTTGTGCGTTCATCACACATATTGATGTAAGACCTGTTGTATTATCAACATCGAGTTCAGCAAGCATGGCTGAAGAAGTCAGCAGATTGAGAAAGTTAGCAGTTGAGAAATCATTTGGATTCTCTTACCGTTTCGTTGAACATTCCAAAGAATTGCTCGACCGTCATTACTACACGAAATGATTGTTGATGCGGTTTGATCAACAAAACGCGCACTATTAACAGTTGCACGATGGCCATAAAATTCGAAAAGTAGTTTTCGTTGTCGGATGTCCCATAACTATTCGAATAGACCACAGTTTATCTTATCTAGCGAATCGAAAGGCTAAACTTACAGAAATTTCAGCGCCACTTCCATTAAATCCATTGCTTGTGGAAATCTGTCGTTTGAACAGACGACTGGAATCGATTTAATCAATGTTTTTGGAAAAAACGTACCAGATATTGATTATCATGTGAAATATCACAGGATAGTTGAATATATTGCTTTTTCGGAAACGAAACAACTTGTGTCATACTTCGAGCGTCATACATTCTAGACAAAGAAAGCAAGACAGTTTTGATTCATCACTTCTGTCAATCCTAACTTGATTTCTTTGTCTTCGCCTGTTTGAGTAATAAAACTTCCGTCATGAGACCATTTGGCATCAGTGACCTAAATTTGCGCCATAAAAAAATGAACGATGTCATTTTAAAAACAACGCACCAAATTCCGTCCGATCACAATTGATTTGAGTATTTGGCCGGTTTTTATATCCCAAAAATTCACTTTATTATCACGACTACCACTCACCAAAACCGTATTGTCTATAGAAGATAAAAAAAATCATTGATGAAGTACTTCGTAATAATTCAATAATCCCTCTACCTGGATTGAAGTCAATAGCTGTCACAACAAGGTCATGGCCAAGTAGTTTTTGTACAGGTGAACCTGAGTTTGCATTCCAAAGCTGAATTGTACGATCGCGAGACGCGCTCACAACTAAATTGATTAAACGTCCATAGTTCACTTTCATCACGTCATGTTCGTGGCCAACCCATCGACGAGAAATACGATGATTGAGCAAATCATATAGAACTAATGTCTGAAGAGAAGTGAAATGCATTTGTACTTTTTTTTCAAAGTTATCGGGTAATTCTCCTACGCGATCTTGACTACCAGTTACAACAGTAGATCCATCAATGGAATAAACATTGAGAATCGCTTCGGAATGAATACGTTCTCGAGCAGGTGGTCTTTCTCGTGCTTGTGCAGAAGATTTCACGCCCGTATCAAATCTACGAGAGCATATTAAATCAATATCGAGTCAATTTGCTTTTTACTCACTTTTCATGATCATTAAAGTTCTGTGTAGATTTCGATTTACTCTTTTTACCAAAAAGTTTTCCAAAGTTCATCCTTTTACCTTAGTCAATGGTTAGAACTGCCAAACAAAAAATAAAATCAGCATCCATAAATCCGTTCAAAGTTCATGACAACGCAAAGACTTCTTGCTTATGAATCATGATCAAGATGTCGCTAGTATTTGCCTGAGTTTCTTATTTAAACGAAATGAAAGTACATGTAGTAAAAGTAGGGCAACACACTTCCAATAATTTTATTGCAGCAAAAATGAAAACTTGTATCGACTTTTATCAAACTAAAGTTCAACAAGGTCAACGGATGTGAATTGAAAACTACATGAGTGCAGAGACGTCAAATGAGCCGATACTATCTCGTGCGTGTTGATCGCGAAGCAAGCTTTGCTTAGTCTTTGCCGGTCCATTTTCTCGTGCAGATGCACTATGTTGAGAATTCGCAGCGATCGATTTCGTTTTGGATTGCATAGAGATATTTTCCGGTTCTAAATGTCGTCGAAGTTGATTATAATAATCACCACCCATATTCTCAATACTGAGACGTTCATCATACTAGAAAGAAAAAAAAAAACTTCAATAATCCAATCTGATGATGTACATTCAGTAAACGCATACGGTTTGAATCAATCGTGTTACCAATACTCTTGATCCATCCGGCATTTTCTTCGAATAATTCGATTGTTGAGCTAACCGTTCTTCTCGTGAGACCGATTGTTCGACAATCAACATAATCTTAGCCCATTGTCGAAGCCATTCTTTTTTCCGTTCATTTACCATTGCATACGTGTTACCCATCACTAAGCGCACGTTTTGATAATGCAAAAATATCGAACAAAAAACGAGCTTGTTACATACTAGCGATAAGCATATTGACCAAAAGGACTGCCGCAGTGATGATATAAGTAACAAAACAAATCTTAATGAAATCACATCGAATAAAGCAAAGTTCACTGAACTTATTTGACAACTCACTTTTCCAATGACTTGGATGCCAGTATTTGGATGGAGATAAAAGTTTCTATATGCATCAGCAATTTGTTGAAGCGTAACACAAAACATGCGGAAGAATGTCTTGATAACAGTCTGAAAATCATTTTTACACGCAATTCGAACAAAGAGAACATGTAATGCTTGTGAAAATCCTGCCATGAAGACGAAAAAGATCAAACAAAATCGCAACAAGTCACCCCGAATCATTGTGTAGATCATAACAACAAACGGGCCAGTCGTACGAAATCCACTAAAACAAACCGATTCGAGCAAGACTCCACAAACGAATACTCTACCGGCAAAAGAAGAAAAAATACGGTGCTCGAGTTAATATCGCGTAGACACATATCATGTCGTCAGTTTCAATTGCACAGGTAAACCTTGCTGGAACCATAGCTAATGTGAGAAGACAAGAAAACAAGAATAAGACTCTTGTCGGATCATTAACATAGACAAAATAATCTAATTTGAAATGTTGATAAGAAAATTCACGGATTGTTACGATTAGATACATCAATGCCCCCAAAACTGTTAATACATCAAGAAAATTGAGGACCTATATGCACAAATCAAACTTCATTTCTTGTCCAATCGATTCGTCTCCGACTTACTAATGCTATGGGCTCAAAATGCTGTGTAGGAGGAGCCATTCTCAGTGTTGTATTTAAAATAGTCTGATTATTTCCATCGTCTTCGTCATTTAGTAAAATCCCGTGCCATAAAAAATTTGTATAATGACATCGACATTCAGAGCGATCCGAGATGATTGATTTCATCGAATCTTTGTCTACGACGACTAATTTGATACATGCCGGTGGCACACGATAATAACCACGAACGATTAGTGCAAGTAAACAGATAGCAAAATAAAACGCAAAAATGCCCATTCGTTGAAAAAATCTATTGGCGAATATGCAAATCGAATATGGATCTACAATTCGGAAACAAAAGTCTCACTTAAATTTAATAAATGTTCGCCATTTCTCATTTAATAATTGAACGATCAAACCATCCATCATATCCAAATGACCAGCTGATTCCTATGAGCAGAGAAAAGACAACATATGTTCGTCAAATACGAAAATCTGACTTACTCCACGGACAATAATACTAAGTGCACTGGTATCATTCAGTGAGCCATCTTTTCCAATAGTATCGATATCATCTAATGGGTAACCAGCACATGTCACATTTCCATATTGCCAATAGATTGTTCGAGTTTTTTGCAGAATATGATCGAACATCTATGAAAAATTCCAAAGCTGTGTCAAAGAGCACGTCACACTTTCCCCTACGTCTTTATGAGCTTTGGTAGCAGCGAGCGTCAGTGGAGTTAAACCTTGCCGGTTTTTGATATCTAACGATGCGCCCAATTCATAGAGTAAATCGACCATTGGCTATGTAGAAACGAATTTTCATCATTTGACACAAGAAAATGAAATCAAAACATACGATTCGGTTGTAAATAACACACATGTGTAAAGCGGTATTTCCATTGGAATCTTGACAATTTGTGTCAGCTCCTTTAGCAATTAACAATCGTACCGATTCTTCTTGTTGAAGAACAGCAGCAAATGAAAGTGGATATTCACCAAAATAACAATAACCTTCATAGTCTGTTGCAACACTTACATCTGGGCATTCTTTCGTCACATTATCCACTCTAAACAAGAACAGAAAAGTTTTCTCGATTATCATCCTCGTCTTTTTCCTTTCTTTCTTACCGACTAGATTTCTGATCTTCAGGTGAGAAAAATTTCCCACAACAACGTTGTGTGAAATCTACACCTGCGTCAAGTAAAAACTTTACCGTTGCTGGCTCTTCATTGACGAGGGCAATATGAAGAACATTTTCACCTAAAAGTTGTGGAAAAACCAATTCAAGTCTTAGAAATTATATCAAATTGACCAACCGTAATATTCATCACCCATGTACAGATCATAGATCATTTTCGGATAATGTCTCAGTAAGCGTTTAGCTAAAGCTGTGTGAACAGGACTTGATGATAAGAAACAAATATGAAGAATTTGTTCTCCGACACCGCCGCGTTGATCCAAATCCCAACAAACACGTTTGGTTTCTTCTCCTAAACATCCAAATCAATCTAAGTATGAATAGTCTTTCCTTTCACAATTACCATTGAGTTGCTCCTCGTCAGTTTCGACTGTCGGAACAATACTTTTCACTTTACTATAAGTATTATTACGCCGTCGAACAATTTCACTGACTGTGATCAATTTGCCTTCGCCTCCATTGTATAAAAACTTCGGTATCTGTTGTTTGATAAGCGTGTCGATCTGTGCATAATCTTTCGTTCGATTAGCCACGCGCATAACTTCAACGAATTCACCACCACCCTAAAGATAGATTTGAAAGGAATTTATCCTAAGACAATTCACGCAATTGGCTACTGTCATATCAACGAAACGATATAATTCAGGTCCTTGTCCGCCTGTATTGATTTGAGCTTTCACGCCAGAAGCGACTTCCGATGTCGTGTTCCCCATAGAAGATTGTTAGAGAAACAAATGACTGTCGATGATTATGATTGAATTGAAATATTCAATCGAACGTTTTCTTTTTTCATTGATGTTGACGGAAGAGAAAAGAAAGCGAGAGAAAGAAAGTCTTATTTGCCCGTAATTGGAACGAGTGCCGTTTTCTTATGTTACACCAGTAAAAAAATTCAAGAAGCGAGAATGTGCAGAAGAAAAATCTTTACCTGTCACATAAATGGTTCGAGGAAATAGTCAGTGATCGATTAGAAAGACTTATTAACGTTTAATGAGACGGTGATGTTGCTCATGCAGAAAATAATTTTCCACATAATATAATGAGAATAATAGGTCTGTACGGACCAAAACAAGACATTAGAATAGTTCATTTAAGATTTTCAAGAAAAATATTTGTTTATTGGAATAGAATCAATCATTTGTACTATATTAAATAACTAACTATTAACAGAACAAATAAATTTTTTGAAACAAATCTTCTCAGTACGAGAGCACTGCTTTTCTAATTGAATATCAAATAAATACGTAATAGTTTTTCTTTCTTCCCATTCATAAACATTTCAATCATGGAAACGATTGACATTATTTGTTTTCGACATCTTGTTGGGAATTAGTTAAATATTCAATCTGTCTATTGCATGGTATCATTTGTGAATCGTGACAAATTATATCTGCTCTGGAGTTGCTCAACTCATGTTCCTCTTTCGATAAAACTAACAGCGGTAATTCTTTATTCTTACAATTTAATTTTTGTGATTTTCCAAAAACGTCCACTGGAATAGTCGAACATTGTTAGTAGATTATCTGGAATGATCTACCTATTTTCTAAATTGTATTCTTCTCTAACCGTTGAACTTTGATGTTCAATGCAACCCGTTTTTAACCACAAATCATATTGCCAGAAATTTGTGAATATCCTCTATCGAAATCTTAAATTGTTCCTTCGAAAACGCCATGACATGATATAGTCATAGCGCATCGCAGAAAGTTACGCGTCTGTGAAGATCTGGACATGAGGGTGCTGTCAGTGTATCATATTCATTCGGCTGTATCGTTTTTTCAAGCAAAGTTGGCGGTTTGGGTGACTCCCCATGCGCTTGCTTTGTGTTTCGAATGAAAATTTAAATAGAAATTATACTTAAGAATTCCAGAAAAGTAATAAACATTATTCATTAGAAAGTTAATCATCAGTAGAAAATAAAAAATACGAATAATGAAGAAACGAAGGTTAGAACATAGATCAATTGTTTGTTTGACTGGAATATTTGTACTAAACGAAGATAAAAAAAGATAAGCTAGATGAATTTTTCAAATCTTTCAAAAAACAAACAAACCATTTGTTCTTGTAATAATTTAATTGTTTGCTTATCTTGTTCCTTCTCTTTGCGTAGTGCTATTATCTCCTTAAATAAGATTTCACATTGATAAACAAAAGGAAAAGGTATTCATAATCATACTTTTAGCAGATCATCGTATGAAGAATTTTCGTCGATTGAACTTCGGATAGTTCCTTCAGTACTTGATGAATACCGTCTCGAATTACATACTGACTCGTGAAATTCATGAAAGGAACCCATCATCGAATCCTATGAAACGAGAAGAAGTAATGTGTTTCTAAAGCTTCAAATAAATCACACGCACCGTCATATTGGCACCATCGGAATGTTTAAGTAATCGATCAAGTTGATGGAGGACTGTTTTAACAACCATAACATCTTTCATTACTTGTCGATATGATTCTACATCCATGGTTATTTGCTCAGCATCTTCGAGTGGCGGCAAATAATTCGGTGGTGGTTTTAATGAAAACGAACGCGCTGGTATTCGCCTTCGAAGAATGAATATGAACGAGTTGCTATTCGATAAGTTTTCTTACCGGTTATTTTCATGATCGAGTCCATTCTCTAGTCGATTATTTAATCGATTTAATTCATCGAGTGTGTCACGTAAATTTCCATTTATTTTGTCATTCATTGCTGTCGAACCATTGACGAGGGCGGATGATCGATGTTCTTTTGATTTCGATTGATTTACAAGAATATTTGGTTTCGTTGGAGTGGTTGAGATGACCGAAGAATGTTTTTTATTTGGTTCGTTTGTTAATGAAGTTGATGAACATGAATCTGTTCGTTCACTTAAACTAAACGAAAAATTATCAAGATATATTGACATTGAAGAAAAACAACACCTAAACACACGATGTATTTAAATGCAAATAATGACAACTTACTTTTTGCTAAGAGAATCGAGTGTTAATGTATCATCATAATCGCACATTAGGTCTTCCGATTTCAGACTACAATTATCATCTTCAAGTAGTGCATCTTGATTAAGTACATTCGAGATAGCAGATGATGAAGATAGCATGCTTATAGCCCGTTGTCGATGTTTACCACTTTGTGACAGATGCGTAGATGGAGGATGATTGGACGATGATGATCCTTTGGTATACATTGAATTACCCTGAGATGAAGTTGATTGCGGAGGTGTGGCCGCTTTAGAATCATTGGTCTAGAGAGAACAAAAGATAAAGTCATCTTTTTGGAGTAGATCGTGTGCTTTTACAGAATTATTTGCTGGAGAAAGTTTGGATGGCGGTACTGATTGTTTCTTATCTTTATTGGTATTTAAAGGTTCAGTTGCTTTCACTGAACTAGCGATAGGAGAGCCATTTGCTGTTGATACTGGTGTACGGCGTGTAAAGAAATTCATGCGTTGTTGTACTCTGTAACGGTCACGTATTGCGCTAACGTCATTTTTGGCAGTGCTGTTGATTGTTGTTGGCTGTACGGATGTTGGAATAGACAGGGAGGGGACTGTCGATGCACCCGACGATGTTAGAGATGTTGTAGAAGTTCGTGATGGTGTTCGCGAACGTAATTGATTAGCTGATGTCGAAACGTGAGAAGTTGGTCTAGCAATGCTTCTTGTTGCAGAAGCCTCCCGAGGCCGTGAAGATACGATGAGTTTATGTTTCGGAGTATCGTTTGCAGTAGGCGACGAAGAAGGTTTCGTTCGAGTCGGTGTTGTTTTTGTTAGAGTTTGCGTTTTCGATAGCTGCTGGGGAGCGTGCGAAGATGATGAAGAGTTTGCACTAGCTGTTGATGTTGGACTAATCGATCGACTACGTGTTGCAAATGTTGATGTTCGAACTTGTTGTCCTGAAGGCACGGCTGGCCGTGGTATAAAGCCAAAGCGAGTTTGCATCGTAGTTGGTGGTGGTGGACGATTCGTTATTGACATTGTTGGTCTTATGGAACCTAAACAAAAGAAAATGTCTCGATGATGATAGCAATAACAATAGTTGAAAAAGTGGATTCAGAAGGAATTCGATAGACAAAAAAAAACGATTGTTGATTCGATAAGCATTGACATTTTTGTTCGTTCGTTTTCGAATTTGTTATTTTTTCTTGTCTATACATTTTTTTTTGTCACCTTCATTCAATAAGGAAGCAAGACATACGGCAAGAGAAAGAATCAACGTACTGCATAGAAAAAAAGTACTATTGAAAAAAAAATGATCGTGCCTGCCGTAGAGAGGAGAAGTAGAATTAATTTTTTCCTCTCGATGATTCATATACGAGCAGCCTATAGGGTCGGGCAGCTTACTGCACATCGACATTGACTCTTTTTTCTTCTTTCCTTAAATAGACAAAAGAAAAGAAGAATGACCCCTAGTTCGAATAGCAATGGCATAGGTGTACAACTGTTCTATTCACAGAACTCGATGTACATACGCATATAAATTCGAACGAAATAACAATCATGTGAACGTTTATGCTCGTGTCGAACTGCTGCACAATTACTACTGTTGAAGTGTATGAACAGATCAAACACTTGAAAAGTAAAGAAGACGAGAGTAATACAGATATGTAGCAGAAATAAGAGACATTAACCAGATGTATTTGTATAATCTTATGAAGATATCAATGATACTAATAACATATAAAGCGCTTGTGAATGAAACGTGTAATAAAAATATACAAAGAAACAGTTTGAAGTTTTAGATTACCTGTGGGATTTGTTGGAGCAATCATTGACGTAATCTCTTTCGGTCGTATAGGTGCTGGAGCGGTTACTTGTGGAACATGATATATGGGTAAACGAGTTTTTGCAACCGGCGGTCGTGCTGGAATATGTGTAATCGATGAAGATGAAGATGAAGACATTCTATTGATGGTATTCGAATTATTATTGTTAACGTTACTGTTGGTATGAGCAAACGACGAATAGAATTGTATCAAGCTGGGTGTATCTGTCGAATGAAAGATTGGTTTTATCAATGAGGGTGATAAAAGATCAAAATCTGTAAATAGAGATTGAGATTGTTGATGTTGTTGATTAGGAAACGCAGTTGACGGTAATGGTGGTAAGGGTGGAGGAGAATCGATATCAAATACAATTGAGCTCTTTGATGTTGGTCGATTAGGCTGCGACTGTTGTGGCAGCTTCTGTCGATGTCTTGCAGTTGATGTGCAAGTTCCCATCGTCGAGCTAGAACACATTAGGAGAAGAGAGAGAGAGAGGAGAAAAAAGAAAGGGAAAGAAAAAAAAACGAACAAAGAACAGGGGTAACAGCAGTTACACTAATTTACAGTCAGTTTTGTATATATTATAAGTACTACCGATAGATATGCTACATTGTTTCTTGAACTAAGCTTCTAACTTCCTCTATTGCATGTTCATTATGAAGAAAAAGGTGATAAGAATGAACAACATCGATAATCTTCCTATTCTGATCGATTTCATTTCATTTTTTTTCTCGTAAATACACGCGAACGAATGAATAGAGATAAGTAAGCATGTAGATCATTTTTCATTCATCAATAACAAGATATCTTACTCGAACTATTTAAATTCGAATTTCGATTCATTAACAATCCGACACACATCTATTTAAATCATTTCAATCTTCGTACAAAATGACATGAAAAACCCTTTCTCTCCCTTCCTCTCTCTCTCTGTGTATTTTTAAAACGAGAGAAAAACTTGAAACAGCTTCCTTCACACATTTCTCATTATTTAGTCTCTTGTCATTGAGAAATCTTTTATGTCAACACGGACAATTGTTTGTACGGTTGCGCACACTACATCATGTAACTTATAGCATTCTCCTCATCTGTATATGTGTGTGCATATTTACATGAATAGTCATTCTTTCATTCACTATCGATTCTTTTTCTCTTTATTCTTGTTTTTATACGAATCACTACTTGAAATTTTTGCAGTTGAAGAGAAAAAGCAATAGCCAGAAGCAAGAAAGCAAGCTAACTAATACCTTGTCCATTGTAATTCCAAACATGATCATGACGTTGTTGTTTGACTTAATTTTACGAAAAAAAATCAAAAGAAGAAAGAATATCTATGGAAGACAAACAGACGCGACGATGTACGATGAAATAAGTGAAATCATTGCATGCGGTTTATGTTGTCTTTCTTTGAAAAGGACAAATTAAAAACGAAAGAAAAAGAAAGAGAAGATACGAAATAAACATATCACCATCATCGGTGCGGTTATCACGTCACGCGACAACGAAGTTAGAAAAGAAAAAGACAAACGTTCTTGCACAATCACAGTCAAAGGTTACTATCTCTTTATACAGATTTCTCACTTAACCTTGAGTAATGACTAATGATTGAATTAGTATCTTTAACAGAAAGAAAGATAACCTCGTTCACAAGGAATCATTTCTCTCTTTTTCGATATAATCGATGTGTCAAAATAGATCACAATATTCTGATGTAATCAAGAGTCTAGTCTAGTTGATAAATGTATATTCTCCTATCAATTGTTTACTAGTTTCGATAAATGAAAGAGAAAAACCAATCTGATTTCATTTAAATATGTCATATTAGATTGGATTTTTCTCTATGTGTCAATGAAATGCGTCCTTGGACATTTTATTCTAATAGACCATAAAATGAGCTTTAATGAATAGAGAAATCAAAGAAAATGAGATGAATAAAGGCTTGTTCCTTACGATGCGATGTAGACTTACCTAGATAAATACTTTGCCGATGTAATAATATTTAATCAAGAATAGCGAAGGGATTATTGATGGTGAGTCGACTTTCTATTCCGAATAGAGAAGACAGACTCGATCGTTGTTAGTGATGAACAAAATGATACCGGGATCAGCGTACGACTCGTGTGTGTGTATGTGTGTGTGCCGATAAGAATGTGTTGAGGTGTCTGTCTGTTTGCACAGTGCTCATATATGAACATATGAATGAATCCTATCAAATGCATGAGTATCAGCCCGCAAGACGCTATTCAATTTCGTTTCTATGTAATAGAGGGCGGTACGTATGAGAAGAAATTGCAGCATGCTAAACAACAAAGTAAATGACGAGTAGCTCATTGTCATAGTAATGTTGACCATTAGAGTATTGAGATGACGCGTGCACATATATAATGTAGAGAAGGGTGTTGAGGCATGTAGATGTATATAAGTATGTATAAAAAAAGAGCGCGAACAAACATCAAATCATAAGTAGTTAAAGAAGAAAGGTGAAAAGAGAGATTGTATATTTTGATGATATTTATGTACTCAATGTGACAAAGGTCATTTTTTATTTTATTGTAAAAAAATTGATCACAAATGAAAGTTAGAGGTAAAATAGAAGAAAGACTGTTCAAAATTCTGATTTGAATTTTGGTAAGGGTAGATTTTCTAGTTGATTGTTGACAATTAAATGAAAGTAAAAGTTCAAACCGCGTTGCATATCTTTGTGTCGAATGCGTTCATTGTCACCATGCAGACGGTTTAAATCATCATGTCGATAGATAAATGGAGAAAATCGATATAAATTTTTCGATAAATTTGTGTATGATCTGCTATCTGTTGCACCTAACATTAGACCAGGTACGACAATAATCGGTTGCCGGCTCTGTTCAAATGTTTGACGAATAGTCTGTTCAAGGACACGATATGCATAGACATCTTTTCCAAATGGCGAAACAGGTGATGGTTCCGAACATGTTTTTATTCGAGCAGTAACACGATCATCATTGATTATTGCACGATTGGTTTCGAGCACACGTCGACAGGAATCTGCAGTATGAAGACGATCTATCGAGAAAGCAAAATTAGATATATTCTTTTTTCGCATGGTGTTCCTTACGATTGATGGTAGCAGATGCTGATGTTGGCAAAACATTATCTTTCTCTCCGCCATTAATCAACGTTATTGCTGTTGTAGATCGTTGTAAAGCATTGGTTCCTGGTTTCAAAGTGAGAACCCATTGAACCACAGGTCCAAATAACCACATATTGCTCATCACAAGTCGTAAAGGAAATGATAAATAAGGTGTGACAGTGAGTAGAAGACTCATTTCAGGTCCTTGACCAAATCGTGACGGTTGTGGCGTACTTTCAACTTTATCTATCGCGCGTGCTAAAATACCGATCGCTGTAGGCGTTACTGGCATACTGGAATGTCCAGGAGCGACATTCACACGATATTCCGCAGACAAAAATCCTTTTTCTGCAACAGCAATGAGGGCGAGAGGATTATTCAATGTTGGAAATGCTTCTTCCATAATCACTGTTCCCTCATCAAGCACAAATTCGAACTGTCCATCTCGACCAAATGGCTGTTCAGATAGATATCGAGAAACACCACTAGCACCTGCAACACCGATTTCTTCATCATGTGTCAAAGCTACATAGAATGTTCGAAATGGCTGTCCGTAAACGTTCAAATACTCCTAAATATAACCAAAGAAATAAATAACAATACACAATACAGACTAATACAATGAGTCTACAAAATGAATAAGCATTCAGCTCAACATGCATATTTCCCATACCTGAACGGCTTCCATCATAGTAAAAACGTTTCCTCTGAAAATCATCGTAGAAATGCAACAAACCGAATGCGTACTCGCCTGTAAATATTACTTATCATCCAATGTACCACGTGCAAAAATGAATTCTTCATCTGCATAACCACTAAATGGCGGATGTTTCCATCGTTCGACGTTGCCTGCAGGCACCACATCCATATGAGCTGATAGAAGGAATGGTTTTAAACTTGAATTTTTGCCTTGAATAGAAAATAATAACGAATATTCAGCAATACTGTGAAGCTGAACAAAGTTTGGATATCTTTTGAGCAAGCCATGATAGTGTTTCTTGATGAAGTCTCGACATTTTTTCATTTCTTCGACATTTTGACGATCTTCCGAATAGGATATCGTTTGAAATTGAAGTAAAGTTTGAAATGCTTGTAGACGTTGTTGATCGAAATGCAAGGAATGATTGTCACTTGTCGATGAGCATGGTTCGAATATTGCTTTGTCAGGTGTAAATATCACAAACGTGCGGAAGAGTAGAATCGCCAAAAAGAGCAAGAATACACTCAAAGCAATGTAACGAAACATATCTTCAACAAAAAATTCCAATGAATGAGAAAAGATGTTTCTGATGTATTATTTTGTTTGCTTTGATATTAAAACGCGTTGTATTCCTTTCACCACCAGTTATTTTTCATCGCAGCATGCATTTATGTGCGTACACTTTCATCTCATACTCGATATACTTAATAGTTGGTCAAAAAAACAACAAATCAATGTTATAGTACACATGCAATTGTTTAGAGTTATTATAACGCCTGTTTTCTTTGTCACAAATTTTGAATATCCAAAGTAGTATGAAAAAGAGAGAACTGATGTGTGGGTATAGTGTGCATTGCGTCAGAGACGAACGAATGAAATAAACGCGTAAGTGAGTAAAAGAGAGAACGCGACAGCAACGACAAATAATGCACGGGTATGCGCATATGTCAGCTGAAGGAATACAGCTCCGATCGTATGTGCAAATGTAACCGTGATGAAAGAAGAAAAAGAACGAGAGAAAAATGAAAAAATCACAGAAAGATTCTCATTTTCTGTCTGCAAAAATTGTTCGAAGTTGAGAAGAGAAAAAAAAGAAGGAAAGAAAAGTTGTAAGAATGATTTCAACAGCATTATAAAGACGATGAAAAAAAAAACAAGTGATCATATTCGTTCGGTCTGATTTCGATTTCATTTACCGATAATATATGTACACATATATTTCTAATAAAGACATTTTGATTTATTTCTCTGCTCGATTAAGATTTTCTATGTACATCTCATTTTTTTTCTAGTATTTATAAATGGATTTTATCTTCACAATTAATAATGATCATTTCTTCGTATTAATATTAAATAACATCTTCAGTATGGTATTCTAATGGTGAGATATGTCATTATGAAACGTATTACACAAATTCTCGCTTCTGTTTTGTTCGTTATTACTGTCCTTACTATCTATATTGCGTTCGACTTTGCGGTAAATAATGCTGTATCAAAAAAGCATTCGTCTCATAAACGTTCTGCTCAGAATCATGATCATATCCATGAACATAATGATATTAAAATAACTAAACGACGTTCTGTGTCACCTCAATTACGAAGATCCAATCGAACGATAAAGCATGCGGACGAACAGGATCATCAATTAATGCCCAATGAAAATCGTACACAGAAATCGAAACAACGACAAAAAGTACCATTAAATGCAAAACCTGGAGCTTTTCACAAAGGCAAAACAGGTGTCAAGGTAAATAAACCACGAAAACTGACGAAAGATCAACGAAAGCGTTCGACAACAACGACACTGTCATCGAGAATCAAAGTCAAAGGCCATCTGAATGATAAACAGCATGTTTAGTTTTCTGTATAAATAAAATCATTAAACGTATATCTCAATCTCCCGTTTATTGAAAGCTTAATATGAATGACGAAAAGGAAAAACGAAAACAAATGCCCAAAAAAAACGGAGTTAGATCTTCATTCAAAATAAAACAACTGAAAAGTCAATATGTTCTTGTTTTCTTTAATGTTGTTTATCAATTTTCTTCACCTTGTCCTTCGGATAGATTTGAAGATTGTAGCTGCGATGTTGCACCAGCAACGTTACTATCTACTGCTGAGCCAGCGAACTCATCTTCAGCATGGTTTGTACGCGATTCCGCTAGTTCACGGAAACGTTTGATGACTTCGTCGATAGAGAATTCGCCATGTTGTTTATTGTCACGTGTACGAATGTTAATTGTACCATTCTTTTGTTCCTGTTGACCAACGACTAGAACGAAGCAATCAAATGAGTAGCGAACGACAGTGTTCTTCACTAAAAACAGATCTCTTACCACCAATGAAATTGTATTGAGCCAATTGGTTTTGGCGAATCTTCTTATTCAATGTTGTACCTGAATCTAAATCACAATCGACTTGAAATCCAGCATCCCAGATCTTCTTTTGAATTTCTTGAGCATACGGGTCCAATGATGGTACAATCGGTACAATCGCCAACTGACGTGGTGATAACCAGAAAGGCCTAAAGAAAAAAGTTTGAATGTGTCCTATTTGCTCTCTCGAACAGATCTAAACAAAACAAATCATCATACCATTTTCCACCAAATGATTCTGTGAGTATAGCAATCATACGTTCGATTGAACCTAATATAGCTCGATGAATAATAACTGGTCTTTGAAGTTCACCTTGTTCATCTCTAAATGTATATATTCGTATGTATGAGTGATAGTTTGACTTTTGGTTAATCTTACGTTTGATATTGGAGTTCAAAACGAATTGGTAATTGAAAGTCCAATTGAATTGTTGCACATTGGTGAGCACGTTGTAGAGCATCTCGAATTGTAATATCAATTTTTGGACCGTAGAAAGCTCCATCTCCAGGATCGACTTTCCATGGATAGCCGAATGAATTGAGTGCTTCTTCGAGTTGGCTCTCAGCTCGATTCCATGTTTCAAGTTCACCAAGATAACTCTCAGGTCTTGTTGATAATTTCAATTCAAATGTAAAACCAAAAATACCATAGACATGTTTCAAAAATTGTAAACAACCTTCGATTTCATCTTTGATCTAAAGATAGAAATATGGATATAAACAATGACTGTCTTCGATATTTCGTACGTGTGATTGAGCACAGAATATGTGAGCATCATCTTGTTGGAATCTTCGTACACGTGTAAGACCACTCAAAGCGCCAGATAATTCATTTCGATGTAAAACACCGAAATCAGCCATACGCAATGGTAATTCTCTCCACGAACGAAGTCGTGATGCAAACATGAGACTAGACACGGAAAACCATGGATGATCAATGTCAATAGGAGATTTCAGTGTTTACCAGTGTCCTGGACAGTTCATCGGTTTGAGTGCATAGATTTCTTTTTCAATTTCTGTTCGAAACATATTTTCCTAAACGAGGTAAACAGCTACGAAAAAGTCATGTCATGAAGGTTAACTCACTGCATAGTGATCCCAATGTCCAGATGTTTTCCATAGTTTGGAATTGTAAATATTCGGTGAAATAACTTCTTGATAACCACGTTTACGATATTCACTCTAAATAAAAGATTATTTTGATGAATGAAGAAAGATTTTCATTAAGCTTACGCGAATGAATTCAATAAGCTTATTGTAAATATATGCTCCTTTCGGATAGAAGAAACACGAGCCAGGACTGAGTTCGTGGAAAAAGAAGAGATCTTGTTCGAGACCGATCTTTCGATGGTTTCGCTTGGCGGCTTCTTCTTGTATGGTTTTCCACTCTTTCAATTGTTTAGGATCAGGAAACGAAATTCCATAAATACGTTGTAATGTTTCCCGTGTTTGATCACCTTCCCAATATGTTGACGAATTCTACGAATCGTTTATGGTTGTCAATCGTAAACAATCTTCCATTTCTTCTCACCTTTGTAACAGCAAAAGCCTTTACTTTGCCTGTATGACGAATATGTGGACCTCGACAAAGATCAATCAATGGCCCGCACCTAAATAGTTTCATATTCTTCTCAATATTTCGCTTCGTTTACATTTCTATCTGTTTACCGATAGACAGTTGTTGTAGGTGTATGAACCTTCTCATTCAAGATTCGAACTTTAAATGGATTGTACTAAATAGACAACAAAGTGAGCACGAATGTTCGATCAGACAAAAAAGATGTCTTACACCAAACAATCGTAACAAATCTTCTTTGGAAATTTCCAAACGCTCAAATGGTTGTTCTTCTTTAACAATACGTTTCATTGTCTTTTCGATTTGTTCATAATCAAGACCTGATACCGTTCTAGGGGAATGAATGAATTCAATTGCATGTTTTCCTTTCCAAAAACAATGTCATAACATACCGATTTTCGAGATACATATCGTAGTAGAAACCTTGTTCAATCGGGGGTCCATAACATAAACAACCACCATAGCATAATTCCATTGCTTCACCCATAATATGTGCCGTTGAATGCCAGAAGACTTGTTTTCCTATTCCGGCAGAGTTTATCATCGGCATATTCGATCAAACAAAATTCTACCTTGTTCGTCATCGAATTTAATCAATTGTAATGTTGAATCTTTTTCGAATGGTCGCTCCAGATCCCACAATTCACCATTGACCTTAGAAATCACCGTCGCGGCCGCTAATCCTTGACTAAAAGCATTCAAAAGCAGTTTCTGTAACATCCATTGTCAAGACTCAATCATTGGATCATACCTAATACCCTGAGCAATGTCAAATGGAGTTGTTTTCCATGATTTACCAGGTAATGTTTTTCCATCAGGCAATGTAATTGTAATATCTACTTGCGGCTGTGCTGCAATATGATTTTGATATTTAGCCTTTAATTCATCCCAGATTTTAATACGATGATCAATATATTCTGGCGGCGGGTTTAACTAAAGAATCGATAATGTTTACAACTAACGCGCTGGAGTTCGATCATACTTCTGTAAGTGTTGATTTTTTCTCTGGTTCACCCATGTATTTTCTTTGAATTTTTTGCCAAGATTTGTGAACCTAACGAAAAAAGAGTTATTTCCAATTGACAAAGTTGTGTAGCATACTGTAGTTGAAACCGAAAATTGTCGTGCTCGGAGATGATAAAACTGGTGAATGAATAGTCGAAAACGAGGTGTTAAAACCGTTGTGATCGATCTGAAAAACATTTCCTTATATATACTGTGTCAGATTAGTAATTACGAAAGACATTGGCGACGTGACATGCAAATCATTTTCAGACTATATTAGATATTTTGGTAAAAAGCTACGCAATAGCTCACGCAAAATTACTTCAATGTATTGCTCATATTCATATGAAGCATTGCATCATCTTTTTTTTTGTAGAGCAGAATGTACGGAATATGGTTAGTTTGAAGTGCTCGAAGACAAAAAACACTAAAAACAGAAAGACAAATGCAGTGCTTTGAATAGGAAGTTAGGTACAAGTAGAGGGATTTTTTCAAACTACAGAAAATAAAATAGAAGAGTCTCTTGACGGAGAACTATTTTTCTTTTCGTGATTACCAATCAACAATTGGTCGGGTTCTGTCAGTGACATCTATCCATTCGTTCCTATTTTCCTTACTCAATAACGGAGACCGAGACCAGTTTCTGTGCAAATAAAACGAAAAAAGTCAGTTATCATAATTAGAATATGTCGCCATTTTATGAATGGAAGTATACTATACTATACTAGAATACAAGAAACAATTGTAACAGAAAACAAAAACAAAAGAAAAGCCAGACCGTTGGACAGGTCAGAATCACATGGAAAACATGTAGGAATTACAATAATTTGGACACGTTTTTCAAAGCCATTATGGAATAAACATAAGAACTTTTCCAGTCATTACGTTTATGAGATTTTCTACTAGAGCAGTTTGTTTTTACTTTACAGTATTACAGTGCAGTGATGATTTCTGTTGGACTCTCGGTCGATTCTAATGCTTCGTTTTTGCCACGATGACCTCCTACTTGCCAAGCAGTTTCTGGTAAGCTTTGCAACCGCATGATTGTCCGATATTTCCATACAAACCAAAGAATACCTACGACAGTACATATTATCACTTCAGTATAATACGAATCAATGTAGGGTCGACAAACACCGTTTAGCGACGAACATTTCTCTTCTGCAGACTTTGTTCCACATCGATGATTTCCCATCGAACATGTTTTCCATTGTAAATGATCCGCTGCGTATAAAGTAACAGTTGAAACCCAACTGCCACCTAAATTCGTGAGTGTATTCAACAATGTCATGTATGTTCCCCCGATTTTCGGGTCACTGATTCGAGCAAAAAACGCGATCAGTGAAACAAACATATTGAATGCCACTATTTGATTCACACAGATAATTACAAGAGTTAATGCATAGTAATACCACGGAAATGTTTTATTAGGATGTTGAAACGCTGGTGTGAAATAAACAACGGCAGCTAACAATATACCTACAACAATTCTAGAGAAAAGAATCATTATTGATTGTTTTAGGAATCCAAAATCTGTACCGAGGTGGATAAGAGACAACAAAAATTTTCAATGGTTTGGGACCAGTAGTGCATTTTGCTATGAGAAATGGCAACGCAATTTGTAAAGGTGTTAATGGTATGGATAATAGCGCGAGTGTTTCTTTAGCTACACCGCGCTCAATTAATTCTAGATCGGTCATAGCATCTGTAGCTGCAAAACCTATCTAAATATAGAGAATGAAGAATCGCGGAAATGCACAGAAGTTTTAATTCTACTTTGATTGTTAGGAGAATAAATGCCAAAGTTCGAACAGATGGTAAACAGAGAACTTTTAGCAGAATTTTATATGTTTCGAAAAGACCGAAATGTGGTTCATCAGATGCACGACTTTGATCGATTTCACGTTTGAAAAATCCAATTAATGTTGTTGATATAATGAAAACTATTCCCCAGAAGAGTAGAAAATCTGCAAAATCGACTTTCAATGTGTTTGTTACACAAAACTTCTATTATCATACCAGTTATTGTTACTAAACCATTCGATTGAAGTGGCAAATTCAACGGTTTCCGAATGTATTTGTTAGTGAAATCTTTCGATTGCAATGTAAGAAAAATAGCTCTACCGATAAATATTCCAGCATTTTGTCCAACAGAATTGCATGTACTTGCCCAGCCGATGTTTTTCCTATTAGAAAACAAACGAGTTATTCTTCGTCAAAACCACAAACTCAAGTACCTTTCAAGCATTGAAAGTGCCCAGCCATCAACACAAATGTCTTGTGTAGCAGCAAGAAATGATAGACCAAAGAAGATTGCAGTTAGGAAATAAATCGCTAAAGAATCCACACGATGTGAGATATCATTTATGCAAAATACAAACATACGTATTGTGGTATTTGATGCTGTACTTAACGAAAGTAGGATACGATCTATATAGTACGAGAGAATAATCATGATGATACCAATGAGATACTGAGTGGGAATTAACCATGATTTTCGTCGGCCGATGCTTTTGAAATATAATGCGTCGACAATTGGTGCCCAGAGAAGTTTTATACTAAATGGCCAGAATGCGAAAGAGAATGTCGCTTGCTGGGACCAAGTCGCACCATGGGCTTGAATAATTAAAGGTAAGGATGTGGCCAAACCAAGTGGAATACCTTGTAAAAGATAAAGGAAAAGTAGAAGAGCAATATTAAATTTATCTATTCTCCAGTTGTGTTGTTTTAATATTGATGACGTAACTACGGATGGCAATGAATGGTTATCTACGGTTTGATTTTCAGATGAAAGAAGAACAGTGTCATTTGTTGAGTTCTCTCCGGGAAATGATTGATTTTGATTTTGAATCTCTTCGGTTGAGGTTTTATTCGTTTCGAACCGAGATTGAAATTCCATTGTAAGATGATTATGAAAAATCTTAGATTACGCTGAAGTTTGAATTGTTATCTATCTTCACGTTTCAATCATCGATCGACACACACACTCTCATTCGTTCTTGTCATCCAATCGAGTTTCACTTTGTTGCTTTATTGCCTGGTGTCATAAACAGTGATTAAAGTCGACCCGTTCGGATATTAAAAGACGTTCAAATGTAAATATTTAGGAGCTAGTTAACAAACAATCGGCTGTTATAGCTTCTGGTTGGCTTGAGAATGGCCACTATAGTCCAAAGTCAATCATTATGAAAATCTTAAGACAATAGAACTGATATGATATCAAGATTGAAAGAATGAAAGAGAAAGGAAAGAATCGAGCCGATGTTTGACTAATTCAACGATCAAGATAAGACGATATTTATGTATTATGTCGATATCAGCATCAAGAAAACGAATACGATAGAGCTACCTTTTTCGCTGATAGCTTGACCTTATAGATATTTCGTATTATGCACTCTATGAAATTCTTTGTATACTCTGACTTTTCCATCAGACATATTGCTGGTAAACATACAGATGCGCTGCTGGTTCCTTCCGCTAACAGCTGTTCGAACAGCACCCGAGAAATAATAAGTTACACTGTTGGTTAAATACGCTGTCAACAATTAGTGCAGACCTTGATACAGAAAACATATTCAGAATAATTGTCAAAATTGCATTTTGTCTACCCAAATCAGAGCAAGTGTCCAATACAAATTCTTCGATGCTCATAATCTATATACATTAGCATATATAATAGAAATTTGCATAGTATTTTCACATTTCAATCTTCAGTGTAGACAAATAGGTTTGAATACTTATCGATCGAAGATGTCTTCAATACACTCAACTCCTTTTCCTGATAGAAACACATAATTACAACGAATGACATGAAATATATCAGTACTTTCCATATCGATAATCGATCGAAATAGTAATCGTATAAATCTTCTCTGTTGTCGTCTCATCTATCATTTTGCTATTTGGGAAAACTATTTGAGTACTTTTTACTTCGAACTTGAACGAATCTTTCTTTAATATATTCTTTCTCCAAGTCTCTCGAGCACTTGAATAATTATATCAATGATTATCGAATGATAATTACCCAAGATTTATCACTTGCAAATCTGTTTTCCTCTTTCACATCGTTAAGCAATACCACTATTGAATAATCATCTGCTGAAAAATCAATGTCACTTACGATAACATCATCTCATTGTAACCGTAAAGATTCCTCGACAAAAGGTTTTTATTGACATTTCAGACAATATCCGGGCGTCAGAGAGTCAAAATCAAACATCAAACTACGGTCATATTCTATTTTAGTCAAAAAGCAATTCATATCGATCGAAGATTGCAATTGTAAGCATGGCGACACAAAACAAATATTATTGGTCGTATTGTCTTGTAATTAATCTTGAGATGATCAAAAAACAGACTTGTATCTCCATGTCTGTTGACATATTCCATGTAAAATAAAGATTGTTTATCAATCATTTTCAGCTGACAAAATAGTGCATGACATTTACATGCACTTGTCATTTACATTCGATGAACATACTTTTATTCAACAAGAAGTAATGAAAAAGATCGATCATAATCATTTCCTAGCCTTGAATCTAACTAATTCGTCTAACTGAATAGGGAGTGAGAGAGAGAGAGGATCAGGAGGAGAAAAGAAAAGAAAAGAAAAGCTATGTATATCGATCATTCAAAGGAAAGTACTCGAGAGACTACCCACAGCGAAGAATCAATCGAGGGAAATCGATGAAATTGAAATTGCAAAATCGACTTGCGAATAGACGATGTCAATCAATAAAGATCATGCTCGATTGGTTTAGATTGAATGCCTATGACAAATAACAGTTAGATAATTAGTATTTATCTAAGAAAGAACCGAATTATATTTGGTTTCATAATCGATAGTTTGTGAAAACAAAAATACATTGACATGTGTAACAAGTCAGATCAATAAATCTTCTCGTTTTTTTTCTACTGAAATCTTGTCGATATATTTGTATAAATATATCTGCAGTGCAGAGAAGTGTAAACACATTGAAGTGATATTGAGGCAAAGAAGAAGGTTTCCTTTTTCTAATGATGTTAAGTGATAGAGACATATTTCATAGTTCTGTAACGATGAGACATCGACAGAAAGAGAGAGAGAGAGAGAGAGAGAGAGAGAGACAGACAGAGAAAGAGAAAGAACTGTTTGTGCTGACAGAGCAGAGATAAATTTTCTTTCTTTTCATCACTAGTGACATTAGAGAAGAGAATAAGTATCATCTTTAAACAAAATGTTTCAGAAGGTTCAGAAGATACTTCAGCAAATGGTACAATGATGAGAGTATTTTCTTTCATTATTGTCTTGTTTCATCTTGCTTGGACAAGCTATGGTTTCGAATTGCCCACTGAAATCCGCATCGGTAAGTTTTTCCGGGATGCGTTTGACATTTTTGTTTGATTAGAGATCAGATTGTTTATATACTAACCGAGATTAAATCGATGCAACTAATCTTAATACATTTACAAGAGAATTTTCATGTCTTTGCTTCAATGAGAACAAACATGTACTGAAAAATTTGTTTCTAGGAGCCATATTTGGCTTGGGAGATACATTATCTCGTCAGGCATTTGAGTATGCCGTAGCGAAGATTAACACTCAATCACAAATCTTTGCACATTCAAGACTTGTTGTTGTGAATATCGATATGGTCGATGTCCATGATAGTTTCTCTGCGTATAAAATGGGTAACAAGGTGAAATGTTCTCCTCTTCGTCATAGACAAGCTTATTCTCTCTTTAGTCTGCGCACAATTGCAGAAAGGTATTGCTGCAATATTCACCGGTCGATTAAGTCCTGCTATTGAATTTATCAGTTCATTGACCCGTCAATTGCACATCCCATTATTTTTATCTTCACCTGATTCTCAAACAAAAGTTGAATATTACACCATGAATGTCTATCCGCATTATACTGCCACAAGTCAAGCATATAGTGATCTAATAAAATTCCAAGAATGGGAGGAATTAGCGATCATCACAGAACATGCTGAAAGTATGAGAAATCGTGACAACGAACATCTTCATGTGAATCTTCTTTTAGATTTACTTTATTTGCAAGATTTACTTAAATTGTCGTCGGATAGTAATCAAATGAAAGTCACAGTTAGACAGTTACGAGGTCGACCAGGAGTTGACAATTGGGTACCACTTTTAAAACAGTTACAAGAAACAGGAATATCGAAATTTTTAATTGACGTATCAACGGATAATCTGGATGATTTTTTCAAACATGTACGATGATTATTGAAGATTTTATATGAAAACTGATTGAAAATTTTAGGCAAAGATTGTGGGTTTGGTCGGACCTTACTATGATTTTGTTCTAACTTCATTAGTAAAATTGAATGAAATTATTAACTTTTTGAGTCAATGTCTATATGTACATAGGATATTTCGGCGGTCAAATGGAGTAAAATTCTATATACGTTAGTGAACATTACCGGTTTACAATTTTTCGGTCGAGAAGATCCTGCTGTTGATGAGTTCTTTGATCCTAACGACAATCATTTCAATATTAATGCTCCATTACTTGCAAATGAACGTTCACTAAGAGTGAAAATTCCAACAAAACAATCAGTTTTTTTCTTATTAGAAATTCTTTTCATTACAGGCATCTGCAGCGCTCATCTATGATTCGGTTTACTTCTTTGCTCGTGCGCTCGGCAGCTTTGTCGAGCAACACCCATTCAATATTACACCGTTAATATGTGATGCACAAAAACCATGGAGGCATGGCGCAGCATTTTCACTGTTTCTGAAAAAAGTAGGAGGGCATTTTGGATAGGTCAACTGATAGGATACATTGTGTCTCAGTTTGAAGCAAATGGAATAACAGGAGCGATCAAATTTGATGAGAATGGCCTGCGAACTGATGTGTCCTTTGAAGTTGTTGACCTGGCCGCCAATGGTGTATCGAAAGTACGTCGCAGCGCATGATTTTTCTCTGTGAATGGTATTTTCAATTAAGAATGGGAAATGGTCGGCCAATACACCAGATCGATTGGAAATTCGACGAAATTTTACAAAAGATTACGAAACGAGAAAACAAGAGATACAGAATCAAACATTGAAAGTCACTACAGTTATTGTAAGTTGTTAAGAGAGAATATTTCTTTTGAACCAGCATTTGATATTTGTTTTGAAAAGGAACCGCCTTACGTCATGTTAGGTAAGGAGTATATAAAAATTGTTTTCTAGACCATTTGGTTAATATTTAGCTCCGAATGATACGAATTCCACGCAGAAATTTGTTGGTTTTTGTATCGATATTTTACTTGATTTATCTACGAGACTTAATTTTTCATTTGAAATTGAAATAGTCAAAGACAAAACATTCGGAAAGAAGAACGAACAAGGAGAATGGAATGGTATTATCGGAGAACTAGTCAATCGTGTATGTATTTTCTCTTCGGATTTGTCGATCATTTCATAAAAATTTAGAGAGCTGATTTAGGTTTAGCCGGATTAACAATAACTTATCAACGTGAGCAGGTAATCCTATTCCTTGTCTGTTTTTCTGTTCATATTCATTGATGCTTTTTCAGGCGATTGATTTCACCAAACCATTTTTAACTCTGGGAATCAATATTCTTTTCAAAAAAGCAAAACGCGAAAAGCCGAAACTATTTGGATTTTTCCAACCCTTAAGTTTGGCAGTTTGGCTCTACATGATCGCTGCTTATTTTGGTTCGTACACGACTATACCACTTCTCTTGCATTCGATCGACCTTTTTTCAGCTGTCAGTTTTGCGCTGTATCTCGTGGCGAGATTATCTCCATACGAATGGCGTAATCCACATCCATGTAAACGGACTCATGAAGAATTAGAGAATCAGTTCACTTTTTTCAATTCACTCTGGTTTCTCATTGGGAATATCATGCAGCAAGGTTGGCCTCTTTTCCTTCGAAACTGAGACTTCAACTGATGTTTTCTGTAATATCAAGGTACTGATTTGAACCCTACGGCGCCTTCGACACGGATGATCAGTTGTTTATGGGCTTTTTTTACATTGATTTTGGTTTCATCCTATACAGCTAATTTAGGTAAACACAAACGAAATTGATAGAGAAATGCATTCAAGGATATTTTAGCTGCTTTTTTGACTGTGCAACGTATGCAGACACCAATTGAGAACGCTGAAGATCTGGCATCACAAACGAAAATCATTTATGGAGTGCAACGTGGTGGTTCAACTGAAAACTTCTTCCGGGTACGTATGAGCATTATTATCTTCGAATTAGAGTGTCGTCAGATTACAATTCATAACCTTAGCGTAATTTACATTCCAAAAATCGACCGTTAGATAAGCAGATTTCGAATACGCATACCATTTTTACTGAAATATGATACATCTCGAAGATATTTACAATTCTTTCGTCAATAGGAATCCAAAATACCGACATATGAACGAATGTGGAATTATATACTAGTTAACCACGCGACAGCTACTGTTGCATCGAGTACAGAAGGTATCAATAGAGTCTTAGCTGGTAACTATGCTTTTCTCATGGAGTAAGTTTTCAAATTACTATCTACTCTTCGTCCGATGAAAACCTTGTATTATGTAGATCAACGACGAGTGAATATAACATTATGAGAAATTGTGATTTAACATCGATTGGCGGTTTACTTGATTCGAAAGGATATGGCTTCGGCGTACCACAGAGTAGGAATCTAATGGTCGAGTCAGTTCTTCTTGGAAGTTTTTCTCTGAATAGATTCTCCTTATCGTGATATATTGAGTGATACAATTTTAAAATTACAGGACGAAGGCGTCATACAAAAATATTACAACAAATGGTGGAAAGAAGCTGCTAATTTAAAATGTGATCAAGAAGACAAACGAAAAGACACAGCAGCTGAATTAGGTTTCGCTAACATTGGTGGTATATTTGTGATGCTTGCAGTTGGTTTGCTCGTATCAATGGCTGTTGCTGCCATAGAATTTAGTATTAAAATACGTAATCGCAAAGGAAGACAAGTAAGATGTCTTATCTATGTTGAAATCTTATTTAACCTGAAGTAGAACAAATCTTACTGTATCTTCTTGTTTGTTTAGATTTCTATTCGCGAAGAAATGCAACGTTACTTTCGTTTTGCTATATTTAATGTCAGTGCTTCGAAACGACGAGCAAGTATATTTATCAGAGATGTTCCATTACTTGATGAACATCATCAAGAAGCTGAACACATAAAACATTGAGAGGAGATAAAATCAAATCGATAAAAGACTTGATTAGATTTGTTATATAATAATAAAACAGACAAAAAAAACATGCACACATACACATTACATTCATATATGTATATATTGTTTCTATACAAAACGACAGTGTTGGATTATACAAGACCAGTTAAAAGGATATAGAGATAAAAACATCAACGACAAAAAAATAATATACATTTCAAAGTGAAGAGAAAAGCTTCAATGAATAGGAATATCAGATTCATATGACTAAATAATTCGAAGTAGGTTTGCTTTGAAATTATGATTGTATTCCGATTTCTTTCTTCTACACTAAAACAGAAAATCATCTCGTTTGCTATATGTGATGGTATAGATACAAGTATCAGTCTAGTACACATACGAACAACACTCAAATAAATTACATTTTGATTAAAATGAGAAGAAAAGAGATGCTAGATCGATATTCTATATCAGGCGTAGAAAAACAACGCATTGCACACGCACACATGATCAAAGAGAATTCTTTTGATTTGGATTCGTTTGAGAAAAATACAAAATATTTGTATATAGAGAAGAATTTAGATTTGACTTTCTGGTTCAGAACTAGTGAGAAGTGTCGCTGGTTCAGAAGGATCAGATTCAGCTGCAGATGTAGGCGCTGGAGCAGTTGGCGGTGATGCTGCTGGAGAATCATCACCTGCTTCATCGTCGTCTAATTGTGTGTCTTTCTCTTTGGAGACTTTTCCTTTACGTTCTTTCGATCGTTTGTTTTGAAACCAAACCTGTGCAATAGAAAAAAATGGAGTTTTACAGGAAGGATGACAAATGACTTATGCTTACTTGAATAACTCGTATGTTGAGGCCAGTATCGGCGGCGATCTGTTCACGTTGAGATTTATTCGGTTTAGCGCATGATTCGAATGCTTTATTCAATATCTAAATAAAATGAATAGTTTACAAGCGATGGTAAAAACAAGAAAACTGACTTCTAATTGTTGTGGTTTGATTGTCGTACGTCCACTTTTTTTCTCCGATGTCGACATTGACGATGGCGCATTCGCCGATGAACGATCAGCAGCACCTGTTGACGCATCTGATTCATTACCTGATTTACCATTAGCAGTTTGAGATTGTTGTTGCTGTTCGTCAGTTTGTTCGTCAAAATCTTCGCTTTCTGTGCCACTGATTCGTCGTTTAGAGGCTACTGTTGAAGGTGCAGATGTTGCATCTAATACTGTTGTTGCAGATACTGTTGGGTCAGTCGATGGAGCGGATGATGTTTCACCCTTTACGGTTGGGATAGCTGAAGTTGTAGTAGGGGCCGTTACTGTTTCTGTAGATTTTTTCTTGCTTGCTCTCGGAGTAACAGGCTTTTTCTTCTCTCCAGGAATCTTATTTTTAACCTTTGACTTCGATGGTTTCGTTTCAGGTACAACAATTGGTGCTGCCTTATCATCTGATGCAGAACTGAAAATAAACAGCCAAAGCTCGTAAAATGTAAATTTAGACAGAAAGACGTACTTAGTTATAGGCCCAGAAGACGGTGTAGATGTTGGTGGCATAAACGGAAACGGTTGACCAGGAGCTGATGTACCAAAAGCAGGATGAAATCCATACGGAGGTGGATAACCACCTGGATAAGGAGTTCCAGGAAAAGCTGGATTGAAGGCATTCGGAAATGTATTATAAGCACCGAAATGCGGCGTCATGTTATACATCGCCGCAATTTGAGCTTGTTGTTGAGCATTTGGCGTCGGAGCTGTGCCATTCGTTGAGGAAGATGGTTGTAAAGGAGATGGTACTGTAGGTGGAACGAATGAATTATTTACCAGACCCATCTGTGTAAGAAGATTATGCGACGCGGAAGCTGTAGTTACTTTGTTCAATTGCATTGCATCGTTATCATTCGTGATTGTATTATCTTTAGCATCGTCCTTTTTCAATTTCCTCTTCTTCTTACTTGGCTGAGACGCTGTTGTTACTGGTGCTGGTGACGACGGTGTCTTATCTTCAGCTGTGTCGTTCTCACCATCGGTTTCATTTCTTTTATTTTTGCCTTTACCACGTGGGGTCACCTTACGAGCTTTCTTTGGGGGAGATTCCTGTTCATCAAGTATATTCTGAGAAACAACATCAGTTGACTTTCTTTTCGCTGGAGATTTTTTTTTCGGTGGTGGTTTTGAGGTTGTTTGAGACGGTGGTATTGTTGTTGTAGATGTTTGTGATGTAACATCAAGCGGTATTTTCGTCGGTGGTTGACCAGAAGCTGGCGGATGCGGTGGCCGATAGTAGGTGGTCATGCCGGCAGCTGCTTGAGGTGAAAATGGTACACCTGGGCCCGGTGTAACAAACGGAAAAGGATAAGGATTGGTGGAAGCCCCTGTTGGACGTATATCGCCAATATTCGATGGCGGCAACGAACTGAATTCCAATAGTGAAGAAAGTGCGGATATCTTTGGAGGAGTAGCTGCCGGATGTACTGGCGTTCCCGATTCTGCGTTCATTGGCACGTCCATTTTCGAAGGACTAGATGTTTGACTAGCTGAATCTGTTTCAGGAGCATTTGTCGGATGAGATGAACGCTGAGTGTCAGAAATAGATGCCGGTTGTGATTGAGAAATATTCATTGGTGGCGGTATAGGCATCCTTGGTTGTAAAGGAAAACCAGGCGGAAACGAATGATTCGGTGGTAGAAATTGTTGAGGCGTTGGAAAAGCTGGATTGAAGTTTGGTGGTAAAAAACTTGGAGGAATATCTGGTTGAATAATAGATGAGACAGATATCGGATTTGCTGAACGTCCACTCAGCAATGACATCGGTTCAGAAATAGCAGGTTCACTTGCAGTTGATGCTTGAGTTGTCGGTGAGACCTTCGCATTCGTTTGTTCAGATTCTGGCTTATTTTCATTATTAGTCTTAGATGCTTTTGTTTTAGTAGTCTGCGATCGATTGCCTTCTCGTTCATTCTCCTATTCAAAGATCAGAACAACGATAACATTCAATCTACCGAAAGGAAAATTACCTCTCCATTAAAATCCGCGTCTCCTTCGTCGTCATCGTCATCGTCTCCTTCCTCTTCGTCTTCTTCATCTTCCTCTTCATCTTCGTCCTCCGATTCATCTTCATCACTTCCACTGGAGAACGTTCGTTTTCGATAACGTGAAGTTTTCGTATTACGACGATTACTTGACCGTCTCTGTACAGGCGGCGCGGTTGTGGCTACTGCCGCAGATGATTTCGATCTCGTTGCTGGCGGTCGACCTTTTCTTTCACGCGTAGTTGTTTGCTTTTGACGAGCGGCCGCTTTCGATTTAGCCGGCGATCGTTTATTATTCGTAGCAGTACTACTATTTTGACGAGTTTTCGTTTGTCGACCGGTAGCCTTCGTGGGTGATGAATTTATTTCTAATTCGTCCGGTATCTCTGGAGGAGCTAAAAAATAAATGAATTTTTTAAATAGAACAAGTGTTACAACCATCCATAGAAGTGACACATACGTGTTGAAAACTCGTCAGCTTGTTCTTGGTTGATTTGACTTTCTGCGGTTGATGCAATCGATTGACGAGATGTTTGTTGATCAAGAGAAGGAAGTGTAGACGATTGCGTTGAAATGATCGACGATGCGTTTGTTGTGCTTACCGTTGATACTTGTTTACCGACTGGTAATGCTTTTCCATTTATTGCATTCGAAAATTCACTGTCCGTTGTTTCATCTAGCACAAAACAAAAGAGAAAACCTATCAAACACATGATCTATGAATTACTCACCTTCATCAACAGTCAATGATGAACTGGTTCCCATCGATGGTTTGACTAATTTATTCATTGGATTTACACATATTTGACATAGATAATCAGTATCGTTCAAAGTTGAACCATCCGACGGCCATATTGCGCTGATATCCTCATCATGTAAAACTCGTTTGCATTTCCCACAAACAAAACAATCCGCATGATAAATTCGACCAAGACGTACACGACGAATGAAATCATGAGATTGAATTAAATTTTGACAAGAAAAGCAACGATGAATGTATTTCCTAAAGAACAATACTCGCTATGTCATTTGGAGAATGTTAACTGACTCGTTCTACATACTTGATAAAATCGTCTTTACAGTAGAGTTTGCCTTCGCGTGAATAACATTGTTCATTGAGTAAACATCGGCATACAACACATCGAACACAATCAGGATGCCATACACGATCGAGGACATTCGAAACAAGTGAATTAGAAATCGGTTGAGAACAACCAGAGCATTGGTTCGATGTTGATGACATACTAAAAACGAACAAAATTATTTTTCGATAAACGCTAGATTAAAGTGAAAAAATAAGCTAAATTTAAGTCGAAAGCGGTCATCGAATGAATTTTACCTTCGATTTACTGAACGTGTCTGCCGATTCGTATTGTTATTTACAGCTACATTTGATGCTGAAATAGGCGGATATCGACGTGACTGTTGCATGGTTAAGCTAGAAAGATATATTCTATAAATCGAATGATGTCGTAATTGATTTCAATTGAAATACTAGACAGAATCAAATAGTTAAACTGTATTTTCATGCTAAATAATAATTACCTAGTTTTGTTATCTCCGAAAGCGAAAGAGAATCATCTGAGAAGTAAATATATCTGCAGTTGCAGCAAATCCAGATAGTCAGTTGATCTATTGGTGCCATTGAGATATGTCGTGTTGACATATGCACTTAAACAGAATTGATTCATTGGCGGAAAATGAGCCAATGAGAGAAAAAGAAAGAAATTTTCGGTTATAGAAAAATGCGAAAATTTTATCCGAGAATATTTTTGTCTAAAATGTTTTTTTGATTGAAATATACGAAACTACAAAATTGATTGGATTATAATCACTAATATCTAAACAAACAATAATCGATGAATTGATTGACTGATTGATCGATTGTTCCATTTTTAGATATATCTGATATCAATCTAATCATTGAGAATGACTACAACAGCAGCTCCTCGAGCTCAACAAAAGGATACAAACGTAAGTTAAATGATCGAATTATCACGAAGTGAATATATCTCGTACCTTCGTTGTTCTCCGTTAATTAGGGCAATCAATATGCGAATTCAGATGCAACATCAAGTTTTGTTGGTTTCGCTAATTTACCCAACCAAGTTCATCGTAAAATTGCAAAACGTGGTTTTGAATTTACTCTAATGGTTGTTGGTATGTTCCAATCAATGGTCTAATTGATATTTAACATGAGTTTTCATTCGAAGGTGAAAGTGGCCTTGGGAAAGCAACACTAGTCAATAGTCTCTTCTTAACAGATCTTTACCCTGAACGTCATATTTTAACTGCGCAAGGTAAGCATTTCTTTCGTGATCTTGGTTGTTTCAGTAGACAATTTGGAATCTTTAGAAAAAATTCGTCAATCGGTTAAAATTGAAGCATCTACTGTTGAGATTGAAGAGCGTGGTGTCAAGGTACGTTTGACTGTTGTTGATACACCTGGTTACGGTGATAGTATCAACACAACAGATTGCTATAAGCCCATATTGAACTATATTGACAATCAATTCGAACGTTATCTGAACGATGAAAGTGGTCTCAATCGTCGGAATATATCAGACAATCGTGTTCATTGTCTTTTCTATTTTATTTCACCATTTACTCGAGGGTTTGTTAAGACAAACGAAACTTTTCAAAACAATTCATTCTTATTCTTTGCCTTTGAATAGATTAAAACTATTGGATATCGAATGTATGAAAGCTTTACATCATAAAGTGAACATCGTACCGATAATTGCCAAAGCAGATGCATTGACACCTGAAGAACTAAGTCAGATGAAACAAAATGTACGTAAAATTGAAATCAGCTGGGATATTCAAGTTGTGTTAATTGAATTTAGATTCTCGAACAAATTCGCGAGCATAATATTCAAATTTATCAAATTCCGGAATGTGATTCCGATGAAGACGATGAATTTAAAGAACAAAATCGTCAGTTGAAAGGCGCAGTACCATTCGCAGTTATTTCATCAACTCAAACACTTGAAGTCAAAGGCAAAAAAGTTCGCGGTCGCATGTACCCGTGGGGTTTAGTTGAAGTGGAAAATTCTGATCATTGCGATTTTATTAAACTTCGAACAATGTTAATGTAACAACAAAACTCTTCAATCATTGATGAATTTTTCTTGTGTCTCTCTTTAGAACGCACATGCAAGATCTACAAGAGGTGACTCATGAAATTCATTATGAGAATTTCCGCTCAGAAAAACTTCAACCAAGAAAACAATTACGTTCAAATGACATTGATGCTGATGAGCAACAAAAGAAATTAATCAAAGAGAAAGATGATGAAGTAAACCGAATTCATTAACTAACACTATTCTCTTCCAACTTTTCATATTTCCTCTTTTTTAGCTTCGTCGAATGCAAGACATGTTAGCTAAAATGCAAGGTCAATTGGCTGAAAAGCAACAATTAGTTACACCTTAAACTTCACTATTCAGTTTTTTTTCTGTATATAACGTTTCTGTATTATCCATTAGTATTTGCAATGTTTGATCATGTTATTCTTCTTACGTGTATTTGTCTGATATTTACATTGAAAGCGAAAACGAATGCTCAGGAAATAAAAGAAATCATTTTGTTGCGATAGAAAAGCTAATTTCAACTGATCATCTCAGTTTTCATACTTGAGTGTAATCTTCTCGTGAACATCGACTAACTCTCGATCAATTGAATTAGGACTTATGTTAATGAGTGATCGTATAAAATATATCTTCTTTCGACGTGCGCTCATCGAAACATGCAAATTCATCGGCATCATTCACTCTAACAGGGTTTATTATTCTTTTCACGACTTGACTTTTCCAATGAGGTTAATCGATCGATCGATCGATCGAAGTGTCAGAGAAATGAAATAAATCGAAAGAAAGAAGAATGAATGATTCATTGACATATGTGTCCGAGTGTTTACTGCGCAATTTTTGCGCTTATCTCCGTTATATATGCGTGAATGGAAGCGTCGAAAAGATTAACTCTGATTCCGGAACAATCACACGAAAATCTTTCGCCTTTTACTAAAGATTTCTGTGTTTCGGAATAATTCAATGAGTCTTATAGACTAATTTTTCCACGGCTCGCTTCGTGCGGGCTTCCCAACTAATGCAATGGAAAACAAACTATTCTCTATCTGTTCTGCGCAACTTGTGCTTATTAACATAGAGTACATCTATTTGATTAGATCATACGCGTATCCTTGTCTGAAGTGTCAACCTTTGGAGTAATTAAACGATGAGAAAATATCCGGAAGGCAAATTGGCCGTTCAGAATAGTAAAGATCAATTGTTATCTTTATTGAAAGTAGAGAAGACTTTTTTATCTTATAAAAAATGAAATCCAATATCGAAGAGAGAAATAGAAAAAAAACGATGAAAAGTCTTTCATTTGAAATATAAATTAACTTTCAACAGCAAATGTCTTCGTGTTTGTAATACTGGATAGAAATTAAAACACACATGATATTTATTCAAATCATATATACAGATACAAAATGTCACTGTCTTGTGTTCTTTTGTTGTCGATAACAAAAAACAGGATAGACGAAAAGTTTCGATAGAAAATTAATCAGACATCATCTCTAAAAACAGATTTACTCAGAAGATAGTATTATAAGACAAAACAAACGAGGAATTACCGAATATATTCGACATAGTTTGCAGGGATCATCCCTTTGTCCCCTGAGCTGTTTCTTGCTAACCACCATAACGGTTCGACTTTTTTAATGATCATTAAGATTTGTCCTTTCTTAAATGGTAAATCTTCATCATCCTATGTCAGATATCTCTGATAATTATGCGCAATAACTAGAAATCAAAGAAAATTTACCTTGCCATCAAATCTATATTTCGTTCGAACACGCGATTTCGGATACTAAAATTACGAACAATTGAATACGAACGCTTTGAATGCGTTGAACTCACGATTCGAACCAGTGGTGATGTGTCCAATAAGCGCTGTTTATAGAAAGTTAAAAGTTCTTTCATACTTGAAAAAGTTTTATCACCAATTTTGTATACAGACTGCGGTAATTCTTGAGTAACATTTATTATATAATGGCTCACTTTTAAACCTTCCCTATTATACATACGAAGAAGAGGAAGACAACGTCATATTTGATAAGAAAAAGTTCTGTTGAAACATACTTTACACAAAGAACAAGATCGCCTTTGATTGTACCACTGGGACGAACAAGAAATGTTCCGTCGGGTTGACTCTGTAGTACATTAACCGCATCTTCGCGACTAAATTCTTCGAATAGCCAACTAGAGAACGAAGAAAACACTAGACGCAGCTGAAGTGGATTATTCTTATCTACCTATCTTCGTCAGTCGCATTAAAGTCAGCCGTAGATGAAGAGACACTTATCAACTTGGAGCCTATAACGTCATTCATTCCATGAATTCGATCTAGGAAGAAAAGGAAATCACATTGCCATAAATCAATAGTTCCTGAGCAAATAGACATTCATGTCGATCAGACAAACTACCTGCTATAGTCATGTTGAAAGGTGTTGAGCTATTTTATTGCTTGATCAATGTTGACAAAAGTAAGGATGATTAATTTTCACGACGGGTGGGTAAATAGAGCAAAGTGGTGAGGCAGTGGTAACGATAGTAATAAAACCGAATCGACAGAAAGAGAAAATAAGACAGAGACAAAAAAAGAAATAAAGAAAGAGAGAGAGAAGGAGAAGAAGAGAGAAGAAGTGGCCAGCGGTAGCCAAGATGAAGATGACGTGATCTTACAGGTCACTATTCTCTCGTTCTTTTTCTTCTCTTCTCTGCCTTTCTCTTGATCGTACTCTAAGCCGCATCTCACAAAAATAAATCTGCTACTCGTTCTTTATCTCTATCCTTTCTCTTCGCTCTCTCTCTCCTTTTTTCCTCAATGGACGTGAGTTAATCAATATAAGACAACATTGATACAAGCGGAATAAAACAAAAAGATACGATAAAATTCTTTCTTATCGCGATGACATATGTACATTTTGTTCTTTTTGATAAACTGGAGTTTTGATAATTGAAAATTATGTCATTCATTCACACATCTGCAATTGTTACTATTGTCTAGTAAATACAATGGGAATAAGAAAAAGAATAGACAATATGTATCATATTGAACGTGTTACAATGATGAATATACGATCAAATCTTTCATTTCTCTTGTGCTTTGTTTTACTTGTTCCTATTTTTTGACTAGACGCAATACGTGAAGAGAAAAAGGGTGGAGATAGTCTACACAAGTGCGCATGTGTGTGGATGAACGATAATCGCGATAGTTTTTTGTTATTTATTGTTATTAGAACGAGTAGATGGATGACTTGCTTCACTGCTCAACGGACTCATAACACACACGCATTAGGCAAAAGATCGTGATGTAATAGTAAATCACATACATACATATCCAGATGTTGCCGATAATGCTCGACAACAGCAAGAGGTGATCATCTTCTTCCGTTTGTATCTTTTGTTCGCTTTTATAAATACAAAAAATAGATCTGTACATACACATGCTGACACATGTTAATAGAAGATTGATGGAATGTCATTTTGAACACTGCAATGCTGACAAGTCATGGCAGTCTGTCAATCACATCTTCTCTCTTCCTCTAAGAAGCCTTTTAACTCGTCGATATCAAGGCCAGACACATGTGAGAGGCTTAACTGATAACCAGACAATAGGTGATACAATACAGACATCCTATCTTTAATAATCTTTTTTTTTCATCGAACATATACTTTCCTTCAACCTTGACGATACTAAGTAAGCCTCATTTATCTTTCCTCGAGGATATAATAATACCTTTCATTTTCTTTTGTGTTCTGTTAGTATGATATTGAAGCGATCTGAGATGATGGACACGAACAGATTTGTTTGATCGACCGGTAAATGACTTTACAAAAGAACAGTTCATTAGCATTGTATACATATACAAGAGTATTGATAAGTAAAGATGGCCTTTGAAAAGCAATTAGACATTCCAGTTAGGCTCTGATTTTTTTCAAAGAATCGACTCAGGTCATTATCAACTTGATATTTCAAGTAAAATAAACAGCAAACATTTTGTCCAGACAAATTATTGAACTCGTAAAAACAAAAACAATGGCACATATAGACAGATCTACTTACATATATGTCTACATATGCATACATACATGCACATGTGTGCTTTATCTGCATAAATATTCTAAATATGAATAACAAATTATGCGTAAGAGGAAAAAGGTGAGTGTAAATCAATGTGCACATTTGCTCGAGAATGAACTTATGAAGTAGATTTAACATTTTTCGATTGATATACATTCGGGAAAAAGTATCATTTAATATCACATGTGAATTACATATGTATGAGAAGAGAATTCGATAAAATATTTCACAAAATGATCGCGTAACAGTTTGTTGTCCGGGGAAATAGAAATTTATTGGGATTTAATTACTGGATGACATTGTTGTGAGAGCGATGCCATACGGAATGATGCTAACAGCATACATCATAGCATATTGTTTAGATTTACTGACTGATCTCATTGCATACGAGTCATTAAGTTCGATCTTGAAACGTTGACCCTTATTATTGTCATTTTGTGTGGTAGCAATAAGGATTAGCCATATGGAATTGAACATCGTATACTATGTATTTTATTTTCCTGTCTTGCCAGCGAATTATCGTAATCTCTCCTGAATTACTAGTCTTCGATTAATCTGATGCTACGCCATTGAATGGCGAAATACAAATGATCTTGCTAGACCTTTAGCAGAAATGTGAATCACAATGAGGATGCGATTCATACTATCACGATTTGTCAGTTATTCACCCATGTCATACATTATCCGATTGACAATAGAGATTGCTTGTCTCGTTGTAAATACCATAAATATCTGAATTATCAATATGGCCAGTCATTTTTAAATGATTGATGACTTTTTTTGTTAATAAATCAGTAGACGAGCAAACAATCGATATTGGCCAAGATAATCAAAAGTTTGAGTTGAACAAAATGTATGAACAAGCTGCATCTTAGAGAAAGTATTAAATAGAACTTCGTTGTCTGATTAACTCGAAATCATAGTGTAATCTCATAGAAACAGATGTCGCCTAATTGCACTAACTTGTAAGCGTACGTTTTTTGAACGATATGCACAAGGCATCAATGCAGGCCATCTGCACCAATGGAAATGTTTTCCTATCTCTTTGTTAGTGTTGGTAAAGTATGGATTGGAGAGAGAGAAAAATCTAATAAGTCAATAGGTCAGGCTTGTAGTGTATGCTTGTTTGATTGATTGCACGTGTCCGACGTATTTATATTGAGATAATGGATGGTCAAGATCCAGGTTACGGTCAGAATGTACTACCTCCATTACCATCTCATTATAGTCCGATGATGGCACTCGGTGCTCCACCACCACCACCGTTGTCCTTGTCATCGTCTGATGTAAAATATAATTTGTACGATACTGGAGTCAATGAAAGTAAACCATTTAATGACGTTAATGGTATGCTTCAACAAATCATGTCCATTGTTGATCAAAGTCTTGATGAAGCTCAAGCACGGTATGTGAAAAACGAAGGTTATCATTGAAACTATAATTCATTCCGTTTCCTAGTAAACACGCATTCAATCAAAGTCGACTTAAACCAGCATTTTTTCAAGTATTGTGTGAGATTAAAGAAAAGACAGGTACATATTCTGTTCGATTTATCTGAATAGTGTCGAAATTCTTTTCTTTTCCTATTGCAGCTATCAACATTCGAAATCTACCGGAAGATGAACCACCTGATTCGCAATTGATGCGATTGGATAACATGCTGATCGCTGAAGGTATTGCTGGACCAGAAAGAACGGGTGGATCATCATCAGCGGCAAGTGCTAATGCTGCTGCCAGTATTAACGATGATTCAGCGCTCGAACACGGTGATTATCGTGCAAAATTATCTCAAATTCGACAATTGTATCATAGTGAACTTGAAAAATACGTAAGTTCATTGAAATGATAGCAAAAAAAGGCATTTTATTCTCTTTGGTAAATTAGGAACAAGCATGCAATGATTTCACCAGTCATGTAATTAACTTATTACGCGAACAAAGTCGTGCACGGCCTATTTCACCACGAGAAATCGATCGAATGGTAATGATTATTCGAAAGAAATTTTCATCAATTCAATTACAACTGAAACAAAGTACATGTGAAGCTGTGATGATACTTCGTTCACGGTTTCTTGATGCTCGGTAAAGTTCATTTAGCGAAATCATACACTTCTTTCAAAGTAGTTTGTTTTTCTTTAGACGAAAACGTCGAAATTTCAGTAAAACAGCTACCGAAGTTCTCAATGAATATTTCTATTCACATCTATCAAATCCATATCCAAGTGAAGAAGCCAAAGAAGAATTGGCTCGAAAGTGTAGCATCAGTGTATCACAAGTAAGAAATACAATAATGGTTTAGACAGGCTACGCAATTGAAATGAAGAAGACCGGATGACCTTGTCTCAAGGCTTACATTTTATAATACTCGTATATACTTGAATTGACAATAGATAGCGAATGAGTAACTGGGGAATGTACAGCTGCGTTCGTTTTGTCATCGAAGGCTTTGACATGTTTTTCGAGGAATTAATTAAAATTGTTTTCTCTTTCAGGTCAGTAATTGGTTCGGTAACAAACGTATACGATACAAGAAAAATATCGGTAAAGCTCAAGAAGAAGCCAATCTATATGCTTCGAAGTTAGCCAATCAAGCAGCACAGGGTGTTGGCGGCATACGTCGAGACAGTGACAGTTCTCAACAAGGTAAGCATCTTGTTTCTGGAACTTGCATATGATTGTGGAAGATTTTAGACAAGCCTGCACGTAAAAGTCGTTCTCGAGTCAAAAAATGAATATTCAAATAACAAGTCAATGAAAACATATTGAATAGACGTGTTTAATCTGTGCAATTTTCAATATGAATTCGTACTCGCATGTTTTGTCTTTCCTCTGAATCTCATCATCTATCAACTAAAGATAAATCTAATGATTTTTTTGCTTTTCTCATTTATATCGTACTGATCGATTTTTACTTTCTTGTTTATTGTTACATTTTACTCCGTATTAGATTTTTTTCTCTCGTTTGTATATGTACGTGTGAAATTCACTTTGTATTACTTGTTGTTGGCTTTTTAAATGACTGTCTAATACTCAAATCTTGTTTATCCGATCAATTTTCTTTTCTTTTTGTTCAGCTAATATTTTACTCTTCGGTCTCATCGAGTTATTTTCGAGTGTGTAGTGCTTTTCTTTTTCATTAGCAAATCATACATTTGTACAGTTTAGAAAGCGTTTATTCTTTTGCTACGTATCTACTTCTATGCTGATCGCACATTTTCTTTTTCGAACAAATGTGTTTTTTTTCTATGATACAAAAGAATATAATAAAAATAGTCGATCTTGAAAAGAAAGAGAAAATCAATCGTATGCATCTATCTCAGCAGACTAAAACAGTTGGTTTCTTGTCTTTTGCGACTATTTATATTACCTCTAAAAGAACATTCGTATCTGTTCTTTACAAGTCATATTTAACGCTGAATTATTTGGCATCATCATACGTTTTCTTCGCGTCGATTACACTATATATCACTCTCATATTTAGCCTATCCTACAAGACTCCATTATTATTCTATATTCATGAGTACAACTTCTCGATGACTTCCATTTTATTTCATTCAAATCAACAACAATACTGCCTCAATCTATTCTTCTTCTACATCATCATCCTTAATTTATTTTACGAGAAAATATAGACTAAAAAGTAAAATTTACAATAATACAATGTTAGTAGTTCAAAAGTAGCACACTATTTCAACATAGTTTTATGATAATATTTTTACTTCCATATCCGTAGTTTCCGATAATAATATCTGTCACATTATCTTCATTCACATCTGCTACTGATAATGCAAATGGTCGAGAATTGAAACCAATGGAGAATATGATTTGGTCAGAAAAATTTCCATTGCCGTATCCAAGAAACACACCAACTGTATTACTGCCATAGTTGGCCACAACAATATCTAACAAAGTATCGTTATTAAAGTCACCAATACGAACGGATGACGGTTGAGACTGAAGACCAGTCGAATATATGCTCTGATTGGCAAACGTGCCATTGCTCTTGCCCAGAAAGATGCCAATATTATCGTTTCCACTGTTGGAAACAACAATATCCGATTGATTGTCTCGGTTCAAATCAGCAATTGCAATCGAACATGAATGAGAACCATTTCCTGTCGAATATATCTGTTCGCTCATGAATGTTCCAAATGTAGATCCGAGAAGAACCATGAGATTGTCAGTTCTAGAATTGACAACAGCAACATCTAGTTGAGTATCATTGTTGAAATCTCCAATCACAATAGACATTGGTCGAGAAAACACTCCCGTCGAATAGGCTGGTAAACTCACAAAACTCGTACTAGAATATCCGAAATGAATACCAATATTATCACTCTTAGTGTTGCACACAACCATATCCAGTTGATGATCGTCATTGAAATCAGCAAAGATAGCTGATACTGGGTATGTGTTATAACCTGTTGAATAAGTGATTTGACTGAAAAACGTTCTGTTAACATAACCAAGGAAAATAACAACAGCACTGCTTTGTGAATTCACAACAGCGATATCATCGAGATCATCATCGTTAACATCGACAATAACAACTGCTGACGATTGGGCATCCTTTCCAGTCGACATCGTTATTTGATCATCAAAAGAATTGTTAATATGTCCAAACATCACAGTTACACTACTCAATGCACTATTGAGGACAACGATATCGGGCCATCCGTTCTTATCGAGATCACGAACATCAAGAAAAGATGGTAGTGCACCTGGAAGAGTTGGTACAGTTTTCCGTCTAGAGAATGTGCCATCACACATACCATACATTATTTCAATGACGTGAACTCCACCTTTGGCAGCAACAATATCCGAACAATTATCATTGCCAAGATCTGCGATGATGAAAAAATTTGGTCCACCCTGATCACTATTTGTAAACACTTTTGACACAGAAAATGTACCATTACCAAGGCCAAGAAAAACTGATATCTGTGCGCCGAAAAGTTGACCAACAACGATATCTAGTTCCGAATCATTATTCAAATAGCCGATGGAAATCGATGTTGGCCAAGTGTTATATGAGGTGTCATAAGTCGTTGATACAGTAAAATTTCCATTTCCAAGTGATAATAAAACGTATACAACATGATTCGCGTTGTCAACAGCGACAACATCTGACATGTCGTCACTGTTGAAGTCACTAGTAGCAACAGAAACAGGAAGAAATGAACTACTCGGAGAGTACAGAATTTGGTCAAAGAATGTTCCATTGCCTTTCCCAAAGAAAATGCCAAGATTTTGATTTCCATTGTTAGCAACTACGAGATCAAGTCGACTATCATTGTTAAAATCTCCAACAGCAATTCCCTGCGGAGTGGAGCCTGGGCTTGTGGAATACAACGTTGGTTTTCCAAAGTATCCCGTATTAAACTGAATGAGTACTTCCACGTTGTCACTACCATAATTAGCAATCACAATATCTTGTTGATTGTCTTTATTGAAATCTCCACTGTCAACTGAATATGGACTAGAATCAACAGAAAGCGAATAACTGATTTGTTCTCGCAAACTCCCATGGCCATCGCCATATGAAATACTAAAAGAGTCAGTGCCTGAATTGACTACGACGATATCTCGATGTTGGTCGTTGTTGAAATCATTCACACTAGTAGCGATGGGTGATGAGATTGAACCAGTTGAATAATGATTCTGAAAAGGAAAATTTCCACGACCATCACCCAAGAAAACTTCAATATTATTGGTGATATAGTTAGTGACAACAAAGTCTACCCGATGATCTTCGTTGAAATCATCAGTAACAATGAAACGTGGTCCAGGAGATGATTCAGTCGAATATGTCACTGCACTCATAAAGTTTACATTTGCAAAGCCAAGAAAAACACCTATGTTCTTATCATCCGAATTAACAACGACAACATCCAACAAAGTGTCACGGTTCAAATCAGCGATAGCAGCTGATTGTGGACGCGATGTAGTGCTAGTTTGATAGAAGATGAGATCAGCAAAACTTCCATTACCATAGTTCGGATAAATCACAATTGCTTTCTCTGATTCAGAATTGAAAAGAATGTCCACGATACTGTCATTATTGAAATCACCAATAAAAACTAAAGCTGGATGCGAGTCGGCGCCCGTAGTATAAGTTTTTTGCGGCTGAAATGATCCATTTCCATATCCGAGAAAAATACCCACATTATTAGCCCATAAATTGGCGACAATCAGATCAATAAAACTATCACCATTTATATCACTGGCAACAACAGCGTTTGTTAGCGGATAATAACCAGTAGAGTATTGCACTTCACTAGAAAAAATACCATTACCATTCCCGAGAAGTACGCCCGTCGCGCCGTAAGAATTGCTGTAAGTTGAATAAGTAACAGCAAGATCGGGTTTCCCATCATGATTCAGATCAGCAATGGTGAATCCAGAGAAAGCAGCAGAAGTTCCAGAATGAAATGCAGATGTGAAATTTCCATTACCGTCTCCTAAAAACGCGTTTATACTGCGGCTGCCTATCGCTCCAATCACTATATCAAGATGAGTGTCAGTGTTCAAATCACAAATAACAATCGATAAGGAGTCGGTATTCAATTCAAAATTTAATGTACTTAGGTATCAAAAGACACCACTACTATTTCCGAGATGAATTTCAATTTTCCGAGCCACAAACGGCCCATAATATGAATAAAAATCGTAATCATACTGATTTTCTTCAGACATAGTAGAACTCGACACATCGTTCCTATCGAATACAATATCATCAAACCCATCTTGGTTTAAATCACCCACAGCAACTACACTTGGTTGTATATCATTGCCACTGAGATAAGTTCGCAAGTTTGAAAAAGTTCCATCACCGTTGCCCATCAAAGTTCCAATAAAGCTATTAACTTTGTCAACGACCACAATATCAGAATGACTGTCATTATTAAACTGACCAATACCTACTGAGTTTGGCTCAAATGCTGAGTCAGATGTGTAAGTCTTTTGTTTCGAGAAAGTAGCATTCGAATAAGCAAGAAGAACGACGATGTTGTTCGTAGCATAATTAGCCACAGCAATATCTAATCGTTGATCTTTATTAAAGTCTCCACCGATCACAGACGATGGTTTAGAGTTTACACCAGTCGAAAACGTCACTTGATCCATGAATGTTCCATTTCCTAAACCTAGAAAAACACCGATATTGTTGATACCACTATTGCAAACCACTATATCGACTTGATCATCATGATTGAAATCACCAAGAGTAACGCCTGTTGGCTTCGAATTATAACCAGTTGAGTATGTTTTGTCTTCGATGAATGTTCCATTTACACTTCCAAAATAAACGCGAATGTTGTTGGAAATTGAACTGATAACAACAACATCTAAAAGATTATCATGATTGAAATCTTTAGCATTCATTTCAAACGGATAAAATCCTATTCCTGTCGATGTCACTATTCGATTAGTGAATGATGCATTGGCATCACCGAGATACAATTGGATATTGTGAAGACCAGAATTAATAATAAAGATGTCAAGAAAATTGTCATTGTTGAAGTCATCGACCATGACTGATGTTGGTAGTGAATCGTAAGTGGATGACAGTTGAATTTGACTCTGAAATGTAGCATTGTCAGATCCAAAAAGAATTCCAACAATGTTTGTTCCATTGTTAACAACAACTATATCAACAAATGAATCATTATTTAGATCATCAAGTGCTACCTTTAATGGACGAGATGATCCAACTGGATACGTTATCTGATCTCTGAATGTTCCGTTCGCATTGCCAAAGAGAATACCAATAGTATGAGAGCCATAGTTAGATACAACGATATCTAAATATCCATCGTTATTCAGATCAGCGACTGCAATCGATGATGGCTGAGAACCAACACCAGTTGAAAAAGTCGTTTGCTCAGTGAATGTTCCGTTAGCTCTTCCAAAAAATATTCCAATATTGTTTGTACCAGAGTTAACAACGACAATATCCATCAAAGTATCATTGTTGAAATCAAATGTGAGAAGAAATTGTGGATGAGAATCCTGACTCAGCAACTGATCAGTAACTGTGTCCATAACTGATTTACATATGTTTTCTGAAACGATTGAAAGAGAGAGAAAATATTATACGTATCCATGTTGAAGATGGAGTAAATATACTTGTTTTATTCGGTGTTGTAAAATAGACAACCAGAATTCCAGCAAGCATACATATAATTGTAAAGAGACTAAATGCACCAAAAATTTTATAACTGTGATATTTCGAACTTAAAACAGAAATTTCAATAATGATCTGTTAGATGACACGCAAATAAATATACCTAGATTGATATGATTGAGTGTGCTCATGAATACCGCCTAAAGTCGATAAACTTTGGTTTGTATCGTCTATTTTCACTAGATCCGATGAAAGCTCTTTATTGGGCTCTGATTGTTGAATTATATCGCCTGCAGTATCCATGGATATCCTGTTACAATCTTAGAAAATACGAGAAAGGACCGATAATCAAATATAACAATATTCCAGCGCAAACTAGGCTCTAACAGAATAAACAACTTTAAAAATTATCGTTGTGCCAAGCTTGATGGATTCTTCTGAAAACGAAAATATATCTAGGACTTACCTGTATTTCACCTGAAAAATTCATCAAAAGGAACAGTTAGTAGATGGACACAGTGGGCATACCCTCGCTCATTAAAAGTATCTGAATAATGACGAAAATAGTTGAGAAAAAACATGGTTTTAACTCCAGACACCAAAGGATGATTGTTTTTTAGTTATTCATGCTGATTACATGAATCTACAAGTCCAGTCTGGAAGAAATTCCACGATTTCGAGCACATCGAATGAATAAAAATTGATGAGATCCCACCTAGAAAGTTACAAGCTCTATTTCAGGATCGAGAAGATGGAGGAATCACACATCCGGAAACGGAAGAATGTGTTTTCACAACAGGTGCATTCCTCGATACACCTAATATTGAAGATTCCGATGACGATGGCCGAGCAACTAACAAATATTCATTACAATCGGCAGTTATCACGGAATTAAGAAAAACCATCGACAAATCGTTAACAATCAATGGTTTTGATTTCATTCTAGGAACATGGAGAAGATAATTATTCCAAAAAAAATCCCGACATGGGAATCGAGCAACGAACTCGAAAAGATCTGATCAAATATGCAGTCTACGATTGTACATCAGTCACAGAATTATACTTTCGAATGAATCCGCAACAAACGGACAATGACACCAAAATGTATGTCGATTATTGCATTGACGTTAGCGAAGACGAAGAAATTATCGAAATACTAGCAAGACAGCCCAAAATCATCAATAGGGCCAGAACAGCAACAAGAATTAATCGTCCAAGTGACAGAAGAAGAGATCAGTCAACTGCATGAATCAGAACAACAAACCACAACCTCAGCGAACAGAGGAGAAATTCAACGGCGAAAAAACGAAAAGTATAAAGAGAAGGAACGAACCCGTGCAGACTTCAAACACCAAATCGTACGACCAATTTATTATCTCCAGGTAATTGCGGCCCGATCAGTTAAGTTCATTTTCCGAGGACTTAATTGCCACCGGATTCCGACTGGAAGTTCAAACCCAGTTTCCAGCCGCTTCCTGTAAATTTCGAATCGGACGAAATGAAAGAAGATGGGGAAAAGAAGGTACCAATCAGCTACATCGCGCGCAGCTAATATTACGAACGTTGGAGTCAAAAATAAAAACAAAAACAAAAAATAGGCAAGCTAATAAAATCGAACGAACATTACAAACAAAACAAAAAGAACGACGAAACAAAAAATCTTCTTTAATAGCGACGACTACAGCGACAAAATGATTATTATCATTACTCAATCACTACGCCTAAAATGAAGACCGACAACGTACATTGGAGTGATTGACGATTCACATCGATAAGACTGACAAAGGACATTGACACGATGAATATCCCAAGATCGCATCATCACTGATTCTCGTTATTATCGCCGGTGATACTCAGATGGTTCAATTTACTCATCGACCAAAACAAATGAAACCGCCATTACAGACCTCAATGCAAATCAAGACGTCAATTTACATTCAACGGCGACAATATCGAAACGAATACATTTGGTAACTATACTTTTTGTACAACATTCGATGTGTGACGCTCTTTCACTGTGCCTACACTCTGTGAAACCTCAATTAATTTCTTTTCTCTTCTGGTTTTCAAAAAACGATTTTTTCATCCTTCCTGCAAGACAATGGTTCCTGTCGGTTCCGGCCCAAACCAGATAAATCTGGTCACCGGCTCCACTCATCGGGGATACCACGGAACCGGCCGCTTCCAGGCCGGACTGTTCGACCTGGGTTGTTCTTTTTGAGGGTGTGTGTACGTATGTTTTATAGGGAAAATAAACTGCAGTCACTCTTGCGAACGAGAGCCGCTAACAATAGTACAACAACATAGACTTATGCTGCAGAAATGAAAAGAGCTGGATGATGTGACAATTGAAATAAATGTCTAGTTGTATATGTTTCTCATGCATCATACATTCGAAAGCTATTTTTTTAAGAGAAAAACAAATTGGTGTGTTGATTTTTTTTATATATGTTGATTTCCAGTGGATATTTTAGCTGGAAATCTTCTTTTGTTGTAGATATGATTGAATTCTGCGTATCAGTGACATCTACCGTTGTTGTTATTGACCAATAAGTTGGATATGAAAGAATCATCATTGACTTGCTACAACTGATCGGGTCGGACTTTAAGTAAATTAGCACAGCGCTCTGTAAAACTATATCGATGATGGTTTATATTGCAAAATATAACTTGAAATCTTTTCGTCTATCATCATTGGCTAACACACGTGTTTGGCTTTCAACGTTGATGAATGGATCTCGATTGAAATCTGAATTCCAGTCAGTTCCAACTCAAGGCGTTATTCAACAGCCAATAAATACTTCTATTTTTCAACCATACGATGTTATTGTTGTGGGAGGTGGTCATGCTGGTTGTGAAGGTAGATGATACAAATTGGAAAGTCTTATTCTCGGCTAATTTGATCTTAATTTAGCGGCACATGCATCTGCACGAATGGGTGTTCGAACACTTCTGGTAAGATCAGATTTGCAAGAAAATTTTTCAATCGATTGAAATATTCTATTTCTAGATCACTCATAAAATAGAAACTATTGGTGAAATGTCTTGTAATCCATCGTTTGGTGGCATTGGTAAAGGACATTTAATGCGTGAAATTGATGCTCTCGAGTATGATGTTTCTTTTTCGTAAACTCAGATAATTTTTCACTAAAATATTAAACTTTTGTAGCGGTCTCTGTGGTCGTCTTTGTGATCGAACGGGCGTGCATTATAAAGTTCTCAATCGAAGCAAAGGTCGAGCCGTATGGGGATATCGAGCACAAATCGATCGTAAACTATATAAACAAGCAATGCAAACTGAAATACTGAATACACCTAATTTACACGTCATGGCTGCTGCTGTTCGTGATATTGTTATGGATGAGAGTCAATCACGCATTACTGGTATTACACTTGACAATCATAGTTTAATTCCTAGTCATGCAGTGATAATTACAACTGGAACATTTTTACGTGGATGTATCAATTTGGGTATGGAGGAACAGAAACCAGCTGGACGATTAAACGATCAACCGGCGATTGATTTGGCTAAGTCGATCGAGAGAATCGGATTCAAAATGGGACGTTTGAAAACCGGTAAGATTTCATTTGCTGTTTCTCTATTGCGATAAAACATTCTTTTCCAATGAATTAGGTACACCGGCACGATTGGAAACGAAAACGATTGACTTCAGAAAAACAACTGCACATCGAGGTGACAATCCTCCATTACCGTTCTCTTTTTTAAACAAACGTGTTTGGATCACACCTGAACAACAATTAGATTGTCATCTAACTATGACTACACCCGAACTAGCTGATATCGTCCGCCGAAACGCTCACTTAAGTCGACATGTTACACAGGATGTGACTGGACCACGTTACTGTCCATCGATCGAATCGAAAATTCTCCGTTTCAAAAATCAAACACATCCCGTTTGGCTAGAGCCTGGTTCGTTTATAATAGATATTTACTTGAATGATATCGTATTGCCTTTTGCAATAACCATTTTTCAGAAGGATTTGATTCGGATTTGACATATCCGCAAGGTTTAAGTTGCACAATGCCTGTTGATGTTCAATTACGCATGCTTCGAACGATTCCATCTCTCGAAAATGTGAATATGGTTCGACCCGGTTATGGCGTTGAATACGACTTCATAGATCCGAGAGAAATTAAACCAAGCTTAGAAACAAAACGTGTCACAAATTTATTCTTTGCAGGACAAATTAACGGGTAGCTATCTATGATGCGAATTCTGAAGTTTCAATGTTCTATTTTCTGTAGAACAACTGGGTACGAAGAAGCTGCAGGTCAAGGAATTATTGCTGGCATTAATAGTGCGTGTAAAATATTAAATAAGCCAATGTTTACAATCAGTCGAGGTAAATCATTTCCGTACGAATGATTTCATGACCGAATGGTTTACAGGTGAAGGATATATTGGTGTAATGATTGATGATCTCACATTACTGGGTGCAACCGAACCATACCGAATGTTTACAGCGCGAAGTGAATATCGCATATCGCTTCGGTAAGAAATAATTTCTATGTATACTTTTAAGCACAGTTTCTTTTCAGAGCAGATAATGCTGATCTTCGTTTGACTCAAGCCGGTTATGACATTGGATGTGTTAGTGAACAACGTTACAATCAATTCAAATCATTCAAAGCAAACTATGATCGAGCTAAAGAATGTTTACAAAATCTAATTAAACCAGTGCACGTTTGGCGTCGTTTATTGATGTCACAACCAGAGCTGACTCCATGCCGAGATGAAACATTAAAATCAATGTATTCATTGGTTCATCAAGCACCTTATATGATGGACAACGAGAAATGGCTTGCTTTCGTGCCTAATGATCAAGGAATTCGTTCGATGCTTTTAGCTGATCGTGAATTAGTCGAACGTATTTGTCTCGATGCTGTTTATGAACACTTAACAAAACGACAAAAAGATGAAATCGATGAAGTCAAACGAGATGAAGCATTTATTATTCCTGATTCATTTGATTATCAAATCTTAGCCATATCGAATGAGGCAAAACAGAGGTTAGAAGAAGTCCGACCGACGACACTCGGCTCGGCTAGTCGGATACCTGGAATTACACCAGCTACAATATTTTGTCTGTTAAAAGCTTTGAAAAAACAACCACAAACATCGACGTTGAATGCTTAAATCATTTGTTTTGTACAGATCAGCTTGTTATTGTTGTCCGTCATAGATTCAATAAAACATGACTGATAATATAGTTTTCATACATACATCTTAATTAATCCGCATGACTACAATAAACTGTAACAAGTTATACCTCTTTAATGATGTTTTCTGAGTAAGTTCTAGAACAATGAGTCAATCATCACGATCCATTCTTGATTATTCATTCATGTCAATATAGTGCATGAGTCGCCTTTTCCTCTGAATAGAAACATGAACATGGCCAGATGATCTCTGCGGAAAACAAGGAAGAAGAAAGACGGAAATGTTCAAAGTAGGTGTTTCCGCATTGATGTTGACTTCTGGCGCAAAATTCTCTTATATCAATGAAGAGCGTGTCAATAAAAATGAGTCTTACATGCTGGCACGCCTACCTTAGCTAATAATTGATTTATTGTTATATTTAATGAGAAACATTTCAATCGGCAGCGAAAAATGGGCACAAAACGTCGAAGAAGGCTTTTATTGCGCAGGAGAGGTTTTTGAGCGTGTTTTCGAACAACCATCCTGAATTTACTTATTCGTTTGAAATAAAATATCAGTTAAATCTTCAATAAGACTTTCGACCGACGTTTGTTCGAGATTACTTAAGATTATAATAGACGCATGATCATCAGGAAAACGAACTAAACAGCTTTCAAAACCAAAAATTTGACCAGTATGCTGCTGTTTGATTCCTCGATGTTTTAATCGATGAACTTCCCAACTAAAATCCGAACAAAATCATATTTTGCATGAAAATTTCACGGATTCGTTCTACCCAAGTGCATAGTGTTCTCGAACAGGTTTGAACATAAGTTTCTTCGTTCGATTTTTCAATAGCTTCTCTCCATACAAAGCTTTATCAAATCGATACAAATCTTCTACTGTCGAGTAAATACCTCCAGCACTCCGAGCTGTTGACATATCAATAAAACGGCATGTTTCAAATCCATTCGAATCCGTATTACAAATATAACCACATGCTCGTCTATTCTGTTTTATGGATGATATGTCAATGCAATCGCATTCATAACCTGTATCATTCATATGGCATGGTTCGAGAATTAACTCGCGAAGATTTGTTTCATACGACTTTCCTGTCACTTTTTCGATAATTAAACCTAGTAAAATATACTAAAGAGCCGAGATATTCTTTGAAATAGACAAACATTTGCACTTACATTTGAATTTGAATAATTGTATTTTGATCCGGGTTTAGACGTTAATGGTTCATTCTTGAAGACGTCAATCAATTGATCAATAGTTAAACTTTTCGTGCACATGTTCTCAAAACTTTCCATGTCAGTATAGTTTTCGATACCAGATGTATGCGAAAGTAAATGTTTGACTGTGATTTCATTCCCATGTGGATAATCTGGATAGAATAATAATAATTTATCGTTGAGTTTCAATAACTTTCTTTCGATTAACTGAAGAATAATGACTGCCGTAAATGGCTTTGTCACACTACCAGTACGAAAGATTGTTTGACTAGTGTTTTTCTCTTGGAGTATATATTCTGCACAGCCATAACCTTTGATAAGTATGATTTCATTATCTCGAGCGAGTAGCACTGAACCACTGAAGGTTTTCGAGCTGACAAGTGACTGCAAATAATCGTCAGCTTCTTGGACGATTTCATCTTCAATTTCCGACAAATCTATCAAAAGAAAAAATTGCCGAGATTGGATAATATTCTTATTTTACTCAAAAATGCTTACTTTTCTTTGTTCCACAAAGCCATGATGACTTCGATTTCTTATTTATTTTAGAAGATTCCATCGTTTTTCATATAAATGACCTTGTTTGCTATTGTTGTTTTTCTCTTTTTCTGCAAGAGAAGAGAGAAAGAGGAAGGAAAAAAAACGTGGGTTTATATGAAAGAAAGAGAACAGAAAGGAGAACGGATAGTTTGCTCTGTTTTCACTCGTTGATGAGGAGATCTCGATGATGTGACAAAATTGCAACCAAACGTAAGATTTTCTTTGACGGTTAGACTAATTTATCAAAATAGGCAAATTTTTATTTCCTCTCTATGCGCTTACAAAGGAAAAGTAAGATCAATCGCTTCGCTCCTAACTCGATTTTGTTCTTATAGATTGAATAATTTTGTATATGATCCTTCTTAGTTCAATATTTTAATTGACTTCTTATGTCATCCGATGTTATAGTGCGTTTAACACCTACTTCATATGCTCGACGGGGACGAGTGAGTAATTCATCACACTCTACGAACATCGTTCATTTATTCTTCTCAAATTAGATTTATCCCAGTAGTACTGTTTCGTATTTTCGTTCTTGTTGGACGTATAAATCTTGGGGTGTAGTTGTTGCTGTTGTAGGCTTTATGTTAATCTTGTCGGGTTTACACATTGGCTGGGAGTAAGTGTCTTTTTTTCTTGAGTTTGCTCAGAATATCGCCTTTTCACTTTTACAAATCTAGTTTTCCTATTCTTGTCACTCATGGTCACGTCTATTTTCCGATTCTTTTTGCTTTGGCACTCTTTTATACGATATCAAATTACTTATTTGCAGCTTTGCACGATCCTGGTATTGTGCCGCGACCTAATGCCGATGAGATTCTTCAAACGGAGAAGGAAAATAATATTCAGACTGATCTGTAAATACGATCATTTTCTTCGTCGTGTTCACCTCGGTTTTCATTATAGAAATGGAAATTATTTTCCTTCAATTCCTCCACCGCGAACAATACTCGTTCAAAATTTCCCTTGTAAATCAGCATATTGTTATACATGTCGACTTTATCGTTCGCCACGCGTCTCGCATTGTTCAACATGTAATGTTTGTGTAATGAATTTCGATCACCATTGTCCATGGAGTGCGTGACAGTTTTCTCGAAAATGAATTCAACTATGCAAAACCTGTTTTTTTCCTATTTTAGTCAATAATTGTGTTGGTCAATTAAACTATCGTTATTTTTGTAATTTCCTTCTTTCCTGCTCTTTACTTTGCCTCGTTGCATCGGCGGGTTGCGGAGTTGCTGCGTATCTACGCTGGGATAAGTACAAAGATGATCCCGGAATGTATTTTGCTTACAATGTGCCAAGTTTTTTCATTGGTTTTCTTGGTGTCATGCTTTTTCTAACATTGATGCCATTTTGGGTTATTCATTGTGGATTGACCATGAGTTCGACAACGACTAGAGAGGATATCAAATTTAAAAAACATGCCAAAGAACATGGAATTCCACAAGGTTCGAAGTGGAAAAATCTAATTATGTCATGGTGCGGTCCTTTGCAACCTTCGTTAGTCATTTCGTCTTGACAAACAACGGAGACTTTTTAAGTGAAAGATTTTGTTCTCTTTTAGAATTAATTGGAGTGAATTATATGATAAAGATCACTATAGAACGCAAGAAATAATGTATGCACGTGAACGTCCGACATTGCTGAGTAATACATTAGTCGTTCCTACGCAAAAGATTCGTGAACACATCCGTGAATTAGCTGCTAATGATTACTATGGACTCCGGCAGCAAGTCAAAGCATTTCACCGAACAGATGATGACTCGAGACATCGATCATCATTGATTCCAGTGGAAACAATGAATTATTTACAAACATATACAATTGAAGTATTCTCCTTTCTTCTTTTTCCTTGTGAATTTTTGATGGATTGTCTTCTAGGTGAAACAAGTTGGAAATAATCAAATTGACGCTCGTTATTTATTAATAGACCGTATGATACTCGAAAAAATAGTATTTGAAATGTGAAATATTTGCGTTCTAGCTGTTCTTCGAGATAATTTATTGACATTTTGGGACACAATTTGGTCTCGACATGTTTCATCAATTGTCATGCTATACGAATTGACAGAAAATGTAAAGGAAATCAGTTGAGATGAAGATTTGATATGTTGTTTGTTTAGAACCTTTTTGTCCCCTACTGTCCCGATGAAATGAATTCTTCGTTAAATGTAAATGGGGCTTATCGTATTGATTTTGTGGGAAAAATTAATCGTCTAGATTTTGAAACAATCCAATTGAAAATCCACAAGGTTCGACAAGGCATTTCGATAGAATGCGAGTTCCGTTATTCGTTAATTTAGGTCGGCGAAGATGAAACTCGTCTCGTCGAACACTTTCGAGTCAAAGGTTGGACAGAAACCAGCTTCCAAATCGATCCGATTGCCTTACTACGTCTTCAATACACCGTCGGTCAAAAGGATAAAGACGAAGAAGAACGAAATGATACTCGTGGAATCATTGCAATTCATTCCTCGTAAGAATTTGCTTTACTCGTAAAAATACTTCTCACATTTTGTATTTCAGAGGAATCAATACTCGAGCTATCGGTTACATGGCGATCGATATCAATCGACGATTACTCATCTGGTACGGTTTTATTAATATTTTAAATACAATCACCCAATTAAGCGAACAATTACCGATCAGTTTAATGAATGAAGTACGACATGAAAGGAGTTTTCTGATTGAAGAACAGAGTTTGATCGTTTTAGCATATGTTGATCCTTATCTATACAACGATTTTGTATCTTTCAACTTGGACGTATTCATCCGATTTGACATCTCTACAGGCAATTGATCATCAAATCAAAAGTTTCCTTTCCAATCGGTTTCTGAACTTTTATCACAATCCTCTAACAGAGCAATTTCAAGTAAGATTACACTTTGCACAAAAAATCGTTCTGATATGTATTTTCTTCTAGAATTTCATTTGTAATAGCGTGAAAGAACTTGATGCAATTATTCCATCAAGTATGTTTATCGAACAATAATTCAATTCGAGCATCGTTCTGATTTCTTAGAAGATCCTTGTTTACCACTTATCATTGATCATAATCTCGTCTATCTAATCGATGTGAGTAGACACTTAATGTCACAATCAGTTTGTGAAAAGACTTTCTCATAGAGTTACATTCACTCGAATGCGTTCTTTCTGACGACAGCTCGAAATTCTGAGAGTGTATTTCAAATCATGTCGACATACAAGATTCACCATTGTTTTTTCTTTCAACAAAACAGTCATCAAGTAAGTCGCATCGATCTCGATGAAAAACTCATTTTCAAGAGACATTTCTGATTAGAATATCGATTTTATCGATAAATATCAATTGAAATTAGATAGTAATTATCCCGCCAATGACTTCCGACGTTATTATCAAAATGAACTGGCAGTCTATCAACGGAGTAATTCTCTTCGAAACGTTCCGTTGTACAAATTTTCGCGATACCTCGCAAGCTTCGATCAAAATAATTATTTTCCAATTCTAATATGTGTCGAGTACGTAGTTCCAATCGGTTTTTAGTATGATATTCTTTGCGATTTTAGTGATATCCGAGACGGTGCTATTGTTTGTTTAATCGCAAATCTAATGGAACAATTTATGATTGATCATTCAATCGACATCTATCATCAAGCAAGAAAAATCGCTTATCGGTGTCCGGCGTTTCAAACTGAGGTATGACAAAGAATATTCATCGAGATTTCTATGAAGAAAATGATTTAGGATGAATATCGAACGATGTACGAGTGGATTGGACGATGGACATCGAATGATCTTAACAATGATTGATAATTCTTTGTGATAAGTGTTCTATTTTTTGATTATTAAAATGAAGGTTTCCTTTACGAAACTGATGTTGAATTTATTCTTATTCAATCATTCAAAACAATAAGGATTTATCTTCTTTTACTCATTCATCATCTTCCCAATTGAATTCATCAGAATCTAAAAGAAAACACAATTTACAACAAAGTCTTTCTCTATGGTTTATAGTCTAACATAACTATAGAACACATCAGTTTCTTCGAAATAGACTTACCGAGAGTCCCACGAGCTGAATAGCACATTGTCGTGCATGCATTATTGCACAAATCAATCGGAATACCACTTTCACTATCATTAATACAATAGTCCATGCATGTTTGAAGGCATTTTCGATCCGACGGTGCGTGAATCGCGCAAATCACACACGGTGATACTAGTCGAAGGGATCAATGCGGAAATTTTCTTTGTATTCACACAACTTTTACTTACAGCATAGGATTAAAGCAACAAGAAAGAGAATGTATGATTGCAAGTTCATTTTCGTAGGAACACACGAGAAAATGTTTGGGTATATTTGCACTATCTTTGCTTTTCGAAAATACGCCTACTGGACGAAAATAACAGCTGTTTTTTCTACTCATCACTAGCAAACGAGTTGAGTCGCTGTTATCGGAAAGAAAACGTTTGGCTTTTCATTTCAATTAAGAAGATATTCAATCGTTTTATTCGGCTTTTTTCAATAAATCATTACAAAAATGAAAGACAGTGAATCAAAATAGAAATTAAATAAGGCATGGACATTATTGCACATACCAAGCATAGGTAAAGTTATTGTAACTGTTAAAAACGTGTTAATCGGAGTGGAAAGTCTATGAAGGAAACGAGACGACATTTCAATAAATTTTCAAGGAGCTGGTTTCTTACTTTCGGATATCATCCGATCATCGTCGAAGACGAGAACGATGCTGATTTCAAATTCTAGCAGAATAAAACTTCAAAGTGATTTTTTTCAGGTGAGTGGAGAAAAGAATTACCGATTTTGAAGTTGGTTGTTATTAATGTTGGACATGTAAATGTTCGTGGGAAGAGCATTCGAATGGGAATTTCGATTTTACGCGCGACATCGCCATCGCCTATCTGAATATTTTGAATTTCTGTTGCTAAAATCAACAAAAGTGGATTTAACGTTTGATAATCTTCATTTGTGCCTACAGTCTCGTGAAAATCCTTCAGCACATCCACATGTTTCGATTCGCAGGAGCTGTATTTCCAATGATTTAATCGGTAATTCACTTTCTTCGATAATTAACTAAACAAAACTCAAATCGATTAATTGAATTCCAACAAGACTAACAAACTTCGCCGGATAATGGATTGGTTATAGTACAACATAGACTACCAAGATGACCAGAGATCTTGAATTTCGGCACATCGACTTTCTACAAAATAATTTCATATCAATCTTCTATTGTAACTTTACCCGCCATTATCAAACAAACAATTCAACAAAGAAAACACGTAACAAATATGTTTCTCTATAATCTCATCAATCTATATGGTCTGATGACAGTATGCTCATCGAATGTGAATCAGTCAATGTTGACCTTTCTGCGGCAGAAATCCAAGATATGTTGTTTTGATAAGCACTTTCCTAACTACGAGCGATGGATTCATTTAATCAGTGATATTCACAATCAAACTCATGTCTTGTTAAGAAAGAATTCGCAGAATCGAACAGTGAATGATACTTCTACAAATGTTAATCACATACGTATACGACGTTTTTCTCGAAAAAAACCGAAATTTCTCGATGAAAATGAGATGAACGTTTACAGTTACGACGATAATGACAATGACCTTCGAACTCAGAAAAAAACGAAACTGCATGACGAATACTATCCACCTCTCGAGAAGAAATTCAAATTAGGTAAGTAAATATTGTCGAAAGTCAATGACGTATATCTTTCCTCAACAAAGATCTCAATAAATTCTACGAGAACCGAATTTTCAATGACAATGAACGTGATTCGAACAAAAGACTTATGCAGGTGTGTGCATTCTTTGATAGTATGTTAGGGAATTCGAACTATTCCGAAAAGATCCATTTCTACTCTTCATTTCTTGATCGCTTCTCTTTAGAATGACGAAGAGCTCAACGACGACTACAATTTCAATCCAAGCGAGGATTTTCGTCGGCGACCTTTTCGAAAAAACATCGATGATTACAACCCTCTAGTATCGAATTCGCGCAATCGATATGCAAAGAAATATCTGGATAATGAAAATTGATCTAGAATAGTACATACATTTTGAACGGCACGTATGGATTCGGATGTGATTTCGAATGCGGCTGGTTTGGCAACCGCTTTCTCTGCTGCAAGTTCATGTGTAGGACTGTATTCCACATTGAATTCAATTTGTTTAGTCATATCTTTTGAAAGAAATGTTCGTTTCACATCAACACGAAGAAAATACTAAAAGAACACGAAAGAAAAATTGCATTGGAAAGGAAAATTTCTGTCTAACTTGTATATTCACGAAGACACCGTGATACGTTTCATATAAAGGTTTATTTGGTTTGCCTTTTAATTGTATTTGGAAAGGAATTTCTGTTCGAACAGTTGATATTTGACCTGGTTTGGCTAATTCTAACGTTTGATTGATCAATGACACTGGCTAGAAGATAAAAAAATGATTGAAATCTTCATTGTTTCTCCGCCTTACTTTTGTAGAGTTATAGAAAGCTTCAAATACGCCAACACTTTTTCCACTCAAATGCAACTGAACCGATCCATCAACAGTTAACGTAATACCATTATGTTTGAACGAAGTCGGCGCAGATATAATCACTATACCTTGAACGATATCCTAAACGAGAAGGAAATTATCTTGTTTTTCGAATGAATAGATGTATAATTACGTTCTCATTGTAAGTTTTTGTGTGTCGATTAAGACGAATGTCCACCGAGCTAGACATGACTTTCCTTTTCACGAATGAAATGCAGCTGAAAAAGAAAAATTTACAAAGTAAAGAATTCTCTCGGAGTGGATGGCGACAAATCTAATGATGATCAACTACAACGACATCTATTCGATGATCATGTACAAAATGTTTTCATCTAATTTACTTAAAAATCGTTGTATTCCGCAAAATCTTTTCGCATTGAATATCAATTTGTTTCGAGACAAACGAAATCACCGTTTCTTGTTACTTGGTAACGGTAAATGTAAAATTTTGCATAATGGTACACTGATCGATTATAAAACATAAAACGAAAAAAAGTGAAATTTCGAGACATAAAAGGACTCATCTGACTTTTCTTCTCAGCAGGATTATATAATACAGACGTTTCTTTTAGAGTCTGGTAAACAAAAATCATGATCAATGGGAAAGGCGGTTCTCCGCCAGCAGTATCTAGTACTGACAAATCTAATAAAGTTGTTCTACCTCAAATACAACGGCATCCTGCATATTATGAAGATCCATACAAGAATTCCATCTTATTTTCATTTAAACTCAAAGACAAGCAACAGGCGATGTTGGAAGGGATTGTGTACGTACGAAAATGAGAGTAGAATCGTTCATCCGACTTGAGCTTTTAAGTTTGATGAATAATTGATTGGTCACGACAAATTGATTTGTGATTTAGTCGTGAGCAAGCAGCACGAGAAGAACGAGCAGCTCTTGAACCGTTTGGTGGAAGATGTCGACCACGAGAAAAATCTCCCGAGTATCCAACAACCGTATGTGACTTTCTCTGAATATCAACCAAAACAACCGAATCGTTATTTTTCTCATTTTCAGTGTGTCAGCGAAGATCGTGCCCTTCGAGTGAGTCTTAATGAAAACTGGACTTTTACATTGCATTGTTTTTTCGTTGATAAAACAGACAAATTACTTATACATGAAAGACCGAGTTGGACATTTGCCAATCACACCGGCGTCCGATGAGTCGTTTAAACATATCATCGGTCGTTATATCGATAAAAAACTTCAAGATGGTCCTCAAATGAAACGTGTGATCAAAGATATCGTTGCTGAAACAAAAGTTCTTTATGAAGACAGTATGAAAACAAGTCAAGGTGAGCTTCCTCTAGTCATCAAATGATCTTTAATATCTATATCATTCTATAGTACGACAAACACTTGTTGCACCAAACGTTAAAGGCCTTGAAAATGAGATTGCCGGTCCACCTCCACCGGATCCAGTTGGATTTGGTAAGTTGCAAAGCAAGACGAAATCATTGTAAATAAGAAACGTATCTTGACAGATTTCTCAAGTCCTTGGGAAGAAAGTTTTCAATCGAGCCGTGATGCAATCAAAGCTGATTTATACATTATTCATCCAACTCATCGACAAGTTCTGGAATTATGCAATAAAACGCTTTCTCAAAGAATTATGGTGGAATTCAAACGAATCAGGTATGACATAAAGAAGAGTTTCTCTTATGACGAAATAAAACACGAACTTCGCTTTTCATTTGTAGATCAATGGGCGCACTAGATTTTCCACAATTGCGATCATTTGTTCTTCGCGAAATCGAACGTAATGAAGATTATCTGAGTTCCAGCTGGTATCCACTTGTTTGTCAAATATTTCAAAGTGGACAAATTCAAGGCATAAATGGACCGGCAAACAAAATCAATGCATTCTACAATTCAATCAACACACTCGTTTCTAATCAAGTAGGTCTCATTTTGGTGTTCGATTGCTTTTTTAATCGAAGTTTCTCTCAGTTACGGAATTTACTTGAACGAAGTGTTGAAACATGGTGTTCGATATTCGATCCAAAAGATCAGGATTATCTACCGATAATCAAAGTCGATATCGTACTTATTGAGTACGAATCTGCGCCGAGTGAAATCCATTTTCAACCAACCATACCTGAATTTATCAAAGTTTTACAATACGTCGTGGAGAAAATCGCCCATTCAATTAATGGCTCAGGTCGCGTACGTATTGCAACAATGCAATCATTTCTAAGCGTCGATGGCAATGTTCCAGTCAGCACTGGCCTAACTGATACAGTTATCAAACGTGCTAATCAACAACTAGCCGACATAACTGAATATTATTTTCAAGAACCGAAAAAATTGCTGAAGAGTTACGAAGAAAAGTACAATTATCTAATCGATGGAAGAGCACAAGCTGATGTACAAAAATTCATTTCAGAAAATCACTCATTCGATGATTATTCTCGAGTAAAGAGATTTCTTAATCAAATCCTTGCATTTTCTTAGACAAAATTCTTCAGGAATTCAATCGTTTCAATGATATTGTTCGACAAATAATGCTTGAACCATCGAATGTTGAATTTCCATTGATCTATACCAATGGTGAACAAGTCAAACAAGGCCTCGTAGCTGCTGCTCGAAAGCATCGTCACACATTACTCAATAAACTAGTTAGCGACTATCGAACTGAATGCCAACAGTATGTTGAAATGAAAAAATGACTCATGACTTATGAACTTTTGTGTAGTATATGTGGTGATTTCGAAGCAATTAAACAACGTGCTTTGGCTAAACCAGCAACTACTGCTGAACTTAATGAAATTATGAAATATATCGATAATGCGAAAGGAGAAAAGTCAATTCAATTAGGTCGAAGAATAAAAGTTTGTTTTTCTATTTCGTCAAAAAATGAATGTTGTTTTATATTGAAATATAGGAAGTTCAAAGACAGATGGAATATCTCTTAGAAGAATATCTGTTCTCCGATGAAGACATTCGTTTAAATGCTGAGACATTGTTGTGGCCAAGAACAATTGGACCCATCTTTGATACAAATGATGAAGTTCGTTTCAGAGAAAAAGAAAATGAATTGAAATGCGATTTTTGGCTTTTAGATTACTCAACACATTCGAGCGAAAAATGAACAGATTCTTATGGAGCGACGTGAGCGTCTATTAGCTGATTTACAAAAAATGCAACGTCGTGTTGACGAATTTGCTGATAATGGTGAACTGAATATGATGGCCGAATATGCTCAAGATGTGAAACAAACACAAAAGAAGATTGTTGAAGCTGAAAATGAAATTGATTGGATCAATCAAGTAAAACTTCATTCTGGTTCAAATTCATTGCCAATCGGAAGATATGTTCTAGGAGGAGTTTCAATTTCGAATGCAACGAACCGAATACCCACAACTGGAAGCGATCAAAACAGCTGTTGATCCGTACTATCGTCTATTCACAACCGTTCGTAAATGGCAAATATCGGAGAAGAAGTGGATGGATGGATCGTTCCTTGACTTGAATTCGGAGAAAGTCGAAGCTGAAGTCGAAGAATACTCACGTGAAATCTTCAAAATCAAAAAACAATTCACCAATTTAGTGAAAAAGAAAAAACTCGAACTAGCCAATAAAGTGATGGAAAAACGCAAAGCGCGAGGTATGTACAAATAATCGATCAACTAATTCGCTTCCTTTCTGATTAACAAGACAATTTGTAATATAAACTTTATCATTGTCGATATGACATAAAGAAAGTTTTACTCGAACTGAGTTTAGGTAAGAAACGTTTGGAAGAAGAAAGTGCCGCCGCTAGTGGTACGGCTGGCAGCGCACCAGCTGAAGCCGAAGCGGACAAAGATGACGATGAACGTGAATTGGAAAAGCTTGAAAATAACGATCCCGAAATGTTACGTGTTTGCATTGTCATCCTTGAACAACTTGATAATTTTAAGGTTCGACTGTGTGTTGACTTGACTAACTTCGAAGTTGTTAACTCCTTTTTTTTCGGTGTTTCTATTTGCTTTCGATTAACTTTGCACTTGCTTGCTCTAATCGGTTTGTGTGTGTATATCTATTAGGCCCTCAAAAAACTGCTGAACAAGAAGATCTCCAGCAGCAAATGGAAAGCTATGGAGATAATCTTTTCGAACTGTTTGACAAAGTGGAAAACGCAATATATACTTTTAAGGTGTGTGTGCTCATCTTCTTCTCATGCTTGTTTGTCTTGTATGTGAAAATAACGAGGAAAATAAACATGATTCCATTCTTTTACAGGTGCATCTACCTGTTATCAGTATTCTATGTAATCCTGGTATTCGAGATCGTCACTGGGATAAAATGTCAGTAATCTATCAGAAAAATCTTAAACCAGATACAGGTACCACACTGAGGAAAGTTTTGCAACTGGGCTTAGAGCCATATATGGAACAATTCGAACAAGTTAGCGCAGGTGCATCGAAGGTAATGATTGAATGAATCGTTGATGCATGTTTTACTACATAGAGGTACTTTTAGGAATATTCATTAGAAAAAGCTTTACGAAAAATGCAAGAAGATTGGGAACCTGTGATGTTTAATACCAGCAAATATAAAGACACAGGTTTGACAATCCTGTCAGCTGTGGACGATATTCAAACGATTCTTGACGATCATATTGTGAAAACACAAACGATGAAAGGAAGTCCGTTCATTAAACCATTTGAAGACGAAATTAAGGTGAGTTTTTTCAATTTGAATCTTGATCTTAATAAATCGCTTTCTTTTCTAGGCTTGGGAAGCTCGACTTCTGTTAATTCAAGCTATTATCGATGTTTGGCTTAAAGTCCAAGCTAACTGGCTGTGAGTGAAGACTATTTTTCGATCATCTTCTATTAGTTTCTTTTCTCTAGATATTTGGATCCGATTTTCTCATCCGAAGATATCAAGTAATGATCGACATTGACAGCAATTCTCTAATCATAACTCTTCGTTTCTAGTCAACAAATGCCAGAAGAAGGTCGCCTATTTTCCACAGTCGATCGAAACTATAAAGATGTCATGCGTCATCTCGATAAAGACCAACATGTACGTATCAAAACTTAAAAGATCATTTCTATAACAACTCCTTTTTTTCTTAAAGGTAATGGCTGCGACTGGTCTTTCCGGTCTATTAGATAAATTGAATGATAGTCATACATTACTGGAAAAGATCAACAAAGGTTTGAATGCTTATCTCGAAAAGAAACGTTTGTTCTTCCCTCGATTCTTCTTCTTGTCCAATGACGAAATGCTTGAAATTCTTTCTGAAACCAAAGATCCAACACGTGTTCAACCACATTTGAAAAAATTATTCGAAGGCATTGCCAAACTCGATTTCGATGCTAAAGTTGATATACACGGAATGATGTCCAGTGAAGGAGAAAAGATTACATTTACACGATCCATCAGCACATCAGAAACTAAAGGTGCAGTCGAAAAATGGCTCATACAAGTGGAAGATATTATGCTCAAATCCGTTCGAGAAGTTATTGAAAAAGCTTACGTTGCCTATCCGAATGAAGATCGTAGTGTTTGGGTTAAGAACTGGCCTGGCCAAGTTGTTCTTTGTGTTTCACAAATCTATTGGACAAGTGAAGTACAAGAAGCTTTAGCAACTGGTGTCAAAGGACTTACGTATGTTGCGTTCCATGTCAATGAATTCAGCTTTGATTCGTGTTTGCTTTAGGGAATATTTTGCTAAACTTGAAGCACAATTAGGCGATGTTGTTGAACTTGTGCGTGGTAAACTAAGTAAACAAACGCGCATAACACTAGAAGCTCTAGTCGTCATTGATGTCCATGCCAAAGATACAATCAAAGATTTAATAAATAAACAAGTCGAATCAGAGAATGATTTCAACTGGTTAGCACAATTGAGATACTATTGGGAAGATTCACAGTGTCGAGTACGAATAACAAACGCCACAGTCAAATACTGTTATGAATATTTGGGCAATACACCACGGTAGATAATTTCGAGACATGTGATTTAGTTAAAGTTGATATTTTGGTGTGCATTTAGTTTGGTCATTACCCCATTGACCGATCGTTGTTATCGTACATTAGTTGGGGCATTTCATTTGAATTTAAATGGTGCTCCAGAAGGTCCTGCTGGGACAGGAAAAGTAAAGTATGAGACTAGAGAAATAAAACTAATATGAGATTTCTTGTAGACTGAAACTACAAAAGATCTGGCCAAAGCTCTCGCCGTTCAGTGCGTGGTTTTCAACTGTTCAGATACCATGGATTACAAGGGTATGGGCAAATTCTTCAAAGGTTTAGCATCTGCTGGTGCTTGGGCTTGCTTTGATGAGTAAGTTTCTTTGCACTTTCCGTTTAAAAAATCGAAATACTGTTCTTTCTTCACAGATTCAATCGTATTGATCTTGAAGTATTGTCTGTACGTAATTCTAGTCGAATAATTCTTGATTCGAGAGGACATGCCGGTTTTTCCTTAGGTTATTGCTCAACAAATTTTGCAAATTATTCAAGCTGTTCAAGCGAAAGTGGACAAGTTCGAATTCGAAGGAACCGAAATTCGTCTCAATCCAAATTGTTATGTCTGCATTACTATGGTAAATCTTTTATTTTGAAAATTTTTCTGCTAAGAAAATAACACTCGTTTTCTTACTGTTAGAACCCTGGTTATGCTGGTCGATCTGAACTACCTGATAATTTAAAAGTACTCTTTCGTCCTGTCGCTATGATGGTTCCAGATTACGGTCTTATCTCAGAAATATCCTTATATTCCTATGGTTTCATGAGAGCTCGACCTCTATCAGTTAAAATTGTCACTGTATACAAACTGTGTTCAGGTATGGAGAGTAATACAATGGAAATTTAAGATTTATTTGTGTGATTGTAGAACAACTTTCATCTCAGTATCACTACGATTATGGTATGCGTGCTGTCAAGTCAGTTCTATGGGCTGCTGGTGCACTGAAACAAAAATATCCGACCGAAGATGAAGATATTCTCGTACGTCGAAGAATTGTTTTTTCCAAGATTTTTGTTTCTTATTTCTATCACTTAATTTAGATCCTTCGTAGTATTATTGATGTCAACTTACCGAAATTTTTAGCTCATGATATACCATTATTCAATGGTATCATCAGTGATCTATTTCCAGGTATAACTTTACCGAAACCTGATTACGATTTGATTAACGCCAATATGATTGAAATATGTGAACGAAAGAATCTTCAACCGACTGAAGCTTTCATGACAAAAGTCACTCAAACCTATGAAATGATGTTAGTTCGACATGGTTTTATGCTCGTCGGTGAACCATTTGCTGGCAAGAGTATGGTCTTACAAGTCCTCGCCGAAACATTAACATTAATGAATGAAAAAGAACTAGCTGATGAACTTAAAGTTCAGTATAAAGTGATCAATCCCAAAGCTATCACCATCGGACAATTATACGGAAATTTCGGTAAGCATTTGCACACGTAAGATTGAAGAATATCTGGTTTTCTTTGCCTGTAGATTTGGTATCACATGAATGGAATGATGGTGTGTTAGCGAATACGTTTCGTGATTTTGCCATGACGGAAAATCCGGATAGAAAATGGGTTATTTTTGACGGACCTGTCGATGCTGTTTGGATTGAAAATATGAATACAGTCTTGGATGATAATAAAAAATTATGTTTGACTAGTGGGGAAATTATTCAAATGTCAAATGTAATGTCGATGATTTTCGAAGTTATGGATCTATCTCAAGCATCTGTATGTATTTTATTGATGTTTCATCTTTATTCTATGCGAATTTGTTCTTCTAGCCTGCTACGGTTTCACGATGCGGTATGATTTATTTAGAGCCACGTGTACTGGGTTGGCGCCCATTGGTAGAATCGTGGGTGAATGGCGAAATAGCTCAACCTTTGAGAGTATTCAAACACGATATCTTAGCTCTCTTCGATTTTCTAGTGCCACCATGCCTCGGTATGTTAAGGCATCGCTAAAAGGATAATTTTTGAAATTTTGTTTGTCTTAGATCATATTCGACATGTCACCAAAGAGTTGAATCCAACTGGTGATTCGAATTTAGTTCGTAGTATGATGAACTGGGTGGACATGTGTATGAGCGATGCGTTAAAAGACGAACACGAACCAGAAAAGAATAAAAATGTACGTTCGTGGCTAATCTATGTTACTCAATGGGCTTGTATTTGGTCCATCGGTGCGACAGGCGATACGGACAGTCGAGTTAAATTTGATCTATTCCTTCGTGACTTGTTACGTGGAAAAGGAGAACCTATTCCAGATGTCTTTCAAGGCAAATTTGAAATTCAAATCCCTGAAAAAGGTCTTGTACATGATTATTATTTCGGATGTAAAAACCGTGGCGAATGGTTTCCATGGGAAAATTTAATGCGATCATCAGAGGGCGGCACAACAGTATCAATGAAGAACATTCGTCGATATATCGTTCCAACTATTGACACAACTCGAGTGAACTATATGCTTGATCTTATCGTCCCACATAAACGACCGATTCTGTTCGTTGGATCGACGGGAACAGGCAAAAGTGCTTATGTACAAAATTATTTAATGAACAAAATTGACAAAGATCAGTATATGGCATTCTTCATCAATTTCAGTGCGCAAACTTCCAATAATCAAGTTCAAGTAAGTATCGTTTGTATTGTTTTACTTTAAACATGCTCAATACACTGTCTTAGGATATTATTATGTCACGTCTGGATCGTCGTCGTAAAGGTACCGTCGGCCCTCCAATGATGAAAAAAGCAGTCTTCTTCGTTGACGATATGAATATGCCACAAAAAGATAAATATGGCGCCCAAGGTCCCATTGAATTGCTTCGTCAATATATGGATCATGGACATTGGTTCGTACAAATTTTATTCTCCAAATCGAATTCATCATTCTCGTATTTATTTAGGTACGATCGTAAGGATACAACAAAGATAATTCTTGAAGATATTCAGTTTGTTGCTGCTATGGGCCCACCAGGTGGTGGCAGAAATGTTGTTACACCACGATTTATTCGACATTTTATGACAATCGCAATCAATCCATTTACAGATGAAACATTAACAAAAATCTTCTCGACACTTTTCTCGGTTTACATTCGAGTCCGTATTGATACACACTACTCATTCTCATCACAAGAGGCTCTTTTGTTCTGTAGGGCCAAGAATTTACTTCTGACTACCTGACTATTGGAAATCAAATTGTACAATCGACTCTACAAATCTACAATGCTGCAGCAGTTTCACTTCTTCCGACGCCGGCTAAATCACATTGTAAATAATTTTCTACTCCATTGACAATAATCATCTTAAGCATATCTCGTTTAATGTATAGATATTTTCAACTTACGTGACTTTTCCCGTGTCATTGTTGGGTGCTGTTTAATTCGTAAATCTGAAGTTGAGTCCAAACGAACGTTTATTCGGTAAAATAGAACAGTTTTATTGGACCAACCAATCACTCATTCTTATCGATATTTAGATTGTGGGTACATGAAACAATGCGTGTCTTTTACGATCGTCTAATCGATGACAAAGATCGTACATGGCTAGTTGAGTAAGTCATCCTTTCATGTGTTGAGAACAAATCCTCATTCCTCTTTTATGTTTCCAGAGCAATCAAAACATGCATCAAAGATATATTCAAAGAAAGTTTCGATGCTGTATTTGATCATTTGGCTAATGGTGGCAGAGGTAGTGGAAAAGTAACAGAAGAAGATTTACGCAGTTTGCTCTTTGGTGATTTTCTTCGACCTGATCTTGATGTTGATGAACGCTTCTATGAAGAAGTTAAAGTTATCGATACAATGTATTCAATTGTCGAAAAAGCAGTTGACGAATACAACAGTACACATAAAACTAAGATGAATCTCGTTGTTTTCCGTTATGTTTTGGAGCATTTATCTCGTATTTGTCGTATCCTTCGCCTACCGGGTGGTAATGCACTGTTGGTTGGTGTTGGTGGCAGTGGTCGTCAATCGTTGACACGACTTGCAGCCGCTATGGCGAACTATGATGTTCATCAACCTGAAATCACAAAAAATTACGGCGTCGTCGAATTCCGTGAAGATTGTAAACGTGTTATGAAAATGTCGGGTGCACAAAATAAGCCAACCGTGTTTCTTTTGACTGATTCTCAAATAAAAGACGAACGATTCTTAGAAGATATCGATTCGCTGTTGAACACTGGCGAAGTACCGAATTTATTTGCTGCTGATGAACGTGGTGAAATTATGGAAGCTGTCGCTGGACAAGCAGCAGCTGCATTGTCGGATGGAGATAAAAATGCTGAGTTCGGCCCATTGGCTCTATTTCAATTCTTCATCAATCGTGTTCGAGATAATCTTCACATTGTCCTAGCTTTCTCACCAATTGGTGATGCATTTCGATCACGTCTAAGGCAGTTTCCTTCGTTGATCAAGTAAGTCGGACTTGGAATTAACTGAAAACGAGGCACTATTTCATGTTTTTTTTTCTAGTTGTTGTACACTCGACTGGTTTCAAGCATGGCCTGAAGATGCTTTAGAACGTGTTGCAAAAAAATATCTTGAACAGGTCGATATAAAAGACACCGAAAAGGACGCATGCGTTGATATTGTCAAATACTTTCATACGAGTACCCAGAAATTATCCGAAAAATTCTATCAAAAGCTACAACGATACAACTATGTGACACCGACATCGTATTTACAAGCCATATCAGGTTTTAAGATGTTAATTACAAGAAAACAAAATGAAATCATGGGAGCGAAGAAGCGTTATGTCAAAGGTCTTGATCAATTGGCTTTTGCCGAGACACAAGTAAAGTCAATATATCTGATTCCAACGAATTCTATCTTCTATTGTGTAGGTCGGCAAAATGCGTATCGAATTAGAAGCACTGCAGCCACAGTTAAAAGAAAGTGCTAAAGAAACAGCAGCTATGTTGGCTGATATTGAAATTCAATCGAAACAAGCAGGTGAAACACGTGAGATTGTCGTCGCCGAAGAAGCTGTTGTCAATGAGAAAGCAATTGGTGCGAATAAATTAAAAGTAATATATTGATATTTATCTTTTCATCTGTCACTCATAGAAACCTCATTTGATTCTAATAGGAAGAATGTGAACATGATCTCTCGGCTGCTATGCCTGCTCTTGAAGCAGCTATCAACGCCTTGGATACGTTGAAGCCCGCTGATATAACAGAAATTCGTACTATGCAACAGCCACCAAGCACCGTTCGAAAAGTTCTTGCATCCATTTGCGTCTTAACTAATCGTCAACCGGACAGAAAACCAGATCCGAATAATCCCGGAAAGAGAATTATTGATTACTGGGGACCAGCAAAAAAAGCTTTAGCAGAAATGGATTTTATCAATCAATTGAAAACATTCGATAAAGATCACATTGCACCAGAAGTTATGAAAAAATTACGTGATGAATACTTAACAGATGCTGATCTTGAACCAGCTCGTGTCAAACAAGCCTCGGTTGCTGCACACGGTTTGATTCTCTTCGTTCGAGCCATGGATGTCTATGACCGTATTGCTAAAGAAGTCGCACCGAAAAAGGCAAAACTTGAAGAAGTTGATCGCGAAGTACGAGAACTTGAAGCAACATTGGCAGCTAAACGTGCACAGTTAGCACAAGTCGAGTGAGTCGATTGTATTATTTCTATACGAACGAATCGAAACATCTGCTTCTGATCTGTCTTTTAGAAACCGTTTACGTAAACTTCAAGAAGATCTTGATGCAGCACAAAATCGCAAAGCACAATTAGAATACGAAGTCGATCTTTGCGCCAAGAAATTGGTCCGTGCTCAAAAACTAATCGGTGGTCTAGGTGGTGAAAAAACACGTTGGACATTAGCAGCCGAGAATCTTCAGAAGATCTATGATAACCTCCTTGGTGATGTGTTAGTTTCATCAGGTGTTATTGGTTATCTTGGTGCATTTACGAGCGCATTCCGTGATGAAACTACTCAGTAAGTTCACACGACCAAAATCGACTTCTGAATCGTTTCTTTGCTTAGTGCTTGGATTGATTTATGTAAGAAGAAAAATCTTCCATGTTCCGATGCTGATAAATATTCGCTCGCTGCTACACTTGGTGAACCAATCAAGATTCAAGTAAGATGTCATTTAAAAGTTTTGTTCAACTCGTTCGATTTCTCTAGGCGTGGAACATCAATGGTTTACCGAAAGACTCCTTTTCAGTCGACAATGCTGTCACCATTCAAAATTCAAATCGTTGGCCACTAATGATCGATCCGCAAAGTCAAGCGAATCGATGGATTAAGAACACCTATGCATCATTAAATCTCAAAGTTGTCAAATTAACTGATAACGATTTTATGCGTCAGTTGGATAACTGCATTCAATTGGGTTTACCTCTGTTGATCGAAAATGTGGGCGAAGATTTAGATCCATCGTTGGAGCCGATCCTGCTCAAACAAGTATTCAAACAAGGTAAATGATAACGAACGTAGAAATGTTGTATTATTGTTAAAAATTTAGCCGGAGTGGAAATGATTCGTTTGGGTGATAAAATTATCGAATACTCCAATGATTTCAAATTGTTCATCACGACAAAACTACGAAACCCACACTACTTGCCAGGTTTGATCGCGAATAGATCCTCGAAATTCAAGAATAATCATCATTTTCTTCTCTAGAAATTTCAACTAAAGTCAATCTCCTCAATTTTATGATTACATCTGAAGGCCTTCAAGATCAGTTGCTTGGTAAGAAAAATCCATCAAAGATAATGCTTATTTGTATGCGATTTTTTCTACACAGGTATCGTTGTTGCGAAGGAACGACCTGAATTAGAGGAAGAACGTCAAGCATTGATCATCACCCAAGCTGAAAATCAACGTTTATTGAAAGAAGCTGAAGACAAAATCTTATTTACACTCAGTTCATCCGAAGGAAACATCTTAGAAGATGAAGCAGCTATTGAAACGCTGGACTCGTCGAAATTAATCTCAGATGAAATTTCCAAAAAACAAAAAATTGCGGAAGAAACAGCAAAGAAAATCGACGCATCCAGACAGGATTACAAATCCATTGCCGAATATTCGGCTATTCTGTTCTTTTGTCTCAATGATTTACCAAATATTGATCCTAGTACGTCAGATTTTCTCCATTCCATTCATCTAACTGAAATTTCTTTCGATAGTGTACCAATATTCATTACAATGGTTTATTAATCTTTATATCAATTCGATTAATGACAGGTATATAATGATGTTTTTGTTAATGTTGATTACGATTCGAATGATTATAGTTTGAAATCGAAAATACTGGCACGCCGTTTGAAAAACCTTCAAGATCACTTTACTTATAACTTGTACACAAATGTTTGTCGATCGTTGTTCGAAAAAGATAAATTACTCTTCTCCTTCATCCTGTGTACAAGCATCATGCTGTAAGAGAAAACGTTTTCATAGAATTTCTATACAAACAATGTGTTTTTCCAGTGCCCAACATGAAATGGACAAAGCGGAATATCTATTCTTTCTTACCGGTGGTATCGGTCTAGAGAATAAGCACAAAAATCCAGGCCAAGGTTGGCTCTCGGACAAATCTTGGGATGAATTGTGTCGTCTATCTGATTTATCAAAATTTGTTGGACTTCGGTATGAAAAGCTTTTTGACCACTTGGAGAGACCTTTAAACTGGCCGTTGTTTGTGTTTGTAGTGAAAGTTTCGAAGCGAATATCGCGGGCTTTCGAGCTATCTACGATTCGAAAGATCCGATGACAGTTGAATTACCGGCACCATGGAATGAAAAACTGGATCAATTTCAAAAGATGACTGTCGTTCGAGTCATTCGTCCGGATAAGGTCGTTCAGATGGTGATCGAATTTGTGAAAAAAAATCTCGGACAGAAATTCGTCGAACCGCCGCCATTCGATTTAGCGAAAAGTTTCAACGATTCTCATTCATTAGCGCCGATCGTTTTCATTCTCTCCCCGGGTGCTGATCCAATGGCTCAATTGGTTAAAATCGCCAAAGATAAAGGATTTTACGAAAAGAAATTTCATTATATCTCACTCGGTCAAGGACAGGTTAGCAGTTGAACTTGTTTTTACATCATTCTCACGTTTTCTGTTTGTATTCAAGGGACCATTCGCTTCCGCTATGATCCAGCGTGCTCAAGGTGATGGTGGTTGGGTCTGTCTACAAAACTGTCATTTAGCTGTCAGGTAAGAATAGATATTCGTTTGAATACTTAGTTTCATTGATTCTTTAGTTGGATGCAAACATTGGAAAAGATTTGTGAAGACTTTGCGGCTGATAATACACACCCTGAATTTCGACTTTGGTTAACATCATATCCATCTCCTAAAGTACGACTCTCATTTTCTTGAATTATATCTATGCGTTTTCTTCATTTAGTTTCCAGTCACAATTCTACAAAATGGTGTTAGTAAGTATTCGAAGAATTTCGCTAAGGATACGACAAATGTTTGCTGTGATTTAGAATTAACTAATGAACCACCGACGGGTCTTCGAATGAATATGTTGCAATCATACTTGAACGCACCAATTTGTGAACCAACGTTCTTCAATAAAATCGATGAAGGAAAAGAAGCTGTATGGGAACGTTTACTGTTCGGTCTGTGCTTTTTCCATGCACTAGTACAAGAAAGGAGAAAGTTTGGGTATGAAAGATAGTCTATGTAGTTACTCACTGATCCACACAAGAATTGTTTTAGACCACAAGGATTTAACATTCCATATGGTTTCAACGAGTCTGACCTGTTAATTTCTGTTCGACAGCTTCAAGTATGTTTCTTTCTGAATGCTTACTGAAAAAGTTTTGAAACTATTCGTTTGTAGATGTTTATCAATGAATATACTGAAGTTCCATACGTAAGTAGAAAATTCAAGGTTATCAATAAAAATTCTACTTTTAATTTAGGATGCGATCCGTTACATGGCTGGTGAATGTAACTACGGAGGCCGATAAGTTTCATTTTTCCTTTCAAATCTCTTTATCTGCTTTTTATTATTTCTCGTGTTCACAGTTACGGATGATTGGGATCGTCGATGTCTCCGAACTATTCTCGTCGATTTCTACAATCCACAAGTTGCCGAAGAGCTCAAACATAAACTATCTCCAAGTGGCGTTTATTATGTTCCACCCAAAGGCACCTATGATGAATACGTCGAATTTATCAAACAATTGCCATTAATCCAACACCCAGAAGTGTTTGGTATGCATGAAAATGTTGATATATCGAAAGATTTACAAGCCACACGACTTCTATTCGATTCCATTCTTTTAACCATGGGTTCGACATCAGCTGAAGGTGGAGATACTGATAAGAAACTAACTGCAATCGCCAATGATATTCTTTCAAAAGTAAATCGGTTTTCTCATAAGATTTCTCAGTTTGTCTTGCATGTTTGTTTGTTTGATTTAGTTACCAAATAATTTTGATCTCGAACAAGCAATGAAAAAATATCCGACACGATATGAAGAAAGTATGAACACAGTTTTAGTACAAGAGATGGAACGATTCAATAAGTAAGTTGCACATCATGCGTAAAATAGCAGTTCTAAAATTGATGGGATATTCTTTTAGATTAATGTCCGTTATTCGGTCGAGTTTACAAAATGTCATTAAAGCAATCAAAGGTTTAGTTGTCATGAATGCGGAATTAGAATCGTTAGCAAATAGTTTAATGATTGGTAAACAACCTGAAATGTGGATGAAGCAATCTTATCCATCGTTGAAGAGCTTAGGATCTTATTATAATGATTTGTTAGAACGTATCAAATTTCTCACAGTAAATTTCATCACATTTGAATTCCGATCATAGATCAAGGGATCTCCTCTTCATTTAGACATGGTATGAAACAGGAAAACCATCTGTTTATTGGATATCAGGCTTTTATTTCACTCAAGCATTTTTAACTGGTGTCAAACAGAATTATGCAAGAAAATACACCATACCAATCGATCTATTAGCATTCGAATTTCAAGTATTTCGATCTATAAAACATTTCTTTGAAATCTGAAAGTTCTGTTTTAGATTTTGAAAATCACTAAGAGTGATACAGGCCCAACAGATGGTGCATATATATTTGGTCTTTACCTTGATGGTGCACGATGGAATCAGGAAACGTAAATCATTCCTTTCCCTCAATATTCGTTATCATTAAAATTGTCTTGTTTGTTCAGAGGATTACTTGATGAACAATTCACAAAAGTTCTCTACGATGCCGTGCCAATCATCTGGGTAAAACCGGTCAAAACCAACGATTTGAACACCGAAGGAACATACGAATGTCCAGTATATAAAACGAGCGAACGACGTGGTGTACTTTCAACAACCGGTCATTCGACAAATTTTGTTATGGCTGTTTATATGCCAACCAATCAACCGCCGCAACACTGGATAAAACGTGGCGTAGCTTTACTTTGTCAACTTGATGATTAGAGAAAACTGAATAAACTGAAGATAATTTTCTTTTGCTTTGTTTATTCTTATATACATTTATTTTATTTAATTCTCTCTTGGAACACGAAGACTTGATTGTACACTCTTTTTTTCTCTCACTAACTTTCACCGAATGAATCAACACGAGTAAGAAAGAAAGAAAGAAAGACAAGGAAGATTTAATGATGAGTTTGAGTTTGTTTTTTCAGTTTGATCGCGTCTAAAATCGGTTTACGTTTCGACTGAAAACGATTTTGAACTTCGCGCAATTCGACTTCCATAATTTCGTCGAGTAGTGCTAAACGTTGTTCAATTTCTTCCACCGAAAATTCCTCGACGGTCTAAAAGTAAATCAGTGAGATTTTTCCGAAAAACAACCAGTTTTCATACATGTTTAAAATCATCTTCATTCTTATTGTACGCTCGAACTTCTTGTGCAATAATTTTCATGAAATCGTCTTTGGTTTTATCGGTTGCCGTTCGCTTCGACGAATGGTTGACATTGGCGAACGGAGCTTTGTAATTCGTTGATGGTTTATTACTGATCTGAAATACATCGATGATTTCTCATTGATCAATGTGTTGTTGTTTACCTTTAACGTATCTTGTTGACTATCGGCGTCATTTTCTGTTTCCGTTCCATTTTCGTTGATGATCATCGTATCCGATGATTCAGATGATAATTCAATCATCGTATTGCAACTGCTCGATTGAAAAGTATCGTTTTGCGTATCATGTCGAGTAGTATTCATTAATGTTGGCGGTTGATTCTCAGGAAAGATCGAACCACCTTGATTATTGGCATTTGTTAACGTTCCATCACTTCCAAATGGACGTTCGGTTAGAATACCATGTGGGAACATTGTAGAATTGACGGGTAGTGTTGATCGATGACGTTCCTGAATTTCACGAACTTCGTCGATCATATGTCGTAGAATACTTATGTCCTTTGCATTACGAATAAATTCATGCTGGTCAAAGAGAAGGTAGAAAATCGGAGAAGAATCGGAATTTTTGACGAAAACTTACTTTTATCAATTCAGTTGCCGTTGATCGTGCATCAGGATTTTTTACGAGACATTTCGAAACAAAATCATTTAGGGCTGGCGTCCATCGAGACATATCTTTGAATGTTGGAGGTGGTCGTGATGGAATCATAAAAATCGCCTAGAGGAGAACGTTTTCCTTCTGTAAATATCAATAAATGAGTGGCAACATACACGCATCGGATGAATATCGCTGTAGGGAGGCTTTCCTTCTGCTATTTCAATCGTAGTAATACCTAAACTCCAGATATCTGCGAGAACACCATGTCCGATTTCTTGAATTACTTCAGGTGCCATCCTAATTGAGTAATTTTAGATAATCATTTATCTAAACACAGAGTTCTTACCAAAACGGTGTACCTAAAAACATCGATTTGAGGTATGTGAATAAAAAATTGAGAAACTATTTACCAATCATTGTGTTTCGTTTCGCCATCGTATCCTACATTAGAGCAACAGATAAATCAACGTTTAGTCTCTCTTTAGCATTCGTTAAGTTTACTGTTAATTGTCCTGCAACACCGAAATCAGCTAGCTTTGCATTTCCATCGTTAGTCAAGAGAATGTTTCCTGCTTTGATATCTCGATGAATTTTACTGCACATATGTAAATATTCTAATCCTTTGAGTGTATACTTCAAAATCACTGCTATTTCTTGTTCATTCAACTAAAATAGTCAATTAATTCAATCATTTATAGTTTCTTACTGCCAATTACCGTTTTCCCCCGAAGTTTTAATATGTCGGAAACTGAGCCTGCGCCACAGTATTCCATCACTATCTAAAACAGTAAAAATAGGACATACACAACAATGTCCAATGATTTAATGTACCCATAAGTCAGATTCTTTGAAATAACTCCCAAAGTATTTGACGATGTAAGGCGAATCACATTGTTTCATTATAGATATTTCTTTGACAATTTCTTGCAGATCACTTTCTACCGGTACTAAAAAAAGAACGAATAATTCGATAGACCTATCAGAACATTCGATGGTTTTCTACCTTGTTTTATTGCTAACAAATGTCCTGTCTCTCGATGCTTTGCTTTATACACACATCCATAGGACCTATGTAACAAAATTAGAAAAGAATAGATCAATGTTTCGTTTGATTTAGATCGTCGGATACCCTTTGCCAATTTTGCATACAATTTCTAAAACATTTTCCATATTCTGTGCCAACGCTTCTTCTGTCAACCTGTCGAACGTATTCGCCATCTTTATTTATCTACAAAAACCAAACATGCACATACAAAATGATGTTCTAAGCTTTCCGAACCAATCCTCCCGCTTTATTTTTAAAGTCCAAATAGTGTTGATTTACAAATTTCGTATCAACTGTATCACTGTGCATTGGTAGAAAATAGATATAACCATTTTTCAAAAAATTCTCATCCGGTAATTGCTCTAAATGACGAACATTTTTGCGTATGTATGTTACAATATTAGCAAGACGATCCAGCGAAGTCGGTTGCGAAGAACACAGATGTCTCCATACAGCTGCTGCTAGAACAGTATCGTCATCGACCAGACCTTCGTCTAATGCTAACATAAACGCATTCATTTCTGCACGCAATTCATCGAATTGTGAACGACGAACTTTCGCTTGACCGGGAAGAATTTGTTGCGCACGCATATCCAGATCCGTCCACATTGTACGAGCTAAATGCCGACGTAGATAGACACCGGATGGCCCTATGAAAAACAGTACATTATCAAAACTTATCTTAGTTTTATCGACTTTTACCTAGTTGTATATAACGAACCAGTATAAGCCAGATGTGTAGAAAAACAACTCTTCCAAAGGACGCAAAGACATCTGGCATATTAAGTTCACGTTGTATGGCATCGTAATCCACTGATGACGCAATCATGTAATATGAGATCGCCGCTGCTTGGTACAAAACCTTCTGCGGTTCACGAAGATCTCCTTGAAGGCCGAGTTTCATTTTTATGCGTGTCATTAAACTTGGAACATACATTATCGGGAGATTGTTCGGCGACTCAACTGTACTCAAGCCCGTTCCAACAGGTAGAGCAGATATCTGTTTCGCTTTTGTCGATGCTGATGGCGGCGTTGAAAGGCAACGTTGTGCGACCATCAAATAACAACGTTGGTATCTAATTTGATTCGCTAGGATAAACCTCAACATCTAGTAAAAAAGAAATTTTTAATTAGATTAGCTTTCTAATACTGACAAAAAGAGAGAAAAAAAAAAGCGAAAGTGAGTTATTAAATAGAGTAGCTATATACAACTGAATAAAAACATCTTCGAAATGCTAAAATACACGCTGAGAAGAAGAAGAAGTTTTTTTTGCGAAATTAAATGCGAGAGATAGCGAATCGACGAGAAAGACTATCGTTTTAAGTTGTTGCCGTTGTTGTTAACTCCATTTGTTGACGAACTGGACGGATCAGATGGAAGTTGTTTACGTGCAGAAGGAATATTACGTTGTTTGGAGAGAAACGATTGGTTTTCATGAGATTTTAAGCGTTCTTCAAACTCTCGCCGTTGGAAGGTACTACCCTGAAAAAAGAAAAACCATCGATACGAAAGGTCTTAGATAACAATTCACACATACCAATGAATACCATGCACTGATTAGTAGCTTTTCTTGATCTTCTTTAATTGCTTTCATTTTTTCATATTCTTTCTAGAAAATAAAATGAAAGATTGATGCAAACTAAACAGAGAGCAGATGATTGAGATTTACATCAAGTTCTTTCAACCGGCGATCTTTCTCATCAATTTGTTTTCGTAATAATTGCAATTCTTGATTGCCGATGGAGTTGGTATTTCGCGGATCCATTTGACGTAGAATCATTTTCGCTTTTTCCAGATATTGAACATATCGTTCTTCCATAGCGCTGATTTCCGTTGTTTTTGTTGCAATCATTTTCTCCTTTTCGACTAATTGTTTTTCTAAACCACAATTTTCGATTTGACTCCTTCGACATTCAAAACAGTTCATTCTACCTGAAGCATCTAATCGTCTCTGTAAGTCGTCGATTAACATCTTTGATCGACCCGATTCTTCATCGTGACGAGCCATTGCTCGATTAAGTGATTTCTTCAGATCAGTTATTTCACTTGTATTCGCTGCTAAAGATGTTGTATCTTTCAACGTTGCTTCCAACTCAAGTATCTTTTGATTTGCCATCCTGAAAAATCACGAGATGGTCTTTCTAAGCAGAAGAGTTCAATCCGAAATCCTACCAGAGGTCGTTTGTTAATTGATTGTTTTGATCTTTCAAGTGGTCACAATTGGCTTGAATAAGTAGCAGTTGTTCGTTGTTATTCTCTTCCGTTTGACGTAGTTTCAGCATCTTATTCTCATGTTGTAAACGAATGAAACGTTCACTGGAAGGAAATCGGTGTATTTACTGATCATTTAGGGAAAGTGTCCTTACCGAACATCGACGGGTAAATTGAAGAAGTTCAGATCTTCTAATGAGCCAGTTAATTGATCCTTGGAATTGATTCCTTCGGTTACTGAATGCATATCGAAGATGAATATCGTAGATGTGAAATTATCGGTATTTACCTTCGTTCAGGTTCACAGCTTGTAATTGTTCATTGGTTTCTTTCAATAATTCGATTTCATTCATTAAATTCTAAAGAAAACGTTCATAGATTTTGATCGATTGATGAATGGGAATGCTTACGGATTTCTCTGCGGTGATAACATTGAGTTTCTCTTCAGTTCGATTTCTTTCGAATTCAGCTTTATCAGCCAACCGTTGTAATTCGCTGATTTTCTGATACAATTCTTGATTTGTTCGTTTGTGAAATTCCACTTGCGTTTGCAACAATTTCGCTTGTTTGTATTCCTGTTCGATATTGGACTTTTCATCAAATAGGCGTAAGTTCGTTTCTTCTAGATATTTGATTTGTTGACGAAGATCGGCCATTTCTTCTAGTTTGACTTTATACGTATCAATTGTCGCTTCTAACTTTGTCTGAAATCCAAAGAAGCAAAGTGTTCAATTTGCATGCGGAGATTCAACAATCGAACAAACCAGTTTTTCGCATTTATTTCGAAGAATGTCTAATTCATCTTTGAAATTTCGGGCGTCACTCGCGAGAACCATGAGATCATCATTCTGAAAGTAAGTATCTACGTGTTTGTTTAATTTGAGTGAAAGGACACTTTACCCGTTTGAGAAGACTTTCGTTTTCTTCGCGTAAATCATCGAATTTTGCTTTATAATCTTGCACAGCTAGAAAATCAAACGACAATTTATCGAATAGAATAAGTAAAACTTGATAAAACCTGTTTCCAGTTTGAAAATTTCTTCCTGTTGAGATTCGATTCGTTGTTGTAGAGTTTTATAACGAGATTTCGCAACAGAACTAGAAAATTGAATACATACGAACATTCTCATAGTTCATCGAACTTACTCAGAATCATCGGCATTCTCAAATTGTTGTATACGTTCGTGTAATTGCGCTGTTTCTTGTATTAAACCAAGTTTTTCATCTTGAAGTGTAGATATCTGCAACGATGACAAGCAGATAGAACGGTCTGATCTTGAATTAGTAAGTCAGATCAAACCTGTAAGTCCAATTCGCGACAACGATTTTCAATTTCCTCTTTGGCTTCCACAACTCGGTTTAGTTCTTCCAACGCATGTTTCAACTGTAAAGCAGACCTATTGTCTTCTTTTTGACAATAAACCATTCATTTACCTGTTCTCCTAACTCCGAGTATTCTTCATTATTCTTTCGATTCTCTTTGACCATCAACTAAAATGAATGCACCATGCTTTCTCAACTCTCCTTTCTCTTCAATACGTACTTCTTGTATAGCATTCATCAACACATGTTGAACAGATTCTTCCATCGACATAATATGTTCGATGTAGATCTGTTTACGATCACAACTAACCGCACAACCAAGAACAAGTTGAAGTAATCGACTGAGTTCAGTTTCATCAGTGCTTTCAGCTGTGATAAGCAAACAGGTCAATTTTCGAAAACAAAAAACGAGTGTATGTTTACCGATCATGTTCAAATCCGGCATTTGAAAATCAACAAGAGATTGACCAAGTACCTATGCAAAGAAACAAGCTCACGCATTAGTTAATGTTTCCAAAAAGCGTTAACGAAACGAACTTCGGAATAATAATCTGTGATATTCTTCAGAACTTTCTTCAAATTATTTGCCTAAAATAGAATTCAGAAACAAAAGTAGATGAGATTGAAGATGCGTTGCTATTTTACTTTGATTCGATAATTATCTCCAGCATCTATACGAATCTTTTGTAACCAATTCTCGTTGAAATGATTTCCATCACTAAAGACGAAAGTAAAAGAATTTCTTAATGCAATGAAACCATTTATATCTTCACGAACATATTTTTCAAACATAAGCCAATCGAGACTCCATCGCTCAGGTCTACAGCTCCATTGATTGTTCGATTGAGATTCAATGTTTTCATCTGCAAAATCAGATGAAAAATAGTAAGAAATTGAAAAATATCAATTTGATTTCGTGCGTACCCATTTGATTAAACTATCGCATAGAATTCGTCGATCCATGACTTATTTAGATCAATAATCTAGAACAAATCAATTCATGTTTTCACCGTTTTTGTTTCATAAGAAAAGAAATGGAGTTTATAACACAGAAATCGTTTTTTTTTCAATGTAAAAATGATCGTAGTGAATCTTGAGAAGCATCTGACGTAGTCGAATTTGGTAATGTACCCGTTCCAAGAAGTGCTAAAGGCAAGAAAGATTGTTGAAATTTCAAATCTTATTGAAAATAACTTACAAGACTGTGTTGTAGTTGTTCCTTGCGATAAATTGTCATTAAGATCAACATTTCCGAGAATAGATGATGCTGTTGTTGTTCCTCGACTCAATTCATCAAGTAAACCATTGAGACTTTCGGTATTTTCCACACTGAAATCAGCAATTGCGTCATTTAGATATTGATTAAAATCTCGTAGTAATGTATCTTTTCGTTCAATTGCTGTTCGTAAATCGTTGATATTTTCAAGAATTTGTTCTTCCGGTAGCGCTCGATGGACTAATGCTTTCAATTGAAAAAGATTACATTCGATTTCATTAGCAGCTTCATGAATTCGACGCATATGTTGTTCCACCGCAGCAACGTTTTGTTCCGCGGATGAGCCAGATGCCACAGCTGAACTGGAACCGGTACATGGGTCTTGAAGTATAAAGGCCACTAAAGATTTGATTGAATCTTCAAAATTGTTTAATAAGTCATCGGAAAGATTAATCGAAGACATTGCTAATCACCGAAACACTCTTTACTTATTATATAATGATCAAATCAATTGATTCTCTTTACCGAGCAACGAACACAGTACCTGTGTCATTTCTCTTTCGCTGATTGGTCAACATTTTATCAAGTCCAGCAAATAATCTTTTTTCTCTCGACTATATCTGTTCTGTTTGTCGCTAGCTGGTAAAAACTCTCCTTCTATGCAGGAAAATAGAACAAGAGAAGCAAAATGGCGATGTTGTCTTTACTTGTGCTTTCCGGATATTTAATTTGACGTGGTGTTATTTTCTTCTAGATTTATCCATTTTCTTCGAATCAAGAGAATCAAACGATGTTAGTCCTTTCAAAGAAATAATCATCTCTCTTTTACTTATTATTCATCGCCTTTTCATAGGGCCACCTCGTATGAAAATCCACCTCGCGCTACACAGTATCAATCAACAAAACGGTTTGATAATCTTCAAGCCGATGTGAATCAGGTTTGTTTCTGCACGATTGATTAGCTTGTTCGGAACATTCAAAGCCCCGGAAAACGTCTTCCCCACTCGTTTCGATTTGTCCTCGGTTATGTGTAGTTTTTGTTTATGTATGCATGTCGTGTATAGGTCGTTGATGTTATGAAAGATAATCTTGATAAAGTCCTCGAACGTGATGCAAAATTAACCACGCTTGAAAATCGAGCTGGTAAGTTCGAATTCGTTTTGCTTTGTGCTGCTTTGCTGATATGTTGAATTTGATTCTCGCTGAAAAAAAAAATCATCTTTTCAGACGCTTTACAAACTGGTGCATCGCAATTTACAACCAATGCTAGTAAATTAAAGCGTAAATACTGGTGGAAAAATCTCAAAGTAAGTCATGGAATCACATTCTTACCTCAGATTCCTAGCTGAATCTTTTGCCTTTGGCTAAACGAACTCCAGTGTGATACATTGATGCTCAGTAAGATATCTTCTTCCTTATTCAGACGATCTCTTGGATGCCACCGAAGAAATTTTCTATACAGCGAAACGATTGAAAAATAAGCATTTAAAAGAAAATATTAAGGTATTTTTCGTCGATGATCATCGCTCTCTCTCTGCTAGTCCTTCTTTTTTCATATGAAAATGAATATCTATTCAAATAATCTGTTTTCTTCGATTTAGATGTGGATTATTCTGATCATTGTTATTGTAAGTAAAAGATCATCTCGAAAGATAATATCGAAATCGATGTATTCTTGTTTAGATTGTGTTGATCATCGTGATTGTTGGTAAGAAGTTGCATAACATAGTAGAAAAAAATCTAATGATTACGTTTGATTTAGTCGCTATTACACAATCCGTTAAAAGCAACAAAGGTTAACTACGAACAAACTAACTTTATCAGAGCTGGTAAAGTCTGACTGAAAACGTCCTCATTAATGATTGGTTTGCTTTTCTGTTTCTAGGATATTCTCTATCTTCAAAGGACATTATTTTCTATTTATATGTTTCATGTTAAGAATTGATTCTCGTCTGCTAACATTTTTCATTTCGTAAATAACAAAAGATTTATATATATATTCCCTCTTTTCTTAACGTTCGTTTTCTTATTCTCTTCTTTCATTGCTTTAAAAACATTCTCTCACGTTCACATCCATTCAAATTGATCTTCTCATTCCTTCGTGCGCACTTTCATTTATGTTATGAACTCGTTTAATTATACAGAAAAGAAAGATTCGATTTATTTTGCATGTTGGCATCTTCATCTTTTTTATTGATCGTTTCTTTTTTCTAGATTTTTGTTATTTATTAATCGATCAAATTTAATTCTCACCTAACATGTAACTATTCGTTCGGTTGAAGTATTCGAATAATCGAACTTATTTTTCTGTAGGACAACTAATAATCCTGGCGCTCCACCGACAACTGCTGGTGGTGGTGGTGGGTCGAAACGTCTGGCTCAACAACAGGCTCAAGTTGACGAAGTTGTTGATATAATGCGACAAAATGTTGATAAGGTGTTAGAACGTGACAAGAATTTGTCGCTTCTTGATGACCGAGCTGGTAATTGTTTTCTTACGATGTAAAATGTCGAGTTAATATGCGATACGATTGTTTTCGTTTCAAGATAAATTGCAACACAATGCAGCTCAATTCGAACAACATGCTGGTAAATTGAAACGAAAATATTGGTGGAAAAATATGAAGGTAAGAGATGCTCTTTGCCGCTTTGTCATCAACAATAGATACAGAAAAGCTAATTTCGTGTGAGAATTATTAGATGATGATTATTATGGGAGTTGTGGGCATTATTTTTACCATTGTGGTGATAGGTAATGATCTGTTGTAGTTGTCGTGTTTCCTACCAAAAATGTTTCTTGGCATGCTCATTTCTTGCTTTCCTTATTCGTTATCAAATGAATCTTTTCGTCGAAACAGGAAAAAGTACATCTTTGTCTGTTCTTCTTCTAGCGTGGATTGCTTCAAAGGTCAAAGCAGTGACTCCTGATCTTCCATCCGGTGATGTTACAACATCTGCACCGTCGGTGAATGATCTATCAGTGAAAGTGGCCGGTGGTTCAATGGGCATTTCAAGTGGAGATTCAAAAGCACTACCAAATAAACATCGTGGAACGCGAAAAAAAACATCTACAACCGCTGCGACTATCGTTGATGCCTCTGTTGCAACAGCAGCATCGTCAGTCAAAGATGATGATGGTAAATCGAATGCAGATGATGTAACCAAACGAGCTATGAAACGAGTTATTCGTGCAATTCTTAATAGGCAATGATTAAGATAAAGAGCAGAATCATTTGAACTTTTCTGAAAACAAAAAGTTGTTTCTCTTGTTGTCATTCCATCATTATGATTAACCTTTTCTGAAATGATTTGCTTTTATCCCCTTCCCGTTTTTTGCTCTCGATTTTTCCTCTATTCTTTCATGTTGTTTGTTCACTGTTGTCTGTGCAAGGAAATTGATATTAATCTACTTCTACATATTCTATTTTGACTGCATCATCCTTTCAATATTGTATAACTGATTTCTTTCGTGTCTTTTATTCTGAATTATATGTATATGTTTGAGAAAATATCTTCAAAATCAAATAATTGCATTTCACTTCGCCTTTTTGATTGCTAAATCAACAACAATGGGTGGCTGATTTGGCTTATAACGTAAATTGCATGTTGATGCATTGACAAATATGGTTGAACCATGTTCTTCCTGCCCATATGCTTCATGAATATGACCGAAGACATGTAAACGTGGGCGAATTTTTTGCACACGTGCAAGCAGATGAGAACAACCGGCAGATTGACCTGTGTATGTTTTATCGAGAATATTTGCTGGTGGACCATGTGTGATGAGTACATCGACGTCATCGGGTATTTTTGCCCACATTTGTTTGAGTTCCGGACCATTTACAGGTAAATTAAACGCCCAATCACAAAATTCCGGTTGATATGGACTAAAGAAAAAGAAAGCAATTTAAAAAACAGCTTTCGAATTTTGTTTCACCTTCCGTAAAACTTCAATCCAGTTTGTGAATCAACAAATTCTTGATTTTCTAAGTAGATTATACCATAGTTAGTCGCCAATGATGGATCACGAATTAGACGACCGATCAACTCGACGTCTTGTTGTCTACCCGGATGCCACCGATTCCATTTTCGTCGATAAAACTCTGGTTCCAATGTTAAATCATGATTACCCGCAATAATAATTTTTAAACGAAATTTCGTTAGTGATTTTAGATATTCGAGAAAACCTTCGACTTCACTTATATAACCAGTCATGGAGAAATCACCAGCATGAACAAGAATATCTCCGGCTGGAAGGTCAAAGTGATAGCGTGCATGAGTATCACTTATACATACGATACGTGTCGTTGTTTCTGAGTTGCTATTTCCGGCCATAATTTTGATCAAAATGATCGTTGAAAATCTTGCACAATCCATTTCGTCATTTCTGATAAGAAAAATAGCTGTACATTCACATTAATTGTGAATCCCTCTATGAAGATGTCGACACGAGTGCTTGGATAGAGCATGCTCGATGTCTTGTTGTTTTTTGATACAAAAAAAGATGACGTTTTCCTTTTCACTTCATTTCTGTTGTAATGTCAATCAAATCATTTGTCATGATTTCCTGCTGCGAAGGATGAAAGAGTGGAATACTGATGATTTCTTATGTGCTTGTCATTAGTCATGCATTGGGTGGAGACTTCATCTATAATATATGTGTGTTCTTTCTCTACTCTAAAACCTTCATTGTATGGATTACTATCATGAGCAGTTTTCTCATGTATCGATCAACCTTGAAAATCTGGTATGTTGCATATATAAGTTCATCGAACATATCCGGTTTCGCTGATTTTGCTAAAGAAACTTGTCATGTGTATTTACAGGCAGAAATCGAGAGGGCAGAGACGGTTGTCATGGAATTTTTTGAAAGGAATATTTGAAATTTAACTACTCGAAGATGATAAACTACACAACGGTCACGATGTTCATTTCTTGAAAAGAAACTGCGTATATATTCACATCAATTGGTATGTTATGCTCTACATAACGATCGCTCTTGACAAATAGTTCAATTTGAGAATAAAGTTTTTTCAAAAAGTAATCATCATATGTTGACGATCGTTTTTATCATGCGTAAAAGTTGTTCAGTCATGCTAATATCGTCAAAAACATTCGTTTATACATGACTTCTTGCAAATAAACAAACTTGTCGAGTCATTTATATTCTGTCATGTGCTAATAATAAATTCCCCATGCGATCAATATTGATCGAGATACGAATCGAAAGAATAAAATTAACATCTTAATTCATGATGAGGACAATGAGATCTTTGAAATCAGCTGAAAATCATTTGCAAAAAGAGAAAAGTAATTTATCAGTATTCAAATGTCGTTAAATTAACGAAAAAGAAGATCAGCTTGGATTAATCATTAAAATTTTAAAAAAGTACAAACAGAGTCCGATTCGAAAAAAAACAAGCTTCACAAATCTTATCCATAGACAAACCTTTGCCGAAAATAGTATACATGATATAGACAAAAATTTCAATATAGTCACCGTTATCGAAAGCACATCTGTGTATAACGAATGAAGAAAAAAACACAACTGAATAATGAAGGTGACTAGTGGAATGAGGAAACATCGAGAAGACTTCGATCAAGAAGGTTTTGGACATGATTTTTCAGGAACTTCATCGATTGATTCGTCGCGATCGCAAAGTAGTGAGCTTACTTCGGAGATGGTCGCTTCACATGGAAGTTCGTTGGAAACCAAATATTCAAGTTCTCTGAACACTTCCATCGTCGAAAGTTGATTCGCTATTGTCTGCAGTTCGTAGGTATCAACTTCTCGACTGACTGCTGGCTTTTGAACGGTTTTCGGGACGATTTTCGTATCACAAATATGGTTTCCATTTCGTTGTGTATGCGTTAAATATGGTGTCATACTTGCATGTCGTGATTGTGCTTGAGGAGTAAATTTTGTATTCATTGAATGAGTAGATTTACTAATAGATGTACGCATTTTATTCCTGGATGATAGAGTGCAACATTGACAATTGTTGTAATGGAGTATTTCAAAGAAAGCATTTCGAAAGTCTCTAAAGAATTTGACAAAGACTTATGAATATAGGAGAATAATCCTTTGTATAGACTGATTGAATTAGCGAATCGAGACGTGTTTATCTGAATTATCCAGGAAACGAAACGAGAATACTCTCTCTCTCTCTCTCTTTCTCTCTCTCTCGACTACACACATGGAATTGATTTACCAAATAACTTCGCAATATTCTCGTTTAATCTTTCAATTAGAATGGTTTTAATGTTTATAGTTCGATAACCTACGAATGATATCATTGGATGATGAAATTGAATTTTCTTTCTTCTTTCATGTGTCTCGTACTGTTTGCATAGCACCGGAAAAGTAAATGTCAATAATTTTCTAGAATGACTGTCATTCCATTCTCACTATGATAGACGGAGCTTCTCTCCGAGTTTATTGGAAGAACTTACTTATTTGAAAATGCATAAATCATCGGATTACAAAATGAGTTCGCGTAACCTGAAAAGAGTTCTCAATAATTAATCGAAATACAAGTCAAATCTCGACCTACCGATCCATGTTATGTAACGTTCGAGAGAATCATTGAGGCAAGTATAATCACAATAAGCTAATCTGAGATACATGATGAAAAATGGTAACCAACAGAGTACGAATACACCGACAACAATACCTTTGGAAAACAAACAAGTCGAAACTATGCAATTTACATGAAAGTTGATACCTAATGTTCGTATAGCTTTAAGATTTCGATTCCATTTTGCACTTTCAAGAACGAATTTTTCATCGCTGTGTAAGCGTTTGATGATACTTTCGAGTTTTTGTAGTTCATGTGAATGTTTTCGGGCCGTGATGAAGATTCGTCCGTAGAGAAAGAGAATAATTATAAGTGGAATATAAAATGACGTGAACGACGATATAATCGAATAGATTCGATTTGGTCGCATCCGACATTCGCTCGAGTCGGAAGGGTGACCATCAGTTTTTTCACTATATAAACCTAGTAGAACTGGTCCGTAGGAAAGAAGAACGCTAATTAACCAAATACAACCGATAATAATAAAAATTGTTCGTTTGGTCATTTTCTGTTTGTATTTCAATGGATTTTCTATCGCTACATATCGATCGAAGCTGACAGCAACTGAAATCAAAGATCATGTAATGAAATTTGTCAGACAAAGTAAATTCAACTAGGAATTGTGCGCATCATTTACCGAGATGTAGTATAGATGCTGTACAAAATGTTATATCATTCGCTACCCAGACGTTACAAAAGACTTGTCCAAAAATCCATCGTTGTTTGATTTCATAGATAAAGCCGGGAATCATGACTGTTGTTGTGACAAGTAAATCAGCCATTGCAAGTGACATGAGAACGAAGTTTGTCGGGTGACGCAGTCGTTGGACACGACTTATAGCGGCAACAACGATGACATTTCCAATTATACTTAATAAGATAATGATTGAATAGAACTACATTTTAAAAAAGGTCGAAAGAACATTTGGAGGCCAATTGTACGCCTATATTTACTCACAATGATTCCAACAACTAATTCTCTTGGCGTTTGTGTCGGAATTTGAGTCTGCTCAACTGTGGTATAATTAATATGGTAGTCATTCATAATGAATGATCGACGAGTGTATTTTACTAAAAGAAACAGAAAAACAGAAAGTGTTGGTTGCTCTAACCGGAAGCGTGGGATGTCAAGTGGAGATATCTGATAGAGACTTGAAAGATATATTTCATGCAAATGTCAAAAACTACACGAGTAATCAAGCAGAACAAATGCACTTCGTTCCGCATCAGATCAAACACCCTCATCCTCGATCGAACTGGAAGGCAAGGCATGACGAAGGCAGTAGGTCACTGAACTGTTTTCGTAGAGATTCTTGTTCGAGTCTGTACTTATACATCAATAATGAATAAAAGAAAACGAAGAAATCTAACACGGTCTGTTCTTTCAATGAAGAGAATGAATATTATATTTATTCTCTTATCGTTATACGATACTTAAATGTGTTGGACTCGAAAGAAATATGATAGGAATTTCTTTGACTTGAAGGGAGAGAAAAAAGGGAAATTTGGTGTTTTTTCTTCTGGAATTAATTCAAGCATCAAACATGTCTATTGACATGATTGATCGATCGTTGCCAGCTAAATGTCGAGTATGTTCAAAAAAAGACTTCTAATAGGAATTATTTTCGGAAGAAGCGGAGTACAAGAAAATTATTTGTCCTCCTTTTGCTCTGTTCTCCCTATTATTTCTGTCGTGCTTACGTTTCGGCGGTTTCTTGATAGGATTATCATAAAACAACGTAAACAGAAAGGAACATAACGTAAGTCTCATTACTATTGAGAAACTTTCATTCTAATATAACTGATTTTGTTATTGACTGACAACATCAGTGTGGTGCCGAGACTTCATTTCGGTCGGAATAATAAACAAAATCAATATTATGCACGTATTCATACAAATACACGAAAGTATGCTCATATCCAGAAACATTGTCAGGAAGACAAATCACGCTGGTAGAAGTTAGTTGGTCGTATAAGTACTAATCAATTTTTTTTCAAAAGGAATTTATGAAATTGTCAGCTGATGACAAGCATTTACTTCTAGTGTACTTCGGAGTAAAATGATCTAATTTATTAAAGAGAACTCTTATCATATAATGTGTATTTAAGTCTGACAGTGACAGATTTGCTTTACAATAGGTTAGATATGACTGGAAAAGAGAAGAAAGCGGAAATCTTTGATGAGTACTCCAGTCAATAAAAGGAATTGTTTTCGATTGCTATTGTCCATTAGTTTACTATAAATACTGTCGTTTTCTATATCCTCACGGTTCATCTGGCAGAGAAGGAAAGAACGTTGTAAGTGAAGTAACAAATCAATCTAGGAGATCACCTTACTTGTCTAAAAAACGAACTATTACTAGCAAAAAACAAGTGACGATATGCGAAGAAAAACGAGCTGTGAGGTAAAATAAGACGAGAGAAAGAAGTCAACAAAAGCATATAATTTATAATGAGAATATTCTTTACATAGATTGAATTTCGTATGTGAAACCTTGTCTTTACATGTATAACATTAACAATTGTTTTGCTACTATTCTATCGATGTTTTTTCTTGTGTGTTCACATGATTGATAATGAAATCAGCAGATGCGAAGCAGAATGTGATCGATTACGAGAACGAACTATTAGGAAATGACGATTGGTTCGAGAAAGTTCATACGAGTATTTGCTAGATCAGAATCGAGCTAGTTTACTTTCGATAAGTGTTATAGTAAGTTGTACTTACCTCGCTTCCTTACTTGAATTGTATGATGTCTACTTCGACATGCGCTCTCGCTTTGTCTTTCTAACAGTTCTTCTTCTTCTTCTTCTTCTTCTTCTTTTCTGCTTTTCTACTACTTGTTTACATCAATTTATGAGCAACGGAAGTGAATAAGGATTTTTCTCTCTTCTTTGTTATAGTTTACTTAACATTTCAGCGTTTTCTTCTGCTTTTCCAAAAAGAAAACCAACCCTATGGACGATAAAAGTCTTAATTGACGACAATGAAACTTCAGTCCTCAACATCATATTCATCAATGTCGAAGTAATAAAAGAGGGAAGATTTCTCTACCTAGTTGTTCCATTGCCTTGATTTTTATGTGTACATCCAGAGAAGAAGCGAACACAAAAGAAATTCTATTGAACTAGAAAAACAGAATCTTACAGTAATCAAAAAAGCTTTTCTCTCTAATGAAATAGATGTGTACACAACTATTTTTATCGAATCTTGATATGTACTCAGACGGTTCTTATCGCACACAGAATATAAATACATAGTCTTTCTCATTGACTCGTTGGGATATTGTCATCGTTAGCCTACGCAGCAGCATAACTATCGCCGAATTCCGACTGTGATCATTTTCCTTACAATTGTTTACATTGTCCTTATCGTCAACTAAGCACGCCGAAGACTGATTCTAACTTGCACTTGCCAAACCATACGGCACCTGTACAAATATCAGCACCCTCAGGCAGATGAGGACAGAACGCTAGAGAGTGAAGAAGAAAAAGAAGGAAGTGAAAGATATGGATAGTTATGCCCAATGAAGAACATCATATACATGGATATATATTGACACATCAACAACGACAATAACAATAACAACAGTCATTTGAAGCTTGGTCGGTTGTCTGTCTTTCTTTCTTTTCGATCGAGAAAACCAATCAATCAGTCAACCAGATATTATCTGCAGGGGTTGATCAAATCACAGGCGATAATACTCTTGTGATTGTCAATGACATACAAATATAGATATACAAGAAAAGCAAATCATACTCGTTTGGATGTCTTCGTATTAATTAGCAAATATTTGTGCAAAAAACAATAGTCATCTAATGAAAACAATTGCCCGATGATATCATTTCAAAGAATACTACTATTTTCTCTCTTCAAATGAGTGACTCTTCATCACAATTATTCTATTTATCACACACGCATGATTTCTGTCGAGAAACAGTAAGGGAGAAATTAGAAATACTGGGCGTATTAGATTCTACCTGATTGTTTAAAAAAGCAACCTAGTTGAAAAAGTAGGATAAGAACACAAAAAAACAGGACTTTACTTCATTTGCACACAGAATAATTACCTAGCAGGACGGATTTGTTTAGACTTGAGTAAGACTAGTAGACTACTAGTGCAGATAGTCAAAGTTCATGTACGTGATGTCATCTTCTCTTTCTTCATTGTTGATCATTATTGAATATTTACGATCTTAATCAATAACAAACATTTAACATCATGATTTCGATCATCACAACATCGACGGTCGATCGTTTACTGCAAAATCCTATGGAAATACTTAACGCATGAACAAGACTTGTCATTCGATATCTATTGACTTTGAATTACTACTAGACGTCGACGAGAAATACTATTGCTCGTAGCTTTTCTATTTAAATGTATAATAAAGGCATTTCTGTGTAACATAAGATCCACTATATTATCTGATTATAAATAGAACTGGAAGTGAAGACGTCAAAGTACCATATAGGACATTTCTGTAGTAGAACTGACGGGAAAAGCAAGATTTACTCAGTTTATCTATCAGAATATCTCTTAATGGAATGAAAGAAATGAAATTAAGAGACCTGGGAGGCTTATTAAAAAATAGTATGGCAGATCTTTTGTGCATTTTTCAAGTGACAGACGGCAGACAACAATAAGTTTCAGCTGACGTTGTTCTGTTACACGGTATAGTTCTTAGAAAGGTGTTTCTAATGGTAGAAGAAATGTTACTTTGACAAATTGTGGTGACAGTAGCACCTCATAACCTTATTTATATATTTTACATCGTCATTGTCATGAAATAAGATGAGTTCAGGGTGAGTACTCCTCATCAGAGTACAGTTCGACAATACTCCCGAACAACAAAAGCAACGGTTTTCGCATGTTTTAAGAGTGTGAATAGAATTTCAGTACTAGTGTCATTCAGATCTGCAAAAATGTAAATAATGATGTAATCACAAGCGAAGTTCTCATCCATGAATCTAACAACTAGAAGTCCCTTATTTTTACTTATTCATCTATAGCTTCAAGTTGACTTTAGCAAGTATCGCTGTGACTACATAAAAAGTTCTGATTAATTCCTATTCTTAGCGCTTCTCTCTTTATTTAAATAATAGAATTTTAATGAGGACTGAATATTGTGCTACTACCATTACTAACTCTTTTCACATGATTCTATACTGATTAAATTTTCAAACGTCACAGTAAACATACTCGTCGTAGGTGAAACGTCGAAAACTTTTCGTATGATTGGATGTTTCTTATGCAAAAAAGTTCGACGTTATGCATATCAACTTTTGTAGGCTGTACAGTCACGCTTTGCAAAAATATCGACTAATGCAAGTATACTATTTGCTGTGACTAGATTTTCTATCTCTCTCTTAAAATAAAGAGTAATCTTAAGCAAAACTTGATGAATTTTATTTCTAATACTTCTTAGCGCATGACTGCAGAGTGACTAGTCTCTTCGATGCTTTTATACTGCGAGAACTTGATCCAGAACTACAATGGTATTGATCACTTCTTCTCACTTTTTTTAAAATGAGCATTAACTCCCTGACGTGAACACTTCAGTATTGTTCTCCAAATGTTCGTGATAAAACCGTTCATCTTCAACACTTCCGGTTTTTGCTCGACAATAGAACATATATCCACGCGCAGGCAATAGAACAGTTAATGAACTATTTCACAGCTATCCTTCTACAGTCAGGCGATTGGAGAAAGCATCGTGTTTCATCTTGTATCTTTTCAATTGAAAAAAGAAAGAAGAAAACGAAAAGAAAATCACATTAGTATAAGAAAGAACAGAAAACAGACATGGTCGATCATCGAACAGAAAAGGAAAACGACACATACAAGTAATTACATAGTTATGCAGCGTAAATACACAAGAGCACGAACAAAAAACAAACGAAGGGGAGAAGCCAAGCACATTGGATCTGGTGTGCGTTCTTTTTTTTTCTTGTCTCCAATTGAACATTGACATAACTGTTCGAATTTGTGAATTGCTCAAATTCATAGAATAATCTCTCGTCTATCTCTTAATATTCAATTGTGGACGAGTAAACAAATAATCTAGTTGTATTTTGAGCATATCGACAAACACATATAGTATATATGAAAAAGAAATATCTGACACAAAATAAAGATCTAAGATTGATTATGATTTAATTGCCGCTTATTTGTACTAAGCCTTGATCATAAGCATAAAGTACAGCTCCGCATGCAAATTGATATTGACTCTAGATGAGAAGGGAAGAATGAGAAATGATATGTAAATGAAACGGAATATTCATACAGCGGTTTGAATCATTCCTAAGCGTTGTTCACGCATCTGTCGAACAATATCAGGTGGAAAAACAGGTTGATTTGTTTCAATTAAACACAGAGCTGTTTCCATCAAGATTAAAACACCTGTTCGACCAATCCCAGCACTAAAATCAAACAACTTTACCTATCGTTCGTTGCTTTTCGTTTGTTTTACATTACCTGCAATGAACAAGAATAGGCAAATGATGATTTGATTTTCTTAATTCTCGTATTTCCAAAACAAATTCGACGAATGATGTATAGTCATTGGGTACACCATGATCCGGCCATGTTTCAGTTTGAATTTGGTAAATAGTACGCTCTTCATTGGTTTCCTTGTGTGTGAATACAAATTCTCGATAAACAAGTTGATTTTCTTTTCGTTCACGGCGACATCGTACACTAAGCAATCCATAGTCATTAGTTTCCAAGACATTCGGCCAATACTGATGGCATTTCGTTCGCCCACTAAACAAATCGTCGTGTGAAACATTGCACGAAAAGCTAAACATTCTTTCCCCTACTTTTCAAACAAGGTTGTTAACATAATTAACAATGTGCATTGCTGTTCCCAAATCATTGTCCAAAACGCTTCACATGTCGTTGGTAATGGTCCCTGTGTTGCAATGTAGCGATTGACAGTATCCGTGGACGTGATAGGCATCTAGAAAGAACAATGGGATGGAATAGTTTCACTTGTTAAGAACAATTGTCTTAGTTACATTGATGAAATTTGCATTGATATAATCACTATCGAAGCCAGATTTGAGAATAACACGCGTTTGATCGTAAGGTAGAACGTCTTTATAACGATTTCGATAATAATTGTTTTGACTAGTACCAATTTCAAATGTGAAACCTTCTTTCCGTCGTTGAAGCATCTGGAAAACGAACCGCGTTCTTAGCCACTGGCGTTTTCTAAAAAAATTTAACTTACTTCATACTGTTCGATAAGTTGACCCGTGGCAAGATCATCGCGCAAGGCTTCCAGCGATTGCTCTAGAGGATTTTTCACATTTAAATTCAACAGCCCATTATCGTATGCATCCTCTGAATCAGTATCGTTATTAACTGATGAATGCCGTTGCTGGACAGGTCGAACAAGAAGTTCTAATTCTCCAAACGGTCGTTCACGTGATTGCCGAATCATATTAACAACCTAAATATTGAATTTATTCGTAGAAAATGGCTTCGAACAGAATTTGCTATGTTAATTTACGTCTTCATGCGAATGATTTTGAATATCGATATTATTAATCGATAGAATTTCGTCTCCTTCGTGAAGTAATGCTCGATGAGCTGGCGTATCCACAGCTACTCGTGAGACAACGATTGGCACTTGTTCATCCCCACCGCCCTACATACGAAACAAAACGTCGTTTTGCAAACAAATTTTATTAATTACTTTAACATTGAATCCATATCGGCCATCACCATCTGATTGTAATTTGATTCGGATTGTATCCAAAACTGTTGGAATAATTGACGAATCGATGTAATTGATCCCGTTAGACATTTCAGAGCTAAGCGACATAAGTGTTTTTTATAGACTTTTTAAATTGCGATGAGTATAAACGATTACATGTGCTTTATACTCAGTGAAGAAAGAGAACGAAAGAAGAAAAGAAACTTGTTCTGTTTTTAATGACTCAAAAACAACCAAATAAAAGTAGCCCCGTCTGAAGATTTGTCGTTACCTATTTTGATACTCCGAGTTTCTCGGTAATGTTGCATTCTTTGGTTTATATTCATTAGCTTCCATCAGTGCATGGTTATTACTAGTATTATTTGAAGGCGAATGATTTGTTTGAGGAATTTTTGTACAATTAAACGGTAATCGAGGAGGTTTTGGAGGTGGAGGTGAACGGTTGTTAGCAAGTTTATCAGATTTGGCAATTGAAACTGAAGATGAAGAGAGAAAAAGGACAGTTTTCAGGTTTGAATTTCGTTTCAATGAAAGAGTCGTATTTGCTGTTGAAATTGGTAATGTTGACGAGCCATTCGTTGTGCGACTATTTCTTCGACTTGAAACCCTGAAAATTCCAAGAAAAAAGTAGATTTAATTATTCGCGGAAAGAACAAGTAGCTCGTACCTTTCGAATGTCTTTGGCTTTTTTCCATTTGCTTCTATCAATAGTCCATTTGGTACTACATCACTACTAGAAGCAATAAAAGGCATGAAAGCTACTGTTTTCGTCGATGACTCATTTACCTTTGTCGAAATTTATTAGTAAATTGAAAGAATTTCTTTGGCGAGGGTGAGATTGTTGTCAGACGGAAAAATGTATGATGATCGACACATGATTTCCATAAATATTTACAACAACGATAGCTACGTAATGTAAATACAATTGAATTATCGTCCGACGAATTCTAAATTAAATCAAATGATATCATTTGGATTCTTTCTCGACACAAATCAATCGAATCTTTCAGAACAACAGAACACACATGCGATAGACGTGCTGAGGAATAAAGTTTACCAGTACATATAAAGGTGGTGGAATATCATCTTCAGTCTGCAATTGATGAGCTCTGACGTATGGAATAGATGAAGATGAAATGACGATACTTACGAGATTCTTAACAAGTTGAACGTAGAATGTTCGACGCTTGAAAGAGATTTTGGTTATACGATCCCTAATTGGTTGAAAATAAAGAAGAGTTTGATTCAAGAATTCCACTTCATCTCCATTTTCTTACCAAGGAAACGTGTTCAATTTCGTTGAATTTTGAAATACAGATATTCCAATTGCGCAAACGCCAACATATAATTCGACAATCGAATTATTAACATTATCATTTGTATTACATACCTAATCAAAGCGATCAGATCAATGTTTTCTCATCAAATAGACACGTACTTTAACCGAAGCTTTGTGTAGTTCAACACCATACATATCTAATGAACTGACAACATGGAGATAATTGACTTCAGCTTCAGCTGGAGATTGACCCCTATACAATGAAACAGAAACAACAAAGTTTGACTTGTTTGATCAGATTACAACGATGGCATTCTCTTAAAACTCGAGTTCAATTTTTTCACAAAAAAGATTATCAAGAGAAAGCGTAAAACATTATTCATATTTAGCAGAACTATTTAATCCATCTTCGTATTTTCCTATTAACCATCTCTTATTCGATCGATAGACGACATGGTCTCTGCTTGATTAAGACGTTTATGAGATTCTCCTGCAGCCTGTGTTATATCACTTGATTGATGTTAGTAGAGAGAAGAACAACGTTTCTTTGCCGCGGTTAACCCTCATCGTTCATAAATATTAATCGATAACCATCACAGGAGAATGAAGATGTTCTATGAATGTTTAATCCTATTCTCATTCGTACTTGTGTTGTTTATGATATTGTTCAACTTCATTTTCGAATTCCATGTTTTGAAATGGAACGAAACGAAAGTCTTCCAAATAGCCTTGTTGATGTTCATCTGGATCATAATCACCAAGTTCACCTAGATAAATAAAAAAGACATTCTCTCTCTTCTAATCCATTTTCTGCTTCATTTACTTTGCACAAGGTAACTTGCTAAGACTGCAGCTGTTGATCTTGGACACCACATTTTTCCACTGAGTAATTCTTTCTTGATTTGTAAAACATATAAGTATTTTGTGAATTCATCATCGATTTGTGTCGATGGATCCGTTAGGAAAAAGCGAACTTTGAAATATAGATGATAAGGCGCCATTGTTGTCAGTTGTTTCTTCAGAACTTTTGTTGAATCTAACCATCGATAGGCGAAATCTTGTGTTAAATCTTCGATTAATAAGCCGAAATATTTCCTTTCGATTGATAAATCCAAATAATCGAAGACTTCGTTGAGCAAATCGATTCCTTTGCAACGACGCTATTGTATACAAAGAGAGTTCCAATGAAAGGAAAACAAACGCTCGATGTGCTAACTTACATCAATATGAAATATTCGTTCAGTCTCATCGAGAAAATGAACAATACAAGGATAATGACGAAGATTGCGATCTCGTGCGATTTCAAAAGCACGTACGTTGTACGATCGGCATGATGATGTCGATGAAACGTGAGATGATAGGATTGGTGTTGATGGTTTACTACTTGATGAACGTCTTAATGAAATCATCCGCTGAAGTAAACGTGTTTTGCCCGATGATGATGATGCATCATCTTGTAATTGCACCGATGAGCAATGATTTGTTGGCATTGTCGTCGATTTCTGTCGGACAATGTCAGAAAGCTGTGCTGCTGATGATGGTTGTGTCATAACGACTGCGGCAGTCGAAGACTCGTCTGTCGATTGTGAAAGAGATTGAGATGATGATAGAGATGCAGTTGTTATTGCGATTGCTCCTGCTGTTGCCGTTGCTGCTGACGAGAGAACAAATTTCTTAGTGTTCGATCTCGTTGCATTTTGTTGTTGAACAAATGGAGCCGCCAGTTTGTTTATCGTCAATGGTAAATATTGTGTTTTTGTTCACAAGAAATTCAGTGCATTTTCTCTTCTACGTCTTTTAATAACAAATCTTCAAGAGAAGAAAAAAATTGCAAGATAAAAGATCGGATAGAATTAATTGAATTACTAGACCCATATGCAATTCAATCGATGATCAATACGATTAAGAGAAGAGAGGGGGAAAAGGAACACAATGAACGATTCGGTCAATGCGACTGTCTTCTTTACTCAACACAAGTCAATATTTGAGATGGTCGAGAAAAGACAGATTCAAAGCTCATCGACCTTTTCCTATGTTCTGATTACAGACATGATGAAAAAAAGGAGAACTAAGCAAGAAGAATGGACATGCGATAAGTAACAGGAAACTCGACATACTGCCAGCTCATTAACCGGCTACGAACAGATCGCTTTTGTTATAACTATTTAAGACAACTAATCATTTGACAGGAAAAAGTAACTGACCACATTTATAATTTCCCATTGCCTGAAACTGCTCATTAAATACCGGCACTGATGTCGGGAGAACGAAGAAAAATCAATAAATTCATGTATTTCCTGCGAGAATAAATAATTCAATAGGACAAGTACAACTTACAATAGAAATGAAATATGACTAAACATTATTTTATCTAATATCTCAACGCATACATATGAATTGATATGCACGCATGTAATCGACGATTGACATCATTCTACGGGAGTTATAAAACTTGCATAATTGTTAGTACAGAGGAACAAAACGAAGAATAAAGGGAAAGAAGAATAGAACTGCCATTAACAAGCAACAACGATCATATCGGCATCTCTTCTCTCCTACTCTCTTTCTTTCTTTCTCTCTCTCTCTCCCTTTTTCTTCTCTCACTCGTTCTTCCATGTTCGTGCGAGCGTGTATATGTGCGTGTGTGTGGAACAAAACAATATATATGAATAGAGCCTATGCTCCTTCACTCGCTCGTTTGTTCGCTCTCTTTCTCGCCCTCTTCTCCCCCTCTTTCTTCAATGTCATTGCTCACCAACTGTACATACCCTATTTCGCCTTGGTGCGAGGGTCATAGAACACGCATTCATTCATTCATACAGCAATGACGGTCATCACTCTTCAGTCATCATGTTTTTTTTTCTTCTTTCTCTCAAACGTTTTTTTTTGTATGTCGAATCTCATCAAGCAATCTGACCGGCATATACATATGAAAAAAAGCAATATAGAAAGAATTTTATCACAAAGATATGTCGATACCAACAAAAAAAATCACATACACAAAATGAGCGAAATATGTCAAGTTAGAATAGCATTGTGATATGTACACGTATGTACATTTGACTTGAGTAAAGAGTCTAAGTTAAAAAAGTCTTCCTCGGCAATTTTTCGAGCCACAAAAACACTTTACTGCACGATCGGGTAATAATTCGCAGTTATAATGCCAAGTGAGTTCTACAATGGAACAAGAGAATGAGTAGAATTCTTCGTCGAAAGAGTTGACATACCTTCGCCAGCTTTCACGCGAGTACGAGTAAATAACGCTAAATTCGGAAAATGTAAATCATGCGATTCAATAAACACATTTTGAATGTACATATTTGGATCACATGAATGATTAAAATACTTTCCTAAATTACTGTATAAGCTTCCATCGATCACATACGGATCTTCTTCTTCTTCATCATTATTTTGGCGATGTGTATTGTTATCCTCATAATGAATTTGTTTAACTAAATCGAGACTTGTCTGATAGCGATCATCCATTGTTTGAGCACGTTCATGTCCTTGATCTGACGTTATTAATTCTCCAATATATTGGCATATGTATGTTCCACGTGGTAGATCATGTAATGTTCGTAAGCCCCAACCTTTATGTTTGTCTTGAAATAATTGTAATTGAACGAATAGACCTTTTTGAACAAGTCGATTTGAACAATGTTCTCGATGACATGAACATTTCGAATTACATTCATAGATTCCACTTGAAACTGGATTAAGTAATCGTTTCTTTTGATAGCCTATACTCTTGATAATACCGGAAAGCGAATGTCTATTTCGTTGTTTGTCCATAACGTGTGGATCGTGGTTCAGTACGGCTTGACTTAATGTTTTACGAAAACAAGCACATTTCATTCGATCACTACAACTAGAATCGATGAAAGTAATTTATTGTCGTCTTCTTTTCTGCCAAAGAAGGATTAATGTAACTTACTTATCAGTACAATTGCAACACGACATCATACTTGTGTCATTGAAAGCCGTATAAATTTGATTGTCAAATGGACGGATTTGTGTTACATAAGTAAAATTATTTGGTTTATCATCATTTAAATCATTATAGACTGATATAGGAATATTCTCTTGTCCGTTTGACAGATCTTCGTTGATAATGAATTTTCTATCAAATTTATCCAATGCTGGTGCAAATCGTGTAACGAGATCTTCGACAAAGAACTTGATGGATAGTTTCGAATTCGTTCGAAAGAGATATTTTTCGATATCATCGAGTGAGTAGAATGTTCGTTGACAAGGTGTACGATATCCACGTGGTTTACCATCCAGAATAGACCATTGACATTCAAACGGTAGTAAAAATGGATTCGTATGTAATCGAGTCGGATGAAACCTTTCTTCAGCTAATAAAACACACCGTGAATCACATTTATGCTGAACATATGAGATGTTGTTTAATAGACGAAATTTCGGTAGAAGGATATCAGTATAATATGCTGTGAGCATATTCGCGCGTGAAGTGGTGTGCGTTTCATCGCTGGATGATGACAATTGACGCTCGGGAATTGCTAATTGTTTTGTATTTGATCGGTCACGAAGCTTCTTTTTACCTGAAATTAAACAGACCTCGTTATTCGCAGTCGAGCAGGCAAAACAAAGCAAACAACAATCAATTAGCAAGATTGTTATCCAAAATAAAAAAGAAAATGCGACCCTGAAATTGCATAAAATTGTGTTTATTTATCTAACTGCTAAAATATGCTTGTCTTATCAAAATATGTTTCTATTGCCATGAAACAGAGAACTATAATCCATTCTTCCGGAATGCTTCTTCTGATTGTCAGAATATGTTTTACTGTTAATTAATCATGTCCTTGTCCGTTTCTTTCTTTTCTAAATACGTTATTCTTGTCTGACAGGCAATCGATTGTTCCTCTTCTTCATATTTTATTCCTTTCACATGCTATACTCCATCATATTAAATGAGAGAAATACCTTCATCGATATGTGTGACATTCGTTTTCCGTTTGCGTAAACGTGATACATCAGAATTGGAGATGATTAAATCTGTTATTGAATGTTGAGATTGAGACGATGATAAAGGTGATGATATTCGAAGTTTTTCTGATAATGATAAGTCTTGCGACGCTTCAATTATTGATGAATGACAATAAATCCACATTTCACTTTGCGATTTGCGTTCGTAGAAACAGATTTTTATCAGTGAATAATCTTTCTCAATGATCCGTGCATTGTGATACCGCCCATCGAACTTTCGCACGCGAATTATCATCCCTATACTAAAATGAGGTTGTGTCTTTTGATGACAGTGTCGAAATGCATCGCGATAATATGTTTGTAGAGCGTTATAATCAAAATTCAATAGATGTTTGTTGAAATCTTGGCAGAGACAAAGATGAAATGTTGTCGCACTTTGATAACTAGCACTATAATTATCGTAAAGGATAAGATATCGATTGCCATTTTTGATCGGACAAGGTTTTTCGTATACAAAGCCGTGTAACGATGAACAGCGATAAAAAACACGAGCACGAATAGGGATTGACAATAATGGGTTTGTGCTACTGATAAATAAATGTCGTTTCGGGACACACTCTGGCGAGGAATTCAAAATATGATTGACCTAGAAATACGCAACGAAGGGGAGACGTGCGTTTTGACACTAAAACAAGCCTTTTACCACAATTATATGAGTTTCAGGTAGATTCGAATAAAACAATGCGGCTGTACATATTCGAAGTGTTAGATTCGATGTTACATGTATCAGTTCACTTTCAATATCAAGTTTCGGGATGAAACTTTTCAGAAGTATCTGATCTTGATTTTCCTGTTCAGTTGAATCCGACGTGTTCTGATTGATTTCAATGTCACTATCGCTATCGTCGCCATCAAGAATTATTATTGCATCCGATACATTGGTTCGTTGTTCCTAACCGATAGAAAATATTCACAAAATGTTATTTTGGATTTATCTGAAAGGCTTACAGGTGATAAGAATGATGAATTGGGATGACGAAGATTGAACATTGACGCAGATCGCTTTTCATTGTTGAAATTCACTAAAATACAAACGATTACAGTCTGCTTCTTTCGTAGAGTAGAGAGCAGGGTTGTAAAAGGTCTTCTTCAATACAAAATCGATGGATTTTCTAATCGAATAATAACTACACCAATGAAAATATACTAAATCATTGATACAGCGCGTTAGTATGTAAAAAAAAAGCATGCAATAGATTAGTGCAGAGACAATTCGATATCGGCAAGTAAATGAAAAGAATCGCAAAAGAATAGATATTATGATTATTCAGATTGGAATTAGTAAAATTTCGAAATTAACTCTTATTGTCTAATCAATCAAATTCACACGAATTAGCTTTACTTGTTATAGACATTTCCAATAACGAAAGATAATCACAGAGTGGATTATTCAGAGAATCAATCGGAAACATAAAAAAAGACAAAGCTCGATTCAAATTTCATTCAGACGGTGTAGAACTCATCACAACCGGAATCATCTCATCAAATCAGCTAACCTTTTACGTCGACAAGGATGTCATCGAATAGAATAGTGTTTTCTTTGTTTTGCTAAAATAGAAGACGCATATCCAGAATAGATTATGTTAGAAAACGAATGATTACTGTACTTGTTCAAAGAACATGTTATGTTCTTCAACAATGCAAAAAACAAAGACACTACCAAAACGAAATTCCTTCTGGTATCTAAAAATGAAGTACAAAATTTGATATTCGTTGAGGTGAAAGTTGAATTCATTGCTTTTTTTCCTACTATAATAATAATAATATATCCCAAAAAAAGTGAGCAACACAAAAACTGCACAGTTAATAAACACACAAAGAAAATATCACGGTTAACATTTTAGACATAAAATATCTGATAAATAGGAAATTGAACATGAAGAAGTAGAAGATGAAAACTAGATCAAGGAATTGATTATAACAAGCGACCACGACAATTTGATGCTTGACATTGACAATCAATACGAACTCCGGGCATACAACCAACCGTATAATTATAATCCCAACAAATTTCTAACAATGGAATAATCGATAAGAATATTCGTCAATAAAGATCGTATTACCTTCGCCAGCTCGTATATTTCGACAAGCAAAAAGTGCGATGACCGGGAATCGAACATCATGTGAATTGATAAATACCTGTGAAAGAAATAGATCCGAATTAAAAATGGTATATGCAAATAACGCGCTGGATACTACGTTCTGAATATGAACATTTGGTTTACATGAATGATTGTAAAATCTGCTGATTGAACCATAATATTTGGCGTCGACTATTAAACATGAGTCTTCATCTGCATCATCACTATCATCTTCATCATTACTTGAACTGTCGCTGGATATGCGAACACAACGATTTGTAGTAATCGAGATCCGCTCTATAGTTGAACAAAATCTTTCTTTGTAGTTCTGGATACAGAAGACGTTTTACCATGATTCAAGTAGCCTTTTTTTGATCCTTTTCGTTTTTTGTTACCAATAGTATGCACATGGCTTTTATGATCTAGTATTGCTAAGTATTTGAAATCACGCTTTCTTGCCATCTGTTCGGTAATCAATTCTCCGACATAAGCATTCAGAAAACTGTCAAAATAGAAAATCTTTTCATTCACACTTTCAAATCCTTCAACTTACCTTCCATGTGGTATATCATGGAGAGCGCGTATAGCCCAACCTTTGTTATGTGTATGATATAATTGTATTTGTTGGTATAGGCTATTTTGTACCAATCGATTTGTACAATGTTTGGTATGACACGAACATTTCGAGTTGCATTCATAGATGCCAGTCCATATGGGTTCTTTCAAACGTTTATAGATGTAAGCAAAACGAGAAATCATCTGTTCATCGGTAAAATTCTGCCTCTGCCATTGTGCGATTTGTTCATTTTTATGTAATTTCGCTTCGTGAAAGGTTTTCAGCCAACATGGACACTTGATTCGATTTCGGCAACTTTATTTTGAACATAAGACATGATAGAAAGAACTTATCAGAATCAACTCACTTGTCTGTGCAAGAGCAACATGTGATTGGTGTAGAATCATCTGTAAAAGTTAATTTCGAACGAATTTCTGTTCCGTACATAAATGTTTCCGGATGATCGAGATCATTTTCATTGTAAACGGGAATTTTCACAGGTTCCTTGCCTTGAGATATATCTTGATTGAGAATATATTTCGAATCGTATTCAATTGTTTGTTCGAGACGCGTCGAGCGGTCATCAATGAAAAACTTGATGCTTAATTTCGAATTGGTTTCCAAGAGATAATTTTCGACTTCGTCTAAGTTTAAAAGCGATCGACCACATGGTGAACGATATAGATAATTAACACGAGAGAGCGTTTTATGTGTCGATCGTTTCTTAGTAAAACAACCTTTGGCATAGCGATCAATGTATAGGTATTTCCAACCATATCTAATATGAATACAAAAGATAGAAATGAAGTTGTTGATAGAAGAATACGAACAAAAGTGGTAATGTATAAGGATTTTGTGTAATTAGATTTGGATTGAACTTTTCTTCGACTGTCAATACACAACAAGGTGAGCATTGATGCGAATGATAAGTATTCGAATGAAACGAATGGTTTGTTGATGGCGAAACTGAAAGATCAAACGTTGTTCAAATGAAAGTACATTGATTCGACAGTTCATACCTGAATCTCGCTCGTCATACTCTTGTTTATTTTGTAGAATCATCGGACTTGCTATTTCAACTGGTGACATGACAACATCATCGATTAATATCGATCTTCGATGCATCCAAATTTCCGTTTGTGCTTGTCTTTCGTAGAATTTCAATTTCATTATCGAACAATCGATCTTAGTGATTTGAGCGTTATGATAATTTCCATCGAATTTCTTTACTCGAACGTAATGATACAATCCATACGGCTTTTTATTTACATTGTCATGAAAGAGAATCTCCTCCAGATCTTTCTGTACGAACTTCAATTCGATCGACCGAGAATTTCGTTGAAAATCTTGGCATAGACATAAATGGATTCGATCGTCAGCGGTTGTATACGTTGCAGTACCATCGTCAAAGAGAATTAAATGACGTAAATTATTGACCATCGAAGGGCTTTCACCGATAAAGCCTAAAGAGAATTTTTTCTCGGATTTTGTTGCGCACATAATTCGATATTGACGAGGGATGGAAACATGTTCAATGGCAGAAGGAGTTGATAAATAAAGATGACGTTTGGGTATTGAATAGAAATAATTCAAATGCGAAATCTAATTCGCGAAAAGATCAACTAATGAGCAAAAGGAATGGTTCGCATCTTACGGTGAGATGTTGTTGCTGTTCAAGATTCGATATAGATGCAGCAAGATGAACATCCATAATTCGATTTTCATAAAGAAGGATCAGATTGGTTTGTTTAGCTAAAGAATTTGGTAGTATACCCAGGGATGAGAGATCAATGCGTGTCTAAGCAAGAAGACGATTTGATTAAATGTTTGAAGCATGCTCTACTCACATCAAATGAAGATGATGCCGGTTCGATTATCAAACAATCACTGTGCGAACTTTCACTGTCGCCATCATCGTCGTCGTCATCAATGACAATGGGTTTTTCTGACATATCGGTGAAATATTCTTTACTTTTCTTTGAATGAAAAACGAGAATTGGAATGTTCTGCTGATTATTCAATAGGACATACCTGCACTGATTGGTTATTTTGAAGTATTTGTCATCGATGAATATTACGAGTGTTCAAAAAAAGCTCGATTCGATGTCGATAAATTAAACGAGAGGAAAAATAAGTAACAAATCCATCTGGCATATAATATAGATGTTTTGGCATACGTTTCGCATATGTTTTCTTCGTGTTGTTATTTTTCTCTTCGTTCTCTTTCGTTTTCGAGAAAGTTATATATAGACGAGAATGATTATTTGAATTTATGTCTTGTGTGTATGAGAAAGCGGCCAGGCCTGGAGAACGAAGAATATGTTGTGATGCGTTACAATAAACTTGAGAAGACAAATGTTTATTGATATTCAATTTAACACAAGCAGCAAAATCAAACGATGTAGACCAATTCTCACAGACGTCGTTCCCATTCTCGAGCTGATCGAATACATTCTTCTACATTGAACAAAATAGTCGAATACATTATACACAGTAGAAACTACCTTACCATCATGTAAATATAGACAGTTATCACCAAAAGAACAAATACCTCGAACCGCGTATTTACATGGAATGATACGAGTTTGAATATTATCGTATACTGTTGGCATCGGCGGTGATGTCACTGGACATTCGGAAGCGATAGGTGCAGTACCGTAACACGAAACGCTATCGAAGTTTTCTTCGCCATATTCAGTGATGTCTAACGATTTCGTTATTTCAACTGCGGTTTTCATCATTGACTATATCAAAAACAGAAGAAGAAAATACAAATATGTTAAATCTAGACATACGGGATTTAAGAGATACGATGATTCTTTTACAGACGATTCTAAACGATGGCTTTTCATTAACTAAATCCATTATCAAGTAAAATGTCAGATATTTGAGGTAACTAACTCATTTCATACTTGATCAAGAACTTGGCAGTCCTTGTTCACTGTGCCAACCACACCTACATCGACATAAATTGTCTCTTAACTTCCACTAAAAATTAATAAAGACAGACTTTGGATTTTCTCGATGTCTCGTGTTGCGCGGTCAAGTTTACCAACAGTTAATTGAAGGTCCTTAACTAGTTGAGATTTCTAAATTTCACCATGAGTGAGTGTGTGTTTGAATTTTATAGAAACGGAGATTATTTTACTTGAGATTCAAACGATTTTCGAAGAATTCGAAAACGATGGAATGGTTCGATATCGTTGAAAACATCGAAGATTTGTTCATCATCATTCAGAGAATAATAGACATTCGATGTGTAATCGTACATTTGCAATGAATGATTGCGATCTTCGTCGAAATTCGTATCGAAATGCTTACTCATCGAACTCCAGAGTTTTGCTGTTGATATCTGACGTTCAGTCAGAGAGATTCGTTGGCGTCGTACACCAAATTCCACAATAATCTGCTGTGTACCCTTCTAAACAATAGAATACTTCATTTCAGATTTGTGATGCTATCAACAAACATACCTCACTCATATCCATGATGGAAAAAGGGGGAGAAAATCTAAAAGCTAATAAACATCATTTTTCGTGCACCGACCAAACTCCAGCACAAGTCCTATCATACCTAGTCAACACTGAACAATCGCTACGGAATGTTGCAGTAGCAACTAAAAGTGAATTTATTACAGATTAAAAGAGCGAGAGTTCTCCAATTTGATTGAATTAAGTTAAGAAAGATTTAACAATAACGATCAGAGAAAGATGAACAAATACTAGCTGTACCTCAAAGGTAGTAAGCACAGCTATCACAAAAGGCTGAATCAAACTAGCAAGCAGGAACGAAAGATTTACAATTAAGAAAAACAAAATTATCTAAACAACGTGAATAAAACGACATTGAGCTCCTAAATTTCAAGAAAACAATTTTTAAAATTAATTCGATTCGAAATAGTTTACCTCGTCTGGAAATAGAAACAAACAAGAGAAATGAAGATTTCAAGGATGTTAAATGAACTTACTTGCAATTTCCACCAGCAGCATATTTACATGGAACTAAAACACGAAATCACAAATATTCAATGGCTATTTCAAGTTATCCACATACTATTCTTCTTTTTCTCCGGTGCTAACGGTGGTTTATTAGAATTGACGAACTTTTTTACGCGTGGTTTGCCAATAGCTTTTTTTGTGTCGCAATTCTTTTTGTCCTCGCATGGGCGAGAACGGTATGATTGATTACAGCATTGAAGTCTTCTTTGATTTGCTTCGTTAGTAACAATGTTACTCTCATGACATTCAAAGTAAACACTTTGAAATTCACGATCACTTTGAGCTGATTCGAATACTGATACACTCCCAACATCACGGTCGATGCCTTCATCGGGACTTGAAGAATCTTGGGACAACAACTTATTGTATTGTTTTGGGAAATGGTTATCTGAAATATGTTGTTCATTCGTCAATTTCTACAAATAAATGTTCGCTTGATTCGACAGGTTCGAGATGGCAATAAATCTAACCTTGATCAAATTTCGATAGCTATCACGGATCGAATTGATTAGAACTACAAAATAAAAATTTCATATTGTAGATTAAGATTCGATCATTATTATTACTAACCAGTGACTTCGTTGATATCCACCGATATTGTTTTAAGTCGTTGTTTCAAACGCATCTGAATAATTCTCATAAAACTATTGCTTCAAGTAAACATTGATGCTTACTAAATCGATTTCATGAGAAGTAATCTTTGCTATTATTTGAAATCGTTGAAAATTATCCAATTGAAGAAAATGGAAACGTGCGGTCGAATGAATTCTTTCGTTAAATAAAAAAATTTCATATTGTCTCAAATTGAATGACTTTTGAAATGTTTTCGAAAACAACTCCAATAACTCCCTAATAGTAAAATGATATTTCTTCAATAGAAGGCGTTGCCGTTGCTGACCAAACTCGACGATTATTACCGGTAAATCCTGAATAACAACGAATATAGAATACAGTCGATCATAAAGGTCATCTCAAACAGTATACCATAACTCAGCGAGACATTGTCTTCATTGAGATACTATAAACATGAATGTATGTATCGAAATGTCCAATAGTGAACTATTCGTTTCATTTCACTTGAAGCTTTTCATTTCGTGCATGGTCAAGACTAATAGATTACGAACAGCCAATCAATGTGCTGACGACAGGAATGAATGAGTATAGGTGTATATATTATAATATATTAGAAACAACAAAAGTAAATCATAAATACATCAATCGCGAATAATTACAACGATTTACACGTTCCAGATGCTTATTGTCATAGGCAAGTTATTTCTTTCGACTTCGTAGTCCTTTTGTCGTGTGTACAGAGGTCGCCATTGGCATTGATTTATATAGACGAGATGAACGTTGAAATGCAACTGGTGAGGAATCGCTTACTGACGTCGACGACGATGTGATGGCGAGAAGACTTTTGAGCATTGATCGTTCAAATTCTAGACGTTTAGGATCATTTGCTGGAACATTCAACAAGTGAAATTGTCGTGATCGATGTTCATAAACTAAACGAAGTAAAAGCAAGCGGTGGTCACCTTGTGAAACATTTGATCGATTAAGTATATTCTCGATTTGTTCAGATAACGTTAATTCGATTTTCTAGTTAAATACAAACGATCAATTCATTGGAAAAGGTGAAAGAATCATGACAGAACTTACATGTGGTTTTCGTCGAAAGCTTGCTCTTAGTTTATCGAATAGATGCATATTCAAACAGAAGAAACATGTATTATGACGGACGAAAGAGAAAGAAACGAAAGGAAAGAAATAGATATATTTGTGTCGATGTCGTTATTGTCAACCGATACGATGTTACGGGTAGAAATTGGTCACTGTTAGCTAATTGATATGCTGATAAAAATAGAACTGTAGAACTCAATTAATTTGATCAGTGAAAACAAATCGATTGGTTTTATTTCATCTTTTCATGCAATTCTATGGTTTTTTTATTTATGTTTCTCAATCAAAAAATAGAAGTTCATTATTTTGCATTCGAAAATTGACTGATGAGTGTAAACACGATATCGATTTAGCGTCGTTGGATGGTTATTGATGGTAGGACTTGTTCGGAGAGTGTTAGATCATCAAACGCTTCATTTAATTCACCATATTTCGATAGGATATGATTCGGATTGATCACTTCTTGCATTGTATCCAGTTTCGGTTGTTTCATTCCGAGAAAAAAGCCTAGAGATGCAAGAAATGAGATGTTAACGAATGCTATCATTGCTAGGATATAAGCCCAACGAATTTGACAGGTACCAAGGTAGAAATCGTTAACGTTGGAACCGCATACACTTCTGATTGTATCATGATCGAAGCCGGATGGGTAAACAATCAGAGCAATTAATAAACATATCGAACAGATCATCTGTATCAATGAACAAATGAAATAAACAAGTCGAGCACGTAGAAATAAGAATAGGACGAACAATGCCAAGCAAATGAGGATGAGTAGAGCCGAGATGCCAACGAAAAATGTTGCTACAGCAAACGGTGGACTAAGAATTGTTCCAAAATTCGTCCACGTTCCTTGACAATCAAATTCATAATCATTCACAGTACTGATACAATAGGAATATAAACCGAAGTGACCCGCACGAGGACTTTCAATTGTGTCACCAATCCATTGCGGTTGAACAAAAACAAATATGTTTAAAATTGCAAAACATCCGGTGAGAAAGATCCAAACAAAGCCAATAACTCGTGCTGTCCATTTAAATGATGAATTTCGCTGCGTTGGAGCTGTTTTCAGCATTATCAAATTGGACAAACTATCAACTGTAGATGTTGTTTGACAGTTTAGTCACAATATAATTTGCCTTTGTTAATCCTTTGCTTCTCAATTCGCACGTGTGTGGAAAGAGTTTATATTCAAAGTTTGTCATGTAACGCGAAGATAACATACAATTTCAGTATTCGTATTAATTGTTTAGGAGATTTAATGACATTTTTCAACATTCTTGAGTCGAAAAGTTCAAGGATGTTTTATTTGATTAGAAAAGAATGAATGAAAGGAAATAGATCGAACGACATAGCTGCGTGTCAATTGTTGACTTGTATCTATCTCATTACAGCTTAAGATTAAACAACAATGTTGAGCTGGATAATCCTTGCGAGCGATATGCACAAGCAGACTGTGAGCGAGTTACGCATTCGAATGGCAAGATCTGAAATAGAATCAGAATTTCAATGAAAATATACAAATTCTTCTTTATATAGATGATTCAACAATTTATGAATTATTAATATAGACCGTCAACATAAAGAAACCTTTAAAATATTTTATTGTGCGACAATATCGGATTTTCATAGATATGGCTTATATCTTGCTCATTTAGTTTCAGCCAACTAGGCCGCTGTTAGGTTATCTGGGAACTAAATAACTGGACCGTTTTTCAAAAAACATTTGCACCTCACGAAGGAAAACTGTCGATTGTCTCTTTCAGCATCGCTGATTAATAGATCTCGGAAGCCGTGAGTGCTTTGAATGTGAGAGAAATATGTCAACACAGACAATTATGATTCCGAATGTTATTATTCCGTATTCGGTAACTAATAAATATGTAAAGCACTCGTACGTCAATACTAGTTAAGAAAGAAAAAGTACCTTTCTTTTCTTCTTTTTCTTTTTCTCGTTTCTATATTGTTCGTCGTCGAAAGAAGAATTGCAACAGAATCTTATCGACACATCATCATATAGTGAAGTAACAAGATATTTCTTCAGCATCAAAACTCATACGTAGACAAAGTTATTGACTTACAAACGAAATAAAGGAGAAAAACAGTGATTGTTGTCAACGAATGGCTGATTTAGATTCGTTAAAAACAACGCTTCATTCAAGACATATCGATTCGAGCAATGTCAAGCCCTACACAGATTTTCATCTCAGGCAGAATGGTAATGTTATTCACAAGACTGCTTTTTCTCTTGTGAAATGAATTGAAATCGAATGGGTAACAGACAAACTAGAATATTCTCTTCTCTCTTCCAGGTGATTTAGTTTTGACAACTCCGTCGCTTGAATCTCATCGAGTTAATAACGATCCAATCCATCGATACGAAGATCGTATGTCGGCTAACCTACCAAAAGAAGTTGATTATCGCATCTTGTCGTATGATGCTCTTGAGAATCGCCGTTATCAACAACTAGGAATGAAACAACCAATGCCGTATCAAGTAACACGTATTTTTCAAGAACGATGTAAATAGAAAATAAAGAATTTCACGTTTGATTTCACTAAATTCCTTCTAGTTGGTTCGATTGCTTCTCCCCGTGTTGATTCGTCACGAATAGTTCGCACTTCAACAATACCGGGTTTTCATTTTGTCGATCAAATACCGGATTCAAATCGAACAATGGTCTCTCAACGGTTCAATAAGATAAGTCCATTCGTCACAGAACATGGTAATAAACCAAACTCGAATCCTTTGCTACGACAATCAATGGTCTAAACCCTGCCTTCTCTTTTCTTCGTATACATACGTATATATAAGATTTAAGCCTCATCAAAGCTAACGTCTTCATTTTTTTCAAAATACCTTTCAATAAACGTTCGCCTGATATCTTTATATGTTCTTATTCATCATTACACTCAAAATTAACTTCAAAGATGCCATATTTAAAAACCAACTAGTTCTGAATTCTTTTCCCTTTATTCTTGTATAAAATAATGCTTTTTGTGGTAATGTAAAATGTTCTTGATTATAAAAAGTCGATATGAGTAGAAATTTGTTTTCGAATTTCATACAATCAATGCTGCTTGTGGCTTTGCGCGTTTTACCGCTTCTTGCACACTAGAATAGATTTGTGCCACCATTGCTGTCCGTTCACTACGCGATAAAGACGCCTGACGAATGCTGTTAGCAACTATCAGCCAGACAGCACTTTCGCCCCACTAATAAACAGAAAGAATACAATATCACTTAAAAATTAAAGAAGTTATCTTAACAATATTTTGCTTACTGCTGCATTACTACTAGAAAGAATATCAGTAACACATGCCTCACGAGCATGGGGGATCGATGACATAGCACTGTTACCAAGAAGTTTTTTGACGGTTTTACTTGCTTCATTGATAAATAAATTACAAACTTCATAGGCTGTTGTTTCGTCTATGAAACGTTTTCGTCGCGGTGAACTCTCAATTCGACATTGACGCAGTCGGGTGACACATAGGCCTGAAGAAGCGCGGATAAGATAATAGCTTTGTATTGTTTCAATATTATAAACGAGTCGATTGGCCACCAACTAGAATAAAAATGAAGCGCTTGATGCATTTGCATGCGAGTATGTGTTACTTGTGAATATATAGTGATTTCCATTTGATCACTAATATAGTAAAATATTTGTCTACTAGTTGGTGAATCTTGGAGACGTTTCACTTCCACAACTGTATTGTAACATAGAGAAAACGAAGGATTAACAAGTACCATCGATACTTACATTCACTTGAACAATTTTCATTTTGCGGTGTGATTGTACATAATTTGAGTCCGTTGTAGAAGAAAATGATCTCATACTATCAATAAATATATGTCGTTAAAAGAGTATTAGCTTCATATCACAATCCTTTTTATTTTTTCTATTTGGTCTTACATATTCAATTTGATATGAACTAGCTGTTACATTGATATAAAATTCGATGAAGGGATTCTTAACAAGCAGTGTTCTTCCAGTTGCTCGGCACCAATAACCTGATCTTAGATTCATTTGTTGCGAACTAACAGGAAAACCAACGAGATGAAAGCCGCCCCAAACAGTGCATACACCATGAGTATCAGTTTGTGCTTGAACTATAAACAATTAATTAATGTCTAGTTTTTAAGCAGAACAAGACGGTGGCGCATTGTCTTACTTTGACCATCAACTTCTGTACTGCAATCGAGTCCTGTCCATCCGTTGTGACATTCACATACACCAAATTGAAAATAACCACTATCTATGCATGTACCATGACTGGGGTGTGTACATTGATTGTAACAGTATAATGGGTTGATCAAATACTTTTCAATGACTTTTTGGATTAGTTGAGATTTTCTGACAATGTCTGAATCGTTTGGAAAATGTTTGTTTGTCAATAAATCGAATATAAGCGAAACTCCAAATTTAATAATGACTGGATTTGTTTTTACTGTCTTAGACCATTCTTCAAATGATTGTAAGATAATGTCTCCACCTAGGGTCGTTACACGATCTTGTCGTGTATATCGACTGAATGTGTCCAGTTTTTCTTTATCGTAAGTCTCGGTAGTTTTTACTTTGACTGAAGTTGAAAATATTTGTCGTGCCGCAGCACTCATGCTTGCCTCATTCGAAACAGTCCAACCATTTTTCTCAAGGTTACTGCGATCACTTTGAGTAATTACAATTCGTTGTTGAGCAACACCACCGAGTAGCATGTCGTGCACATATGCATATCCGAAGTAATCGATAATATACCTCCGAATATATTCCTCTGATGATTTGTTCAACTCACAACAAGGCACATGTTCAATGACGAAATGAAAATCATCAGACAAATTCATTTTGGGTTCGAACAACGAAAGACGTACCCACGACGTTTTCAGTGTAGTAAATAATACAGTGGATTTCTCCTTGACAATAGTATCAATCATCGATCGGGTTTGCTCTGAATGAGCATAGGAAAAAGATGCTGAATAACCAGCAAAACCCCCAGATACACTTGTTTGCGTATCAATGCCTTTTGTTGTACTCACTTGAAGTTGATGTAATGTACTGATGACTTCTGTATTGGACGTACTATCAGTGGAGGGAAAACAATCAAGATTGACATTGTCTGGAATCAGTCTTTCATCACATGAACCGACAGAACGTTTCGTATATTCTAGTGCAAAAACAGGTCGACCGAACCCATTCATTTGACAATCACTTGTATAACAGACAGGAGATCCGCGAGCTAAGTTATAACCACATCCGATTTTCCCACTGTTTGGCAGCCATGCGTCGTTTCCTTCGATATTGACGGTTCTGCTAGACAATTCAAGTCGGCGACGAACAAATGCCCACTGGTCATCGACAGCTGCACTTGAAATCGCTATGAAGATATATATCGGCAGAAACATTAATCTAAACATTTCTGTTGAAAGAAATAAAACAAATATTAAAGAAGAATATCAACATATTTCTGAGAATGTATATAAATCAAGTAGTCTCCCATTTACCAACTGTTCTTACTTAGGCGTGGAAATACCTTAGGCAATAAAGCTATTACATAATAGCACTAACAAGATCGATGCTGATTAGAGTGTGAAACATCCATTTCATATCTCCATTCTTAAACTGTGAGCCATTTGGCGATGTTCAATTATACGAAACTATCTATATATGTACATAAGCACAGTCGTCTATTGCTATACATCTAATACTCTACGATCAAAGTACCGATAGCTCTCCTTTAGCCTAAGTTTGGCCGGCATGACTGAGCAAGCTGAAGTGGATCTAATCCGATTGCAACTAGTCTGAAAAAATTGTTCGTATCATCGCATGTATGGATATTGTAGAAAATACTACAACTGTTGTAGTACAACAAAAATGAACCTCAAATTATACTGACATTTTTCAAAACGTGAGCCCGATTCAAAGCAAAATTGGAGTAGAGTACTTAGCTGAAATTGCTTGTTTCTGGCATGGACGGTCGATTACATTTCGATCGCGTACATGAAAGTTTCATCTACATCTATGTCTACATTTTCTGCCGTTGTTTTAGGGTAAGCAGATTTTCACAGCAGTCAGCCATCAATGTTTTCGGCTTCCTATTATATAAATGAAAAATAACTATGGTAATCTTTCAACACGTATATAAGAATGTTTCAAAATTATTTATGCGCTCACAAAGAGCGTGGTAAATTATATAGGAATGAAGGAGCAATACTTCCTTTCTCCAACATAGGATGACGATTTTAGGTAAAAGTCATCAAAGTGCGTTGCTATTATTTATTAACTGGAAAAAACCAGGGATAGGAAGAATAGAATTGTATATAAGAGAATAATTTTCCATGCGACACAGCTCGATTTCTCAACAAGTGGCTTATCAATTAACAGTTATGAATTTCCTCGTAATTATCCTGATTCTGAGCTTCGGCTATCGTAAGGAACTAGGAGAGTATTGACATCTTTTCATAATAATTCTCGTTTGATTGCATACAGTTCACGCACAATCGGATGACAGAGGCATATGCATTGTTTGGGGTGATCCTCATCTTACTGGGTTTCCCACTAGCCAACTACAAGCAAGCTTTCGATCAAGTTATTGGTGTCGATGGTCCGGCCGCATGCTCATATTAAAAAATGAATTTATTGAGTTTTATGTCAATGTAACCGAACATCCATTTTGGAATGAATATGTAAGCTTAGTAGTTTACCTTCGAGTTTAATGATTTTCAAATAGTACGAAATCACACTACTCTACAATGAAACAAAACTATGTACAATAACACCAGATGGGGAGAATTGTCCTCGTGATTGTAAGTATTTACATCAACAGATGTAGCAAATAGGATTGTTCGTCATCTTGTATGCATCAATAAAATTCTAGTTGTACAAGTTACTCAAATTCGTGACCCAAAAGGTACCACGCAAATAATTTACACCGCAGCAGATGATATGGATATTTCCGTCAATTCTTATGTATGCTAAAATATTGAAAACTATCACAGCCGAACGTAATACAACCATAATGCATTTTTGACATTTTCATTTTCAGTGGAATAATGGTCGACTTGTTTATAACATTGATATAGTGCAGAGCATCCGCTTAATTCTCAGATCATCAGGTCTATGTGTCACACGTCTACCACAGTGTACGCTCGAAAGCTCAGGAAGACGAGCACGTTCTACAAGTGACACAGTAGTTTATGAAGCATGTGATCTGTTCATTAGTGAAGCAAATAAAACCGCCAAAAAACTTACTGGTCAAAATGCTGGTCAATTAGTTACTCATGCTCGTGAAGCATGTGTTACTGATATGCTGGTAACAAATGATGTATCAGTAAGTCAGACATTACTATCCTATGTTCTAACGTTCAGGTAGTATTGAATTCGATTCGTTTTATTAGTGGGGCGGAAGCGCAGCATGGTTCGTGCTTACTGACAATATTCGACAAGCGAATCTGTCTTCTAGCGAACGGAGAGAACTGATGGCGCAAATTTCTGATAGTGTTCAACTAACTGTAGCAGTAGCTAAACCAAAAGCTGAGCTCGTAATGGGAATCACAACTGCAACTGGTGTGTCTGAGACGACAGAATCTACAAGAAATGTGTCCACGACAGTTTCCTCATCCAATACAACAAAATTCGTAACCTATACATCAACAGAATCTACAAGAAATGTGTCCACGACAGTTTCCTCATCCAATACAACAAAATTCGTAACCTATACATCAACAGAATCTACAAGAAATGTGTCCACGACAGTTTCCTCATCCAATACAACAAAATTCGTAACCTATACATCAACAGAATCTACAAGAAATGTGTCCACGACAATTTCCTCATCCAATACAACAAAATTCGTAACCTATACATCAACAATACCCTTTTCATCCAGCACAAATAAACTCCAAGTCGAGTTCACCTTTTTATCTTTAATATCACTGACTACATTTTACTGACCGCCTATCAGAAGGATCCAGTCTGATGCTTTGACCTTCTTTTATACAAGATTTTATTTAATGACCGACTATTTACTCAAGAAATTCCTTTATTTTATCCATTTCTAAATATATTTTATGTAATCGAGAACTACTTTAATTTGTTTAATACACAGAATACTTACACCAGAGAATCTTATTTGATTGGGGCAAACTTGTGCCTGTAAGATGAGAGTACTACTTATTTCGACATTTTCGGGAAAATATCTTCGAACTTGTATTGTCAGTGGCTAATTCGATTTAAATTCATCAGAAGAAAATTTACACAATTGAAGAATTGTTTGATTTTTTTCTCCGTTTGGTATATAGATGTGAATCAGAGTGGGCACTAGTATGAATGACAATAAGGTTATGAACATATAAGAAAATGCCTAAACTGTGCTTACGCTCTCATTCTTCCTTCCACATTCATTTCTGGTGTTGGCTCGATAATAAATATATTAATCTGTATTACAGCATATGATTTGAGAATAAGCGAACAAATACATCGTTTTTTTAGACGTAGGTGAAGTTGGCACCATATTCGTGCGGATAAGTGTTCCAACTATTCCGATGAGTGTTTTAGATACCCCATCAACGAGCACTATTGGTTAGTGTCTTTGTTATAATCATGGCTCTAACAGTTTCGAAGGAAATCTTACAATACCAACATCCGTAGGTTTAATCAGTTTGAAGGTTCTCTAAACCACTTACTGCTAAAAATACTGAGAGCATGCAGTCGTTGTTGCTGATTTTACCACCATTCATTTATTAAGTAATTATTTCAGTGAATTCGATATTAAGATAGGGTTCATTAAATATTAAATATCTTTAATCTCATATTTGATTCAATAATGTTTTCAAAAATTTGACGATAATTCACTTGGGATGTAATGACAGCTTCTATTGTGAAGGTAACATAAACTTCATTGGAGATAAACGATGTCAGACAGTAAAAACATACATAATAAAAACTGTGAATGACAATATTGTTCAAGTCGTTGAATTTTCATGAATTAGTTATTATTTGAAAATTAACTAGACACGGGTTATTAATATGCATAGTAAGGATTGATCGAAAGGTAATTGATGTTGATAATTTAAAATCTAATGTTTTTTTAACTAGTAATTAAGTTATTATTAACTATGCATACAATAATGATGTCCACACGAAGGACTGACTGCAGCGTAATCAATGTGAAAGAATTCTAATCTGATGTTAGTTATTTCTTATCCGCCAAGCTTAGACTTCTTCCTTTCTTTGTCTAAAAGAGATATATATGTATGTCTTTTAGAAAAAGTTTTGCAGAAGATAATGGGTTGAACACTATTCCTGGATGTGATGTGTGCGAAGCCGTTAGTTTAGGAGCTTATGCAAAAGGATTTAGTATATCTCTTACAGTGTGATAGTTGTAGTTCAAGAAATTAGAAGACGCAGTATGAGCGTAATATGATGATCGCATTGTTTGTTAGAATACGTCAGATCTTTGGGTAGGATTTTACCGAATACACGTCGCGAAAATGTAATATCCATCAGCGCAATTCCATCTTATTAGTCACAAAGACATCGACTATAGAAGCACTATTCTAAACATGTGAAGCATTATGATGGGTGCTCTTTTCATAGGTAATCATAAAATAAAATTTTTTACCTAGTTTACATTGGTGATCAAATGAATGAAAGACCACCACTTGGGAAGCCGCAACTAAAAGAAACGTAGCTATTCACTTTGAAAGGTAATCAAAAGTGAAAGATATAACGGAGGCAAACATGGTAACGTAAACCCCCTATTTACTATTAATTAGTCTAAAGTAAAAAAGCTAGTTACTATTGGAAAGTTAGAGGGTGAGGGTTGGGATAGAGTGGAGGTTGTTTAGAAGCTGAGAAGTCGAAGAACTCGAAGCTTCGACTTCTAAATCTATAGATTTAAAAATTTAAAACTCAAAGACGTTTAATACTTGAATCTAATTAACTTTTTCTACACTACTCGTTTCCGCCTATGAAAGTGACTTCATTTGAACATAAGGTTTGAATGATTTTTCGTTATTTGGTGCGAGCTAAATGGTGCTAGCTTCACGTCGATTATGTTAGTTTATCTTCGACAAAACGAAATCTCAAACCAAAATCTTGATTTAAATGATAAATTAAAAAATTATGTGCGATCAAAGAGAACAGGTGGTCATGATATTAATGAGTTTTAAAGTCAATTATATATGCATAATCTCGATCACGATGATTATATATCCTTGCAGTCAGTATTTGAACATATATGTAAATTGTTAAACAAAAATAAATAAAAGAAAAAGGTTTTTGTAAGCTTAATTTTAACTCATTATTCGATAGGGTTCATACTATGTGGTAAATTATGTATATCTTTTCAAATCATTTATTGATTGGAACAAATCATTAAATATTCTGTGTATGAGACTAATTAAATACAGACATACTACTCAATATCATTGTTCATTTCTTTTTCTGACTTGAAGATTCTTTTGAAATATAAACTTTTGGAGTGAGAACAGCGCGTATACAAAAAATGGTTGTTCATTGCTAGTTCTAGTTTAATATTAGCTTCTTTGATTTGTCATTAACTAGAATTCCGTATCACGCCGTCACGTGTCAAAAAAAAAGTAGAACATGATAGTGCATTGCAAAGCAATAGCTGATATTTTGTTTCAACAGTACTTTCATAAGTAGAAGTTAATTAACTTTCTGAATTAACTACTAATATTCATTGTCCATCAGATTTGCATTCATTATAGTGAAAAATGAGAAAACACTTTTGATGATTCTCGTACTTTATTAACTCGAAACGCTACATTTTTGGAGATATCTACGAAGAAGACTAAAACATTCTTAAGAGTAAATAACAGAAAAAAACAATCATTGCACAATAACAGTTAACAATAGCATTCTCAACAAATAGTTTTCACGTTACAAATTAACCAGACACAAAAAGCACAAAACTGCTTAATTCTTCTTGTTTTCATAGTTTTTACTAAAATATTTCAATTTCTCTTCTGGATTTGGAATAATTGTGTCTGCACCGGGACGCCAGCCAGCAGGACAAACTAAAGCATATCAATTAACTTTCACTTCTCAATTTCATATGAGAACTTACCCTCGCCATGTTTATCAGTGTATTGAAAAGCTTGAAGAAGTCGAAGTGTTTCATCAACTGAACGACCAACTGGCAGATCATTCATGGTTATTTGTCGAAGAATAGCATGACCATCAATAATAAATAATCCTCTACAATCCAATCACGTGTTTCTCTTTTGATACAGTGCTCGATTTTACCTCAATGCATGACCAACATCTTGTAAATAAACGCCGTAGTCTTTCGAAATTTGATGTGTTAAATCAGATAAAAGTGGAATTTGAATTTTGCCCAAACCACCCTGTTCACGGGGTGTATTGATCCATGCTATTGAAATGAAAAGAAGTCACTCTTTAGCAAATCGAACAGACAGGTAGACCTGCCTAAATGAGTGAATTGTGAATCGACAGAAATAGCCACAACTATCAAGGTAGAAAGTACGATGGTCAATGATCAAGGAAAACAAGATTCATAGATCTATGTACTTTCAGTATTGATGTTTTTGAACTCTTGAAGACGGTCCGAAAAGGCAATGATCTCTGTTGGGCATACAAATGTACTAGAATCGTTGGATGTAGATTAAGATTTCATCCGAAATTACTTACAAATCCAATGGATAAAACAAAAGTACCAGATATTTATTTTTAAAATCGTTTAAACTGACTTCTTTGAATTCGCCATTAATAACCGCAATACCCTCAAAGCTTGGTGCTGGTTTACTAACTGAATAAAACAATGATTTCATCAAACAAATAGTACAGGCTGTGAAAGAACTAACTTTGAGCTTTGTTGTATTGTAAACTAAGTGGTTCTCTACTTGGTCGACTTTCACATGGATATGCACCGCTACTGTCCAAATGCTGAACACACACCGGTTCGTCTTTTTTACATGAAATCAACGAAGTCGACAAGAGCAATGAAATAGTGAGAAAAACAGGCGATGTGAAAGGTCGAAACATTGAGTCTGAATCTAGAACACGATTGAATGTTAATTCAATCTAACAATGCTTTGAGGTAGTCTTAATTATCTTGCGTTAATTAACTGATGAGAAATACACGTTAGATGACGTGCAAATTCCATTTCATTATATGATCTGTGCCCAAAAAAATCTTTCTTTTTCTTATTTAAATTACAGTCAGTGGCACTGCTTAAATTAGCAGCTGTTCCAAGCAGAGGTTTGTCATTTGTCCATTGGTTGTATGGAAGAAACCATTGAGAGAAGGAAGGAAGACAAGACAAGCAGCGTCATATTGTTTTACGATTAATTTTATCCCACCAATCATATTTTAGCGCTACTAGTCGAGGAGAAAGAGACGTCGATGGTGGTTATTCTATAGACTGAATATCTCTTTCTCATTCTTTTCCGTCAAATATATATTGCTGCACTGTCTTTCTTACGCAAGGGTTACAAATATCTTTCTTACACAATTTTAGATCTGATCTATGCCAAATCGTAAAAAGCCGAACACGTTATTTTTGCCAGCTCGAATTAAACGGCTTATGCAAAAAGATGAGGAAGTATGATGACTCACTCGTGAAATATTCATTATTTTCAATTTATCGTTTGTTTTAGGTAGGTAAACTTTCTGCGACAGTTCCGGTGATTGCAGCGCGTGCATTAGAACAATTTCTCGAAGAATTGATTACTAAAACAGCATTGATTACAAGTTCACTGCAGGCCAAAACACTGACACCCGATCATATACGTCAACATATCTATGCCGATCCGCGTCTTTCATTTCTCCAAGATTTAGCCAATCGTATGGCAAGTGGTCCAAATAGCACTAGTCGATCACTTTCCACATCTTCTGCAACATCGACACCATCGGCAACGACGTCTCGTCCGTCATTTCAACAACAATTGAGTGTACCTTATCAAGATCCAATGCCATTGCCATCGGCAACCTCGTCAAATCAAACGAATTTACTTTACATCAATCAGCAATTAAGTCGTTCATATTCGAATGCAAACTATTATCCGAAAGTCAAAACGAATAAACGAAGTTTTGATGTCGTCGACGAAGATCAAGACGATGAGGATGAAGACGACGACGACGACGATGATGATGAACCATTCATAGCTGGCCACACAGCCACATGAAGAATGGACAAATACTTAGAAAAAAGAAAGCCTTTTCGTGTATAGTTTCGTTTTTTTCTTACACTGTTCTTGTTGTTTGTGTTCTTTTTTTTTTGTATTAGACCTTATTGTTTCTCTTTTCGATTCCTACGTGACGATAAGATACAATGTTACTCCGTCCAGGAAACTTTGATTTTTTTTTCTTGACTTATTTCAGATCGATTTACCAACATGACCGATTGGCGAGAATTTCGTCCTCAACCAAAACTACTTCATTCAAATTTCGATGGTTATCGTCTAACGCTTGATCCCTTAGCACACTATTCGTTAAAATTCGATGCAAACGTGCATGTTCAAAAAGGTTTCGAATTGGACAATGATTTATACACATTCAATGGAATCAAAGGCTTCAAATCGTTAAATCAACTCTATATGAATAATAACAATATCTATTTTGTTGATCAAACACATTCCATCCGACAAGTCGATCTTTCAACAGATCAATCTCTCTCACATTTACAACAACCTTTCAGTGTTTATCAATTACCTAAAACCACGATGAATACATCCATGCTTTTCGTCAATGAGTCGTTAGTTTTCGTATGTGATGGTCGGTCGAAATTATTTCTTCTCAACACCACCGCAAACAAATGGAAACTGTTACATGAGGAGGATTTTGATGAAAGTGTAACATCGCCGGTAAGACTAATACATGCTGTTTGTCGTGAAGGGTACTTACATGCAGTTCTCGGTTTCATTCAAACTGAATGTCAATTGCTTTGGGTGACCTTTTCGATTGGCTCATCCAATGAAATACAACTGACAAGGAGAAGAACGTTAAGTGGTAAGAAATGGCCAGATTTTGTTGCTTTGGAATTAAACGGACAAGGACTATATATCGCTGCTGAAGGTTCATATAAATTCGTATTCGATTCTCAAATTGAAGTAAGACGAATATAGTTTTTGTTCTATTTAATTGTAATCCTTTTACAGGTTAAAGCAGAACAAGTGCCTAAACAACCTGTAATGGAAAAGATCGAATCACCGATTCATTATATTTGGTCACAAACGTATACAACAATTGAAATTGAGATCGACTCGAATAGCAATGACTCACAACAATGGTCTGTTAACATCGAAGCCGATCGTTTGAAATGTTCTCTGAACGATACTGTATTAATTGATGCCAAACTGTATGATAAAATCGATACAAAAGAAAGTTCGTACACGGTCACAAAGGACAAAACTAATCAAATGAATATTACTCTTCATAAAGCAAATGTTGGACTATTTTGGAGTGAGACTTTCAAAGAAGGTCAAAGTATATCCGGTGACATTAAAATGGTCAATATTCCTGAAACTACTACTACAGCCGATGATGATGACGAGATCAAACAACCTTACAACAGTCAACAATTAGAAGAATGTGATCAATACTCAAATGAAAACGACACGTATTTAGTACGGTTCGATGGTGATACACATCGAACAACACATCAAGCGTTGATTTGCAATCAAATCTTATTTACAAAATTAGATCCACCACTTCTATGTATTCGTCATGATGTACGTCGATAAATTCGAAAGAATTTTTCGCCTATCGAACTCATGTTGCTTTTTGTTTAGGTTGATGGATTAATTTGGCAGATCAATTCTATTACATCTGATAATCAAGCACCATGGAGCCATGAAGCAACATTGAATGCATTTGGTTATGTTCAAGCTTCGAAACAGAACCGTAAATTTCTTTCCACGCCGCCGGATTATTCATACGCGTTAATTTCTGATGTTTCGACACATCTATATCTTTATAAACAGGAGTCGCCAACATCGAATCTTCCAGGTTCATCGTTACGCAATCGTAAAACGGGAAAACTCGTTGAAAGTGTCGCTAAGCAGCATATGATTTCATTAGAAAATCATAATGAAATTCTAGGTCTTCTGACAACTAACGAACGTACATATATATTGACTGATGATCAATTGTTTATCATTGCCATATAAAGCAACTTTTATTGTTTTTGTTCTAGATTCTTCTTTTGAAAATGGATGCTGGTCATTTAACTATAGAAAATGTCACACAGTTACTACATCAACATACATTCCCCGCATCTGTCGAAGCTGCCCTACTGGCTATACGTGAATGTCCAATGTTTACACGGCAAGATCTATCTACGCTAGCCAATCGTTTCGTCTTTTGCCACTCGTTGGTCCCGTCGAACGGCAATTCATCTCAAATGGTTTGGATCAAAACATTAAACAACATTCAGGAATTGCACATACTAGATTTGATTCGACAATTTCTCGAAAAGCAAGCGGATCTGTCTGTTGCTAGTCGAGTTTTCGACACGATATTCCTTGACGTCTTATCAGATCAAGATCATCCCTTGTTTATACTCTATTATAATTTATTCTTAAAATTTCTTTCATTAGTCATTTCATTCGAATCGCAAACATCTTTGACAATTGTCGCACGATGGTTTTTGACTCTATCCAAAACCACATCCGATAAACCGATCATGAAAATCATCGAACATACTATACGTGAACACATTGCATTAGCAAGCACGAAATCAGTTAATAACCTGTGCGCCATCTCACCATTGTTTACATTGTGCTTCATCAATCAAACTTGTATATTACTGAATGATGAAAATTTTCGTCTGGATACCAAAGTCATTGAAACATTAATTGACTTGCTCACATTTGGGTTGACAAATTCGACTAATTTATTAATTTCGACATTGCAACAAGAAATTCTGGCCGAAAGTAAGTCGAAGTTTTCAGTCAGAGCGAAATCGAATTTTTGCTTTTTTTTTTATCACTATAGGTAGTTTATCGCTGATTAATTTCGTTCCATCGATGGTTCGCTTGGATGTTCTCTTTCCACTCCGTTCATTCCAATCAGCAACATTACATTTACACTTCGATCGTTTTCATACATCAATTCTGTCGTTTTTATTCTCAATGATTACAAACAAGTCTCCTCAGAGTCAAGTTTTTCAAAAAAGTCTCTTCCCTTCGGATCATTTTCAACAACTATGTGCGGTTATCCAAGATTCATCCGCGTCGGAGAAATCTATTCACGCATGCATTCAACGTTATTTACAAATCTTAGCTATCTGCAAGACATCCTCGTTCCCATTAAGTCAAATAGCATTGAATGAGCTAAGCGCATTTTTCCCTTTACTTGCACGTGACAAACTATTCGATATTCTGAAAGAAAAAGAAGAGCATAGTCATGTTTCAAAATAGAATAGATGATCATATGTATATTTGTATTTCAGATGGATAAAGAAAAGTCGACGACGGATACGGAAACCAAGCGAACAGATCGATTAGCACGTTTGAAGGAACTTCATTTTCGACGTGTAAGAGAAGAGAAGAGAAGAGATACAGAACTCAAATGCAGGACTCTTTTTTTTATATTTAGAATGAAGCTCGAAAATTGAATCATGCTGAAGTGATTGAAGAGGATCATCGAAAAAGTTTGCCAACAAATTTCGAACGTCGCTGTGAACGTGTTAAAAATCAAGAAGAAGTAGCGAAACGACGCCGTGAAGCAGCTGATAGTGGTCTCGATTACGAGCGTGTAGAACAACTGGATTGGACAGCAGAAGAATGTGACAAATGGGATAAAAAACGCAAGAAGAAAAATCCCGATGTTGGATTTGACAGTAAGTGAAATCAACGAAAAAAGTCATTTATCTCATGATTTAATCGAATCATTAGATTTTTATGACATTCGAGGGTCGCATTTCTTTTTTTTTGTTAAACATACGTATTTATTCATAGATTATGAACAATGTACTTATCGTGCTTATACAAAATTGACTGGACAAATAAAACCTGATATGGAAGCATGTAATAAACAAAAAGAAGAATTGTATGTGTTATCGTCGATATGATAAATCATCGCACTTCAATGTATATCTATTTAAATTGTAGAGGTGAAGATTATTATGCAACAGCCAGTTCAATGATTCATGGTACACATAAACCAAGTGAAACAGCTGTCAATCGTATGGTAGAAGATCTCGAGCAACAATATTCGAAACGTGGCAAATTCTCACGTCGACGCGCATTCGACATCGATGCAGATGTTGATTACATTAATGAACGTAACAGAGCATTCAACAAGAAAATTGAACGTTACTATGGAAAATACACTGCCGAAATCAAGCAAAATTTGGAACGTGGTACAGCAGTTTGAAAACAACCACGGAACTTCACTTTTTCCTCTTCATGTAGCTTTTCGTTTGTTGTTTTTGTCTGAATAAACAAACAATCTTGTCTATACATACATATATGTACATACACATCTATGGGTACACATTGCCGATCAATAGCGATTTGTATGAGAACAAGATTGAACAGAGAGGTGATGTCATCAAGTCTGTTGAAATGTCAATGCTTTTTCGATAAGCCCATTTGATCGAATACACAGGCGAGTGCTTGACGTGATGTATGTGTACATATATCCTCGTTTCTTCTCGTCAATTGTCTAATTATGATACGGGCACGTATTGCTTTACACCGAATAGGATCGATTAATAAGACATTAATTTTTTTCGAGACGATCGAAAAAAAATCGATGAATACTGTATAGACTACGTTTTTTTTTTCTCATTCTCTGTCAATTCTGACGAACATAATCAATAGACAGAAAGACTGACAGTTGAAGTAAGAACAATCTGAGACAGACGACGGAATCATATTTATATCATTACAGTTCATTTACAATTCAAGAGCTTACCAATATCTCAATCGAAATCAATATGCATTCACAATTGATATATATATGAAAAAACATTCATATTAATCAATAACCTTGAGTATAAGGTGTACATGAAGGTTTGTTTCTTTTCATGATGTTATACCGTGCGTAGTACGACTACGTTGTAAAGAAAGAGTTTGAGACTGATTCTGAGTTGATTCGTTAATCATTTTCTAGAAAAGATTGACAAGTTCGCGTATGAGCGTACTTTTTCGAGAGCAAATAAACGTTTAGTAAAGAAAATAGAATCAGACAAGAGTTGTTTTATACATGAACGACAGTTTCAATCTCTCGATGCGTTTTTTTTATGATTCTTTTTCCACTTCGCTTGTCCCACCAGAACCGATAATTGGACAATTGGTGTTCGTTCTGTCATCGCCATCGACACTCTCTTTCTTGAACAGACCACCTAGTCGGCCTGTCCATCATTGTAAAATCTGAACTTTATTATTAAACCATATATAAAATGTGTGCCAGAGAAGAACGATGAAGAAGCCGCACACACACACATGCACGTTCACAAAGCCTTTTCTCTCCCTCTCTCTTTCTTCACATACACACTTGCATTCTCTGTCCGTTCTCTCGACTTCTACATCTCACTCATTGAATCATTCACCTCGGAGTAGTGTGCTTTTCTCTTATTAATATTTGGGCTTGAACTCTTTTGTTAGATACATGCTGAAAGTTGAAGTTACCTTACGGCGCAAGTCTGCTTTGATCAAAAATTAAAAATCAATCGAAAGTCAATGCACTTGCATATGGCATACAACTCAATCTTTTTCAAATATTTTTCTTATCATTTTCAATGTATCGTCTGGTGATCGAAATCAATTTATGTAAGTAGTTTTGCTTTTTAAAATTTTCTTCTGCTTATCATAATAACGGATGCAACAAGCAGAAAATCTACACACTTAACTTAATCTTTTTTTTTCTCCTCTTTTTTCATTCTTCTTCTTCTTCTTGGTGATGGATGCCTGGTAGGTTTTTTTTATTCTATGTGAATACTAATGATGCTAAGGTGGGCACACAGGCAAGAAAAGAATTGATTAAACGTCATGTTAGAATGTAGAAAAGGAGGAACGTCAAAAATCTGGAGAACAGGCTCATGTAGGAAGACAAGCGCAAGTGAAACTTTTCTTCTTTCTCTCTTTGCTTCTGTTGTTGTTTGTATGCATGTACGATTTCTGTGTTTTATTTGGAAGCGATGACATAGAACAGCAGTTATTAAATAATATAGAAAGATCTATTCGAAGCGTTTAAATCGATGTAACGGCGAATAGCGAGAAAGCTGAGAAATAAAAAGAGATGCATATGCTTACCTATATCAGGTGTGAGAAATGATTGCGATGACGGATTAAACATAAATCATATGATAACAAGAATGTATCTGTTGTTCATGTCAAAGAAAGGAAAGCAATTATGTTAAGGATATAAAGACAATCATCTGATGTCGACTTGTTGAATAGATTAGGTGAAGTTCTGCTCGAATTCTAATTCTCTCGTACTAATATGAATGTATTGTAGTCATTCGTTTATACTTGAATATACTATTGAAATTCGATCGATGTAGTCAACGATGGAAAAGAGGACGCGTGCGCTCACAGTCGGATACCTTCACTTGATCCGTTCTATTTATGACAAATTCGCTTTGAAAATAGAACCATTGAAATTTGATCCATCGTTTCTTTCTTTTTTTTCGGCTCGAAAAGGCTTCAGGATAAAAATGTTCTAAACGAGAATTGCATCATACTTGGATATGTGTATGTATACACATGTATGTTTTTGATTTGTCAATTCAGCTCATATGTGATTACCTAGCAATTTGTAATGAACAGTAACTTTTCGATTACATAGATGAGACTGTCTTTAAATGTGAAGACATTCGCAAGTTGCTTTTTTTCTAAATAACAGCTTTTTCTAATGTACGGATCATCAAGAGCAGAGATAACCTTCTCTTTCATATTACCTTCTTTCTTACGCAACGAAATATGAATGTGTATTTGTTGAGATGTAATTGATTTCATTCATACCTTTCTTGTATTACTTAGGGATTATCTATTACTTCGTTCGTCATTAGACGATGAACCAGTTGGAAACGAATTTAGTTTTATGGGCGATATGTTCCATATTGGTATTTGAAATTTTAATTATCATCTGTCTATGTCGATTTTGTTTCAATCGTATCAAACCAAAACGATTCTATGTTAAGGTAATTGAAACTCTTGCTTGAATGAATATTTCAAACTATCAAATTTCCACTTAAAACATCTTGTTGCCCAAAAGCTCAAAATGAACAAGAGTTTTCTAAATTTCTTATTGTAAAAAATTAAACAATCGTATTTCACCGTTTTGTAGAGGGAAGAGTTCGAATATTTACAAGGGATTAACGGAGCGCCTTCACAATTTCAACCGATTATCCTTCGTCCGCCACAAGCCGATGAGTTAGCTTTGGTCGGTACAATTCGTGATCCAAATCCTCCTCTCAAATTCGATAGTGGAATTCAAAATTTGGGTTTCTACCGCGAACCGACCGATGACGATATACTCGCACAAGTACCGTCTTCTTTCTCCTCGTCTCAACGTCTAAATTGGATTGAACTGAGATCTGCCGCTGCACCGTCACAACCTCCGCCCGCATTATCTACAACTAGCATACTAAAGACAGCACAGTTACCCGCAGCTGATTATGAAATTCGTTCTTATCCGATCGATGAATACCTATATACACACCAATCACCTCCCCCTCGTCCGACTGTCATCGACTTTCAGTTATATCGAGATGACTACAGTAACGATGGGTATTTCGATGATAATGAGAATAACAACAATGATGACGACGATTTAGAAAACGTTGCTGTTCATTCGTTTCGTCCTCCGGAAATGTTTCTCTCTCATACTCAGCGAACCGACACGTCGACTGAATCACATCCGGGTAATTATTCCGCATTGTTACCCAGATCCATTCTTAAAGGAAACATGAATGAACCTCTGTCGCTGGACTTACTTTCTACGAACTATTTTCAGCCAGAGCGTAGTCGGACATCATCGAAATTCGATGAATCGCCACTAACTTCAGTCAAAGTCAATACAGATGAGGCGATTCCAATCGATTATCCCATTAGTGCAATTGAAAAAACTACTCCAAATGAATCATTCTCATCGACGCCTGCTCGAATGCGTTTTGCTAGCGTTAGCCAATTGAATGAAATCGAATGGGAAATACCACGCGAATTTCAAACTATTGTCTATGATTTAACCGATGATCATCAACCACTTCGTGGTGCTTTAATCTACAGTTCGAATGATAACTTGAATAACAATAATAACAACAACAATAATAATAGTATTCGTGGACAGCCATCAGCTCGACAACGAAGTCAATCAGCTAATATTGACCAAAGATCACACGTTACGCGAGTATTCGTTCCATGGGATCAACGAAGGGAAATAACACGATCGTTCTACCTGTCATCTCATCCAGAGCAAGGTGATACAACACAACAACAAGCATTTGAATATTAGTATAATGCTCAGGGTTAAGTCTTTTTTCTCTTTGTATTTTTAATCGATTCCTATTTTCATACAGCACGGAAGTTCACCTTCAGATATCAAGAGAGTGTCAATATTTGTATGTAGTACTTGTTTGTCTTGATGTGTGATACACATTTATATAAGTTATAACATTGTGTAGCAAACATGAGACTCATACATGTATGAGAATGAATGATCATTGACTGTATTGATTCTATGTAGACCGTATCAAATTTCTATTTTTTATTTCTTATATCAAACCTGACAAATCGTACATTTTCCTGCTCTCCTTGCTCTATGTTTCTTCTTGTGTACGTGTGTTTTGATAGCATTGTACAACAAATAAGATTGTTGCCTTTTCCTTCCATTGTTCTTGAAATCTATTTCTGTCGTGTGTTTTACTTTGAAATCTCTTTTCCTTTGGAACCAACTATGAGTTCGTGCTGATTTGTGCAAAAGCAAAGAAAGGCAACAGTGCATGCACGCAGTATTAGATTAATCAATGATAATTATGTATGTGATTGAGGATGCAAATTATCTCTAATTTAATATGTTAGTATCGTATAGCCTTTAAATGAAATCCTAAACATGTGTAAAGCTCTACAAGAGTAGACTGTGTATTGAGGACAATCGTATATAATGTGTTCTATCTCATTATTTATACATACACGATCAAATCGAGTAACCTAGAAAAAAATGCGCTTGCTCCATCAGAAGAAACATTACAAGTCGAAGCATTTGCTGTTAGTCGTGTCACTTGGCAAAAAAGAAAAGCTGGAATCGTTTCAAGCCACCATAAATATTGTTGACAGATAGTTGAATCATACAAAGAAATCTTATCTGTTTTAGATGAAGGAACAAAAACAAAAGAACAAAGTAATTCGATTAACGATAATGATGTATATATGTATTCAACTTATACCATACTATCACCCAGAGATCATTACGTGAAATGTTAGATAAAGAGACGTGTTGGATTTTTTTTCTTATCGTCGTCGTGTTTTCGATTTGCCTTTCGAACGATTGGTTGAGTCGCCTGAAGATGTTTTTGGCGATCCACCGCACATTGAACATTTGCATGATCGAATACGGGTAATTTGCGATGTTCGCTGTTGCGTCTTTCCTGTTGTTCCATCACGGCAATTGACCACGATCGATTCGGTATATGTTGAATCAGGCGCGCAACAAAAGCATTCTTTGTCAGCTATACCTCCACTGAATGGATCAAGTTCCTCGTAGGATGGACAAAAACCGGAACATGAATCCTGTTCGATTTCTTGTTCTGACACACATTCACCAATAGTGATACGAGTAGCGGCATTTCGTTTAGGTTGACATTGACCGGACGAAGCTATGAAAATAGAAATCAGACCGACAGTAAAACACGAAGTTATAATCAAATTAAATAGTCATACATGATGGTGGCGACGTATAGTTCGATGCTGGCGGACTAGATGTCTTTCGTGTGCTTACATGCGAAGGCGGAGTTACAGTTGCCGGTTCAGTACAAGCAATGATCTCCACCGTTACATCTTTCGGAGGTTGGTTGTCATTTGTGCGCAACAGAGTAACATGAACAGCGTTTACTTTCTTATTGAAATCAATATTGATTCTTGGACCACTCTCTAATTTCGAAGTAGCTTGGAACGGACTCTTGTCTGATGACTGACTCGTCACCGGACGATCGTTTCCATCCAAAAACATCACACGTACTTGGTCCACATTGCTTGTTGTTGGTAAACGAATTGCACGAACAACTGAAGGTCTGACCAGCGGGAATATGATAATATAGCCCTTATCAGACAATGGAAACGACAAACCATTCGATCCAGGATTAACATCACTAGGCTTATACGGCGTGACCGGCTTGACGTGAAAACGTGGACCACTGGAGCTATTCTCATCTCCACTTCGTTCAGGAATAGTAGCCACTTCTTCTTCACACGTACCCGATGATGTGGTCTCACCTCCTTGTGTTGTTCCTTGTGGCCCTTCTGATCCACTTGCTCCACGTGTTGTTCCTTCTGGGCCTTCAGATCCCTTTGGTCCTTGTGTTGTTCCTTCGGGGCCTTCAGATCCCTTTGGTCCTTGTGTTGTTCCTTGTGGTCCTTCCGATCCCTTTGGTCCTTGTGTTGTTCCTTCGGGGCCTTGAGATCCCTTTGGTCCTTGTGTTGTTCCTTGTGGGCCTTGAGATCCCTTTGGTCCTTGTGTTGTACCTTGTGGTCCTTCTGATCCACCTGGTCCACGCGTCGTTCCTTCGGGACCTTCAGATCCCTTTGGTCCTTGTGTTGTTCCTTGTGGTCCTTCCGATCCATTTGGTCCACGTGTTGTACCTTCTGGTCCTTCAGATCCGCTTGGTTCACGTGTTGTTCCTCCTGGGCCTTGAGATCCCTTTGGTCCTTGTGTTGTTCCTTCTGGGCCTTGAGATCCACTTGGTCCGCGTGTTGTTGCTTCTGGGCCTTCAGATCCCTTTGGTCCTTGTGTTGTTCCTTGTGGTCCTTCTGATCCCTTTGGTCCTTGTGTTGTACCTTGTGGTCCTTCTGATCCACTTGGTCCACGTGTCGTTCCTTCTGGTCCTTCAGATCCACTGGGTCCGCGTGTTGTACCTTCGGGGCCTTCAGATCCCTTTGGTCCTTGTGTTGTACCTTCTGGTCCTTCTGATCCCTTGGACCCTTGTGTCGTTCCTCGTGGTCCTTCAGATCCACTGGGTCCTCGTGTTGTTCCTTGTGGGTTTGTAGGTTCGCTGGGGCCTGGTGTGGTTCGTTGTGATGTTTTGGTTCGTTTGGTGATGTATGGAACTTGTGTTCCGTTCGAGTCGTGTGGTCGGCGAGTTTTATGTGGTCGGCGAGTTTTATGCGGCTGTTTAGTTGTATGGTAGGGTCTCTTGGTGGAAGTTTTGGGTTGTTCGGTGCATTGAAAAGATTGATTGGTTGGCTGTGGCCCATAATAAAGGTGATGTTTTTTGCAAACGCAGCCTTAGTATATATTGGTGGAAACATTGATGGAGATGGTCAAGGTCAACTTACCTGCTAAACAACTGCGTTGACATATGGCATTGAGTTCAGGTTCATTGCGTGGTTGTGAGGCGTAGTTGAGGCATGTAGTCGGACATTCGTTATATACACTGCCGGCGCCACAGTTGGGATATACCGCTTTACAGTGCTTGCGCCAGTTGGAATGTTTTGTTGGAATGCCCTTTCTGGTCAATGCGCAGGCATGGGCAAAAATGGAATGCCAGTGGCACGAAGCATGTTGGTGATGGTTTGCTGGAGTGTAACGGAGATCATCAATACAAGACAAGAGGAGTCCCGCTACACATGCAGTCCGTTTACAGACGTCGTGTTTGAGCTTACGACAATGCTTCTCCTGCGAGATAAATGTGAACATATGCATAGATAATAAGCTGGTGGAGGTATACATACAGCTTTGGTTCGATCGAACTTTTCGGGCGGAGTAGCAGTAGATTCATGTTGTGGTTTATGATGTTTGTGTCGGTAGCTCTTACTAAATACTTCTGTGTCGTTGGTGAGTTGACCGTTTGGCAAACGCAGATCATTATCTTGATCGTAATCGAATGATCCGCATAGACCGCGTACATTATCCCGGTATGTTGAAGCTAAGGTAACATAGATAGCATTTCCATCATAGGCAATATGCATGCTGGTCGATTCAATTAAAATAAACTGTGATGTGACTTGTCGAATTGCGAGATCATCTGATTTGAATGGAAGTTGTGCGATTTTTTTGTTGTTCAATGTGATTGTATGAATATCGGACAAGACAACAGCGCTGCTACCGATGTTAAATTTTAATTCACGTTTGTAATTATTCTGTACAGAAGCTTCAATTTCAAAATGTTTTGTCTTGTTATCAACATTCTAAATGATCAATAAATCAAGTTATTATGTAATCAGATTTTAATCCTTCATATATAAAGAATCATATTCCACAAGTGAGAAACTGGGTGTCAGTTGCGCTCGGCTCGAAATTATTTTTCTTTTCGCGATCAATCGCACTTGAAAACAGCTGTCCCAATGTGCAATTACTTTTACAATAACAAGAAAGCAAACTTTTCTCTTGCGTAGGATCGTATCGATCTTATTTTTGAGAGGAAACAATCGCGTGAACTTTGTGTGTTGGACAACGATCGGGGTCAATCTGACGCAAATCTTTCAACATTGCAAAACTGTTACTCACTTTCACTAAGATATAACTGCTTGGTTTGACATGAAACGTTGCTCCATCGAATGTTTGCACATGGCCGAGACCAACAACTGAACATGTTCGTGAGCACAATGGTTGTTTACCACAAGTCCATGCACCATCTCGACATTGACTGTAAAAGAAGATATATAGATGAGAAAGACTGATGTTAGTGTTCAAACCATCGTTTTCCTTTTCGGAGTATGATTTCTTCGGCCATATAGATTCTTCCATTGTGACGACATGAACATTCGCGTTGTGGAACACAATCACCATTACGATCTTCATCAATAACAGTTCCGTTTGCACAAACACAACCGGAACGACAGTTACGTAAACATTGCGTATTATTCGAGTTTACATATGGATTTCGGCAAGTTTTTGGACAATTGCTGGCACACTTTTGAAATACTCTATCGGGTGGACAATCGTAAAGTTTTCCATGGCTAAAACGAAATCATCGTTGAGAAGAAAATCAAGTAAAAGGTACATGTCCGATCGACTATTTTCACGTACCAGTCTTTGTAACCAGTTAAACAACGAAGAAGGGGAGATTTTTGGGCTTGTTTACTTTGAATTGCACAGATTTGTACAACCAATACCAAGGCCAACAATTTACTAGCAAGGCTGAGCATTATTATGTTGGCTGATGCGTCGAATCGGTATGTTTTGGTTTCGAGTAGGAGGGTTACAAGACTAATATATCATGAGATACTTAATGATTGTCTACTTATACTTTTTTTCTTAACAAAGAAAAATTACATTTCGTCTGGTAACAGTTGGGAGAAATGATTGCTTATTTTTGTGCACAAAAGATAGTGCAATAGAAAATCGATGCCCGATAATGATGATGATATCCTGATGGTGCGTAGTTTTCCTTCATAATCATTCAAACATTTTTTTTTCGACTGTATATTATTGAATTGAAAAAGTGCATCAAACTAACAAATTTTCGATGATGATGATGATGATGATGAATAATTCGATAATCATTTCGGTTTCAAAACTTACACAACTCAGTTATTAATGTTATGCGTCAAAATTGAATGAATAAAACCCATTTTCATTGTGCTATTATAGATTTAAATGAAACAAATCATTCACTGGTAGAATTAAATTCAGAAATTATCTATCTATTTCACATGAAGTGAGCGAACGAAGAAATAACTTTTGTATCTAATTAAAACGTTGCTATTGTGATTAGCACATTTCTGTCAGCAATAGTTGAGTATTTTCATGGTTGTTGATAAACACAAATGTGAAATCTGTCTTGCACGTATTAAGCACATCTTTTCATGACATTTGCACTTATCATTAGTTTTCCAAGATTTTACATAAAAACTAGACAGAGAGAGAAATTCATTTTCTTCAGTAGTTGCATTCATCGTTGAAATCGATGTGTATAAATAGGAAAAAATGGGTATCAAATGTTGTCAACATGCACGATCCTTCCCTTTCAACATCCCTCTAGCATATAATCGCAAGCGTACTGTTTAACAGCGTTGTGCTGCCGTCGACGCACAGTTCTTTGGTTGGTGTAGTGTTTTCGCCTCCTCCTCCTTCTCCTTCTTCTTCTTCTTCTTCTTCTACTCTTTTCTTTTCTTCTATTTGCTTGCATGCTTCGTTCCTTCATTCTCTTTTTTTTCTACCGCTGCTCTTGTCCTTGCTTACTTGGTGCGCTGACTGTTGATGGTAGCGCGCGAATGAAAGCAACACTGACGCAGAAATAACAAAGAATAGTCGTTGTCACATAAACGAGCAGCGGATGAAGCTTATGTCTTTAACCATCTATCTTGATTTCTCTTAATAAATGTCGACAAAACTGTTCATGAAAAAAAACTTTCGAAAATCTTTCATCTGCAATCAATACCCGGAATTCTTCTTTTCACATATAAACATATACATGCATGTGTATACGCATCAAGTATGGAAAAAAGAAGACAAGAAAGAAAGGAAGAGAGAGAGAGAGAAAGAGCGAGTAAGGTGCATTATCTAGCTTGCATTGCCTCGTGTATTCATCGTTCTGTTGTGTGTTCGTCCTTTTATTTCTTCTATGAGTCGCAACACAGTAAGGGAGGGCGACAGAGGAAATATATAGAAACTGATCACAACTAATGTGGAACAACGTTTGACATGCATGTAAATCTTATAAATGAATTTGTATTCTTTTATTTTGAGAAAAGGTAAAATTTTCTGTTCGAGAAAAAAGCTGATTTAGTCGATTTTTTCGAAATTCAAACAAACAATCATCGTTTTATTATTCTTATTCGTTCTCACATATGAACACAATGTGTGGATTTCAGACACATTCACTGTACAGTACATTTACATATAGAGACAAGAGAGAGGGAGGGGGAGAACTACCGCTGACGTGGTACGCACATATAAATTGCCTCCTTGTTTCTTGTTCTCTTGCCTTCCCTGCTTGTCCCTACTTGTGTCTTTCTCTTTTACCACACCCAGTGTGTGTGTGTGTGTATGCGAAAGAGCGTCACTATTCACATAACTATGCATTGCTTTCAACTCTTTTCTTTTTTTTTGCATATTGAGGAAGAAGAGAGGGAGAGAGAGAGAGAGTAAGAAAGGACGTTGGTCATATGTTTCGATTCAATACATATAATACAGTTTAGTTGTTTTATAACAAAGGTTGACATGTAAATATTGTTAAACCCAAATGTTAGATATGTATTGATCTTTAATAAAATGATCAACATAAGATAAATTGAACTCTTCGATAGGAGAGAAACACAATGACAAATAGAGAGTTTTGTATGAACATCAAGCTATCAAGGGAATTCCTATTGATCAAGAAAGAAAGAAAAAAGAAAACTTGTTTAAATATGCGTCGATTAAAATCTAGTTCACTTAATTTATCCATCAATTTTCGACGAATATTCTAATGAGAGTTTGGTCAATATTTACTAATGAAATCTTTGTGACTGTTGTGTGTTTTCAAAAGAACAATTTCAACACACACACACACTAAAATAACTATCAACAACAACAACAACAACAAGAATAGCGAGAGTAACGCCAGCAAGATGCAGTTAGTCGTTATCATTCTCTTTTTCTTTTACAGATAGAAACGAATGAATATATGTAATGAAAGAACCAGTGCAGAGAACTTTCATTGAATGTATACAGGTGTATATAAAAAACGACATTTCATCTTCGTTCTCGCTCTCTCTCTCTCATTCTGTTTCTTCTGGTAAGACGACCGCCATTTCGTTCAATAGTCAGATGTTCAAAACAGAATAATTTTTCCTTGCTTTTGAAAATATACGTATTGTCCACGGATGTCATAAGATAGGAGAAGACAGGATGAAGACGGGCGGACGGAGAGAAAAATGTACACGTGTAGCGTGTTGTGCTTTCTTACGATTCCTATTTATTAACAACCGAAAAAACCTTTTTGCTTTTTTCGTCGCGTCTCTCTTGTTCTCTCCCTCTTTCTCTTTTGCTTGTTCGCTCGTTCTCTTTTATTTTCTCTTGTAAAAGAGAGAGAGAGCAGAAGGAGAAAGGGAGGGAGAGAAAGCAAGCAACGCTTACTCGCGCGCGCTCGCGTTTTGCTGTTTGTCTCTCTCTCACTCACTACTAGACTGCTACTATTACTATTACTACTGCTACACATCGCGTCTTCTTCACAACAGCACCCATACTTTCTTTTGTTACGATGTTGAATTCTTTCCTAGAGACATTTCTACCGATAAAAAGATGAGCATCGTTACATTTCATACACGCTTTGCTTTGTTTTACAGTTAAGATGATTTTTATACAACGAATATGAAAAAAGTAAAGAAAACAACAGATTTGTCTGGACACTATGCTTATCTTTCTTTTCTTCGCTCTCTCTCTCTTCGCCTCCCTCCCTCCTCTCCGTCTCTCTATTCTATGAGCGCTCACACACATATTGTTCGTTCTTCTCTGGCGCTGTACGCACAAAGAATATAGTCGAAGATTTAGTATGAATGATGCTAGTTTAGTCTTGTGTTCTTTCCATCTTTGTTTATTTTGAAAAAAGACGTCATATTCGTTTGTTCTTATCGATGGTTTTCTGCTCGACATCCGAATACATATATCAATATCATATATGAATAAACTTTAAAAAAGGAGAAAGAAGTAAATCGACATAATTTTTGATCATTTCACATAATTTTTGCTTCACTTCTCTTTTACATTACGCCAATGTTTGTTTCCATTCCATTTCTTGTCTTTCACTCTCTCTCTCTCCTTCGTTTTTGGTACAACGATAATGAGCGATATATACATATGTATATACTCGAAAATTTAAGGGATAGAAAAGATGCGAGGAGACTTTCTCTCCTATTTTGACCTCGATTGAACATTCGTCGTCGCATAATTATTCTCTTTTCTCTCTCACTCGTTCTCTCTTTGTCGAGTAAGCAAGCGTATATAGCGCTCTATCCTAAAAAAAAGAGTGTGCGTTCTCCCGCTCTCTGTCTCTCCTTCAACGCGCATATAGCGCAATGTGATCATCCATCATTGTATTGCATAGAGAGAGAGGGAGAGAGAAAGGAGAGAAGCGAAGAGAGAGAAGGAAGACGGCGGCGACACAAGAGGAAAAAACAACAACAGGCGCGCGCGCTTTTCTTGCGCACATATACAATTGAAAAATATACACTGTTCGAATTTGGAAGACGGTAGAAAAAGTTTTTTCTTTTTCTTCTTCTAGATGATCTTCTCACCAATTGCAACAATGAATACGGCACCATTAATCCCACCACATGTACAATCACCATCGTTTATTCGTAAAAGAAATTTGCCAACTCCTCCTCCATCTTTTGCTGATGTCAACGATTCTTCATCGTGTTCTTCTTCTTCCTCTGTTTCTTCTGCTTATTCGACAACTACTACTAGCAGCACGACTCTTAGTGACAATAATAATACAGTGCCATCATGTGATTTATTAAATATAATAACTGATGCACGTTTTCGTCCAGTTTTTCAAGCAATCGATGAAATAAAACGACGTAAATGCCGGCCCGATCTCGAACGTATACTTAAATACGTAGGAAAACGATCTGCAGGAAATAATCTCTCTTGTCAACGCGAGGAAATTCTCGTTATACTCGAAGATCTACTCAAACTCGGCCTTATCACTAAAGTGTTTCACAAAGGTGGCTTTACAATACGCATCAAAAATGAAAAATACGCCAAATTGATTGAAAAAATGAACGCATGTTATAATCAAAAGACACCAACAGCAACACCAATGAGTCCACATGAAGCTGTGGCAATGGCTGCTGCAGCTGGAACTATCAATTTCAATCACCAGTCATGGCCATTACCACAACCATATGTATTAAATTCAACTGAAAAGAATATTAATGATCATCATCCTCGCATACGTGAAACACCATCACCAGAATTTGCTGTATTTAAAACTGGTAAGAAAGACAAAAAGTTTCTCTTTGTCGTTTTCTTTCTCTCTCTCTCTCTCTTTCTTTTCCTTTTCTTCCTTTTGTACTGTTCAACGTTTTATACTTACTATGACTCGATTACATAATTGAGACCCACTCATCGTATGATAGACGAAGAAGAAGAAGAAAAAGGAAAAAAAACGAGTGAGATCTTACTTGTCGATACTCTTAACTTACTTATCCCATAGGCTATATTTTGTATTTCTCAACACATCGTTTCTTATCTATATCTTTGATATAACTTGTATCGAAAGAGAAATTTAATCTTTTAGAACCATCATCATCATCATCATTACCTGTCTATCCATCACTTGATCAAAATAATAACTCGGGCAAGTTTCAAATGATTAAAGAAAATGCTTTAGCAAATGGATCAAATTTATTGTCGATATCATCTTCTTGTCCTTCCTCTTCCTCATCTTCAACCGCGAAATCGACGAAAAAACGTGCGCGAAGCCAAACGGTGCCATCACATGACAGTAAAAAGACTCGTTCAATCAAAGCATCTGACTTCATTCTCTCCACCTCACCTTCTCCTGTTCTTCCTCTTGTGAATAATCATATTAATAATATCAATGACGAACACTTATTTCGTAAACCATTGCTAACCAATAATAATTTACCACCGATAACTATTGAACAAATTCTTGGATTACGTGGTGATATTCCTGACGTACACAATTGGTCAACAAATCAATTGATTGACTTCTTTTACCAACAAGGTTATGAATATGCGGCTATGGTACTACACAAACACCATATCAATGGAAGTAAACTGTATGAATTGAAACGAGAACAAGTATTTCGAATGTCGACATTAAAAATAGGCAAAGCATTAAAATTGTGGAACGTTATTGAACAGATACAACAAAAATACTTATCCTGACGCTTCAAAATCAATCAAATCTCTTTTTTTCTTCTTTATATGTATGTGTTTGTTTCTTTCTGTGTATGTGTATGTATGTTGATTAAAGTAAACACAGATTTGAGTCTTTCCAACAAGAAGCAAAAGTTGTATTCGAACAGAAATGACGCCATTCGGTTTCAGCTAACCCACTTTTTTTTCGATTCCTCGAATGTTATCCAACGTAAGTGTGAATAAGAAACATGATATAGAAGAGTAGCTTTCAAAAAACGGCACTCTTCTTATAATTCGTCTTTCCTTGTTACCTTTTTTGAACCAAGACAAAAAAATTATATGTGAATACAAACAAACGAATAAACAAACAAAATTACAAGCAATGTTGGTTTTCTCTAAACTAATTGATTGATTTCTTTCATGAATGTGTCGTAGGCATCGTCGGTCGATGGACCAGTCATCATCAGATGATGTTGACTTGCACCACTAGATGTATTGCTTGGACGCGAGCGCATCGAAAGAGGATCTTCAAAACGTGATGTGGACTTCATTCCGCTCATGTCTGATCCTTTCGTGCCAATGCTGCTGCTTCCTGGGCCTGCTGCTGTTCCACCTCGTTTAACTTTCAGTACAGTAGGAACGAATTTAGTAACATCTTGTCGTGCTCTAAGAATGAAATCGTATGAGATAGTATAAGCAGTGTCGAACAATTACCTTATTTGGGGTTTCGCTTCGAAAGTCAGGCTAGGTTTATTGGAAACAGGTGGTGGATTAGACATCATTGTAGGCGGATGTTGCGAGGGTGGCTTGGCGATGAGACTTGGGGGTGCACTAAATACATTGGGAGCTTGTTGACGGACTAGTTTCGATGTATTTGGCGGCGGCATATTTGGAGGAAATGGTGGCCGAACATTAGGTGGCATACGGACACCTAGAAAACAGAATTCATTACAAAAAATCATCGTTGTTAGCAATCGTTTACTTGGATTCGCTGCAAAGAACGCGGCTGGAGGTGGTGGTGGCGGTAATCGCATTCCTAAATATTCCAAAAGTAGATATCAAAGAACAAATTTGGAAATAAAACTAACCACGAGGTGGAGGTGGAAATGGAGGTGGCATGACTAAAGGACGATCCTAAAAAAGAGAAATTGTTTCACTGAATGAAAAGAATCAGCGTTTTGATCGACGTACTGGATTGAGTTGTGGTGGCTGAGAAACGGTAACTGGGGTGCCGAATTCTTGTATTTCATTTTGTTGATAATCGGCAGCAATATTATCACTCCATCGACTAACAGGTGCTGTTGTCGGGGGGTTCGAGGATGGATCAGCAAAACGAATACGTCGTCGATCTGAAAGGAAATCAGTTAGGATTCTACGTAGTAAATATTTCGGCAACTGGCAAAGGCACTTACCAGGGGTTTGTGCAATTTTTGCAGGTGATGCGACTTCTAAGATGGAAAACCGAAAAAGATGAGTTAGTTAGATAGCTAACTATGTAAAATCATCGTACCTTCTTCATCATCGCTAATATCTTCGTTATCACTAAGAATCGGTGGTCGACCCGGTGGCGGCCCTGGTGGCTTTCTTGTGATGACAATACGCTGTGGCTGTTCAATCGAGCTTTAAAAGACGTAAAATAGTGCATCAACATAGTTAGAGTGAAACAAACTTACTCTTTTTGCTTCAAGATGCCACGTGGAGCGTCCTGCGATAATGATGCAGCTCCGTGTGGTACCTCTGGCATGGGAATTTCATCCAGTGTGACACGTTGAGTTTCTTTGACTGATTCTACAAAAGTTAAATCGATTTGTAATAGAACACTTACGATCAAGATAATTTTCTTACCAAACCATGTTATCAGTTGTGCTCGAGATTTTTCATATTCCGCCAATAGAGTGTCCATCTGCAGAGCGGCATCAGGTTGGTCCTTTGTCTATCGAGTACAATTTAAATAATATTGGAAGTATATTCAATCAAATCTCGACTTACATAAAGTCGATACACACGGTCCCATGTTTCTTTGACTTTTTTCCGTTTTTCCTGTAGAACTTTAATGTTGTACGGCGATGGATTAATTGGATCATATTCCATTTGATCCAAATGTTGCATATCACTGATGAGACCTCTTGGATTTTTGTTTTTAAGCACGTTTTGTCGTACTAACAAGCGTTGTTTTTTATTTTTCTTCAATTCTTTCTTCCGAGCTTCTTTTCCTAAAAGAAAACGATTCTCTTTTGTTTCAGGCGAGTTTCATCACACTTACGAGCCTGGTCTGTCGGATTCATTACTTTGCCACTCTTTGTTATACTAATATTCCTTCCGCCCATTTTCGATTCCTTCGTTTCTTATTTATCTAGAAAAAAAATGTATATATATATATATTATATTGAACAAGCACCAAATCCAAAAAAATATGTATAGTTTTAGAAATGTTATAACCACTTTTCATTCAATAACAAAAAGAAACACGCACACAGAGATCACAAAAAATAAACATTAGACCCAAGTGGAACGTTAGTGTACACGATCACCCACTGCGAAAGACGTCAAAATTCAAGTGAACGCGGCCATAAATCGATAAAAGTCAGTTTTATAAGACGAAATGACGAATAATTTAGATTTCTTTTGGAATCGTACCTCTTTAAATTGGGTAGAAAAACGATAGATTGTATCATGAAAGCGCGTCTGAGGAATCTGCTTAATAATCGTAGGTATCGATGTATTGTATGATACTTCATCTTCGATTAACAACGTGGAAATAATAAGTGTTAAGATGGAATCAGGCATATCAAAAACAAATACTTCTATGCGACTTTTCGATGTAAACAAGGATGAGATCGATGATAATTTATATTGTACCTAAAACAAAACAGTTGAAGAAAACAAAATCCAGAAAATGCAACTGTTACCTGGTTTTCAATTTTCTTCTTTGGAATTGCCTTATGTGCTGGTTCAATTAAATATTGATAGATAGCTAATTGCGCACCGGCGCTAACAGGATCACTATTTGAACTGATCGTAGACAGAGACGGAGCAGTCTTCAATGATAATCCACCAGGCGTACCTACTGTTTGTGGAGGTAATAATTGCTCTATGTCGTTGAATAGATTTGACGAAGCTCCATTGCTAATTGTATTGATTAGACTGGGAATATTATTATCATTGCGATAGTATTGAACGATTTGACCACTCGATAGGCGTTTATCTGTGCTGACTTTATCATTTTCATAGGTACGGAAGCGGAAACTCTCATCATTCGAATCCTCTTTACCATATATGAGATGTGTATAGCCACACGACAAACAATAATCGTCGAGAATTTCAAAATTCTAAATTTGAAGGTAACTTGTATGTAATTCCAAACAAAATAGTTTAACTCACCGATGGTAATTCATAAAAAGTGTCCACTCCGATTCCGATCGAGACAAGTTCCAATCGAAGACGCAACAATTCTACTGCGTGACTACCCAGACAGATCACCGTGTCGCAAGTTTTCGGTATATTCTGATGAAGAAATATAAGGTATGCTTATCAAAATAAAAGTAGCAAACGCACTAATGAACGAGATCGACTTGTTGTTCGTGTCGTTGGCACTTGAAGAAAACGTTCCATATCAAAGCTCACACCAACGATATGTGGTAAATCATTGGAGAATTTCTTTTGAGATGGTCGTCGAAAATGAGCGAGCTGAAGTAAACGACTGAATGATCCCTTTAAAAATCTTTCAAAACACTTACTAATGGATCATAACGACCACCACCAGCATAGACTTCATAGGTCAATCGTTTCTTTCGTTGAACATCGGATGCCAATTGAAAAATAAAACCCGAAAAAGTGTTGATGTCCAATATTGAATTAAGTGTAACAAATCGAAGTGTTAATCGAATCTACAAACAAAGCGATCAAACACTCTGATATGTGACAAAAAACAAAGATTACAACATACAGGAAGAGTTACACCAAAACAGCGTGCGTAGTTGACGATGGTTTCTAGTTCTTCCACGATATTTTTCAATAATTTTGACCCCTAATACCAAACAGAACGAAAGTTATTTATTCATATAAATCAATACATCACTTACTTCAGTTTTTGCTTTCGTAAATCCTTTTAAATGATTAATGCAATCATGAAATGGTTCATCTTTATTCAATAATGTTTGAATACGATTAGCTGTTTGTTCGCTAACACCGTTTTCTAATAAGTGCATTGCAACTGCTGAACTCACCGAATCGAATCGACTCTAAACATAAATTGATTTCAATACAATTGATAGATTTGTCAAGGCACACTTTATTGATTGCTGCTAAGCATGCACTAATCTTATCGGTCGGTACATCGAAGAAGATCAGAATAGCACGTAATAATTGACTATGGTTAATTCGAATGAAAACATTTTGTCTCTAAATATTAAATTTACCATAATCAGTCGTGTTCGCCTTTCTGGACCTTACTTTTTCCGATGGTAATTCTTCGAGAATATCTTGACTCACAGCCAAAATTTCTGCATCCGGAAGCAATCTTCAATACATAGAAATAAGCTGATTACTCGAAAATAAATTTCATATTCTCACGTATTTTGCGTAAATACGATATCGTAACCACATTCTGTCAATCCTCGTGGATGCATTTCAGACACACTTTCGCGATAAACATTTCCAATTTGATAACATTTCATAGTTGTCAAACCATTCAAGCCATAATGTGATACACATCGAGCGATAAAACGTGCTAGTGGTACCTAAATAACAACGACGAGAAGATGTTTGAAATGTATTTGAGTGGCATACTTTCGAATCAAATGCCAGTGACACGATCAAGCCAGAAGAAGAAATAAATTTCAAACTTGAACATTCATTTTTAGTGTAAAGTGATGTTTCAGGTATAAATATTGGCAGTCGAATTAAGAACGCACCGTACTTTTCAAAAACACGAATGAAAGTATTTCGGAGACTAGCATATAGTTGTGATTCACGATGGAATACTGATAACTAAAAGAGAAGACACGTGTAATGAATAGTATATTCGAATTGGTTTACTTTGTTAAAGTCGATTTGCGTATCAGGATCGAATGTTGCATCACGTGCGATGTTGTTTTTTCTTTGAAACAATTTTGTAATTGTTTTTCGATAGTAAAATGATTGCAGATCGTTGTTCGAACTATTAATCATACTGTCTAAGAGTTGTTCAAATTGCTCTTCTTGTTCGAATGGAATGATGTTCGATTCTAATAGGGTGTTTGCACTTGGTCGCTTGTCAGGGTCATGGTTAAGCATTTGTATCACAAGTTCATACTAGAATGGATTTTGCCGTAAAAGATTCAACCGCTCCATCAAATATCTTACATGACGTGAAAATGACTTTTGGCGAAAATGATCTGGAACATGAATTTCTGGTCGACGCAGTTCACATAGAGTTTTCGCTCGTTCCATCGATGTATTAAATGGATAACACATTTCGAAAAATGTTATACCCAAACTGTAGATATCGATTTTCTAAGAAAATATTGATAGAGATGAATGATACTAATTTCCGTTTTATAGTTCATACTTCAGTCGGAGCGATTCGTTGGCCGCTTAACATTTCGGGTGCTATGTAGTACGTTGTACCAACAGGAGTACTAATCAGTCCACCGTCTTTGAGCTCTAGTGACCAGCTTGTTCTTGCATTCGGATGCGCTTCTGCTTGTGTAGATGAATCCGTATAACCCTATGAAAGGAAATAATTCACCATGTCGGTTACAAATCGAATAAGAGAGGAAGAGAACGTACAGAAAGTTTACTGATCGTAGCAAGGCCAAGATCTCCAATTTTTGCGTGTCCATTGGAATCGAGCAAAATATTTCCTGGCTTTAGATCTCGATGAATAATTCTCTATAGAGAATCACTGATATATGTTTACGTATTCGTAGCATCTGTTCACTTACATTGGAGTGCATATTTCGAAGACCGTCAAGAATTTCACGTAGTAACATCCAGATCATATTCGGTTTTTCTTGTAAAATACCTCGATCTATCAATTGTTTCAATGTATTACCTTCACAATATTCCATCTAGATCAAATCATAGGTACGATTGATTGACTGTAGACAACATTGGAAAGAATTACTTGAATGAAGAGAACTCGTTGTATATTTTGATCGGAATTGCTTGTGACTGACGATGATGAGCTCGATCGATCGTTTTTCTTTCCGTTCACTTGTGCTTCTGATTTCTGAATAGAAACGAGTATCCACATTAGGAAAACGCTGTGTAGAAAGGATATCTACTTCATCGTCATTGTTTTCATTGTCGAAGAAAACAACATCTTCACTTCGTTCAATAGGATGGAACGTTCTAGTAAATAATGAGGTGGATTTTCACAGGCAATCGTTATTCTAATCAAGTTTTACCTCGTATCAAATACTCCACTTTCGTCGTCTGACGAAGGTATCGAAGAAGATGTCGTATCCGACGAGCTGTCATCTCCATTCTGCTGTTCATTCGAACTTGATAGGTCCGGAATCATACCTTGGATTTCATTTCGTAGACTGTCGCCATTGACTGTTTTCTTTTTGGAAGACAAATGCGATTTACGCGCTCCAGTTGCTGATCCATCGTTTGAAGACTTGTTCTCATTTTTTAGAGGCATTTGTTCAGTCCACGTACTGTAGTATCTAAAACCATGTTTAACGGTGGCATTCACAAAGATGACTCTTCGATAAAGATAGTGTTTTACCTTACGATATTTTGATGGTTCAATTTTGAAAGCAATTTGACTTCTCGAGTGATCTTTTTGTTTAAATGCTTGTTGGCACCTTTGAGCAGAATTTGTTTCACAGCATAGAAACATCCGTCCAGTTTGTTTTGTACCTAGATCAGACTTTTATTTAAAAGAATATATGCAGACTTGTTTGCTTTTACCTTGAAAACTTGTCCAAAACCTCCTCGACCGATACTTCCAATCACTTCGAAATCAGATTTTAAACGCGATTGCGCAGATACGAGCATTTCATCATGACTATGACCTGTTGAATTCGTATCACGGTCTACACAAAATGAGTTCTCGATAACTTCGACGGCAACGAGAAAAATTTAGATTTTACTCTCAGAATCTGAAATCAGTCTATCGAAATTGGCTTGGGCTTCGTTTGTATGAACAAGAAACGGATCTGCTGCTAATTGTTTTAGCGATTCGCCATTTGCACAACTAAAGAGAACAGGAAGGTCATTTCTATACGAATACGAGATTTCTTTTTACCGTTGTAAGAAATCTCGGAATCGATCCGATAGCGTTGATGGTGCATCGAGAATACAATCATGGACTCGTCCAGTACCCAAATTAAGTAAAAGTAAACCCTATTAAACAACGTCAGTAATAGCAAAGAACTTCGAAACTTGTTCTACCAGATCATAAATATCATTTTTATAAGAGCCATGGAATGATCGAGGTAGTTGATTTTCGTGAAAAAGAATATGGAGATCATTCAATCTAAACTCGATGATAAACATGTTTGAAATAGAAGTACAAACAAACGAGTTTATTATCATACCGACGAACGAAACCTGTTCGCATTAGTTTAATTCCACCGGAGCACAGATACACTGATTTCATCTAAAATGACCATTATCACCACAAACGAAATCAACTCAATTCAATAAGTTTACATTGATTGCACGATGAATGATTGATTTGGAATGTAAATGTGAAAGCACATCACACAGACATATTGCGATTCGTTTTAGTAAGCATTCCGAGATTGGACATGAATCGAATACTTCAAGCGAAGTCGCTTCTGGCCATTCTGTTAAAACCTATCGAATATAATTCGAACAATACAAAGATTCTGATTCAATTGATCCTCTTACTCGAAATGTATAAACAGCTGTATCGTGTACAACATATTGATAGGCCACTATTTTACACAGTAAAGGATGTTTGACGTTGATTAAATGCTTCATATCGTTTTCAATATTTCCGATCTCACGACGATATTGTGCACGAAAATCTTCTTGATCACTTGTTTTGTCATCCGGTAACGTGTTTTCGAAATTCCATTCGTGGAGGCAATAAATATGTGCCGAGTCGCTGTTCGTACAGAGATAAGAGATGTTCAGAATTTGATCGGGAATAATTGGGTGCATTTCTTTATGTAAAATATGACCACGGCGAACAGTAATATCAGTTGGATTTTCGAACTTAAGGATTGTTTCTGAGCTGATACGAGCAAATGTTGCAGGTTTCGTTGACGTTGTTTCACTCTGGAATGAATGAAGTTGATTTTGTTGAATTAAAATTAGAATAATACGTACCATTCTATGTCGTTGTTTTTCTGCTTCTTTGGTATACCGTTCCCGAATAGCATCGATCTCTCGCTCAATTTGCTGGTCATTCTAAATAGAACGTTTTCTCTTCGATACTCGAAGCTGTCTTATGATCGGAACTGACATCATTTTCCGGGCTGGCTTCAGGTATTGATTGAATTTGTGGTGGTGTTCGTTTTCTTGGACGAAAATTATCTAAAAACTCTTGAGCGTAGAGTGCCAACGAATAGATCATTTCCTAAATGAACACTCGCACGTACATCAACTCAAAATAAATTCTGTAGAGAAAAAAACATACGACTCCAAGGTAATTTTGCATTTGAATCCGCAGTTCTTTTTCGCATCGTTCTAGAGCTTCGAGTGTGACATGTTTTGGATTAATCAATTGTATTTCTGGGAGTCTAAATATTCACGGAAAACTTGGATAATCGTCGCGATAGAAAAATATACCTACTCGCTTGGGTACTGTGTCGTTTCTTGGACGATTAAGTCAAAAGTCGGCTCATTATTCGTTTCAGCTGCAGTACTATTCGATCGTAGAGGAGTTATTGTCAATGAGAAATAAGGTGGACGTAAACGTTTATCACGTTTACTACGAAGATCTTTCAATGCAGCGTTAAAAATCGAGCTCAGAGCACGAAGTTCGTCTTCTTGGACGTGTTTGAGATTAGACTCCATCCTACAGACGGAGTGGCTCAAACAAAATAGGAAAAATTCAGGAACATATCTAGAAAGTGTTCAAATTGCATCATTACACGAAATTTTCTTTTTCTTTTTCTTTCAAAGCTGATGTGGATGGCGATGCACTAACGAACGCGATACTTATTTTCTATTGTTGAATGTCCCATCCAATCACGAGATTTCATACGAGTGTTTTCATTGGAGCAATCTGTTGCGATTGTACTCGTCTCTGTGCCTGTGCGAGGTACGTATTTGAATTTGTCCGTATGTTAATTCTATTCTATTCTTTTTCAGTAATTTTACATTAGTACAAAAAGAGCAATGCTGGAATACAAAGGAATAAATCGTATATTGCATTCTATTATCGGTATTACTTTGTTCCTTGTAGTCCTCTTTTTATATCTTGGCCTTCGTCCAATTTTCCTTCTTGCTAGTCTTGCTCTAGCGATATTTCTGGTGGATTATTCGGTTTTACCATTTATATATCTATATCAAGCATTTAAGCAATGGCTGCCTCTTTTATTCGAATTGAATGTTTTGAATGGAGTATTGATTTCTACTCGAATCCTCCATTTCTCCCAATTTTGGTCATATGTATTCATAACGATTTGTGTTATACGCAGTCTTACTGTGATTTATTGTTGTCATTTGCCTATTAAAGATGTACATCGTTTATATATTGAGAATAAGATCGAAGCTTTAACGAAGTTATTTGTGAACGAGCTGGAAAAGCTGTACAAACGTTTTCTTCAATTATTTTCACAAAACGATCAACACGAGTTGGAGAAGTTTCAATTACAGCAAATCAATTCTATTGACAGTATTCCATCAGAACACGATGACACCATTCAACGTTTCCAACAGATAGCGCATGAGCTCTCATCCCCAATGATCTCTACTATAGAGTGTTCAAATACTTCAACGCCGCCAGTTCGCCGGCATCATCAACGAATTCTCCAACAAAGTGAACTCGAACCGTTATCGCGAACGCCGATCACGCCAGCACATACAAATGTACCCAATGGGAAAATATTACATTCGACGATGAACGGATCATACACAGGACCTATGACGCGAACTCGTACGAAAACCGGTGGTTCGTCTTCAATAGCAACATCGCCGACGAAGAGCAAGATTTCTTACTGAAACGGCTTTTTTTTATTTGTAACAAAGCTGAATGTACTTCCAAATCACTATACAAACAGGACAGATATGATTTACTTTTATTTTCTTATCAATTTAATGTCAGATATTTTTCTTTTTTTTACTCCCTTTAATTAATTTAATAAAAAAAGAAAGATAGTACATTACATTCGGGGTACATCATGTTTAAATGATTTGATATCAGCATTTTTATCAGTTAACGTTAAAGAAACGTGTCCAATGGAAAATAAGAAGTTTATACTGATCTTGATATGACATAAAAGCAAATGACAACCGATATTCTTGAAAAGCAGTTTATCCTCACATTATCTAATGCATACTGATAAGAGGATATTTATATATACACATCGAAATTGACTAGTATCATTAGAAAGAAAATGCGGCTATCAGCATTGTTGAAACCTGTCGGTTCGGTTAGTAGATTTGTTTTTTTTTCGTTGTTGGATATTCGTTATTTTGTATCTATTGAAATAGATCTTCAAGCATACATGCCGTCGATATCTTAATGCAGCTGTTCAACCAGGATTAGCCTTGAATACTGATCCTGTTCTTCCAATCATTGATTTCTCTTCGTTTGCAAATCAAAATGAAACAAATGATTTCTATCCTCGTGATGTTATCGAGAAATTAGCGAATGCTTGTGAACACGTTGGATTCTTCTATGCCATTGGTACGTAGATGTACAGGCAATCATAGATAAAAATAAAGTCAACGATTATTTAGGTCATGGAGTGCCGAATGAACTGCTTCTTCGAACATTGTCCATCACACGTCAATTATTTGATCTTGATGATACTATCAAGAATCAATATGCTAGTCGTTTATTTACTGATCCATCGAAAATAGGTCATACACGAGGTGGATTCGGCCGCGGTTACCAAAGTCTTGGTGAAAATGTCACCAACACAAAACGAGATCGACATGAAGGTTTTGATATCTATCGTGAATTAGAACGTGATCATCCGCTTCGTCTACAATACGATAACACAAATGTGATTAATCAAACTTTACCTGATTATAGGGAATTAGCTATTGGCTGGAATCCATGGCCGAAAGAATTACCGTTATTCAAAGAAACAATAGCAGAATATACGACAGCTATGTTACAAGCAGGTGAACGTGTCATGCGTGGTATTGCCCTTTCGTTAGGCTTACCAGTAGATTTTTTTCAGTCAACATTTAACGATTCTTTTTGGGTATGAAAAGCTCTTAATTAGCACTATTTTGTTTCTCTTATACATCATAGTTTTGTTTAGGTTATCCGTTGCATACGTTATCCTTCTGTTGATGCAAGCGAGAGTAAATCGCCGGAATATGGTCACGGTTGTGGTGAGCATTCGGATTATGGTTGGTTAACATTTGTCAATCAAGATCTTGACTCGCGAAACTGTCTTCATGTTCGAACCAATGATACATCAAACGCAACATATGTCTCAGCTGATCCTATTGTTGTCGAAGAACAGATTGCATTAACATGCAATATTGGCGACATAATTTCATTCATAACCAAAAACAAATACCGTTCTACGCGTCATTGTGTCGTCAGTCCCGCTAAACCTGCTCGATCGCGTGTGTCTACGCCCTTCTTTTTCGAGCCAAACCTTGATGTTAAATTACAGATCAATGAGAATGCTTCTCAATGTTACTATGGCGAATATTTAATCAACAAAGTTCGAACGAACTTCAATTATTACAACGATGAAGCCAAATAATTGCTGCATAAACTGTGTGTAGATAGAAATTGCTCTTGTGCATATTAATTGAGAAAATAAATATAAAGTTTGTACTCTGTGGTAAAGGTCACATGATTATCAAAAGGAATGCAAATCAGAAAGCGTTTTGTTTCATAGCAATAATCAATCAATTCTACTATGTAGGGTAATTAGTCAAAATACTCCGACAGTAGTCGATTTTCTCTCTTTCATCGAACGAATTTCATTTTGCAGATCCATATCAATGTCTCACTCATATGAACAAATCTGCAGTTTTTCCTTCATGCCATTCGTACTTAGCTCGTCTGTACTCTTTAAAATGTGTTTCCTTTCCAAATGACATATTTATATCTGCAAAAGATCATTTCGAAGTCGAATGACATTTGTGTTTTCCAGTGTAAACTATGACAAAGGCGTTGCATATCGTTTCTTTTTTTTAATTTTGACGGTTTTATTTGCTCCGTGCATAACTAAGACGCAATGATCTATATATATAAGTCTAGTCGTGCTCGACGAAAAGTTCCTCAAGGGCATACCGTCAATATTGCCTATTAGAATAGCAGAAAACGATTAGGGCTGTGTCATTGTCTTCCATAGAGATTAATTATATTAGTCTATGTTCTTTATCCGTATGAATCTAAACGAATAGACCGTAAGAAACGTTATATTCAAGAGATCTATAGAGAGAAAAAGACGTGCTTTATTATTTCTTGAATCTGTTCGATCAGAAAAAGCTTCGTCTTAACTGCAGCATACAAAAATCATCTTTCCAGTAACATGACACATGCAAAGCAATGCTGTTTTAGCTTTTGCAAAGAATTTAAAGCGTATGTATTGGAAAAGTAAACACTCTTGTTCATAATTTCGTTCTTCTGCTCCTAGATTTGCTACCCGTGGTAATGTTTTGGACTTGGCAATTGGTATTGTCATTGGTACTGCATTTACCAATGTAATTCAGTCAGTTGTTGATGATATTATAACACCACCACTTGGTTTAGTTTTGGGCGGCGTTGATTTTGTTAATTTGACCGTAAAAATGAAGAATTTCGTTTACAAAGATCAACCACCAGTTGTCATTCGTTATGGAAAATTTGTTCAATCAGTAATTACATTAATAATTGTAGCAATGGCACTCTTTTGCGTCATCAAAGGTATTAATCAACTTTACAAAATGACCTCAAAAAAGAAAGCGAAGAGTAACGTTGACACAAATATCGAAGTGAGCGAAGAAGTGAAAATTCTACGAGATATTCGAGATTTATTAGCACGACAATCAACAACTGATTCGATACATGTTCAAGTATGAACTGCTTTCTTCTGTAGCATTTTTTCTGGGAAGAGTTCGTATAAATAAATAAATATGTGTAGCATTTGTATTCAATGAGATTGATTAGAAAGATGGCAAACTCATTGCCATGCAACTGAATGAATTAGAATATATTAAAGGAATAGGATTGCATGGATAACTATTTGAAACTATAATGGTACACTAAATATTATTTCGGGAATCTCTGTGTCTGATGAAAGTGAGTTTTGGAAGCTGGGAATCGATTGAAAATTCGTCTGTTTTCGTCAAACAAGCCAATAGCCTTACAAATACCCATCCGAATGAATATAGCTGAAATATGGTAAAGTAGTTTTCACTCCAGAATGTGAAGGATATGGTAACCGAAATCTTTACCAACAAGATGATTTTGTAGATTCAATTAATTTCCCTATAAATGTTTCGCAAGGAAATATTTTTGTCAATATTTTGATTGAAATTTGATAAACATACTGATATTTAATATGAAGTGCCCAGCAGACTGAGTCTTGACTATGCGGATGCAAACAAGCTTTCGTAGTACTCGTAACAAAAAAAGAAAAAATTCCTCCTACCGTATATCGATGTCGTAAAACAAATCCGAGGTATCTCTGTATCCGTTTATTTCGGAAGAAAAAAAATCAATAAAAGGTCATCATGATGCTCAATAAGAAATACATATCACACAGTTAGTTTCATTGAATGATGACATTAACACAGATCGAAATGTGAATCGATATCTATATGTTTTATTTCTCTCAGACTGTAAACATACAATTATAAAGAATATCCAGATGGAAGACAAACAGATTGTTTGTTCTGTTTTCGTAATTTATACGTTAGAGTGTTCCTTCGATATATTTTGACTGCGTAATATATTTCTATGATATTAAACGTATTGATAAGAAAAAACTGTCATGAATTCGATCTTGCGTGATCATGCAAAAAAAAAATTTCAAAAATATCTTGAGAAAACTGGCGAAATATTGTCGCCTCAGCAGGAATTTGACTTATTCGATACAACGATAAGTTTTCAAATTTTCTTCTCAGGTTCAGTTTAGTGTAACAAGGAAGGAAGCGACAATGAAAGTCGTTTAATTATGATTTCAGAAATTCGCACAATTCAAGAAATAAATTCCAATAAATTTTGTTCATTGTATTTAGATGAATGTACCGGTCCCCAACGAAGATTACCGACTTCAGAGAACGTTTGCCACAATGAAAATTTATCACACCAGATGAAGTATATCTATTTGAGTTTCATCTCATCCATTTTTACTAAAAGTTTCTTTGAAGCTCGAAATACCGCAGTTACAAATTATTTTATATACTTGTTTTATTCACAATTATATGTATGCTTGCTGCAATTCTAGTTGTCTATTTTACAATACCGAATAAAACAAGTATAACTACTCCACCTTGAACATGAATGCGTGTAATATTTTTTCTTTCTCAATCTTGTCAGAGGACATACGTAAATCGGTTATGAACACAGTTACTGATCAGCTGCTGATCTGAATAACGATGGATATTTAGATATCGCTGTATCTAATTATGGCGATGTTGGTGTTTTTCTAGGTTTAAGAAATGGAATATTCATGGATCAAGTGACGTTTTCAACTGGTGTAAACGCTAAACCATCGTCTGCGATCGGTGGAGATTTCAACAAAGATAATAAACAAGATATTGTCATAGCTAATTATGGTATTGACAACGTAGAAGTACTCATTCAGTTTTATATGGGATACTTTGGAAAACCAACGTTGTATTCCACTGATCCAGACTCTGACTGTTGCTACTGATGATTTCAACGATGGCAACATGCCAGATGTTGTCGTTCTTGACAACGTAAATCATGTTGTATACGTTTTTATCACTTCGCAATCGAAGTTTTACTGTATCCACAGCATATGACACCTCATTTGGCACCTGGCCAGCATCGATTTTGATTGGCTATTTAAATAATGACTCGGAACTAGATATCGTTGTTGGTCAACTTTTCGGCGCACAGATATCAGTTTTTCTTGGCCTTGGTAACGGCACATTTTCTGTGTCAATAGCGTTTACAAATAGTGATCAGGGTGGACCAAACTTTGTCATTATCGCAGATCTTGACAATGATAATTGTTCGGATATTGTTGCTGCAAAAGGTGGAGTTCACGTCATTGAAATAATGTATGGTATGTGTGATGGCACATTCTCTAGACGGGAAACTGTACCAACTCTTCCAGGTGCACTACCATCTTTTCTTGATGTTCGTGATCTCGATAAGAACGGATGGCCCGATATCGTTGTCCTCAATAGTGCATTGAGTAGTGTAACTGTGATGTTTGGACATATTAACAATTCTTTTGACGACCAAATAACGATGTCGATTGGAAAGGATGCTCAGTCGTCAGCAGTTGTTATTGTCGATGTTAACGATGATGATCTCGATGATATCGCTGTTGTGAATTCACAAAGCAGTGCTGTTGTTATTTTCCTTGGTTATGTTAACAGAACGTTTTTCAGTCAAATCACTTATTCAACAGGTTATAACACATACCCAGTATCAGCTGTCTTTGCTGATTTCAATGACGATCGTCAACTGGATATGGTTGTGTGCAACACTAAGAGTGATAATATTGGTATTCATTTCGGATATTCTAGTACGAGTTTTGTGAGTTTACCAGCCTATTCGGCTGGAGTGTTTTCTCGACCAATGTCTATTGTGATTGAAGATTTCAACAATGATACTCAACTAGATGTTGCTGTTGTCAATTCTAGAACTGATAATCTCATGGTTCTTCTCGGATCTACATTTGGAACATTCATGTTCGATTGCAATTGCTGATTTGAACCGAAACAATCAATCGGATATTGTTGTTTCTAACAGTGAAAATGATAATATTATTGGCATCTTTCTCGGCAAGAGCAATGGCATGTTTGCCAATCAGAGCATATATTCGACTGGTCTTCAGTCTCAACCATCATCCGTTCGTATTGGTGACTTTAATAACGATACTTTGTTAGATATTGTTGTGGCCAACTATGGAAGTAATACAGTTGGTGTGTTCCATGGATACGGCAATGGAAATTTTTCTGAGCAAATCATATTCTCCATTGGTTTTAATTCTCGACCATTTGCATTATCAGTAGCAGATGTGAATGAGGATAATGTGACAGATATTATTATCGGAAACTAAGGATATGGAAGTAAAAACATTATCATAAAACTATGTTGAAATAGTGTGCTACTTTTGAACTACTAACATTGTGTTATTGTAAATTTTATTTTTTAATCTTTATTTTCTCGTAAAATAAATTGGTTAAAACTATCAGTAAGTCAGATTAGTGCCATTGAGGCTAGTTGCCAAGTAAGATTTCTAACATATTGGATGACCGGCTGCACTGGCATTGAAGCTATGGTTGTCAAAAATTGCATTTCTATTTAGGTAACCATTCACAACGATGATTCCTCTCCATAGTCTCATTCGAATATATAAATTTAACAGCCAAACTTAAGACCCTATGCTCAAGTTCCTTCAGTTAAATGCGATCTCGCCAAAATACAACATTGCAACAATTCCAATATATACTTCAATTTCCCAACTACAATTCAGTTGCACATTGCTTTGCTAACACTTGCTTTTCTTTAAGTAAATACTGCATTTTATGTGACGATTTGAAACTTTCCTGTCTTGATCAATAGACTTATCGTACGACATGTTGTTATTACTTTGAATACACATACGACGACTCATTTATCTCTTATGGGTATGTTTCAAATGATGTTTTTTCTTTTACTGATGATGCTCTCAATGGTTACATCTCCGTTACAAAATTGTTCTTATTATTTCTAATTAGAAAAGCAGGCTCTTGAAATTTCCCATGTAGAAAACAAAGTACCGCATATGACTACACTCCATTATCATCATTATTACTCTATAAATAAAGATGCAAGATACGTTCTGAAGTACACTCGAAAAGTTGTCTGGTAGACGCAAGCTCCTCGATATAAGCTAAAAGTATATCTCCTATACTCATAGTATGCTAGATGAAACTATTCTTCAAATTAGCATTGTATAATCACGTTCTTTTCAACTTGATACTGCGCTATTGAACGCAAAGGATTGTATATCCTCTTGTGCAACTGAGAAGATCTTGTTATTGGATTGACTTCAGATCGATTGGTGGCACACAGATAAATACGGAATTACTAGATATCAACCGTCTTCAAATTGTGTGCCATTGACCGAACCTGAGCATACTTTTATTGTTACATAAAACTAAAATGGAAACCTAGCTTTCGAATGAATAATCGTCCTTTTAGTCATTCCTCGATGCATGACACGGTAACGCACGGCAAACATGTACTATTAGTAGCCGTGAATTAAAGTGCCATAAATCAGAGAAACGAGTTGAATGTAACCATTAATGATAACACCTACTTTGTTGAGATTCCACCGATTATGTTCAGATTGTATAACCTGAATACTGATCCATTGCTAGAAATGATTCCTATTTATAGTCAGAATTGGTTACAAAGCTTTATTTTAATGACCAATCCTTAAACAGAGAGAGAATGAGCATGGAGAAAAATCGTCATCACTTTCTTTCTCTCTCTTTCTCTTCTCTTCTCTTCTCTTCTATCTGTTCGTAGCGTATCTTTTCTTCAGAAGAAGAATAATCATTTCACACCTTTCCAATTGGTTCAGTTATGACAAAAGGGAAAGAATATCCAATTGATCTACGGTGACAAATGAACTAATTGGCAGCAGCACAGACAGAACCCCATGATGCCATAAGCAGCTTGTATCAATTCTTACTGAAACAAATTGACAAGTGATACAGTAACATTTGTCACATGTTTGAAAAATGTCTGATTTTTGAAGATCGTTTCACACAAAAGTTACAAAGTGCCGAATAATTCCAGTTCGTTATAGAAGACAAATGAACAATTCCACAGTTACGATTATGCATAGAGTTCTACTTTTTTTTAGCCTTGCTTTCTTGCAATACCGATCACAGATATCAAATGAGAAAATCGATGAAATTGTAAAACTCTTGCATCACACCACAGCGGTTGTGAGGTTTTTTCAATGACATAAACCAATTGTTATTTGGACAAGCAATCCAATCCAACCTGCTGCTTTTCCTTAATTCAATTATCTCAAACTCATTGAACATATACGATAGATACACATATGTGATCACACTTCACAGTCGAATGATAACGTTCTCTTGAAAAAATGGAACGATGCGCTGGGAAACGAAGAAGATAGAATGTCTAATATATCATCACCTATTCGCATGCACTTGTCAGTCACATCGAAGAGATTTTTTTTTCTTATTTATTTCAATTTATAACAAAAACGAAAAGACGTTATCTCAAATGCTTGAAGAGTTATAAGATCAAAAACTAGAAGAGAAATTGAGATAGTGATCATTGATTGTACTTCTGAGAGAAACAAAGTGTCTCTTCCAAGATGTTCTTTTACAAGCTGTTGTTCAATTGCGAATAACATGTATGATCAATTAGAAGCATCATCGGTATATGTGAATAATGACAACGAACGAACGAACGAAATAGTCATCTATTTTTCCGAACAAGCTGCTACTCTTACACAATTGTCATCGGCATAAACTTGTTGACAAACAGACGCTAACCATTGTGAATCTTTTTCTTCAACATTCTCTTTTTTATTCATTTAGAAAAGCTCGTTGCGGCTTCGCTTTCTGACACCTTTTCCTATGCTGTCGACAATAAAACATATTGGATTGTAAGGTGTCTAGTTGTGTACTCTTAGATGATTGATCAAGATAAATCATTCTTGCTAACAAGATTGCAGAGAGTATGATGTTATCCGTTCGACGATCGACATCATGTTTTCTCATGATTGGTATATTGATATAGAGTTAGAGATCTACTTCGCTGTTCAGAACAGAATAAGACGATGGAACCAGACATGACCAGTATCATCCGCATTAAGTATAACATATTATTGCAGAAAAGCTCCATGCTGGTTTATTTCTTTTCAAAACAAAAGCATCACATAGAAATCATAAATATGGAAAAAGCGAAAGATCAAACATATTTATTGTGCAATGATAGTCTTTTCTTGAAACAGATACTTTTTGAATTTTAGAACAATTCGAATTCGTTGCTGTTGGGACTCGCTCGATTCTCCCTCTTCAGTATTTGTTGCTGTTGTTTTCGCTTGCTGTTTACGGCCTTTCCCTGTACTACTCAACGCTTGTTTTGTTTCATCGGTGAGACCATCTAAATGATTAGTGTAGAGATGATATTTCATTGAGCTAGTCTTACTCATAAATCGGACTTTAAATTTGCCACTTTGACCGAATGGTGACTCAATGAAACCTTGTTCGCCTGTTGGTTGAAGTTCAACTTTGAAATTAACAAACGAATTGATATTTGTCTCTTTTTGAAATAGATCTTTTCCGATGATTGTTTGGTCATCAACTAATCGATCAATGTATCCAATCTTTTCCTTTCGTTTATAAATACGGAGTTTAGTCGGTAAGTCCTTATTTAAATAGTCACTGTCGGTAAATCCGTCAAGAACATGACCATGAAAGGCTAATCGACAAGTATTGGAATGAATATCTGTATCTAAACGCGAGCCGATTAAAATCGATTGCGACTGACAAACAATCGACGATTCGAGCTGTATTAAAGCCTAAACAAATCGAAGAGAAATTCATCATCGAAACAAAACTGTCTTCGAATACATACGAATATCTGCGTATTTTCTTGTGAACCGTCGGCTGGATATTGATCAATAGCTTCGAATTCTTTTCCGAAGTTGAATTTTTCGTCTTTGTCGTTCGAATGATCTGCGAATAGAACAATCTTGCCCATTACAGTCGAATGTCCGCAAGTAATGTGAAATTTAGTTCGACTTTCGATTTCATGTTTGAAATGTTTAACTTTGTTCATCCGAATAAGTAAGCCATGGAAGATTTTGATAATGCCCGGCGTAGCTAAAAATCCTCTATAGCTTTAGTACAGACATCTCACTCAACATCGATCTCCTTACCAACCAGGCCTCGCTCGAGTTGATCAGGATCGAATTGAGTAACACATATACCAATGCGATCACCTTGTATGGCTCTGTCAATTGGTTTGCGAAACATCTGCATCGATTTGACTTTACGAATTTCTTTTAACGTTGTAATTTCAATAGACTATCAATAGAAAGAGTTGTGTCGAACATATTGAACAAAATTTAACATGAAACTTACATCATTGATTTTTACTGAACCAGAGAGAACTGTCCCTGTCATGATAGTTCCTTGTCCACGAATCGAAAAACAATGATCAACTGAAAATACAAATGGGCCATCTGGTGATCGTTGAGGTATATAAATATATGACTGAAGAGTTGATATAACTTCGTTCAAATTCAGAGTTGACGACGCAGAACAAGGGATAATTGGCGTTTGTGGAAATTTCGTTGACTCAAATGTTTTTCGTAACCGTTTTATCATCTAAACAACTATGTTCAATCAGTTATATTTGATCAAGTGGATGCACTGTTTATTTTAGCTACCTTGTCTATGGTTGATTGCCGTTGAGATTCTTCAATGAGGTCGATTTTATTTAATATAACTATCATCTTATCACATGTTATTTCACCAATAATTAAACACTCTGCTGTTTGTGTTTGAATGCCTTTTGTTACATCAATTACAAGAAACATTAAATCAATGATCTGAGCACCTGAAAATACGACTGTCAGTATTCGTATTCATTCATCGAACTGAATATACCTCCGATAATTGTGCGTATTAACGATGCGTGCCCTGGACAATCGACTAGTGTGATCTGCAATTGCTTATAGGTACTAGCACTCAGATGTTCAGGCATATCCATTGAAAATGAAGAAAAGCCGAGATCGAGTGTGATTCCACGTTCTTGACTTTGTGGATTTTTATCGAAAGCATTTGTGCTAAAAAGATGAGTCGATTGAAAACAGACAAAAATTTATGTCAACTCGTCTACCTAGCTGTAGTACTCAAAGCTTTAGCGAGACTTGTCTTTCCTGAATCGACGTGTCCAAGAATACCAACGTTAAAGTTAAGTATCGACATCTAAAGAACAAAAAATATATGAATTGATGATAGTTTTGGAAACAGTGATGTCTTGCATTTATATACAAAGAAAAACAACAACAATAATAGAGCTATTCGTTTTGTTTTCTTTCTTGAATAGATTTAACATTTCGACATGAATGTGTATATGTAGAGAAGAGTATTTGTTCATGAACGATCTCGTTTATCATAACGTTCACGATAGTCAGGTGACCGAGATCGTGTGTGTGAACGATAATGCTGACGTCGTCGATCTTCACGTGATGAACTACGTCGTTGGTTTTTATGTGATTTGTGACGCTCAGAACTATCATCACGCCGATGACGATGGTGATGTCGACGACGATCGGTTGACCGTGAACGTGAACGTGTGCGGGAACGATCGTCACGAGACGATCTAAACAAAAGAGAACAATTAACAAAACTGAAAATAAACTTTCATTTCATATATTTACCGATATTTTTTATCCCGATAAGGATCTGATGATGATGATGCGTGATGTTTACTATAGGACCCATTGCGGTCGTTCGACGATGATGGGCCTACGTTACCGAATGTTTCAGGCATATCGATAGCATTTGATGAGCTGCCTCGATGCTGTTGTTGTTCTTCTTCTTCGTATCCATCATACCCATATCTACAATCGATTGAACAGAAACAACTTACAATTGATAAATATCAACCAAGAAGTTATTTTCATTCGTGCTTACTTTCACCTGACATACCTTGAATGTGCACCGTAGTTATCGCCTTTATATGGCCCGTGAGCATGCAGCTTTTCCATGATATCCTTTTGAATCGGTACTGGTATTCGAGGAAACAATGTATCGTACCATCTTTGTAAAGAAAAAAGAAAGAAACAATGAGATGAAACTGAATAGCATTCTGAGAATTGAAATACTCAATGCGTGTTAGCCATTGACGAAGTATTTGACCTATAGACATGATGCAACCACCACCAGCTTTAACATCTAAACTCTAGAGGAACAGAGGATTGAGCATAAAATACTTTCAATTGATTTAGAGTTGCATACCTCCGTGTCATCAAGATATTCTTCAAACCATTCAAATAACTCATTTGGTGGTTGCGTATATCTAATAATTATCAATAGAGAACCATCCTTTTAAAACATTTTACATCTACTGTACCTACCGAATATACATAAAGCCAAGGGCACGTATGTACGTTGAATCAGTATGAGTTGTTAAACTGATAACTTGTTTACGTGTCAGCTTTAACGTATACAGCTTATATAACAGACAAAACGCCGTTGAAACAATTCCACCACCGCCAACACCGCGAACCTAAATCAGCAAACGGTAATACAATGAATGCTTAAATTAGTACGTACTCCACCACACATGCCAGTTAATCCTGATGTTTTACGGCTGCCTTTTTCCCATGGTTCTAAATGTCTTACCTAGAACGGGAAGAAAGCATGGCAGATTATTTCATCCGTTGAAAACAAAGAAAAAACATTACTTGATAATAGATTTCATCGACAACTTCATGATAAGTCTTCTTTTCATACAAACTATTTTTGAAATATTGTGATGCCATGATGTTGTTAAGCACAAGTGAGTTTAAATTCATTGAATCTTTATTACCCCATATAGCAAGAACATTGGAATCCCGAGACATGATTTTATTGACAATATTTTGATTGAAATCTGAAGTGAAGTCTTTAGTATTTCAATGAAAGGACTAGTAACTGAGCAAGATACAGAATGAGTGAATATTTCGCAAATAGTGTTTTTTGTTAGTTCTTCTTTGCTATCATCCAATGAAATCATGGCGCTAGTAGTTTATAACTTTAATATTAATCTCTATACATCATCTTATTGGTATCTTATCGAACTGAACGAAGTCTACTTATAAGAATGGACTGAGTTCTAATGAACTATAGTTTTCGTCTCGCGTACGCGTACTGGCGTTGTAGAGTGTATATATTCGTTATATCTTTGTTTTTTTTTTAAATATTTAGTATGATGTCTAGATGTAAAGAGTATTGATCAAGAGGAATATCAATCATATGAATTAGTATTCGCTCTATCACTCTAATTCAATCTCTTTCTTAGATAACGGCAATTTGTTCATGTGCTGTCTTGTTCAATTAGGTTCAACTCTACGTACTTTGTTATCTTGTGTCGACACCATCGGTTCGAACTGTTTTGTCACAGAAAGACAGTGTCGACAATGGATAACATGATTCGTAGCGAGATCTATAACGTCGTAGTCTTACATTATCACCAAGACAATATTCAGAATCTATACTAGTGCTTTTAATAAAAAGTTTCTTTTGTTAAACATAATGTAAATAGTCGAAATCCATGAAATACCGTATGGATATTTGTTTACGAGTCGTATCAACTGCTGTTGAGAAAATATAGGCGTGATAGATTTCACAGTAGATATGATTTGACATAATAATGGATTATTTTTAGTACAAAAAAAATGTTTGTTGCGCCAATACACCATCGATGAAGTATCTTCAATTGATTTTCGATTTTTTCCTTATAGATCTTATTCCATTTAAAAAATTTTTAAGTATGTCAGGCCTTTTGACTCAATTAGTTCGTCGTCAGGCGTCAATGATGATGCCCCGCCGAAATGCAAGTGCACTTTTTCTTGCAGGTCCACCAGTTAATAAAGTGACAAATAAAGTATGAAATCTGAACTTGCTATTATTCATCATTTATTTCGATCACTTTTAGGAAAAACTGATTGCTTTGGGTTTGTTTCTTAGCGTTCCCATGCTTTATCCAATTTATATTATGTCTAACTTACAAAAATACAATGGCTCAAATCGTACATGGTCGAAAAAGAAAGCTCGCTCCGACAAGAAGCAATCAGGCAAAAAAGCTGATCACTAATTATCATTCCAATTTCAAAAAGACATTCTGTTGTTGATTCTGATAGATTATTCCTTCCTATATTTACTGTTTTTCTTTGTTATCAGCAATAAAAGAAAACACCTCGTTTCCTCTCTTTGATTCCGTTATTACACTGTTTTTTTTCTTTTTGATCGGATAATTTAGATCTGTTCTGTGGATGCTTCCATGCTACAGCATAGAGTATTCTTAAATGGGCATTGTCTTTTAAAGAACAAATCCTATGATCGAATATTATTCATTCTTCGTCGTTTAGTGTCCTACGAACAACATGAATCGCCAACAGTCCCACATCATGTCCATCCGACTCCCGTTTTACCATTAACAGAAAAGATCCCTTCATCATGTCATATTCTCATTGCTGGCGGTGGAATTGTAGGACAATCCGTTGCTTATCATTTAAGTCAAATCGGTGTTGAAGACATTTTATTAATCGAAAAATCAAAGTAATAAAAATAAATGTCTTCAACTTCAAGCCATCAAATTTCTGCCATTCATTAGATTAGCATCTGGTGCAACATGGCAAAGTTCAGGACAGGGTATTCATCTGCAGAATACATTAATTCAAACGCATTTAACGAAATATTCAAAACAATTATACGAGAAACTGGAAAGAGATGGACATGATATCGGTATAGACATGTTTATGACAATAAAATCTCTATTGAGCGTTTGCTGTTTCCTAGGTTATGCGGAGAAAGGTAGTGTATGGGTTGCCCAAACATCGGATCGTTTACATACGTTAAAAAGGCAATATGCCACAATAAAACCATTAGGAATTGCCTGCGAGATATTAAATTTGGAGAAAATCAAAGAAAAACTACCGATTATTGATCCACATGAAATTTGGGTAAGGAAATAAAGGATTATCTTTGAACTAAAAATACTATTCGCTCTATAGGGTGGTCTTTGGGTAAAGGATGATTTTATGGTTGATCCGGTATCACTTGCTTTAACATTTGCTAAATTAGCGATCGATAACGGTAAACCAAGCGAGATCTTTCTATTTTTTGCTAGCAATTCATCACATTTCAATGTTATTTAGGCGTGAAAATAGTAGAAGATTGTTCTGTTAAAGAGATATTGACTGAAAAACAACGCGGTGGCCAATATGATCGTGTGACAAGCGTTGTGACATCTCAAGGGGATATCAAATGTGATGTATTTATAAACTGTACAGGATTGGTGAGGCTTTGTCTTGACGATACTTTTCATCTCATTGTCAATAATCGGTGTTCTTAGTGGGCCCGAGAACTCGGATACCAATCTTCACCTGGTGTGCGTATTCCTACACAAGCTTGTGGTAAGTGTGACAAGCAAATCTTGAAATGGGAAAAGTTCAATTTTGTCACTTTCTAGAATATATGTGTTTAAAAACAAAACCAATAGCGAACTTTCCGAAAGACACTCCGATTGTTCACGATCCAGACGAACGTTTTTACATTCAACCATTGGCGGATCAAAGTGTATTGATTGGTGGTTTCCTACGAGAATCTAAACCTATCTTTTCAAACGGTGTTCCAGAAACATTTAATTATTCACTTTTACCCGAAAACTGGGATGATTTTCGTAAATGATTTCTTCGATTGTTCTATTACATTAAGCATTTCTTTGTCTTATATAGATTGGATATTAAATAATGCTCTCAAACGATTGCCAATACTGGGAGATAGTGAATACGAAAATTTAATAACTGGTGCTGATAGCTATACACCTGATGGTCGGCTGATTATGAATGAATCTGCTGAAGTTTGTACCTTGGACGTTGATTTTTCATGTGGTGCCATTGTAATAATCTAGATCGATAATTATTTTGTTGCATCGGGTACAAATGGTAATGGAATAGCTGTTGCTGGTGGTGTTGGCAAATATATTGCCGAATTAATACACACAGGAAATACCGAGCAGAGCACATGGCCAATCGATATTCGTCGTTTTATGCGTTTACACACCAACAAACGATTTTTAAAAGACCGTCTTCGCGAAATTCCTGGTATGATTAACATTGTCTATGGAAATGAATTGGAAGAGTTTGTTTTAGGCAAGCAATATTCGTTAAAATATCCAACGTATGGAATGTCATTGTATCGAACAGGGAGAAAGCTGCGTGTTTCAGCATTACATCCAAAATTACAGGCAGCTGGCGCTGTTTTTGGCGAGGTTCTTGGATATGAACGGCCTTTATTCTTCAACTTGGACGAATTTGAAAAACGTATGAGAAAAACATGTCGATATGATTTTGCTTCTATTAGATCCTCTTTCCATAGGAGAAAATCTCGATGATCTTAGTAAACAGGGCACATTTGGTAAAGCACGCTGGTTCAATATCGTCAAAAGAGAATATAATGCGTGTCGAAAAGGTGTAGCTGTCATCGATATGACATCCTTTACAAAGTACGAATTAAAATCAGCCAACCGAAGTGTAATCGACTTTTTACAAATGCTTTGCGCAAATAATATCGATAAACCTATTGGCACAGTGGTTCACACTGGAATGTTAAACGAACAAGGTGGATACGAAAACGATTGTTCTGTTATACGACTAGACGATTATCAGTACGATGATGAAATTCAAATACATATTTTGAATGATGAGTTTGTTGTTTAGTTTTCTTCTCATAAGTCCAACGTCTCAATCGACTCGAAGTATGAAATGGTTGAAATCTCATGTTCCGGAAGATGGATCTGTATTTCTTTCGGACGTGACATCACTTTATACTGCATTGAATGTGATTGGACCCAAAGCGAAATATTTATTAGCGGAACTAAGTGATGAAAACTTTAACGACTTCTCAAGAATGACTTGTCGGGTATGTGAAATCTATTCAAACGAATCGTTCTATTGGTACTTTCTTTTCAGGAAATCGATGTCGGCTTTGTCAGTCATATTTATGCAATGAGATTAACGCATACAGGTGAAGACGGCTTCATGCTTTATATCCCATCTGAGGTAAGTCGAATCTCCGAGACGTTTCTCAAAAGAAAGATTTATACTTTTTTCTTCAGTATGCATTATGTGTATATGAACAATTGATGGAACAGGGGAAGGATTATGGAATTATTAATGCAGGGTATGAGGAGATAGAAGCAAGGCTATGCAAATCAGATTGATGTTTTTTTAGTTATTTTGCTCAGCGAACACTTCGTATCGAAAGAATGTATGCATTTTGGGGTCAAGATATTGATAAAAAGACAACACCATTTGACTTAAATCGCGAATTTCGTGTTTCATTTGATGTAGGGAAACTTACTCAGTGCTTTACTATAATCGGAATATCTTTGTATAGAAAGAATTTATCGGCAAAGCAGCTTTACTGAAACAAAAAAGCGAAGGTATACAAAAACGGTTTATCCAATTTCTTCTTGAAGATCACGATATGGATCTTGATCCATGGTAAACAATTTTTCATCCCATCCTACATAGAGCCGCCATTGGTTCTCTCTTCTCTTCAGGCCATGGAGTGGTGAACCGATTTATCGAAATGGAGAATTCTGTGGCTTTGTTACTTCGACAGCTTATGGTTTTACACTTGGAAAACAAGTAAGAAAGACATAACTCGATCGAATTTGAGTATTAGTCCTCATTTTCTTCCTAGGTGTGCTTGGGTTACGTTCATGCACCAAAAGGAGAAAAAATAACGACGGATTATATTCGCGGAGCCACGTATGAGATTGACATTGCAACAAAACGTTTCAGAGCGCGTCCTAATCTGTATCAGCCATCTGAAATGGGTCCTACCGTTCAACTTAGTACACCTTAGGCATAAATAGTACCGTACGTTAAACCTCACTCCTCTTTCTTCTATAAATAAATGCGCAAATTGTATGTAAAAAGAGACACACCTTAGACTAAATATTTTTTTGTTAAAATTTTCACAGAAAGACAAAAAAATCTTTTTTTTATATTTCTTTTCTTTTTGATAAATGTCTGTCCTTAAGAGAAAACCAAGATTTTGAAGCTTAAGAAATCCATGTTTCAATCAATGCCACTATTTCTTGACGAGCTTGTAATACACTAGGTGGGTCAGCTTTGTTCGCTCCACGTAAATCAAGATGATGAGCACCACCGGTTACTAATATAGCTGGTAGAGTTGGAGCAACTTGTACATTAACACCACCCGATGACCAAGGATCAAGATTTCCATTCGTAAAAGCGATATTTGAATAAAAACGGAGGTCACTGATATTTTTACCACCATATTCAATGTATGGCCACTCGAAACGTGGTCGAACTTGCCATTGAAGATAACAAGAGTCTGAAAATGCCTGAAAATCCCAATCTTGTTTTTCAAACATATCATTAACACCATCCGAACACATTGGCATAACGAATTCTGTACACGATTGATACGACCATCCTAAATCGCCAAGACTTGGCGTACCTAAACATATTTGTTTATACTATAGAATATATAGCGCTCTCTCTCTCTCCTGCTATTTACCTTGTGAACCAGTATCGAAACATTCGGTGTGACCAGTGTAGTTGAAAAACACATTTGTCCCTCTAACGATTCTTTGGACAATGTCGATATCATCATTCACTCTGTCTAATGACGATGCAGTAACATTGGCGCAGTATGCTCGGGCTGGAAAAGCAGGTAGATCTGCGAGAAACGATGTTGGATACGGATAGTCAACCATGGCGATGTTTCCATACATATCGAGTAACCAATTCTTTAATTCATCGGCAGTTTGTAATGGTCGACAAAGCTTAAAGAGATTTGTCAAACGTTGTAACCCACCAGCTGCTGCTGCAATACGATTGATTGCACCCCATGATGATCGGATAATATCCACACATTGTGAACTCTCTCGAAGAAAATCTTGAGTAACGACCTTGATTAGAAAACAAACGAGAAGAGTATGTAGACATTTGGTATAAGGAAGTTCTTACTCGAGAGAATGCTTCGCACGGTGTAGTCATTTGAAGAATAGGTGCAGATGCTGCATGTGCACCGGCAACAACATGTGGATATTTCATTCGAAAATAGGCTGCTAACATGCCCCCATACGACCCACCGAAAACAATAGCTGGACTATTTTCGGCACCTTTGATAGAGCTACGGATGTAATCAAGTAAATAAGCATAATCAGCAAGAGCTTGTCCACTTGTTAAATATCTTGCTAAAAAGATCAGAAGTATTCAGATTAATCTCTGGTTTGAATTCAAATGTTAATTACCATTTTCCGGTTTCAAATAAGATGCATTGCCGTAGGGTAAAGACTTTCCATAGTAGCGATGTTCACCAAAGACTACCATAGCATTGAACAAAGGTGCAATATCCCACACTGAAAAAAATCATTGATGCCTATCAAAACTGTACTCGAGTTGTTGTACTTACTGAAACCAGTATTGTCGCAGAAAAGATCAATATCACCTAGATAAAACAGCAACGATTTGTGAAAAAAGAAACATTTGCAATCTAACCTTCATTTCCAGCATAGAAAAAGATTGGTCTTCCGCTCTCCCAATAATCTGTGTTCAATGTATATCTTTGATCATATGTATCCGTGTTAACAAAACCAAAATGATCGACTTTTTGAGTTATGGTTCGAAATTGTCGACATCGTTCATCACGAATTTCGCGTCGCGAATTGAGCATCATATTCAAACGACGAGGCTTGCTCCATTTCGCTGCCGATAGATGCAAGAAAGCCAGAAGGCAACATGCAATCAAGTAGAATTTCATCGTTATCTTGAGAAGAAAAAGATAAAACGAATGAATGCAAAGTAGACGCTGGTTAACTTCGAGTTAATACACAAAAAAGATAAAGACTACAGTCATCATGATGCGACAATCTTTGCTCTTTTATTGATAATAATGAATGACAGTATAGAATAGAGAGAACAAATAATCATGTTAACATGCATTTTATTTCTTTTTTTGTCATCTATTCGAAAGATAGTATGATTTTATGTCAACCGCTATGTTTTCTATTGTATCGAGTCGTCCATCTGGCTAATATTCGATTAGATGATCTTTTGATGAGTGACAACGAAGTGTATACCGAGCCTATGCATTGATTTGTTGGAATGTAGATGAATGATTTCAAAACAAAATCGAAAATTTCCTTTGCTGAAGTAATTTGTATTAGAAAACAATAGGAAAAACTACTATAACAAGAATCAATTTTGTTTATCAATCGTTTTCTTTGATTTTTAACTAGAAGTGGACGAACGTTGTTGATTTTCAATAATCGAACGTTGTTCTGGTGTGTAGAGATTTCCAATGAGTACCTAGAATATGTCCAGACAGATCCTTATCAAAATTTCGATGATTGCTTTCCCAAATATACCTGTCTCCGTATGATAGCAAGGTTCGCTTGTCCACGTTGGACTAACTCTGATATCTTTGCTGAATCTTGCATTTGTCGATTCTGTCGAAACTCCTCGCGCACACGTCGAAGGAAATACTCACTAAAACAATGAGATATTTCATGAATATGTACGAAACCAAGTCTACCGATAATTGTAAAGTGAAAATTTATGACATTCACGGAGTAATTCTCTATATAAATTAAGCACGGGCTGTCTTGTAGAATTCATCCGGAAGTTCACAAACACAATATTGATATGATCTGAAAATAAACAAGAGTTGTGCTCACAGATTCATATCGAATCGAAAAAGAAATGTTCGATATATGTGTACTCCATTACCATTCTCTTAGAATCAAGGATCAACAGTACCACGCAGAAACTGATTACACAACTGTTCCAAGAACTTTTCATATAACCTTATTTATTATCTTGCTCTTCTCTCTCACGTTGACCGGTTTTTTTTATGTCCGATGTTCGAGAGAGAAAAGATAGGCGTGCGTTCTGTGTTACGATGAAAACATGACCATACGATCGACTGACTAGAATTTTATTTAGCCAAACTATGTGCATGTGTGACAACACAGGAGAAGAAATGAAAGATATATCGGAATGAAGGAAGATGTCACGTCCAGATGAACCATAACACCCTTTCCCTTCCTGAGAAAAAAGATTTTCTAACGGAAATCTTTTTTTTAAAGAACAAGTAGTTTTAATAATAGAAAAACGAAGAGAAGAGAAAGCAAACACAATAGCTGTTTTTCAAAAAAAGTAAAATCTGACAGCAAGAAGAAGTTTTACTATTTTTGCTGTTCATCGACGAAATTGTTGTCGAAGTGAAAATTGTCGATGAAATGATGTTGAATCTTGTTGTGATGAGTGATGAAGTGATGATGATGGATAATATAAACGATTTGATGATACTTTTGATTGATGCATGATAATAGTTTGTTGTGGATCAATGTCGACAATTAGCAAGTTCGCGTGAATGATTCATGAAAAAGAGGATATTTCATAAGTTACCTAAATCATAGATTAGAATTGTAAACTGAACGAGTCGTCCAATACTTTTCCAATTGGAGAATTTTTGTCACCAATTATCATTGGTCACTATTACATCCGTTTCTTGATCATTTTACTGCACAGATGTCATTCTTGATCAATAAAAGATGTCCAGCGATAAATTTTCCTATTCGTTGTCTTGTCTTGCTTCTTTGAAAGCGTTTTCATTCGAGAAAGTTTTCGTCAATACAGAAATAATTTCTGTTTTCATGTATGATAATGATTCATATTAGCATTATTAATGTTCTGGTATAGTTTCCAATGATAAAATTGATCATTCAGTTTACGCACATAGAAGTACGATCATCAACATAAGTAATTTCCAAAACCAATAGAAGATAATATCAATCAATACACACGAAGAATAACGGAGATATTGATAAATTCATCGATAAAAATATTGGTAAATCTTTATGTCTCTACTTTTCATTCGGTTCTCTTATTCTTTAATTTGATCTTGAAACATAAATGGGTCGAACGTTGTTAACATGTACTCGAGTTTTCACTTGTGTTAATTCATCTTGAAAGATAACTTGTAGAGCAACTGGATATGTGGGATCCGATTTGCTCTTCAAACCGTGCTTCCTAATCAAAACACGATCATTCATTAAACAATGTGGCTCATCTCATTGTGTATCATGACGTGTTTTGTATGGTTTTTCTTTATCCGTCATCCTGTCGCGGGCATTTCGATGTATGATCTACCGAATAACAACGCATATGATGAATATTAGGTTGTGGAATCAGTTCCAGTGTTGTAACCAAATACCACCAGTGTCAAGAATTCATCCCAACTAGTTTTCTCTATCTTGAAGTTTGACAATTTGTGAAATGAATGCCGCGTTAAACCCCTCACTCATGCCATTCGATTGAGGATGATATGTGGTTGAATAGATGTGGTCATATCCTACCAATTTCGACATTGCTTCTATCATTTGATTGCAAAAATGTGTTCCGTGATCGGACAACATCACTGCCGACACCTTAAATCTACGAATGCATTCGTTGAACAATGCTTCAGCGGTTGTCTGTGCCGAGTAATCAGGTACGACAACAGCAACCATTCATCCTATGAAGTATTCTGCGATGCAAAGTACATAATCATTTCCACGAGTAGTCGATTTAAGTGGACTACAATAATCCATACTGACTAATTGACATGTTTCTCCAACAGAAGAGATCGGTTGTAAATAACCAGTTTTTTTTGAACGACTAACATTGTGTTGTTTTAATTTTAAGAATGATTCATATAGTGGTTCGTTCCGTTTGGAATTCTTCTTATTTTCTTGGTCAAATTTGTTACTTTGTGTATCGGCACGGCTAACGATGCAGATCCAGCAATGAATATCCTGCATAATGATAAATCTCCCAGAAACTCGTTCGTCTCTACTAGAGTAGACGGCTCCGTTTTAGAAGCGAAAGCAATTTCGAAATAAAGATGCCATGTTCAAATGAACCATAACAGAAAGGAGCCGTATCTAAAAAGAAAACTTGTAGTTGTCGTGTTTTTCGATTTCTTCTCTATTTTATTATAGGAACAACAAAAAAACGAAACGAAATGATCGTCGATGAAGTTAAAACCAAGTATACAGATATAGGGTGTGAAAATAAATGACAAAAAGTGCGAGAAAGAGAAAAATGTTATATAAACGTTTGTTTTCTTCTATCGAAGACTGTAGAGAAGGAGAAGAATAACACAAACTGCAATAACAGTACCCAGTACCAATGAATCTTTGCGTTTTTTCATCTTTATTTTTTGTAAAACATTATTTACCAATGGAAAACGATTTGCTATTGCATTAACTTTAGTTGTTATATTCAATAAATATTTTTTTTGATCAAATAAATCTTTTCTTAATGCCGACGCCATTTCTAAATTAGTATCAATTAGTTTATGGGAACTATTCAAATGGCTCATTTCACGCAGGTAGAGATCTTGACGGCGACTGCTTAAGCCTGTTGTCATATCAGAATTATTTGCATTCATGTTCAGTAGACGATCTTCACGATTTTTCATATTTCGTATATTGGTTTTGGTACGTTCGAATTCACGACGATAATCTTGTAAAATTTCATTATGACGTTGTAAGGTATGTGTTGCAGCTGAGTTTGGTCCAAGTAAGGATGGCACAACATCTGACATGCGTTTGTTTATATCAGATAAACGTTCAAGAAGTTTCTCGATTTCTATAGACATGCCTTCGAATGATGATGGGGAAGTTGTTGCTGATAAGGATGAATCATTCAGATCATGCGAAGCATAATTTGAACATAATTTCGAGAAAGAAACTAATTTTGTATCGATTTCATTTTCATGTTGACGAGCTTGTTTACGCAAATCTTCCCAATCGGCTCCAGGATTTGTTGGCATTCGAGAAGTTGCGGGCGTTTGTAATAGGGTCGGGTTACCGAATGAACGGCTCATGATAGAACGAAAAATTGATCAAACAAAAACATTGGATCTTTGAATGGATGTGTAGGTTGAATTTGTCAGAAAAAAGTTTAACATTTAACGAAATATGCTACGTATACTCAAGGGAAACATCATCACGTCACAATTGATGGAATGATTCGATACAGGTGTGGATCAGTGGCCTATCAGATAAGAAAGTTGACAAAAACAATTCGCAAAATTTGAACGAATGAATCGAAGGAATTGATTGAAAAGGAATTTTGTTTTGTTTTGTTTAGAAAATTCATAAAAATTGAATGAGATAGGTCAGACACTAGTGACATCTGTACATGGACGGAAATTAGATCTACAGCTAGTATTATCTATTTCGGAATTGTTCCTTTTCTTCTTTCTCGTTCTTACGTACTCTTTTTCTTTTTCCTCTATCGAGTGCTATTATTACTTCCAGAACTTTGTGTCGATATACTATCATATAATACTCTACAGAGACACACGACCGTCATGTTCCTGCAATCGATTACTATCATCGGCGTTCTATTTGGCTGTCTTGAAGCTAAGCCAGTTATATATCGAAATGTTTCTGGTGAGTTTAGACGAAATTTCTCCAATTTTGCGATACTTTTTTATTTCTCAGATTGTAGCATCACTGTTGACGAGATCCTTCACTATCAAGGTAAACATTCATTTTCAAAATTTGAACATGAATGCTTGGCATGGACTGATTTGCAAACAATCTATCCCGACGTTATCAATGAGCCGAACTTTTTTAATGATGCATCAGTAAAAGCAGCCAAAAACTATTGCCGTAATCCAAATATGAATGTCAATGGACCATGGTGTTACATTCAAGATGGAGATGAAATTATTGCTGAAGAATGCGCAGTCTGTCAAAGTCTTGGTACGTTTAAAAAGCCCGTTTGAGATGATCATGTTTCTCTACTGAATTGTTTGTTTTAGCATCTCGACCAACATTTCCGACAAATGTTGAAATTTCTGATGATATGTTCGACATGCCTGTTCGTACTAATTTCTTCCAGCACGTTCGTGATGAATTACAACGCTATGGAATCTTCGTTCGCGACAAAGTTCTTGAAATAATCAATCGTATGCACGAAAAAATGCGTAATTTTCGCGCTCGAGTCTCCGATCATTTCAACTATTAACACTAACAAGCTATTGTTCGTGGAACTAAACACTTTTTTGTTTTTCTGTACATGGAATTTCATCTAAGCAAGCTAAGAATGATTTCAAATCAAATAAACCTTCGCATTTATCCATACTAATTTCTCTTCCGATGACAAATTCAGTTCATTAAAACATGGTGCATGACATGCACATTACTTTATCTTATTACGTATTTCAGTCAGCTCGTTTGAATAACATTACAACTGTGTTATTTTTATCATTCATCGTATGAAAGACACAGAGGAAAACTTCTCGAAGACAATTAACATCGCATAAATACAGGTGTTTGCACAGATAATGGAGTTGGTTCTTCATAGATCGGTTCTTCGTCTAAAGATAGACTCCCACAATCGGATTAATGAGAAATTCAGATGAATTTACCCCTCGAATCAGTATCATTTAAGTACCTTGGCGGTTCAGATGTTTTCACTGGTAAATACGGTTTTGTAGCTATAATTCACAGATAAAAAAGTTCGAAATTAGTCGAAGCAAATGATTTCGACGATTACTTTGCATCGTTGACATCGTCATTGTCCTTGAAATAAATGAAACATAAGAGTAAAACAGACGGGAGATTACCTTCACATTTGTGTGTGAATGATTGAACTTACCTTGATGATACTAAAATATGACAAGAAGGAAAAGGTTAATTCTATGATAGAGTCGAATTCAATATCAATTACTTGTTTTATTACGACGTTTACAAACTATCAGCAAGATTACTAAACTCAGCAGGACAAGACCACCAAACACTGAACCGAAAATAATCGCCAGTTTTTTGCCTGAGTGAATCAATTAAGAAGATGTTTTCAAAAATCATATATCCTCAAAAAAGATCTACCTCTAGATAATTTTGGTTGTCGTCGATATCCTAGAATTGCCATTTGTCCATTGAGATTCGGCTTATCTTCTGTATAAAACGTGTATCCCGATGACGGATCCGGTAGAATCGCATCTAGTTTAATGACAACAAACATTTGATTGATAACAACGATGAATTTCAATGAGTTATCAAAGCACCTTTTATAGTAATAACACTTGAAAGTGTCGAATGCTGTCGCTCGTCGATCAACAGCTCACATCTCAATGTTTGTTGATTGGAATATGAATTTCGTCTTAATATCGTTCGTTGATTTGCACAAACGACCCATGAACCATCAAGTTCTTGTTTTTTATTAACTTCAATAGTATCTCGCGTATCACCAACTTGATTCATATCAATATTTACATTTGTATAACCAGTCACCGATGCACAACAATGTAATTCAAGGTTGGTTTGATCAGCAACTTCAAATCGACTTAAATTTTCGTCAACAAGATCATCCGAACGTTGGCACGAACCAATCGGACCGTGGCATACGAAATTCCAATAGAATGAGTCAACATCTCAAAGAAACCATTCGTTTCGAAAGAATCAGAATCAGAAACAAAACAAACCTACCAGCGATAATCAATTGATAAATGCTATTCATTGGTGTACTCGTCCATTTGCCTTTTCGACAAGCATAAAAACCCGCATGTTTGGATTGAGCGGAGTCACATGAAACACGTAGAAGATTATCTTGTGTTAAATACTGCAGTCTTAAACTCAGATCTTGATCGTCGATTTCTCGAATTTCCGACCATTCGTTTATTTTTCGAGCAAAATAAACTGACTCATCCGCTTGACAATCGAATGAAAATGGTTGACCTTGCGGTACCACAACACGTTCGATATTTTGACACCATAAAGCAATGATAAACAGATTGAAAATGACAAAGCTTGCGATCATTTTCTACAAAATAATCACAAATGAGAGTAACTTCAGCTTGCTTCTGTGCATCAAATGTCTCTTGCATTGAAGGACATTTGTCATACTGTGAATAAAACGATAAAAAAAATAAAAACGAATAGAACAGAGAAGAAAAAAACTGTAGGGACTGAATATATATATTCGAAGGTAAAGCATTCATTGTCACTAATAGACACCGCATAGGTAATATGTTTGATTTCTTCATTCTTTCTTTTTCATTAGAGAGCACTGAAAGGAAATGATTCATTGATATTCAAGTGAGAATTTTGTTTTCCTCCCTTGTTGATCGAGTCGTTTTTCAAATGATTTATTTGTACAAAGTTACTCGACATAAAGTAATACAAATTTATTCGAAAAATATCTGAAATTTTACATTGAAGTATAACGATTTGTCTGATGAAATCGTACTCTCGGCGTATACGGTGGTGGCAATTGTTCAAGTATATGATAATTTTCTTTCATACGATTGCGATTGTAAATAATCAACACAAATATTAGAGCAATCATCTAGATAAATAAGACTACAGATCGACATATGAATGATATTTTCAGTTTACTTCAATTGTGATTATCGAAAGTATCAAAGTTAAGATGATTGATTCGTTCGAGTGAAACATTTGCATTGATTTCTCATAGCAGTTCTGAGAAGATTTGAAGAGAAAACTCTATAAGGAATAAGCAATGCTTACTGTTTCATAGACATTAGTTCCATCAACGGCACATGAAAGTATTCGTGACAAAGAGTTCTTTTTGTTCTTTGATAGTTCATCCATTGGACAACATGTTAATGGATATTTAAAAGTTTGTTGGTCAATTGTCATTGATCGATTCCACCAAGGATTCGTCCGATTCCATTTCGAATTAATCTCAAAATCATTGGCACCTTCGATGCCACAGCATTTCAACTAGAAAAATCCAATGAATTCATCATTTAAATGACGTGCAACTTACTCGATACATCGTATAATCCAACAGGAACGTTGATAGTGAAAGGTTTTTCGCTAATGGTCCTTGGTATTCATTGCGAAGAAAGAATTTTATTCTTGACTCTAACTGATCTTTTAATTGAATTCGGAAATTAACGAAGGAGATGAGAACTATCGTTTGAAATAGGAGAACAATGCTAATTGAGCACGAGTACTAAATGTCAACACAAGATACGCTCAATTCGAAGTCATTTTCAATGGCTAACTCATACTCACAGAAAATAAAAGACATTGAATTTGTGTTATTGCACCAGAGCAACCGAAAAAGCCAATAGATGTTAAGATGACACCGGGAAGGATTGTGAATAAGTATAAACTCTGATCGGAAGAGATTGTAGTTTTCATCAAATCTTCATCTATGGAAAGTTTCCACTGAAATACGAAATAAATCGCGAAAAAGACAATAACATACTTTCAATGTTTGAAATAAACTCTGCGAAAGTATGAAAACGACGAGTAACAAGTAAATCGATTCCTTCGCCAAGCAATGTTGTACCCCATAGCTAAGCAAAGGACTAGATTTCGATCAACAATATTGAAAATCACTCACGAAAATACTCGCGTTCATACATATGAGAACGAAACGAACACTTTTCAATGTATAATTCATTCTTCCATGTCCCATGTCGGTTCTTATCTAAAAACTAAACGTAATCGATTCACTATTGATTTCAAACAAGACGCACATTTCTGTGATTCTTTGCATACAAGCATGATTTATAGAGATAATCACGCCAAGAAAATGTTTCAAACAAATCCGATGTTATTTCAACACACACATAACATATGTGATACCACGCAAAAGGAGAAAAAACTCATGTGAAACTAAATTTACTTTGAAGATAACGAACGAACGAACGAGTGATAATACTTCCCAACACGTCTGTTTTTACCAAGAAACTTGCCAGTAAAGAGGAACATTACCTTTCCATCAACTTATTAATGCATTCGAATCAAGCTGTTGGTTGATTGCTTGATACGTAAGACATATTTTGTTGATATGAACGTTACATCGACATTGAAACTGCTTGAACCGACTTGCATAATATAAACGTCTTTTTTTGCTCATTTTATATGCCGTACGAAGAGTAAAATTCTATTCCACTTGATTAAATTTTATTATCTTAGTGTATTACATACAAGTAAGACGTTCTTGAGATGCTTTAGAAATTTAATCGAACGTTACTCGCAGAGTTTTACTCACCGTCGACGGCGCCTCGTCGTGCCAACGATGCAGAAGAGATGAATGTCTAGATTTGTTGTGTGAAAATACCAATCGTCTAACAGGATGTAGCGAGAAGATTAATTCTGTCAAAATCTTCGTTCCTTGAAATTTATAAATACTGAATCGAAGAATTATGCAGAGAAATTGTGTCACTGTAAACTTAACTATAGAAGCAAATAAATTTTTCTTATCATAGTGTATCGTAGAAACACAGAGAAACCAGATAGTTTCATCTGAATAGACCATGAAAATTAAGTTTATTCTTTGAAGAAATTTTGTAAAGAGTTATAATTAATGAACACTTCGTATTTTTAGTCTGAGGAGTCAATCGAAAGGATTCAAGTGAGCAATTGAATATTTATTTGATGATATTTGACGAACGGGTCGAAAAGACATCAGGCGATGATGTACGACCTCTTCCTTTCGATTTTATACACCTCTAGGAAACCAATGATGGAATCATTTATGACTCATTTTTACTCTATCTTCGTTTATTTGAGATGAACAACAGTTTTCACTTATATTAATTGACAAATTCAATGCTGTAAACTTGCCGTTTGGTCCCACGATTATTTTTTGCTATACATGTTACTGTCTGGTAGGATCCAGGTGCGTTCTCTTTGCCCGGAGTGATTACATAATCACTTGTGTTAGAGATGATTTCTTCGTCTGTAACCGTTTGAATATCTCCGTTATACCATTGATAACTTGGTAGAGGATTCGCTTTCATCATACAGTATAGTGTATTTTCAACACTTCTGTCAATTTTAATCGAGACATGTTCGTATTTATGAGACGCTGTATATTCCGGTGGACCTATTTCGGCAATGAACGTTAGCCTAGAAAGTTCATGAAGTTTACCGTAAACGTTTAGATAGATATCCGACGTTAACGAAAAGCCGTGATCGCCATCAGTAGTTGTTGCTCGACAAATGTACGTTCCATCATGAGCGTTGCTAACTTGTTTTATTCGTAGATAATCCTGTCCAGTTAGTGGTGACATATCGCGATGAATGTCTTTGGGAGTGAGAAATGTAAACCAAGCAGGTACTGCTGAAAATATTGGACATAGCAACGTAATCGAATCATTCACTTCTGTATAGATTTGCCGTTCTCGATTGGATATTTGACGAGGATGTCCGCCAACTAGTAGATCGTTTATTCGATTTGATAGCTCCGTTAAGTTGATAATCTTACCGCTGAGAAAGAAAACTCGAACGCCAACTAGACCATTGGTTAACCGAACGATACATTCATAATAGCCTTCATTCTCATGTTTAATGTTTTGAAGTTGAATGTGATTCGAATGTAATCGTACGTGTTCATAATGTTGAACAAAATCTATATAGAAATCGATGATATCCTCTTTTCGATACTCGATATTTTCATCAGGTCCACAATGCCTTTCGACATTATTCAGATTTGTGTCAATCAGTGCTTGATCGTAACCTTCGAATTGATAATCGATGAGCTCAGTTGCTAGAAAGATTCCGGCACAATGTATTTGTCAGGAAAATCGACTCGCTGAAATAACTTACGATCACATGTCATAAAAAAATGTTTTTCATCGAGAATTTTGCCCCAATTATCTTTCACTTGACAAATAGCAATGCCTTCGTCCATCATTGTGAACGAATCGATGAGTAAATTCGATTGCTTGATAGTATTCATTCGACCATCATGATGATAAAGCATCCATTCAACACTTTCATTGCTCGTCAACGGTCTATTTACGTCGCATTTTAGTGTAAATTGTGTATTGATTTGTACGAATTGTTTCGGCTTGAAGTTCCAGACAATAAGTTCTACATTTTAGATATCGCGTCAATTACAACAAGTCATGCCACGAACACGAGCTGCTTCGTCAACATCTGATAAACCGAAGAAACGTCTTCCATCCTATCTCGATTTTGATCATGATTCATACGGGTGGAAAGCAAATATTGACTATCGAAAACATCCTGAACTCTATCGAATCGGGCGTGGTGAGCAAGGCGTGCTCACTTGTCTACCATACAAAAGTGAGATCTGTCCACATTGGCGATTCAAAACTGCTTCTGAAGCTATTGAATCCTCGAACAAAATTTACGAACTTTTCATAAATTATCTCGACAATGACGATTTCGTTGGCGCTGATATGGCTCGAAAATACTTACAAATGGGTTTTACTCGTTCGCGACGTTACGCCAATCATGCTAGTGGGACAAAGTACGATCAGGAAACTTACGACATTCTGCCCCAAGAAGAAACTCATCTAACCAATGAAAAAGCTCGATCAGCGGAAATTTTCAAACAGAAATGGTTCGAAGCCAAGGACAATTCTTTATACAAAGAAATGGCTGATAAACATCGAGCTACTTATGAAACAAAAACTAGACACGCTGGTAAACAAACAAAAGACAAGGATTAACATTCTCGTTTTTATGTATCTTGTAAATGATTATTGAATTCAAGCCAAAAAAATGACAATATTGTGATTTATCGATAAAAAGTCTTCCTTATAAAACGTTTCTCGCTGTCGTAGAATCAATATTGAATTACCTGATATGGCAGGCGTGACGCAAACAACCAGGCCAACGAAGATAATGTTGTACATGAGCAAAAATTCAAATGAATTTTGGCGCCATTATGAAATGACTGCTTGTTTATTGATTTTTTGAAAGTACATATAAAAAAGCGATGAGAAAAATGAATAAAATAGACAACAAACAAGGGTGTACGAAAAGAGATCAATCATGTTAAGAAGGTTAGCGGAAAATAGATATATATTTCATATGAGAGAGAAGATACTCACAACATTTAGTGATTTAATGTGTGAACGGACGAACAAACAATGAAAATATCTGAATCACACGCAAATATGTATGTAATCGAACTGAAAACAGAGATCGAATGATGATATAGGAAACTTGATTGTGCTTAAGATGAATAATACGCAGTCTCCTTTTTCTTGCGACAGCACAAGGCAATTGTAAAACTAAATGCCAGTAACTAAAAGAGGAAACATATGGATTGTAAACATATATCAGTAAAACAAAATTGACAATTACCTCGATCAGTAGAATGACGACGGCACCGACAATGATCCAAGTTTTGTAGGTGTTTAACAAGTCCATGAATTTGGTGTAACAACCCTGAGTGAAATGCAAATCAAATTCGAGTTTGAACCGAGAGAAAGCAAAGCCAACTTACTTGTTGATAAACGCCAACTCCGGTAACAGCGCACGTCGAGCTGGACTGTAATTGAGTCCCACTAAAGTCATTCCAATTATTCGAACTACCATTTTTTGAGTTACAGCATGTTAATGGATATGCAAAAGTGCGGTAATTATTGCCCATTGATGAAGTCCACCAAATATTCGTTCGATTCCATTTCGTCGTACTATTAAAATCATCTTTACTGTCAACACCACAGCATTCGAACTAGAGAGAAATTATCCAATCGGACTTTTTTTATCACAGGACGGAGGTGACTTACATTGTACATGAGAAAATCCCAAGCGACTGAAAGCGACCCAGGTTTTGATACGTTTGTATTAGAGATTAATCCTAATGGGCCTTCATACAGATCGCGAATGGCATCTTTTAATTTAGGTTTGATCTGCTCTTCAAATTTGGATCTAAAGGCAGTAAAATAGATCGTTATTGCCACTTCGAAAAGGATGATAAATCCGATAATGATTGCGTACTAAAATAACCGAATGAGTTTGAGCAATTTATCGAAAACTTTGTTCGAGCTTACTAAGATAAGAAATAGTTTCACTTGTTTCATAGCACCACAACATCCAAGAAATCCAATAATCACGAGAATGCCACCCAGCACGATAACTACAATGGCAACTGCTTTCAAATACGAAAATCCATTTTCAACGTTTGCATCTGAAAGAAGCCTACATGAAAATCTCATCCATTCAATACTGAAATCGTACCTATTGGAAAGATCTTTTGAATCTTTTGCAACGATGGATCAACCATGACATAAATGCCAACAGCCAGTAATGCAAGACCAATTAACTAAGCAGTTAGGACATGTTTCTGTGACCACAAGCAAATATATTAGACGAACTTACGAAAAAAAAGATATTGATGACGACCATTACGAAACGTATCGTCTTCATTCCACAACCCATACCACCGTGACCCATTTTGTAAAAAGTTACCTGTACGCAATCTAGAAAGCAACACGTCTGATGTAAGTCTAAACTTTATTCTTGTGAGCACATCTCGTGAGAGAAAAAAAAGAGTTTTGAGAGAATAACGATGATTCATTGTCATGGCTGCCGTGTACGCCTTTTTTATATTAGTAATAGAATGAGCGCATCAACTTTTTTCCTTCTTTCGAGAATAATAATAAATAGAAGCGAGAGAGAGAGAGATTTATTCTCGGAATATGTTTTGTGCCCTTTTCTTGTTACTATCCAAGTGTTGAAAGAAACCAGACTAACAAAAACCTAACAACTAGTTCGAAAAGTATACATGAAAGAGCGAAAAGAATAATATCTAATGTCACACATCAATAGACTCCTAAAATATTTTCTATGACGCACAATATCGGATCAAGATACGTGAAGAAACGAGAGAATCAATCATGTTTATTTGCTCAAAGTGTACTTTTTCTTGATGTACTATGCCATCTGGATTGGTGGTTATAATACTTCCTACCTGAATGATTGAAAAAAGAGAAAAAATCAGGCTTAGATTTTATTCCCCCTCAATGAAACTATTGAAATATTCCAGAATCAATAGGTATTGGTATTTATAAGATTTGACGGAGTCATACGAAGGAATTACACCGAGGTTAAGCAAACATTTATCAATCGACAATGTTCTAATGAACTGCTTGACAGTTGTCGAAGAATTCTCTTTTTTTCTTAAGGACAAATCTCGTTCATGAAATGCATTTTCAACGTCGAACATTTATGAAGTACTTTAATTCTGTTCAAAGCCATGTATAGACGAACAAACAGTCATTGAAATGTCTTAATACTTGACTTTGAAACGATTTATGAAATCCGAGTCTATGACGATTAGTGAAATTCGATCGGCATCAAAAGAAAGAAAATTAGTATTGACCTGTTTCTTTTTCATGTCGTGCCGTCTCATGGATATAGGAATATAGAAAAGAAAATGAATAAACCTTACAAAATAGAAAATCAACGCGGTAATAATCTTCTACTTCACTGACAAAGTAATCTTTTTCTTTACAAATACCCTGTGTAGATTGTTGCGGATGTGAAAGAATAAAAATGTATGTACGCAATTCTACTTTGAATATATTATTTGAAGTTTATTATACGTATACATACGTGGTAGGAAAGAATCAAACACCTACCTGTCTTACACAATAAATAGAGGAGTTAGAATCGAAATTCAATGACCACGTTCTTTTCTTCTCTTCTTTTTCTATCGAATATATCGAATAATCCTGTCTCTTGCTTCGACATCAAGAGCAATAAACACCTATGGTCCAGTCATTAAATGCTGCCGGAACATTCATGATAAAAAGAAATCGAACCGTAATGCATACGTACAAGCAGACATAGATGTATTTTGACATTTTTTTTCTCTCTTTTTTTGTGCAAATTATTGTGCAGCTTGTCTTTCTCTCTGTTCTTATTACATGGCTAGAACTGGTTGTTAAGCAGGAAATGAACGAATAGAGCCAATGAGAGAAGTTACTACACTATGAGAACGATAAAAGTAAAACAGAAGGAGAGAAAAAGAAACAGCACAACTCTCCTGTTCTTTAAAAAAAAAGGAGTAAGATATAGCAGGTTACAGTCATTCTATTAAACTTACAGTACGTGCTTATATATTTTACAAAAAGAAAAGAAAACGACGGTGACAAATGAATACTTCATTATATAAGATCTATCATTGATTCCATGCACGAAAGAATAATTGATAAAAAAAGATGTTTATTCACAAGGTTAAATGTCTTTTTCAACTTGAATTTGGACAAAATCTATTTGTGGGCCAACTCTTTTTTTTCTTTTTATTTGAATAATTTGTTATCATTGGAAGCAAGTCTGTAACTGATTCTTAAAAGCAAAATATTTTGTGCGAATAAATGTTGATTCAATGGAAAAACTTCTCGAATATCTATACGTGCTTCTTTATTGTCTAGATTTTTGCCATGTTTTGGATAAAATGAATAAGAAAAAAGTTTAATCAAATTGCATTTGCCATGACTGTTAAAAAGATGATTGTGTTCTTTAAGAATTGTTAGCAAGAGACAAGTATTTTGTAAGAGATGGTACCCGCAGCGACTTCTGTGAAGTATAATTTCTCATTCTTCTATAACTGAATTTCTTTCTCTTGTGCAAACTACCCTCTCGGTTAATTGTTTTTTTAAATTTTACTCGTCGGAAAGTTCATTTTTTTTTGCATTTTTGTGCTGTCAATAGCAGATGCGATGGAATAACACTTGGACGAGAAAATTAAATATTTTTCTTAAAAAACAATAGACGTTGAGCATTTCTTCCTCTTTTATTGTTCCGACAACCATCCTTTCTACTTCTTTTATTGCATTTAGTTTCAAAGAAAAAACCTTTGGACGCCTGCAAACACACTGATGGGTACCGCCGCATCAAAACGTCGCGCTGGGCGTGATCGCGATTACCTACTGCAAACTCTAGACGAGCACGAGAGTGGCATCAATTGCATGACTATAAGCGCCGATGGAAGTGTCCTGGCGACCGGCGCCGATGATCATAATATACGCTTGTGGAGTGCTAAAACATCGCCAGTTGAATGTTTAAGTATTCTCGCTGGCCATGCTGACTATATAACATACATTTTAATCGAGGAAAACTTTCTGGTCAGTGCTAGCGCAGATCGCACGATGCGTAAATGGGATATGACAAATGGGCAATGCGTATTCATTTACACCGGACATACATCGCTGGTGAATCGATTAGTTTGTACAGGTAGGAAAAATGTTTTTCTTTGTTGAAAGATCTTATCTGAGAAGTGAGACACTGGCAAATATTTCTGGCTCCGCAAATGTAAATAAGCAATGATGCATAGCAAATAACTTGTTTGAATATATCCTTTTGCACTTTCATTTCTAGTACTAATTAAATTCTTTCTTCTTCATGGAGAAAGCAATACTTTCGCTTTTATTTGAAAGAATATCAGAAAGTATTTAACATATAGAAGAATTTGTTTTTCTAAGTTAATTTATTTAAACAGAATTACTTCTTTTTCTTCAAGAAAGAAAAACGCGTTTATTTTATTTTGCTTTTAGGCGACTTTCTATTTTCAACGTCCTACGATCGAACAGCTCGTTGTTGGGATTTCGATACTGGAGCTTGCGTACGTGTTTTTCGCGGCCATAAACACGGTATTTTGCCAATATTATTCATTCCATCGGATCCCGAAGAGGGAGAAGAATTCGAAGAAGATACCGAAATCTACAAGAAAGATATCATCATCACTGGTTCACAAGATAACACAGCAAAAACATGGTCGTTTGAAACTGGTGAATGTTTGAAAACATTTCGTGGCCATACGGGAGCAATACTTTGTTTAACAACAGATCCACTCGGCAAGATTTTATTTACGGGCTCCGGTGATAATACCATTCGAGCATGGGACATTTATCGCGGTGCAGAACTACATGTTTTCGATCAACATCAAGCAGCAATTATTAATCTTCTGGTGAGAAAACTTCTCACAGAATGTCATTGCAAATTCTTTCTTCATTTTTTGCAGTGTTTTAACAAATTACTCTTTTCAATTAGCGCTGATCACACGGCACGTTGTTGGGTTACTGATGTTGGCGATTGTACGAGAATTTATAAAGGACACAAACATACTGTTTCATGCATTCAAATTGATAATGGTCTTGGTATGTTGAACTGATACGTTTTTACTTTCTGATAACTACATTTTTCTTTGAAAATAGTTTTTACCGGTTGTGGAGATACAATCGTTCGCTGTTTCGATGCCCGGTCGGGTGCTATAAAACGTATGTTCAAATCACACGCACTTGCTGTAAATTGTCTTCAAGTAAATAAGTTCTTTTTCGATGACAAAGTTCCATCAACTTTGCGATATGATCTAATTTAGATTGTCGATGAACGATTATTCAGTGGATCGGTAGATGGTACATTGAAAGTATGGGATATCAGTGATCTTAAAGGGGATGTCTTTCCCGACTTGAAATCCAACGGAAGTGCATCGAAAGTGACGCATGATGGACGAGGTAGTACGGAGAATCGATCCGATGCTGATTCGGGTATTGATGATCGTGAATACCGCGATCGACGTGCACAGAATATGGTGTGATTGCAAATCAAAGAAGAAAATATATTCATTTGATGATATATATATACATATATATATATATATATACGATAGGAAAAGAGGCCTGTCTTCTTTTCTTCTTTTTCGTTTTTCTTTCGTTTCGTGCAAAGCCTTTCCAGTTTTCGAAAATAAACACATATTTATTCAATTTTATTACAAAACTTCGTTTATTTCTCTATACATATGTCAGATTGCCGGAAATACGAGCAGTTCCACGTGTTTGTTGATCCGTTATCCATGTACATTGTGTTGGATTTGTTTGAGATTGACTTGTTGCTGTTGATAAACTGCTCGTGGGCAATGATAATGAATGAGGACGTACAGACGTAAGTGGAAGTATAGTAAGAGGTGGACGAACATCAAGTGTTTTTACAAAATCGTCATAAGACGGAGGCAGTAATGTCGATGATGGGTCATTGCCAGTAGTACTAATATTCGGATGAGAAGGAAACAGTTCTTTATATAGTGGCAAATCAGTATCATCACCGATGATTAAACTTTTCCAAAGAAAAAAAAACAGAATATAAGTTAGAAGTATGAAAGATTCGGATACATACGCTGAATTTGGATCAGTTCCAGCAGCTAGCGCTAAATCGTACGCTTGTTGTCGTTCACGTAATCTCTAAAGAACAATATATAAGTTTTTAGACGAGGAAGCTATTTTGTTCATATTACCTGGACAAGTCGACGTCTCGTTTGCATAATAGTTAAATAACGCCGTAGTGTTTGGCATGTACGTAAAAATGAAACAATAGCAACAGTCAATAGAATAGCAGCAATTACGTTTGAGCCTTCTTTTTTGTTCGGCATATTATTTATAGATAAATGAAATAAAACAAAGGCGATAGCAAATAGAAACAATGAGAATATAAAACGACACAGAATATTCGATGCAAATTTGCAAGTACTCATATGTATAGGAGTCTGTGTTGTTGAATGATTTTGTCCGTTAGACGACGCTGATGGACGACTACGTGGATGTGAATGTAATAGTTGTCCATGTTGACGGTAATAGGGCATAAAAATGACCATTTTTGCGTGGAAGGATGTTGTTTGTTAGTTACTAAGTATACTTGTGTATATGGTCGATCGTCAATAATTTCGAATGCTGTTCTTTTTTTTTGAACGCTAGTTTTCTCTATACGAACGATGAGTGTCGAGAATAAAAATGAAAAGAAAGAAAAAGACGAGGAGAAATATAAGAGTAGAAAGGGAGAAACAAAAAAAGATGATAGCAGCTCCCAATGCGTCTGGTTACATGCAAACGTTTTTCTGTTAGAAGCAATATTTTCCCGTAAGGAACACTAAGCGTTGGGAGAGAAAAGGATTGCAAAGATGATGTCATCGACGTCTACAGAAAGCAATAGAAAAAGAAGAAGAAAAAGAAGAAGAAGAAGAGGACGTAGAGATAGCGATAGAGTCGCAAGAAGAAAATGAATGAATTGTTGTGTCTACTACGTCGTTGTCGAGGAATATAGTAGAATACGTTAGAAAGCGACTAGTGCAATGATGGTTGTATGAAACAAACCAGCTAATTTCTTGAAACATGGGATATGGAATCGATCAGCTAGACGGCGGCTATGATGATGATGATAGACAAACATGATTGTCACTGAAAAGAAACGATATTGTTGACTTTAGTACTCAATTAAATAATAGATCCCATGTATCGTTTAATACAGACTGAGTTTTCCTTATTCTTCTCTGTGCAAATTGACCTGTGTGATAAAAAAGAAGGCGAGCATATACTTGTTTCTACGTTTTGTGAAATCATCTATGAAGGTCCGCATTCAGGTTTGATATATCGAAGTCGAAGAAGGGTTGATAATTAAGTATCATCAAGAAAATAATCACCGAGCATCTCAAAGTTGATTATATACCCAAGAAAAATAATGAAAACAACTTCAGAGAACATCTTTCTTTTGACACAATTTCGTTTTCTCAAGCGTAAAAGCGAACATCTTCAGGTACAAACCAACTTTCGCCTAGCCTTGTCAAAATGTGCTTTCCTTTAGCTGTGCTAGATTCATCCTTATCTTGACGACATTTCTTTGCTTTTTGTTGATAGAAACACATAATTATCTATCATAATTATTTGTAGAACAGATGGCTATGAAGATCTTTTTCATTGTATTCAGATCAAATAAATGTACCTAGCGAATGAGTTTTGAATTCGATCGTTTTCTTCGTCCTTTCTTTCCCTTTTTATTGACTGATAGCGAACGATAAGCTACCGTGTGGATGTGACATGCCATGATATTATTCAAGAGATAATCATCGGAATGATTGATTTCTCTCGAAAGGGAATACAAACAATCAGTAATATTCAGACAAATGTCAGACAACAAAGCGTATATGATTCGAAGGAGATTTGCGTAGGAGGCGAAATACTTCTTGTTACTTTGTAGTAGATGGCGTATGATGATTTACTTTTGATCCACGAAGAACACTACGAAAATCGATTTGCACAGTTTCAGTTGGTAACTTTCGTCGTAGAGTTTGATTTCGATCAGTCAAACCAGTTTTACGAAGATTATTCTTCAATTTAATGACATCTTCAGATGTAAGGACCATATCACCGACAAGACTTGAAGTACTAGACGACAACATACCAGTTGTCTTACCTTTAATTATACTTGATGCGGAAGATAAACGACGCCGGGGTATGTAATCATTTTGCAACACAGGACGATCAGCATTATCGACAGCAAGAAAAATTGATGAAGATGAAGTATTGTCTAGTCTCTTAATGTTGGGTGGTGGAGATACAGGTCGAAACGGCACAGCGGAAAAGACAGGATTGGGAGGTTTGGGTCTGCAGAAATAGAGAAGTCAGAACGAAAGAAATCGAATCATGTGAGGAAAGTCTTACTGTTTCGTCGCAAAGATCAGTTTTAATTCGTCAATTGGTGTTCTTACAGTGGCAGGTGCTGATTTCTGTCGTTTGAAGATCTTAATTTCGTTCGTTGTTTGTTTGAAAAATTCCGGTGGAGGGCAGGGTGGCGCTTGTGGTATGTTCGTCACAGGTGGAGCTGTCGATGGTCGTCGTAAAACTGCACTCTCTTCCGGCTCTTTTTTAGTAACCTCTCTATCAAGTTTGATAGTATGCCTTTTTCGAAGAAATTCTTTATAAATTGCATCGTAATATTCACATAAAATAGTGACTTTGCGTTTGCCATTTGGTTTTAATGAACTTTGTGGTTTTGGTTGTGAGTTTTTCTTCGAAATAGTTTCACATTCCGCAGATTTCTTCTCTTCTTTCTTCTGCTCTAAACTGAGTAATTGTTGATACGAATGACCACCGAAGAGTTCGATCTGTTTAAGAAAGTACGAAACTTGGATTTGTTGATTTCGATAGTAAAGTAAACGACGTTTGAATCGAGTTCGTTCATACCACATTCGCCAATACGACTGAATGGTCAATGTTGCTCTGGATGTTTTCTTAATCTCATGTCGGACGAGATATCCTCGAACCAATGCTTGAAGTCGTGCAAGAGATAATTCATAATGTGATTTGACGGTACTCGCTTTGACCTGTCGATTTTGCTTTTGAACTAAATGCATACGTATATGTGACTGTAAACGGATGAGTTTTGTTATTAAAGTTTTGTGTGCGATGTTTAATTGTTCAATGTGATGAAATTTTAAGAAAAGCTTCGTTTTTCCAATGGCATAATCTTTGAGTTGGAATTTGTTCAATATTGATTCACAAGTTTCTATCGACTCTTTGTTTGTGATTGAGCATGAATCGAAACTGATTAGACAGGAATAAACAGATATAAAATCATCGAAAAGTATTCGATGTGAATATCCATGTCGACGAATTTCAATCGTTTCGAGTAGGCCACTATATCGAATCTGTTCGAGTACGATTGCTTCATCAAATTGATTGGAATCAAACGTAAAATGATGTGGAAAATAACTCGTATGATCATAGGTCGCATGGGAGATTTGACTGGGTAAACGATTTGGTACAAGACAACGAATAAATGTCGGTTGACTTGATGCCATTGTACTGACTAATTCCATAAGCGAATAACGAAAATAAGTCGAAACTGTTCCTTGTGTGCGATTTCCTGTTGTTGTCTTGTGTGTCGATGTTGACCGAAACAAAACTGCTGTCTTATCTTGCTTTTCCTGTACAGTGTACATGACACTGCCGGTTTTTCGAAGACGACTACGAAAAAGTAGATTTACAAGATGATCGTCGCTTTGCAAGAGTAGATCAATGATTTCCATCGGAACATAATCACGATTTTTCTCTAGAAAATCTTTTGCAGTATATTCAATACTACCCGCATAGTGACGAATAGTGAATAGGGGTTGGCGATCTAACGAGAGTTTCTTCTGGCTTTTCAATGATTTACGTGATAACGACGAAGAAGGTGTGTTGACAATAAAATGCGGCGATTCCAAATTTTCGCGCCATTTGTCAAGAAGAGTAAATTCAGTTGACTGAGGAAAGCGAGATTCTTCATCGAGTAAGGCTAACAATCCAATTGGTTTCGATAAACACATATCGAGAATGGCTCGATTATTCGGAAAATCCAAATTCGTCGAATTATCTAAAACAAATCTTAAAGCTGATTTCGAAAATTTGATTTGAATCCTTACTTGTAGTGGTCACTCCTTCATTTTCATATTCTTTCATCTCCCACGCAAACGTATGTTGTCGAAAGAAGTACTGTAGCTGTTCATTAGCAATATTAATACATAATTGTTCATAAGAATTGTAATCAAACGTTTCAAAACCGAATAAATCAAGTATCGAGATTGAACATAATCCATCGTTACTATCTTCGCGTTTGAATTTATTCATATCATCACCTTGTTTCGGTCGAATGGACAATTGACCATTGTGATACGCATCTTTATCATATCGTTTTCGTGGATCGATCACTAATTTCGGTTGATACGTCAATTCAGTACGGAAGTAACGATTCAATACGAATATAATCCAATCGAACAGACGTGAGTAGAGTGATTTGGCCATGGCATCACGTGTTTGTTGTGCTTCAGCAATTGTATTTAATTTAGTGACTGTTTCGCCACGTGTCATTAAACTTGATTGACATAAGGATTGAGTAAATTGTTCATTGTCGATTTTTAATAGACGACGAATGGCATTGAAATGCGGAAGAGATTTCTCGTCGATCGAACAGCCGGGCTCATTGATTTCTGTATGGGCTTGGAAAGAAACATTTCCAAGGTGAATGATAGAAGTTAAAATTGCTAAGATCGATGCTTGTTCGTCATCTGTAACATTTAATTCTTTGAGAATTTGAAATAGATCGATCAATGATAAGGATGTTAATGTTCCGTCGTAATTGTTTCCAAGATAAGTGTAATCTTTGTACTTTTTAAGTAGCTCGAATGATTCCTGATCGATCAATTGACAAGGATTGGAATGATCTCGTAGGAAATGCGACAAGATTGCGTAAAATATATGAAAATTTCGAGTGTTTCCGCTTGCCAGTACTACTCGAGTCTTCTCTAAGAGAAATTCCGATAACTGTACATATACAATCGTACCGTACTCCGAGAAGAATATATCCAGAAGTTTACCGAATCGTGAGGAATTATTGTTCAGTGCTGTTTGAGCATTCCCAAACGATTCTAATAATAAATTCATAGTAACAAGACGATTCTCCAGTGCCTGTTGTTCACCAAAACCAAGTAGGGCTAATTCACTGATGAGATTTTGTGCAGCATGAGTTTTACCCGAGCCGGATTCTCCGGAGAGTATAATACATTGTGGTTGATGATTGATCATCATTTGATTGTACACTTTCGTTGCTATTGCAAACACGTGTGGTAATAGGTCTTGTCGAACTTTTAAATATTTCAATTGAAAATTCAAATTATCAATCGGTAAATATTGTTTCGGATTAATTGCTAATAGAACATCACCAATATATGTGTATATCAATGATTTGTTGAAACGTCTTCGAATTGATTGGATTAAGCGTTGTGCATTGAGATGATCCAGATTTGCTAAGTTGTTTTCGGGATCAATTAAATGCGCTGATTTACTTATATTTGCAATCCAAGGATTTTTATTTATGACATCATTGTCGTCGTTGATGACTGTTGATAATTCCAGTTCAACGGCTTTACTCTTGACATTCGAAGTCGATAATTTCTGATGATAGTTTCTCAGTAGATCGCGGTAAGCTTTTACCGTGGCATCATCAAAATTGACAAAATCTTGTTCAGTTAATAATCGCTCAGCAGTGGGTCGCTGTTCATAATCTTTAATTAAGCAAGCAGCGATGAATACGGAGTAATTCTCTGACCATTCTGTAACATCTTTTAGTGTCGGTGGTGGACGACGTGGTACTTCAAATAAAACTTTCGTAGGATGAAGATTCGCTAACGGTGCTTCTCCATCGCCTAGTTCAATCGCGGTTATGCCAAGCGACCAAATATCGCATCGTTCATCGAATAAATAATCAAATTGATTAGCACATGCAATCACCTCCTAACAAATTAGACACATTCGTATTGATTAAATGAATTCTTATGTTTTCTCACCGGTGCCATCCATAGTGACGTGCCAACACTTGAATTACGTTTCGGACGTTCCTTACTGAACAATCCAGCGACGCCGAAATCAATCAATTTAATGTCATAATCTTCTGTCACCAATATATGACTTCCTTTCACGTCTTTCATAGACAAACGAAAACAAATTTCACCCTCGATCTTCCCGGAAGAAGCTTAAATGACTTACCACGATGCATAATACCCGATCGATGAAGATATTTCAATGCCTGCAATGTACTTCTCAATGCATAAGCAATCAGTTTTTCTTTGTCGGATTGTTTTAATTCATTTTCTTTTCCAATTTCTTTGAATAAACGTGAAATGGGACCAATACTACACAATTCCATGACGAACCATATCCGCTGTGCATGAAATGCATCACAATCGCCAAATATACCAATAAAATCCGGAAGGTTTTCTGCTTGTTTCGAGACCTTCGCTAATATGTGCAGTTCATTTTCAAATTCATTCAAATCTTCTTCATTTCGCACACGTATTATCTTTGCTGCAACACATTCCGATGAATCCCGAAATTTTGCACGAAAAACTTCGCCATAAGTGCCTTCACCCAGCTTTTCAAACAGTATAAAACTATCCTGGGCCTTTGGTAACTGAAAAAACATAATCAGAGTAATGATCTACACTCAAAATCTCTTTCATTACTTTGTTAAAATCAATTCTCGTTGACACAGCCATTCACTAAACAAAAAAAACAAGATCTGCTTAGAGAAACCTATTCTATTCTCTTTCTGCCGCGCATATTTAATCTCTCGATTCTTATCTGTCAGAAGCTTCATATAAATCTTCGTTTTCTCGGCTCATTTCATCTTCCGAGACAAATGGAGGTAAGCAATATGTAAAACAGAAGTAAGGGACGAAGGTGTTAATCACTACCGTTGACTGTCTCTAAATGCTCAAAACGGGTTGACGAGTGTCTTGCGAATTCTTCTTCTTCTCGCATTTTTTTTCTTTCCCGTTCGAAGAACTATTTGTGGGCCTTCTCTCTTGTGTCGGTGTGCGTGTGAATCTATAGATCTTTGTTGATCGTTTTATTGATAAACCAACCGGAAGAAGAGAAAATATTTAGAGAAACAAGCACGTTCACGGCACACAGATATATAGAAAAAAAATATATACTGAGAGGTGGCAATGTTGATTCATGTTCACTGGAGATAAAGAATTAGTATTGACATAATTACTATTAGATATTTTATTGCAAAAAAAAGAAAACAGAAAAAAATTATTTTTTTACAGAGCGAACACGTCGACATGAACTGCCTTGACCGATTGGCATTCGTTGAGGTGCATTTTTATGTAGATCAAGGTCCTTTAAAATATCTTCTAATTCCCTTTGAATTGTGGTGCTATTATCGATAGGTACTGGATTGTTACGGCGAGACGATGAACGATGTCCTTGTACAGCTATTCGTCGACGATTTTGAAACCAAATCCCTAAAATGATAAGCAAAACAACCCATTAAATCAAACTATGTCTAAAAAAAACTACTCACGAATCTGTTCACGTGATGCTCCTATACGATCAGCAATGACATTCTTTTGAATGCTGTTCGGATAAGGTACATATTCAAACACTTCATTTAACAACCAGCGTTGGCGAAGCGTGTACTGCAAGCGATTCGGTGCATTTGCTGATGTACGAGGCATGGGTGGCGACGACGATGGCACATAAACATTCTAAAATACATCTACATCACAAAGTTTTTCGTACAATGATCTCTTACTTGTACTGGTGAAACGATTAGTGGTGAAGGTGGTGCGTATTGATGATAAGGCACTGCTGGCTCAGAGTAGTAGCAGTATTGTTGTTGATCATATAAAGGAAACATCATCATGCGCGGTGACGATGAAGATATGGGTGACTCAAAATATGATGAATTTGATGATGAAGTGTCATAGCTACTACAATATGGATATGGTGAATACGACCAATACGAGGAGCAGTTTCCGTCAAATGAAGACGACATGTTTGATTAGATATGAAGAATAAATTAATGAGTATACTGTTTGTTTTTCTGAGGAGAATCACTGCACATATATATATGCAGCTGTGATCTATGTTCTCTTTTCTATTTACCAATCAAATTAACGTCCGATGAGAAATGTGATTATTTCACGCGCTCGTGTATTAAACGGAAAACATTAATTGATAATTGACGTATTCATCAACGTAAAACAATCAACACCTATGTATAGGAGACTCAAACTCTTTAACAGTATAGTTAAACTTTCTTGTACAAATAACAAAACAATTATTGCAAGGTCACATGGCAACATTTTCATATTGATATAGTGGAGTCTCAAGAAATGCTGTCTTTTCCCAATGAACATGAACAAGTTCTTTGCAGAAGTCGATTCGAGAAGGACCGTTTTTCTAGTATGTTTCTGCAAAAATGGCGAAAGATCAGAAGAATTAACATTTTGACTTATCTATAGCGTATCCTGGCCTTTTGATGTTTCTCGCAAATTCCACAAACGTTTCCGGCAATATTCTACGTGCAATGGAATATACGTTTTCTATCGCTGATAAAAACCTGACATCGATATTTTTCTCCGAGAAGACCTCATTGTTACAAGTATAGCTTTGAGTTTATTTCTGCTTTGAAAAGGCGCTCTACTAATGAATCTGACACAGTGAACATTTAGAGAAGTACGCAAAGGAACCCTTCATATTTAGATTTCCTTCTGGCAAATAGAAAATGCAAAAGCGAATAATTGTGAAATGATTTCTCGCATGCATAATTTTGTACATTCGCTAATTTTGAACTTCTTTCGAAAAATTGATCGAAAATACACTGAGCTACAATGAATATTAAAGAATTCGAAGGCGAGAGATTGGACAGTATTTATTCGTGGTTGTCTTTTCGGAATATCACTTTGCTGTTGTAAGTATCCATGATTTCAGCCTGCTATTAGATGTGCTAGAAGATCGTCTTTCTGGATTTTTGTTGTTGAATATGGAAACGAAGTAATGCGCTATTTGATTGTAATCTAATGCTTGGCATAGATTCACTGCATCGTACTGTCGAGTTGATTTCAAAGATTTATTAGAATTATTCGCGTCACAAAGAAAATCAAATAAATGAAGGCAAGATGTTTTCGTTAAGGCGAAAAAGGTGAATTCATATACGTCGATACTTTTCAAACACAAATATACTAAGTAGTAGGGAATGTCGTTTTTCTCCGTAAAATAAAAACCGTCTCAAGGCTTTTTAGAAATTGCTCAGCGTGTTTATTTACAATTCCATTTTGTGCTCTCTGGTGATCAACGAAATATCTGTATTTGTATATAAAATCATCAACATTATGATTTATTATGAATTTCTATAAACTGAAATATAAAGGAACATTTCATAACATGAAGGCAATGTTTTACTCGATTGTCACATTTATTTTGGATTAGTCTTTTATGTTGAATTGCAACGAAAAGATTTTACAGAAAGTATTCGGTAGTTCTATAAAAGACACTTCATGTAAACACTTCTACACGCTTTTAACATTGTTCAACAATGATCATGTGTATGAAAAGAAGCTTTCAAAGAAAAATAAACCTATCAATGAATAATATGAAGGAGATAAAGTATGGCAGGGTGAAAATAATAGAAACGATTGGTGTAGCATAATAATCAACATCTCACTCATATGACGGACACTATTTTCTTCTATTCCATTTGCCTTCTTTCTTTTCTTCTTCCAATCAAACAAATCGAAATAGAAAGGTCACTGTATTTCTTTGGTACCGTTTTTTTCGCTCAAGAAAAAGACGGAAACGACTATCTGTTGAAGAATGAATTGAAAAGTTCATATTTGGATATTCGAAGTATAGGTATGTACACTTTCGAGATCCCAAACTTCGTCTTTCTAATCGTTGTTGTGAGTTATGTGTATAATCTGTCACGTGATAAACTATTGAAGAGTATAATCTGATGTGTTTCATTGTTTCGAATTGAGAACTCGACATTAGTTTAGAGGATATCTATAAAACTATTTCATTTTATTGAAGCATTTGGAAAATGTTTCGTTAGTTTATAGGCAAAAATCCAATAGCTTTATTAATCTAATGATATATCTTGTTCGACTTCTACAAAGAATATTTCGACTTAAAAAGTCGGCTTTGTGATAGTAATCGAATGAAGAGTTTTACAAACATTTTCCTCTTTTTTTTTGGTAAGATAATCAATGACAACAATTCGTTTATTTCCTGTTCATCAAACATCTTTATGTATGACAAATACTTCGGTATTCTATTATTTGTACCATTTTGGGTAATTCTCTTATCAAAATAATCATTCGTGCCATGTATGTATTACTATAGGTTGAGAACTAGAATAAGTTGGTTGTTTACCTGGTTTCTTCGATTACAGTTTCTGCACTTCGTGGCAGTAGTAACGTCATTTTCTTGCGCTCTCTGGCCACAGACAATACGTACATCAGTATCGGACTTTGAACCACAATTAACATTCACAATTAATGGCTCATCAGTGGTGTATTCATCGCATGAATCGGCTGTTGCTAGTAAGTGCCCAATAAGTTGGTCTGATTAATGAAAAAAAAATACAAAATGAATAAGAGTTGAAGTCTTTAGAAAGTCTAATGCGAAAGAGATGTATTTGGAAATATTTCTATGATGAATTGTTTTAGTTCGCACATCCAACATGTTTCTTTATCTTTAGGACGATGTTTTTTATCACTAACAGTTCCTATCAAAATTAAGAATTACATGGATATGATTTTTTTCAATGTCCTTCTATGTGTTGCCTATTTCAACTTAATTATGTGTGTTCAGCAGAGTTCCATTCACACTCCTCCGAAATCACTTGGAAATCCCTATCGATGGTTTTGTTGGGGTCGACGAATACTCGTCCTCTTTCTTAGCTCTTCGATTTTAAATCAAGTTGTGTGTGCAACTGCATGTCGACCAGTGGAAATCTTCTACGATCCACGACATATATTCATGTTTAGTGTACATCTCTTCAACTTTTTCGTCTGCACTGGTTTCTCGTTTTTCCTCGGCGTTAAATTTACATCAATCAGACCTGAGCATCGACGGTCAACAAGTTGACATGGATTACAAGCGTATGTTTGATGTAAAAGTAATCTAAGGATCATAATTGTAATAAATCAAAGGAGATATGATAATAAAACCTCTTCGATGCATACGCCTATGAACAATTATAACTACCAGCTATGTTCATATCATAACTAACGCCATCAGTTCAAGTGTAATTCAGCTGAGAGAAAAATCTGTGTTGTTGAGTCGACCTTTGATATTTGTCGGATTTTATTTTTGAGAAAACAAAAGAAACGAAAACTTTCAACTATGACACAGTCTGATGTTTCTCATACAACGTAACATATATAGGTTGACGATTGACAATAAAAGAAGGAAAGTGACGAGTCTCGACAAGTATCGGATCTGACATCTGTGCTCATATGTATTTTCATTGTGTAAATAAGTTATGCTTATTTTTACACAGTATGATTAAAAGATAGGAGAACGTTGAAAGTCGTTTTGTTCTTGAAGATATAGAACAAAAATGTACTCATGAATGAATGAATATAAAAAAAAAGGAAAAGAAATGATAAATGTACAACCAAATACATAAACTATTCTTTTCAAACAAATAATGAAAGAAAAGATCGTATTTTTTCTCTTGTTTTCTACAAATCTTGGGAATAGTCAAATCACAATCACTTTATGTAATATCAATATAAAAACAATTCCTTTTTGGTTAATCATCCCATTGTTCTACGTGTGCTGCACCGGCTGAAGCTGTTCCCCCACTAAAGCCAGAAGGTTGATTTTTACCACGAAAAGCAGCACGCCCAGATCGCATCTAAATCGAGATGTCAACCAGAGTAATTAAGGCAAACTAAAACTTACATCACTATTTCTTCCGCCGAAAGCACTACGAGAAAATCCACTATTCGAATCATTATTGTGGGCATATTTTTGGAGAAATTCTGGCACTTCTTGTCCAGCCTGAGATAATAAACAATAAAATGTCCATAAAGGTCTTTTTCAACACTATCAAGAAACATTCATACTTCGCTTAATCTCAATACAAGATCAGGAGCAATTTGACGGTCTGATTGTCGATCAGGATCAAAAAACGATATTGACTTACCCAAATGACCAGCCCGACCTGTGAATAGGAATGGAAATAAGATTTATTCATGTGGTCAATCTAACCTGTTCGACCAATACGATGAATATAAAAGTCACTTGTGTCAGGTAAATCATAATTGATAACATAACCGATCAACGGAAAATCGAGACCACGTGCTGCAACGGAAGTTGCAACTAGAATTGGACACCGACCATTAGTAAACTGTTCTACAGCTTCGTGTCGTTGTCGTTGTGTCCGATCTCCATGCATTGTTGTACTCATCAATTTCTTTTGTGAAAGTAATGAACCGATATAGTCTGCCGAACGTTTTGTTTCAACGAATATTAAACAACGTTCACTTTCTACAAAATGGAAAGAGAATAAACTTTATTCACGGATTCTTTCTTTTTGCTACGTACGAAGATTTTTTTCCAGCAATTGAAAAAGGCGTTCCTTTTTATTGGCCTGTGGAACTTCTTCAACACTTTGTGTTATATCTTCATTAGCACCACCCATCGTGCCGACGACAAGAAATATATAATCTTCCCGAAGAAAAGCTTTAGCCAATCGTTGAACTTGTTCTGGAAACGTCGCAGAAAACATTGATGTATGCCGTTCTCCTTTGGGTGGGATACCAAGTTCTTGTAATCGACGAATATCGGGCTCGAATCCAGTATCTAACATCCTTTAATACAAAGAAGAAAATTGAAACTAAAATACAGGAATTCTTTTTCGATCATACCGATCGGCTTCATCAAGAACAAAGTATTTGACTTTTTTCAATGAAATCTGCAAAGCAGTGTATATTTTTCATTTCTATAATTACGATTCAACGAAACTTACCCGGCCTTTTTCAACCATGTCTTTCAGGCGACCTGTAGTAGCCGATAGAATGTGACAGCCTTCTTGAAGACGAGCTGCTACAGCCATTGTGTCATGACCTCCTACCGCAGAACCTAGGCATATAGATGATGATGTTCAGAATAAAATTTGTTTATCTTTCCATGTTTTATTTACATGCTGTGATTGGTGTTTGAAAAGCGAATTTTCTGGCTTCGCGTTCTGTTTGCAATGCAAGTTCACGCGTAGGTGAAAGAACAAGGCAAAGTGGCGATGGTGGTGTTGACTTTTGAGATACTTCGTGTGAATGAAACTGAAGTAGATTGGAAATGATGGGTATAAGAAAAGCCGCCTAAAAATTATTGAATTAGTCATAAGCATTGCAAAAATCATCAATATTTAGCATACAGTTTTGCCAGATCCAGTTTGTGCGCATGCCATGAGATCATGTTGTCCTTTTATACAGGGTATGGTGTAGCGTTGAATAGCTGTTGGTTCGGTAAAATTAGCACGTCGAATATTTGATAGAACTTGTGTGTCGAGATCGGCTTCTTCATATAACTCGACAGGTTTTATTATATCTAAATGAAAAGTATTGTTTAGTTATCATTGAATGAATTCAACACACGAATAAGAATATACTTTCTGGTGTGCATTGTACGTGCGCTTCATGATATTTAGCAAAGTTTGCTCCCCTTTCAGTGGCTTCACCGAATATGTCATCTTCTGAAGTTGGCGGAGCTGGCGGAATATATCGTTCAGTAGGATGGGCACTAGTACGACCACCCGCTAAAGAAACTTCAATTAGATATTCGCCTCATGCTGTATATTCACTTACGAATATCAAAAACATCATCAGACTCCTGAATAAATTCACAAATAGCACATAAGATTATTACAATCAATCCAGACTTACGCGATCACTTTTGCGGTCACCTCCATTGCTGCTACGAAAACCGGAACTACCATTATCTATGCAATAACAAAAAAATGTGAAAGATAAAGACAATAAACGCTAGAAATTACCACGAAATTTTCTTTCTTCTGGACAATCACGCGATTTATGACCGGGTTTTTTACTACGTGAAAAAAGTTGTTAAAAACAACAAAACCTATGTCACGCATCAACATACCAATTGAAACAACCTGAAGAAAAAAGAAAAATATTTTAAGCTCTAGAATTGTCGATGACCAAAACTAAAGCTTACTGTTGTCACCATTCATACCACCACGAAATTCTAAAAAGATCAAGTACAAATCAAGGCATATAGTTCGTCATTGTAGCTTACCACGGTTACCAGAACTAAATCCACCACGACGATCGCCGGAACTAAATCCACCGTCTCGTTCATCTATAACGAATTAATTGTATATTATTCGTACATGACATGTGCATTACCTCGAGATCCTTTACTCTGAAAGGCAGATTTCGAACTATTGTTGTCGTACTGATTATCACTATTGGAATATTGAGAACTACGAACTATAAGACACATTGCCATAAAGTTACTATCTGCTGATGATCTCAAATGATTCTTACAATTTCCATCAGCACCAGAGTGGAAACCACCACGGTTTCCACTGCCGCCAGAACTGAAACCACCACGGTTATTGTCTCGGCGTTCATTGCGTGGATTAGGACAATCGCGAACTATATGGCCAGTCTCTTGACAATTGTAACATGCTAAGAAATAAGCAAAAAGGTACAAGTATAAGACGTGATCAACGATTTTCCGAAAATATCTTATTATTCTAGATTCGAAATCATACTTACTGCGACCATTGCCATCATTGTTTGATTCATTATCATTTCGACCGCCACCAAATTCGCTTCGTGCTAAAAATATCTTCTAGTCATTGAATGCACCCGATCCAACTTTGTGAACTTACATCCAAATCCCATACTTCGTGAGCCGAAACCTCCACCAGTACTCGAGCCATTGTTTTCATTGTTACTACGAGCTGCATTCCACGTCGACACTGATGGCGCTTTTGGCTCTAAAACCGATCAATTACTCATACAATCAGTCACCACCCATATCTTACCATCATTACTTGTAGCAGGTAATGGTTTTCCACGTCCAACACCTAAACGTGGGACGCTTGTTGTTGCTGGTTGCTATATAGACAATGAAATTTCATAAAAGATTTCCTTCTTGTTGAAAACGATGAACTAACTTGTGCTGTAGATTTTGTTGTATCGCTGTTATTTTCCCGTGATTCGTCACTCATGGTCAAGAGATGCTTTTGCTTTTATCGATAATAACGATGCTATCTAGAATCAATCAAAACGATATTAAAACAAACTAATATTTGTTGTTTTTCTTGTTTCAAGTACGCTTTATTTTTCTTCTTGTTTCTTTTTATCTCAAAAACATACAAGCAAAGAAAAAAACAAAATAACGGAAACAAATCATGCTTGTTGTTTCATTGGATTTCCGTGGACTCATTTATTTCTTTTTGCCGGCAGCAGCTGGTGCAGCAAAGATCTTGAATTTGTTTGCAATACGTTTGGATTTAGCAACAAATGTTCGTGGTTTGGTTTTCTTGGTCTTCTTGGCCAATTCAGCTTTACTCTTCTTCTTCAATCGGTTATATTCATGATTAACAATACGATTGTATGCTTGTTTAGCATGTAACAATTTGTAACGATCGAAGTCCGTCATTCGTGAACGTGTATGTTTTGCTTGTAACTTTTTATACCATCGTGATTCTTGCCATTTCTTGTTAATATCGTGTTTGTCCCAAAGTGCTTTGACTGTTTTGGAACGAGCTCCAGGTAAGAGCTTAAGCACGTACTTTGTTAAATGTAATGCTTTGATGTTTAATGCTTGACGACGTACGTGAGATGATGGACCATCGACAAGAACACGTGTTTGATCAACGATGTTTGTTATACAACAAATCTTGCCTTTTTCAGGACCGTAAGCAACGTATGCAACACGACCGACTTGAACTAAACGTTCGTAAGGCATGATGAATCAGATGATACCTTGTTTTGTCTAAAATTGAGAAAAGAAAGTCCATCGCAATGTTTAATTGAGAGAAATTGTTAGAATGGAGATGTTAACGAGAATACCCAGTTTTTTTCTAAGTGGAGCAAAACTATAAAATAAACAGATATCTGATTGGATATCGAAGAAATTTCTGGGTTTTAATTGTTCGGAAACATGTAACAATGGCAACTCGATTGGAATGAGAAATATTCGAGAGAATTTCTTCGAAAAATTAATTATTTCTTTTAAGTTATTATCGCACAAATGCATTAGTGATTTATTTTAGAAAGAGAGGCAATGAGACATTATAGATGGTATGCAGGACGAATGAATCGTATCGCATTACTTCGTTTGTAATTCTCAAATAGTCTGTAAGCTGTGTAAGGCAAAAAAGAAGAATACGTCGATGCTTTGATCAATTATATCTCAGTCGAAGATAATCCATACTATGTATTTAGTTTTAGTTCTTTGATTCATCATGTACGATTTTTGTTTGAACAAAAACCAGCACAGATCATATTCAATCAACTATAAAACTTCTTGTTTGTGATCGATTGAACATAGAAAAACAGCAGTACAATCTTTTATCGTAAACAGTCGGATAGAAAGTAGTATACATATTCGGTTAACGTTACAATATGTTCTATCGATCTATAGTCATCGACAGATTCGATATTTCTTCAAGATAAATCGATAACCATCGTAATCAAAGTTGTCGAAAGATGTCATTGGTAGACAGTGCACTATATTCTGAAAACTTTCACTTGGAAAGATTCTTTCAAAAACTGAGAAGGAAAACTTTATTGTGAGAAAATTTTCTCACGTATGTGTGGTAAATTTTCCATCTAAGAAATTTCCCACTTATTATGATGGTTCAAAGTGCATTGATATGTTATGCATTCTTTTGCGGTTTTCGATGAGTCATCGTTCATCTTTCTTGTTCAATTGTCAAGCATAACTTTGACCGGCTGACTTTTATGTTGTGGAAAAAGACAGAGAAACTAGCATAGAAGTGCTCATCTTTTCAGATGATTTGATATTGAAAACTTTCAATGGTAGCTAGAGAAGCACGAGGTCGATGTTCATCATCATCGACAAATGCTACAAATGCATCGTCAACAACGAAACAAAGACGAGTCTCATCAACTAGTCATGAGAAAAAGGTTCAAAATGCCTTCTTTTCACTGATTTGTAATTTGCTTTTGTGTTCATTTTTAGAAAGTGGCTAAACCTATCGGAATTTGTGGATTTTGTCTGGGCGATAACTTGAAGAATGCCAACGGTGTTCCAGAAAAAATGATAAATTGCGCCGAGTGTGGAAATTCTGGTTTGAATCATTTCTTTATTACCTTTTAACTTCTATAAAATTTAATTCTCTACAGGACATCCTTCATGCTTGCAATATTCCGAAAAACTAGTTAAAAAAATTCGGACCATCCGATGGCAATGTATCGATTGTAAGCGGTGTATCGTTTGTAATAAGAGTGATGACTCGGTAAGATTTTCCTTCGATTATTATCCTTCAAAACCAAAATGTAATCTTTCAGTTGTTGTTTTGTGACTTTTGTGATTCGGGTATTCATCCTAAATGTTGCGATCCACCATTGGATGAGATCCCTGATGATGATTTTACTTGTTATCTGTGCCGCAATGAAATACCTCCATCACCAAAAAAGACTTTAGTCAAAACTTTATCGACCTCATCAACGTCATCAAGGCGTTCACGTCGAAGTCAACATTCGAATAGTGATGATGCGTTTGCACATGCTGCTGAACTTCCCGATGAGATGTCAAACGGTTTCTTATCGAAAAAACCTCAAACGAATCATATTCGACAACAATCTGTACAAAAAGCTATGAAGTATTTACGTGATAAGAAAGCAATCAAAACCACGAATAAAAAATTACTTAAAAGACTGCATTCCCCTACATTAGCCATCAAATCCAGCAAAGAGAACACAGATATAAAAAATGAGTTGCTAGCGAAGACCATTTTAGCATCATCGAAATCACAACGAATTCGCAAAGAGCCGTCAAACGATGATTTATCTTCCACGTAAGCAATATCGTTATATTCTGAAGTTGAATTTATTTTCTCTCTACTTAGTCCTCAAACAAGTACCCCGCTATTGACACGTCAATTATCCAATAGAAAACTTTTACCGATTGATCCCATTACACCACCTCATCGAAATAGTCGTCGAACTGATATTCCCTCAGTCGATGAATCCAATAAAATAAATTCGAAACGAAAGCATTCAACTAATTCTTTATCACCAATATCAGCAACATCAGCGTCTACACTTAAAAAACGAACAAGAAAAGATTCACCCGTGAGAAATCATAAACGAAAAGATAGTCAAACCGAAGATGATCATTCCGATGCTGATGATCTCAATGGTAAACATATGAAAACCAATGGTTACAAACAGAAAATCAATTTAAACTTGTCGAAATACGATAATTTACCTGGATTCATTCACGATTCTCTTCCTGAGAATGTCACCGAACACGATGTGTATTTATTTCTTGAATCGCGTGCAAATTGTACTAAACTCGTAACAGATGTAAGTTCTTCCGAGTTATTCTCAAGGTTCAGATGTTTACTTTTCAACTTTTCAGTGTTCCGAAAAATTTCATCATTCAAGTGAGTCTCTCGAAGACGATGCTACCAATACTCGTTGGCCACCATATATCGTTCTTGGGTCGGAGTTATTGAAAACTTGGTACTCATCATCCTATCCTCAGGAATATGCACGTGTTCCACGTTTGTACATCTGTGAATTTTGTTTGAAGTATATGAAATGTGAACAGGTCTACGATCGTCATCGTGTAAGTTGATCAATTCCACTAAATATCAACTCTTTGAAATTTCTTCTAGAAAAAATGTACAATGTTTCATCCACCTGCAAACGAAATCTATCATAAAGATGATTTATCCGTGTTCGAAGTCGATGGAAATACCAGCCGAATCTACTGTCAAAACTTATGTTTGTTAGCCAAATTATTTCTTGATCACAAAACACTTTACTATGATGTTGAACCATTTTTATTCTACGTTTTAACAAGGAACGATGCCAATGGTTGTCATTTTATCGGGTATTTTTCCAAAGAAAAACATTGTCCACAAAAATATAATCTTTCATGCATAACTGTTTTACCTATTTGTCAACGTCGGGGTTACGGACGTTTCCTCATTGAATTGAGCTATTTGATATCTCAAAAAGAAGGACAAGTTGGCACGCCAGAACGACCCTTATCGACATTAGGTGCACAAACCTATGAAGCATACTGGAAAATCAAAATCGTTGAACAATTACTCGTGTATTACAATGAAAACAGTCCGAAATGTTTATTAAAAACGATAATGAGTAGAACAGGAATGGCTATTGATGATATTGTCGACACGTTACAGAATCTAGGCATTTTAACAATGAAATCTAATGGCAAGCCAGTTATATCTGCCGACGTGACACAGTTAGAAACGATAATGACCAAAGAAAAGATCAAACATGCCCATTGGGTGAAAATCGATAGTGAATATCTTCGTTTTACTCCGGTACTGACACCGCTATTGCTGGCTAACGAAGAAAAAGCTGTGGAAAAAGAAGTGAAAGAAATACAAATTGTGTTCAAGGAAATCGGCCGTGAAGCAGCTGAGTAAGTTTAGATAAAGTTTTCGAAAAGCATCGATCGTATTTTTATATCTCTCAATTCAATTCGTTCAGAGCAGCATCATTAGCAGCCGAAGCAGCAGATGGTTGTCAAACTGCAGACGGTGTTCGCTATATCCGTCGACGAAAGTTTGGACAGAAACGTCGTTCGATTATTGTTAAACGTCGAACACCAATGGCAAATAAATCGAATAAAAATGATTCGATGATTACGCACAATGACAGTTATTCAGCAGATATCATAGCAAATGATGTTGATGAGCATTCTCAAGAGTATAAGCCTCGTCGATCGAAAATGGTTGCTTCTGAGCCAGTTATTAAGGAAGATGACATAGAAGAAGAAGAAGGCGAAGAAAAGGACTCAGCAACAGCGACAGTGATGCAGGAAGAAACTAAGACTGCTCCAGTAGAATCTTCGCCGAAACCTCCTGCGAAACAATCTGCATACAAACAATTGAAACTTGACCAGTTTATAAAAATCGCCTCAGTGAAAGAAACACCAGTATCAGTAAAAGCATCAACGGACGAAAAACCGGAATCTAATAATCATGTTCCATATCCTGAAACAGAAGCGAAAACAGACAGCAACGATGAAGTTCAATCGGAAACAAGACGAATAACCCGAAATACTCGTCTACATTCAACGTCAAAATCAGAAGCTGAACCAGTTAAACTAGAGGAGAACGTCGCTACAGAAACGTCAACCAAACCAGATCGTATGTATCAGTTACCCTTTTATGCTTTCGATACATTATCTATTAAAATCGAATAATTGATTCCACTGTTCGTTCTAGTGAATCATGAGAATTCTGTTACAAGACAAATTAGCGAAGGAGGCGTTTCCACTGAGTCGTCTAGCGACAGTTTATCAATTGCAGATGCTCCTCGTTCGTCGTCTGCAGCAAACAATATGGATCGACCATTGCCATTGAAGAAACGAGCTTTAGCATCGGTAGATATTCAATCTTTAGCTGACGATACCCTTTCGCCATCGAAGGCAAGTCTATCCAGTCTGATCGATGAATATTGAGTCTAAAATGGTAATATTTCTTCTTCGAATTTAGAATAAACCAAATCAGCCTCATTTAATGCGACAACTGAGTACAGCGACGACATCAACAAATCCGCCTGAAACACCCTCATCACTATCAGATATTCTTGCAAATCCATTTCTCTCATCACCATCAATCAGTGGTACCGATGATGAGACTAAAATTGCTCGTATTGAATCTCAGCTGAAAGAAGACACCGTTGATATAATCAACAATAATCATGTAGAGAAAGAAGAAGAAGAAGAGCCAACATCTTCTTTGAATCGATTTGAAACGACAATCAAACCAGTGGAAATCACTGAAGATCAGTTACCACCACGTTCGACATCACCTACATCAATGATTGTTTCTCAATCAAATCATTACAACTATTCGACTAAAAACAAACAACAGCAACTACAACAACCGCACCAAGCAATACCAGTCAATAGTTTTCATGGATCTACGAATATGGCTTATAGTTTTAATAACTCAGCATATCCATATCCTTACCCTCCAGTACCACCCTACAGTGTTCCACCATATTACTATCCACCAAATGCTGCGATGGATTACATGTCCTATTATTCTGCATCGTCATCATCGTCCATCTATCCACCGCCAGGCTCAATCTATGGTGATACAACTGAACAACAATCTTACTATACATCGAATAGTATGAATTCTATTGCGTATAACGGTAATGGAACCGCACCCTATATTTATCCAAGTGCACAATCATCAGCGCCCGCGCCCACAGCCACTCAACAACACTAGATCATTTTAAGCCAGATATAGTAACTAATTTGGTCAGATCTATACCAGCAAATATGTATATGAAAGTTCTTTCTCTTTCCTCATATTGTTACGAGATCGTTTATTTATTTGTTAACTCCTTTTCTGATGTATATTGAAAGCAATAACTTGTACGCAACTACATTGTACTTTTCTAAATCGTGCTCAATTTCTTGTTCGTTTTTTTTCTTTATTTCAATTTCTATTGTGAATTTGTAATGAATAATTGATTATGATGTCGTACCTTTCCCTTTCTTTCTTGCTCCCTTCTCTCTGAATGTGTTTGTATATGATCAGAGTCTATGTCAAATGAAAACAGTGTTTTCTTGTTTATTGTCTTCTGAGCATATTGAAAAGATACTAATGGTAATGATACGACAGAATAATAGATATTAGCATTCATACTGTAAATGTCTACTTTTCGAAGTATACAACTCCATTGTACAATTCGTAGTGGTCCTATTTTCAAACGCACACAGTTTCTACTTTTAGTTTGACACCCCACTACTTTCGTTACGCATTCTTCTCAACATAAACACACTGGTGACATGTAGAAAGTTACTCAGAAACATAATGTGTGGAGAAGAAAAACGAATAGAGACTACAGCTGAAATAAAATACTCTCTTGTAGAAAACAAAAGAATGTTATAAGTCAACAAACTTCGCTCTAACATACAGTCAAGGACTCGAAATTTGAAACAATAGTGATTGAAAACAGTACAAAAATGGTAGATGACAAATAATGAACTATAAATGATTTTTTTCTTACAGTCAGATTTGTCGGAAAATTTTGTAGGAAAGATCAAGATTTCAAGATACACAAGCTAATTACTACAAACGATTCGGGCACCCGGAAAACAACGTAAGGGAATCTATATTCGAAGATTGCTTGAGTTTGAAACATTGAACCGAGTGCAGAGCCAGTGTTTATACAACACTAAAAGATAAAGCGACAGCAATATAATTGTTACGTTGTTTTAGCTGAACCATGTGAATAAAACGAATATTGAACATTAACTATTCATGATTCTGCAGTGCGAGATGTCATTTCACAAGTATGTTCCCAAACTTTCTTTAACATTTCTTCATCTGATCCTTTCTTATTTGTGACAGTTTCACCTTTTTCATCAATGAGCCTCCAACCCTTCTCCGTTCCTAATATACCATGTATCATGAACTCCGCACAAACATCCGGAGTGCAAGACATGCCAAAGAGGTCGAAAACCTTTGTAGAACATCGAATATAGAAGGGTAGATTGTCACCTATTGAAGTTTTGACGTAATCCGGATATGCATGTATAAAAGCCACATTGACATTTTCCGATTTTCAGCTGATAATCTGGTTCAAGGTGAGTTTCAATATATTTGTCATCTTAATTCTTTTATGTAAAATAGGATGGAGCCAACGATTGAATTGTCAGGTAGGCAAGTACCATCCAAATGTATGGGACATACTCGATTGCTTCAAGCTGGAAGAAGTCGTGTTTCGACAACATGCGCTGAAAATGCTTACTGGTAATAACAAGAACAAGAGCAAGAACAAAACAACACTCGAATTTCAGGCTAAAATAGACCCTTCATTTATTGTTCAATGAACGTAAAACCAAACCTGATGAACTTCTTGGATTATCTCTTTTAGTTGCAACACGTCAACGTTCTTTTTCTTTTCACGTATTTTTTCCGTTGACTATATGATTCGTTGTACTTTTAAATAAAAAGAATCATTTTTCTCTTATGCTTTCTCAAACATGGCACTTTAGGTCCTAATAAAATCGATAATAGCGAATCTCAGTTGTAAATTTCTATTACCTTACGCATTTGCAATCTCTACGTTTTCCGTTTCCGCCCAATTTCCTTATTTTTTCCAGATTTTTTTCTTTCGAACTACGGCCACCTTACCGTAGTAGACAATTTTCAGTGATATCCGACAAAAAAGTGTGCGTAGTGTGGGAAAATATGCGGAACCTACAGCTCATGTTGAACCAGTGTAAAGTCGACGAAGCGTAGCTGTTGAAGAAATAAAACGGTCGAAAGACTCATCGCAGATATCAAATACAACTATACTGTTCGATGACATATCGTAATAACGTGATTTACCTTGTAACAGCAATTGCGCCCTATACACGCACATGTCGAGGTTGCGGACGTTTTCTCATTGAATTGACCTATTTGATATCTCAAAAAGAAGGACAAGTTGGCACGCCAGAACGACCCTTATCGACATTAGGTGCACAAACCTATGAAGCATACTGGAAAATCAAAATCGTTGAACAATTACTCGTGTATTACAATGAAAACAGTCCGAAATGTTTATTAAAAACGATAATGAGTAGAACAGGAATGGCTATTGATGATATTGTCGACACGTTACAGAATCTAGGCATTTTAACAATGAAATCTAATGGCAAGCCAGTTATATCTGCCGACGTGACACAGTTAGAAACGATAATGACCAAAGAAAAGATCAAACATGCCCATTGGGTGAAAATCGATAGTGAATATCTTCGTTTTACTCCGGTACTGACACCGCTATTGCTGGCTAACGAAGAAAAAGCTGTGGAAAAAGAAGTGAAAGAAATACAAATTGTGTTCAAGGAAATCGGCCGTGAAGCAGCTGAGTAAGTTTAGATAAAGTTTTCGAAAGGCATCGATCGTATTTTTGTATCTCTCAATTGAATTTGTTCAGAGCAGCATCATTAGCAGCCGAAGCAGCAGATGGTTGTCAAAATGCAGACGTCGTTCGATTATTGTTAAACGTCGAACACCAATGGCAAATAAATCGAATAAAAATGATTCGATGATTACGCACAATGACAGTTATTCAGCCGAAATCATAGCAAATGATATTGATGAACATTCTCAAGCTCAGCTGAAAGAAGACACCGTTGATATAATCAACAATAATCATGTAGAGAAAGAAGAAGAAGAAGAAGAGCCAACATCTTCTTTGAATCGATCTGAAACGGCAATCAAACCAGTGGAAATCACTGAAGATCAGTTGCCACCACGTTCGACATCACCTACATCAATGATTGTTTCTCAATCAAATCATTACAACTATTCGACTAAAAACAAACAACAGCAACTACAACAACCGCACCAAGCAACACCAGTCAATAGTTTTCATGGATCTACGAATATGACTTATAGTTTTAATAACTCAGTATATCCATATCGTTACCCATCGGATAGGAACTAATTTCATGAGATGTATACCAAAAAATATGTGCGTAAAACGTGTTTCTTTTCCCTCATGTGGTGATGAGGTGCTTTATTTATTTGTTAATTCCTTTTCTACATGGTGTTCAATTTCTTGTTCGCTTTTTCTCTTCGTTCGAATTAAGTCGTTGCATGGTCAGCTGACGGTGAACGTTCCTGGCTTCGTCGAAGATTTTTGTTTGACTCATCTTGCTTGCAGCCACGATCATCAACAGATAAAAGGCTGATAAGAGCAGCTAGTTTTCCTTCTAATGAATCAAATTGTTCGAATTTTTTTCATAGTAACGAGCCCAGATCGAACAATCCCATACTCGGATCCAATATAGGATTTTACCTGATCCTACAGGAATTCGACGGATCCCATGAAATCCTGGTGACGGAATCGCATTAGATTCCGACGGTCCCGAATCCGAAACATGGATTTCCTGAATTTTCTAAGAGTCATAATTGAACATAGCTAAAAAGATCGCTCATAAAATTTGCAACAACCGACGGGATTTTTCTAGTCGGATCCGGTCAGATCTGATCGGATCCAGCATCGGATTTGTTGACCTGGGGATAAAAGGCTGATAAGAGCAGCGAGTTTTCCTTCTAATGAATCAAATTGTTCGAATTTTTTTTCCGTCGTAACGAGGTGTTGTTCGGACTTCTGTTCGATTGCATTGAAACGCTGTTCGAAAATTTGCTACATTACATTGAAACGGTGCTCGAGCTCTTGATTCATCTGATCCAGACGTTGCTTGAACTCTTGATCGATATTATCCGTCGATTGGGCCTGTTGTGTTTGTTCTTCGTGATGTGATTGACCTTGATCGCTGCTGTCACGTGCCTAAAATAAGGATACATCTTAGATTAACCGATTAAGAATTTTAACTGTTTAAGGGAAAACATGGAACTCGTGGCAGAGACACGAATATAAAATTCTATCGGTCGAAAAGAAAATATATAGAAATCATTGTTTTTAATAGGTGGGTGAGGGTGTGAGGATGCGGGTGTTGGGGAGGGTGCAGCCTACAACGGCATAGTCAGGGCAATTTGAACGCCATCCGTTACCGTTAGTTGGCTGATAAGTCGTATAGTCCTATAGTGAATAAATGATTATGTAGTATTTAATAGTCAGATGCCGATTACTAGATAGTCCGGTGATTGATAGTAAGTAATCGGTTGGTAGATATTTAATTAACAGTTACATAATAGTTAATAATTAGTCACTCCAGGATTTACGATCAGTCACTTACGAGTTGATAAGCGGAAAACTCGAAACTTGGAATTCTAGATTTAGAAGTTGAATAGTTTAAAACTCGAATGCTCGAATTCTAAACCAAAAGATTTAGAATTCGAACGAAAGTTTTAAAACTCGAATCGAATTAACGATTTCTACACTACTACGGTGTTGTCCGGTTGAAATCTGAATATTCTGATTTAATTGTTCCAACACTAATTGAATTATTGTCATTCTCTCTCTATACTTTTAGTTTGTCGCCCATTACTTTCGTTACGCTTTCTTCTCCACATAAATGCATCGATGAAACACAGAAAATTACGCCGGAACAGAAAGTATACGAAAAAAAGCGAACTAAAAGTACGGAGAGGTACACTATGTACGCCCGTTTGTTTTTTTCTTGAAGGGAACGAATCGGAGCAAAATGATATTAGATGAAAAATAAACACAAGAATTTGAAAAGGTTATAATTGAAAAAGCACAAAAATGGTTGAGGACAAACAATGAACTACGTGTAATATATTTACAACTAGATTAATCAAAGAATTTCGTAAAAAAGATCAAGATTTCAAGATACGGAAGCTAATCACTTCAACAATTTGTAGATTCCAAAAACAATCTAAGTGAATCCGGATTTGAGGATCACCCGACTTTGAAATATCGATCTGAGTGCAGAAACAAAGTTTATACAACACTAAAAGATAAAGCGACAGCAATATAATTGTTACGTTGTTTTAGCTGAACCATGCGAATAAAACGAATATTGAACATTAATTATTCATGCTTGTGCAGTGCGAGATGTCATTTCACAAGTATGTTCCCAAACTTTCTTTAACATTTCTTCATCTGATCCTTTCTTATTTGTGACAGTTTCACCTTTTTCATCAATGAGCCTCCAACCCTTCTCCGTTCCTAATATACCATGTATCATGAACTCCGCACAAACATCCGGAGTGCAAGACATGCCAAAGAGGTCGAAAACCTTTGCAGACCATCGAATATAGAAGGGTAGATTGTCACCTATTGAAGTTTTGACGCTACCCGGATATGCATGTATAAAAGCGACGTCGGTATTCTCTGGTTGTGAGCCGAGATACTGAACGGCTAAATCGCTAAATGCCATGATTTGTTTGACGCCTGTTAGGAACGAAGTATTCCTTTCAAGTCCCAAATCGTTCCAATCAATCTTCGATGGATTACCAAATTTACTGTTCAAAATAAATAAAACTTTGCCGCCGATTGGAGATGCACGGAGCAGTGGAAGAAGTTCTTGGGCAAATAAAACTCGACCGTAGTAATTTAGAGCTGCTCTGTCATCAATATTTTCTTTGGTTGGTGAACGAGGGCCCATTCTTAATACACCTTGAGATAGAACGAGGACGTCAACGGCGTCGATTTTCGGTGTGATTTTTCGAATTTCAGACATCAACGTACAATCACAACGAATGAACTTTCCATGTGGACCTAATTGAGCTAATATTTCATTGGCAGCTGTTTCATTACGCCCGACAATGGTCACATGAGCGTCTGGACAATGTCGACCGTAGGCAAGAGCGATTCCGCGACCAATACCAGATGTTCCACCAACAACGACCACGTGCAGAGGCCGTTGTAAGGAAGATAAGATTGATTGGTTCGATGCAGTAACAGTTTCTACTGTAGCCATATTAAATAAAGATTGTAAATGTAAATATTGTGTTTTTGACCAACTATTTATTCAGTACGAACATCGAGAGAGAGACGTCTAATATTGCTTATGCAAGACACAGATGAAAATAGCAACCATCATTTTTTGCATCATCATACAGAACAGAAGAAAAATTAGAGAAGGTCGAAGAAATAGGTGAATCATCGGCATTTACTGTCGGTGGATACTCTAAGTCAATGAATACGACTTGAAATCGTCTACTTGCAGCTCACTGCAAAGTGTCTTGGCTTATTTTGTAACAGAGCTTATGTAACATAAAAGAGTAGCTGTGTAAACAATTTTCTCCACATACTGCGAGGAAATAGTACTTGCACATATCGTTTTTTACCGTTTGAACATGAAGAATTTCCATCACAACAGACAGTAGTTGTCATGCTTCGTTCATAGAAAATAATTAATAAGCCCTTTAAACGTCACTTCTCTCAGTTCTGCTTGTTTTTTTTTCGTTTACTATGAAATAAAATGAACAACTAACTACTGAATATGACAAATTGAGAAAATAGTCAAAATGTTTTGCAACCATTTACGGCTAATCGAATAGAGTAGAGTGAAGTTGTTGCACATATGTAAAGAATATTTCGTTTGACGCCACCGCCAAAACATACATTAGCTACTATTTCGGGGACACGAATTCTTCCCAAAAGTTTACCAGTCTGTCCATCATAACATTCAACTCCTGTGCCAGCACTAGTCCAGATATTACCGAATGTGTCAATGCGTAGCCCATCATAAAAGCCAGTTAAACATTCGGCAAACACATTTCCGCCAGTCAATGAAATACCGTCATCTCCTACATCAAACACACGGATATGTGCTGGTCCATCCTTTGGTCGATGGGTTCGTCCAGTATCAACAATATACAAACGTCGTTCATCAGGTGAAAAGACTAATCCATTCGGTTGTTCAAAATCACGTGCTACAACATGTAATGTTCCATCTTTCAGACAGTAAACAAAATTCCCTTCCGTTTCACTTTCTGCTCGATCACCTTCATAGTCAGAATCAATGCCATACGTTGGATCGGTAAACCAAATTGACCCATCGGATTTCACTACGACGTCATTTGGACTATTAAAACGTTTGCCATTCTCAGCACGATCGACGAGTACGGTTATTGCACCATCATGTTCAGTTCTGGTTACACGTCTCGTTTGTTGTTCACATGTTATCAAACGACCTTGCCGGTCAACTGTATTACCATTACTGTGATTAGATGGGGAACGAAAAACACTTGTTTGCTCATTACATTCATCATAGCGTAGTAAACGATTTTCGGCGACATCCGAAAAGATAAGTATACGCAATGCGGGAAAATATGCAGGACCTTCAACCCACGTTAAACCAGTATAAAGTCGGCGAAGTGTAGCTGTTGAAGAAATAAAACGGCGAAAAGATTCGTCGCAGATATCAAATACACCTGTACTGTTCGATGACATATCGCAATAGTGTGATTTATCTTATATCAACAATTGGGCCGTCCACATACACACACACACGGAGATAAGAGAAAAAAAGAAAAGCTTTTACTTTTTGAGTCTTATGGTACGGTATAGATACTGGCAGATCAAATTACAAAGAGAGAAAGAAAGAAAAGACATGCAATAGAAATTCAATTACCTCGGCACAGTCGCAAAAAATTTCTTATAAATATAAAGAACGTCATTCAAAGTAAAACTCTTCTAAGTTTAGACTCCATAGAGATTTAGTTCCATTTCGTAGTGTACAAAGTACATTTGATATATTGTGCATGAAATAGGATTATTTTCAAGATTAGATTCTTGCTTTTTATCTGAAAGAATAAATATGATGTTGACAAAGTTATCTTGCAACTGAAGTTTAGATAACAAAATGCAAAAAAAACTACCATGTAACGGTGATATTATCAATGGTAAAGATGAAAAAATAGGAAGATGTTACCTTTATCTTCTATCAACAAGCGAATATAAATTGTGGTACGTCAAGGTGACGAATGTACAAATGAAAATTCGAATAAATTTCAAAATGGGAAGATGACGACAAACATTTGTAGTTTTTTTAAGATCCTATACGCTGAATATTCTTCTTCGCATTTCCTTGATTTAGATGTCTTTAAGTGCCATTCGAATCAATCCAACTGATGCAGTCTCATCGGAACCATACACAAAATTGTCATCTGACAATCTCGACAATGGATTCGTACAACCGCCACCACTTCGTGTGCGCTTAATATGCGAATTAGTCGGTACTTGCTTGTTTATTTTTTTCGGTGCAGGTTGCGCAACTAAAACAGATAATCTCTTAACTGTGTCTGCTGCTCATGCACTGGTGACGGTATGGTTAGTCTATGTATTTGGACCTGTGTCCGGTGGACATTTCAACGCTGGAGCAACCATAGCATTTGCTTTCGATGGTAAAATGAAAATTATTGAAGTCTTTGGATATCTTATTGCACAAGCAGCAGGTGCTCTACTTTCTGGAGCATTGCTTCTTGCGTTATATGGTACAGGTACCACGTTAGGCACTCCAGGGCTCCAACCAAAGGTGACAGTGATGCATGGATTCGCCATTGAATTCCTATGCACTATAGTACTTTCATTCGTCATTTGTTTTACAACGGCATACAATAAACATAAGGAAGCCGCATTCCCAATTGGACTTGTTGTGTTTTCTTCGTTTTTGCTTGGTGCTGATCGCGATGGTGCTGCATTAAATCCTTGGCGTTGGTTAGGCCCAGCTGTAGCTTCTGGTACATATCATAGCGAAGCTTGGATCTATGCCGTCGGTCCAATTGGTGGGTTTCTTGTAGGTTATATTCTTTTCCGTCTTTACAAATGGTCATGGAATTTCAATAGAAACACGCAATTCCTTCAGGTCTAAGTAACAACGACAATTACACAAGGAATTTCTATTGACTTCCTATATTCGACTCCTTTAATTGATCACGTACAAATTCGCGGTAATAAATTTTTATTATACTGCATAATCAAAGAATGTCGAGCTCTAAATGACTGGAAAGAAAAGAAAAACATCAGTCTATTGTTGTCTATCTTCGAAGTAGAGTAAACCGATACACAAGTGTAAACACCAAACCGCATAGAAGAAGAGATAGGCCTGTGATAGATGTGGTAATAATAATAATCACTATTGAAGAATTCATTGAACGTTTCAAAGAAGCTGCTTGAATATTCAATGAAAGATTTTTACGAACTAATTGATTAAGATACTCTAAAGAAATATCCGAAGAATCAAGTCCCATTTGATAATAACAGATTGATTGTTTGATTTGCAGTTGAATCTTATATATTTGCTGATAAAACCGGTTGCATTTCCCATTCGAATATACTAATTGGACCAAATACCGGCAAAGTCCATAATTCATCAGTTTAAAAAACAAATAAAATTCGTCGTGAAATTTCCATTGTTCATTAGTAACAATCGTCGAATTACCCTCACACTGAAATGAGATTATTTGCGCGAATGTTCCATTTTCTGACAAATAACGAGTCTGATAAGAAATAAAACGGTTATGATTGAGTTTGTCGATGAA